AGTTACTCTAGGTGAAGGTTTACCTAACTTTTCAGTTTTCATTGAATCTGTAGTCTTATTAAAAAAAATTGAAGTAAAACTCAGTAAGGTATAGTTTTGCACTTTGTAAACGTCAGAAATAGAAATATATAGCTCTTTATACAATAAGATGCAAGAGACGATACTAATGGTAAAGGATTTTTTTTTGTAGGCCAGAATTATATTAGTTTCCGCTTTTCTTTTTTGACGGATAAAATTCATGCAATCGTTAAATAAAATTTACCTCATATTTATGTTTAAATGTATTTTGAGCTCACACACTTGTGTTTTTTAATTGCTTGCATAAATATATCAGAGATTGTTGCCCTTGGTACCTAAGTTGCAACAAAATATTTTGCATGGTGAAAAGTACGTAACTTTTTGTATGGCCGCTTTTCTATTTGGGTCCTGTGCACTAACTTTCAAAGTTTAAAAGATAAAAATTTAATATTGAAAAGTACGTAAGTACCCAAGGTGAATTATAGTCGATTTTGGTACTTAGGGGGCGATATTGGATTGCCATTGTAGGGTAACTAAACCTAATAAGTAGAAATTTCTACTTGATATAATTCAGCCTAACCCTACATTACAAGAACTACTCTTTATTGTACATTATATATATATTTAACTTAAACTCTCTATATAGATTTGTGAGCTGGATCACTTATTCTAGGATATTATAATCCATTTTCGTTATTGTCTAAGACACTCAATTCTAGTAACTCTCTTTATTCGTTACACTCTTTGTGAATACATAAAACTTTTTCTTGAGTATTATATGAAGTTTGTTTAAATTTATAAATATAAATGACAATATATTATTAGGATTATTATTTGGATAATTGCAATTTATAGAATGCCTTCATTAACAGACGAAAGAACGAATATATATGAATATTAAAAATATTCGATTGGATAAGAGAATAAAAAAAAAAATAATCTATCAGTATAAAATTTACTGTACTTCAGGATTCTAAATCATGAAGGTTGCAAATAATAGACCAACCACAAATGTCAAAATGTTGTTTGAAGCAATGGCACCAATACCATTGTATTCAGACACATTTGCTGTGGTAGATGAAGCTGATTGAACTGGATATTCAGAAACAGCAGGTTTCTTAGAAGTTGTTTCAGTAACAGCAGGCTTGTTAGTTGTAGTCTTAATAACTGTAGTGACAACAGCAGTTTCTGCGACTTCAACTTCATTAGCACTGGTAGTAGGTTCTGGAATTTCAACGTAGTAGTCAGTTTCAACAACTTCTTCTGGGTTACCATATTCATCTGTAGAAGTGTATGTTCTAATGCTGGTAGAGTATGTGGATGTTTCAGAACCAGTGTAATAAGAAATTATTGTCGTAGAGATGGTAGTTTTTTCTTCTTCGGTATTTGGAGTTCCTGGAGTTTCAACAAGATAATCTGTTTCAATCACTTCTTCCTCATTACCTTCAGCATCTGTGGTATAGTAAGTTGTAACAAAAGTTGAGATAGTTGTTGTCACAGTGACATCACCTGGAGTGTAGGATGTACTAGCAGTGGTAACAGTTTCGTCCACACTTGGTAACTCTACCTCTATATCAGTTTCAACGACTTCTTCCTCATCACCTTCATCATCTGTAGTGTAGTAAGTGGTAACATGTGTAACAGTAGTTGGAGCAGTAACACTACCAAACTCAGTAGTAGTCTTGACAATTGTAGTGGTTTCGTCAACACTTGGAAGTTCAACATCAATATCGGTTTCAACGATTTCTTCCTCCTCACCTTCATCATCTGTAGTGTAGTAAGTGGTAACATGTGTAACAGTTGTTGGAACAGTAACACTGGTATAAATGGTAGTAGTCTCTGCTGTAGTTATTGTGGTCTTTGGACCTGGTTCCTCAACGTAAAATGTTGTTTCAGTAGTAATAATACCATCGGAGCCTGTAATAACACCGGTAGCAGTGGAGTAAGTAGTAGTAACAGAAGCAGTGCCATGAGTGTAAATAGTTGTTGCAGTAGCAGTAGCAGATGTGCTTACTGGAGTCTCTACAAAGAAAGTAGTTTCAGTTGTAATGACACCATCGGAGCCAGTAGCGACACCAGTAGCAGTGGAGTAAGTAGTAGTAACATCAGCAGTACCTTGAGTGTATTCAGTTGTAGCTGTAGTGACATATGTATTTGGATCTGGAGTTTCTACAAAGAAAGTAGTTTCAGTTGTAATGACACCATCGGAGCCTGTAGTTACACCAGTAGCAGTGGAGTAAGTAGTAGTACCAGAAGCAGTACCTTGAGTGTACTCAGTGGTAGCTGTGGTGACGTAGGTATTTGGATCTGGAGTTTCAACAATGTATAAAGTTTCAGTAGTAGCATGGCCATCGGAACCTGTTGTAGTGTAGACAGTAGTACTAAAGGTACTGGTAAAAGAACCAGTCCATTGAGTCGTAGAAGTATGGATGTTATTTGGACACCCTTCTGGTTCATCTTTGAATTGATAGATATGATCATCAAAATTAGTGTGGACATCACCGTGGGGATCTTCAAAAGATAATTCTAAAGTACCATGGTAATCTCTGTTAGCATATAATAAACGAATTGGGTAGTAAACACCAGCCTCTAAATTGTAACTAACAGAACCAGACATATTGTTATCAGCTTTCCAGATGACAATCAAATCAAAAGCCTCAGGATCACTAACAGTACCTTCTTCGTCACAACATTCGAAGGCATTACCAGCACCAAATGATAAATAAGCCAAATCATCGGCAACCAGATTAAAAGTATAGTGGCCAGATTCTTGAGCGTAAAAATAACCAGTAAGCAACATAGTGAAATTAGAGACACTCATAGTATCACCATAATGGAAATTTTCTGGTAAACCACCCATAACTTCTTTACAATGAACATTTAATTTCAGATCTAGTGTGACATCGTCGATATCGGTAGCAGTACCGAAAAGACCACCACCAAAGGTTTCATAACCACCGTGTTGAAATTCACTAGATTGATAATAGTTTGAGTAACAAGAACTGGAACTTGCATCATCGAATGGATAATGATATAGAGACATATCAAAACCTTGAGTACCCACAGATTGAGGTTTACAACCTTCTGCGGCATTGGCAGTTCTCACAATAACGGTGGAGAATAATAGGAATGAAGTAAACAAACGAGCATGTATGCTTCTAAAGCTTGAGAATACAGTCATTTTCAATTAAAATAAATATTTTAAAATATTAGTGTTAATAATTGAAATGACGTTGTATGTTGGTTTATTTGAACAAGAAGAGATTAATACAAATTAAACAAAACAAAAAAGATGTTTCATATATACAATATGGAATAGTTTTCCAGATTATATTTAAATTTCAACGAAGGTAAGCATTTATATATCCGAATTGTTTCAATGAGTTACTGACTGTTTTATCAATATTTTAAATGAAAATATTAAGGAAATTAAAGTAAAGATTTTCTATGAGCAAGGGGTGCTAGTGGGGTTTCCATTACCAGATAAGTAATTAAGTTTTACTTTTTTTTCTAAAAAATGATAGTCAATATGTGGTTGCAACTATACTATAACATCCATAAGCTTTGTCAATTTTTTTTATGTTATTATTCTGATGCGCCGTCAAGATAATAGAGACAATAGCTGCAGTTCTCGAAAATTAGATTCATCGAAGAAAGAAAGAAAAAGGATATGAGAATAAGAGCAGTATTGTTAAATTGGTTATTCCTAAGATAATTTAGAAGAGGAAGTCGGTACATATCAAATATTAAGTAATTCCATTTATTTGTATATCCATTTTAAAGAAGTACGAATAAATTTATCGATTATCCTAATTCAATTATTGTAAACAACAAAAGCTTAAACAGATAACGAACATTGCAAAAAGTTTAAGATAATTGTCATATCGATCCATACCTTTTAATAACTTCAAGGATATAAAACGAAGGAAAAAGAAAAGAAAGGATAAAAGATGAATAGAATCGATGCGCTTCATTTACTGCAAGTCACTTGTATTCCGTAACATAAAGTTTCTAAAGCAGTCCTCACGTATCTATTTGTTTAATATTTTTGGGAGTTAATAAACATAGAAATGTTGAACATTTTATTAAAGAAAGTTAACATACATTATTAACCATTCAGTTTATTCCTATGAGTTCTTAGTTGTACTGTCAATTCATTTAGTTCTGGGTCTTAATAAGTGAGTTGAGACATCCGAGATGTAGAGCAATGGGGAAGGGGACATATCATGCTTTATAAGTTGAAATAGTTGAAGAAATCCCATTGTCAACTCTGTGAGAAACAGAGAGAGACTATCTCCCACGTCTTCTAATTCTATATTTTTGTACTTCGCTTCTATGTCACAGCTTGACAAGTTGCTGCTTGACGCTGCTGTTGCTTCTTTTGCTGCTGCTCCTGCTGCTACTCTTACCACTACCAGTAGCCCCCCGGCAAACAAACAAAAAAATATTCTCTCATTTACTTTTTTTCGGTTGCCAGGCAGAAGATGTCCGAAGGGACACGCCATGTTTCCTAAAACGGACAATGCTAAATAACAAGGATAGACCGAACGATCTGTTCCTCTTTCCTCCTTCCCCCTTTGGCCTTGCTAGACAGACTGCAGGAGTACTTCTCTTACTGGCAAAAAAACGATAAAAAACAATTTCAATTCTTAAAAATGGCTGCATCTAATTCAACCAGAAAGAGATTGGGAAAGACCTGTAACTCTGTCAATAGTCTTCCTTGTTCCATAGGGGGCAGTTAACATTCTCTCGAACAAATGCGAGTGTAATTCCGTGGGCTTTGAAGAAACGTCTTCTGTTGGTTGTGGTGGACGACCACCAGGCCAGACTTTCTGAACGTAAGAAATTTGCGCACAGTATGTTCGTAATATTGTTATATTTCTTTTTTTTTTGGGTATCTGTAACATCTGGCACCTCCTTATGGATTTTACAACATTTCCTAATATGGTATACCATTATAATTTCTTCGTGAGTACTTATAGGACATTTTCCTGCATAACTTACAAAGAAATAAGGTTATGTACACTTAAAGACTCGTTTCGTAATATTTCTCGTAAAGAATAATAATTGTAATTATAATAATGGCACTTGATATATCTCTCAGTAGTTTCTCTATCTAAATGGGATTTACAATATTTTTAAGATGAATTAACATAAATATTCATATAATTTTTTCCTTCTCTCAGTATTTCTTAGATACGTAATTTATACCATACCAAAGGGGAAAGAAAAGTAACTTAAGAGAGCAATTGATACTGTTTTGTGTTGAATATTAGGATTTTGTATCTATATATAGATTGTAAAAATGTGTGTATCTGTTAGTTATTCATATAGCATATAATCGAATAGCACACACTCGTTCTCTCTATCTATCTATCTTGGGAAAACTATCGCAAAAGGTATCGTGATTGATAATATCCACATTGTAAAATTGAATAGTAAGAGTACTTTGCATTTAATATTTGTTGACACAGAAGTATAGTATAAAATGTATGAAACTCTCCCATACCGAAAAGGGAATTGTACAGCTAAACAAGGAAAGAAGGTGATGCAATAAAGATATTAGGATTGTATTTTTCAATTTATCCCTCTCTCATTAAATTTCCCATTTTGGTAAACAGGGTTGAAAGCTCTTTCATAAAAAGTACAAACTTGAGATTTGGACATAATTTAAAATAAAAGAAGGAAGAAAAAGCGAGGTGATGAATTCATTATATCCTCATCAAGAAATATGGAGTTGATGGAAATTAATATCCCTTGAAAAGTAAATTAAAGTAAAAATGGTTTATAGGAGGTTATGGTTACTGAACGCCTCAAAATTGTACAAAAATATGGATAATTTGATTATCATTAAGTAATGAACAAACTTTAATATGACTGCAAAATGAAAACGAAAAGAAAAAAAGGTGCTATTTTTGGTCAACAAATCTCGGTTTCAAGTGCTTTTTTCCCACCAATGGTCTCTTCTACATACTATTGTTATCTCTAATTTAAGTCAATCTTTCTTGATATTGATTTTTTTTTACAAAACAATGGAAACTAATATTATGAGACCAAGAACGATGTTTTGTACTAGTTTTTTATTTGATAGTTAGTATTATAATCATCTCTATAAAGTTACTCCATAAAGGATGGTTTTAAAGTTCTATGCCCTATCAAAATCTGGTATGTATTAGCATGTGTTCCTCTTGCTTAATGTTGCAATATTTTAACATTATACTGTAAATTTAAACTCCAATACTCTTGCATTATCTTAATTAAATACCTTGAGATCGATGAATTGTAAAAAAATGTACTATCTTAGTTGTCTAAGAGTAATAAAAATAGAATAGACAAGCACTCAAAGAAACTAATTAAAAACACCAAAAACGGAGTCTATTGCCATCTCTCTCTCTCTCTATCTTTCTCTCTCTCTCTCTCTCTCTCTCTCTCTCTTAATGAGGCTCATCTCATCTCATTTTCTCCTCGCAGACAAGCACATATATGTTTCTTAAAAGGAGCACAGACACCGAATTCTCGATACTTTTCCGGGATGCTCTCGGCTTATTTTGAAAAGCCTTTCCAATATCAAAATAACGAAGTCATTAACAAAGGTTTAACTGATATATAACATAGTTAACAATTGTAAATTTACTTTATATATTTGGAACCCATAACTCTAATGTATTTATAAATCTATTAAATAGAAAACTCAAATTAAAAGATAATGTCAGAATTACCCCTATATACACCAGTTGCGACCACTACTCAGGCGCAAGATATAAAGAATCAGCCAATATCCACAAACGATGAACAGTTTATGTCCATATATCTACCTTTTAAGGTGTTTAATTCGAAATTTCGATTCTTTTGGTATCATTATTGGACCCCATTGATAAATAAATTACTCACTGTTTCTTTTGTTGGATTTTTCACTACATGTTTCATTGTATCCCCTAGAGTATCAGTAATTTTACCAACTGTGTTACTTTCAATATGTATCGTAATTGTGGCTATTTTAACAGGTTGTAATACTTTTGGTATTGGGGATAGATTAAGTTTATTAGATTTTAATGCTAAAAAGGCATTTTTAACAGATGTAATTAATGAAGCTCCAGATTATAGAATCAAAAGATGGAACATAATTGCTGCTAGAATGAATAAATTCTTATATGATGAAGAAATATTTCCAAATTACTACACTTTATATGATGGTAGGGATTGTTTAAACATGTATAATTTCCTTGTTGCATCTTTGAAACCCTCCGGTTTCCATGGTGCCCTCCAACAATTTTTTGGTTTTTCAAAAGCTCTAACCAACTCCAATGAAAGTTCGTCGGTAAGAGATGTGGATGAAATAACCGTGGACCTCTTAACCGGTTTGGTAGTGAGGGCTCAGGAAGTTATACGTACCTCTATTGAGAATTTATAACTATAATTTGTTTTCTCGATGAATTGTTCATTCTTTCGTGTTCTGTTTTTTGTTGCATTTTATTATCTGGTGATGGTTTTTCTCTGGTGAGAAATATATTCTGAGTCACAGAATTTTAAATACATAATTCATATACAACTTTAACTAGATGATGTTTTACAAGAAAATTTATTATGTTCTTTGTTTTTTTCTGAATACTCTTTAACATATATCATAAACATTAAGAGCACTGAAGAAAAACAAGCTTTCCAAAGAGGCCTGCTTGATAGTACTATACTTATACTTACTGTCAGTAAGACCAATTTAACACATTCTTAAATTTAATAAATTTGTTGAAGTACGGGCTGATTTTCCTTTAATCATTAGTTTTGAATAAACATTTTTACCCAATTTAATATTCCGATATCTCCAATGCACTGACACCTTCCCCAAAAACCAAATGCCAATTCAATAAAAATATGTAACTAGGTAGTAATTTCGTTCTAGCTTGATTATACTTCATCTAGTAAGAAAAAATTAAGTTGGTTCTTTGAAACCATGTGCTCCCTTATGAAAAAGTTTATATTCGATATTATCTTTATTTATTTTTTGGTATGCAATTAGGAGCCCACAGTACAATGCGATTAAAAGAAATAAGTCACTCCGATACATGTGCGTTGGAAATAATATTAGAATATATTAAACAACCATGCTACAGAGTAACATTATACAAATTTAGTTATGACTAGACTTGGTGATAGAGTTAATATACAAATAAGAACAGTTTATGGATGTTGAAGAAATATTCAACTATTCATTTAAACAGAGCAGAGACATATGCTCGGAAATATCACCCTGTCATTTTATCATTATCACCTGTTTGTTATGTATAAAAGAACTATATATATGAATGGTTTTTGTGAATTAGAAAAATAGTTACTTAAAGTTTCTTGGATACACTAAAAAATAAAACAACTTCTACAATTAAGATTATAACTTTACCTACAACAATTTTAATAAAACATATCATGACTACTGATAAAATCACTTTCCTGTTAAACTGGCAACCAGCTCCCTACCATATTGCAATATTCTTAAGTCAAACCAAAGGTTACTTTAAGGAACAAGATTTAGATGTGGCCATCCTGGAACCATCCAACCCCTCTGATGTTACAGAATTAATCGGATCTAATAAAGTTGATATGGGTTTGAAAGCTATGATTCATACATTAGCTGCTAAGGCACGTGGTTATCCTGTGACCTCTGTGGCATCCCTTTTAGATGAACCATTTACTGGTATTCTTTATTTAAAAAATAGTGGAATCACTGAAAACTTCCAGTCTCTAAAAGGTAAGAAAATTGGTTATGTTGGCGAATTTGGTAAGATCCAAATTGATGAACTAACTAAGCATTATGGAATGAAGCCTGATGATTATACTGCTGTTAGATGTGGTATGAATATTGCAAAGTTCATTGTTGAAGGAAAGATCGACGCTGGTGTAGGTATCGAATGTATGCAACAAGTTGAACTCGAGGAACATTTGAAGCAAAAGGGTCTTCCTGTCACAGATGCAAAGATGTTGAGAATTGATAAATTAGCATGTCTTGGTTGTTGTTGTTTCTGTACAATTCTTTACATTTGTAATGACAAGTTTTTAAAGGAAAACCCTGAAAAGGTAAGAAAATTCCTAGTTGCTATTAAGAAAGCCACCGATTATGTTTTAAGCGATCCTGTTACTGCTTGGAAGGAATATGTTAATTTCAAGCCCCAATTGGATAATGAATTATCGTATAAACAATTCCAAAGATGTTACGCATATTTCTCTGAATCTTTATTCAATGTTCATCGTGACTGGAAAAAAGTTACAGCTTACGGTAAAAGACTAGCTATCTTACCACCGAATTATGAAGCGAACTATACTAACGAATTTCTGTCTTGGGTTGAACCAGAGGAAGTCTCAGATCCTTTGGAGGCTCAGAGATTGATGGCTATTCATCAAGATAGGTGCAGAAAAGAAGCTACATTCAGAAGATTGGTTCTACCAGCATGAACAAGATGAGACTTTGAGGCAGCCCCACTGAACTTTTTTTTTATAAATTACTTCCTAATTTTTTTTTTAAGTTTAGCGTCAAGACTCAAGAATACATATTTCATTTTTTCTTTCTTTTAATTTTTTATTTTATAAAAATGTTAGCTCAAATATAATTTTAGTTGAATATATCGTTTGTATAGTTTTAATATAGGTTTTCAACTAAATATAAGAATATTCGAGTGGAATACTGAAGGTCACACCAGAGTCTGTGGTAGGGGGTACTTCAGAAAAAATTAACGCCATTTCGGCGCATTCGGAATCATCGTTTGTAATTGACTGTCATTATCAACTAAATTTATATAAATAAAGAACTTAACTCAATTGTGTTAAGTTTATTTTTATTTGCTATCAATCAGTTCAGATAACAAGTAACTGAAAGTTATCAGTCTTAAGACAAATGAAATCAATATGGTTCAATTTGGACACGGTTTCAGAGAAAAATACTATGCGTTATTAGATAAAGATGTTATCCCTGTCAATAATTGTCCTTAGGATACTATATATATTATTGTTATGTATGAACTAAAAACAATCTGAAAAAGAAGATCATTATCCTGATGCTTTATATCTTACTAGAGCAAAAGAAATATTTGTTGTACAAGTGAAGGTGCTGTCAGATTACATTGGGTTGAACTTCAGAAATCATCCTTTGGTTCGAAATGCTACTATGGCTATCAATACAGTATTGAGATTCATTCCATAGAATTTTGAAAAAGATGGTATGTTGGTTCACAAAATTTCCTACGGGCTTGATTAAACACAGTGAAATTTCTACATGACTAGTATGCTATTAAATTTTATGCTACGAGCAACTTATTCCCAATGGAATATGATGAATTGATGAAAATATTGAGAGAAAATTGGCAATAAGTAAGCATAAACTTTGTACTTTTGATATGATATTTTCCATGCCATGTGTCATGTCATCATTCAAAAATATGATAAAATTGTGCAAAAAAAATATGATAAAGTTGTGCAAAAAAAATAATGTTTTGAGTTTAATAGATGGTGCACAAGCCATTGGAATGGTATATCTTAAGTTTTTGATGAGCTACAACCCACTTTTCCTAGCTACTAATTTACATAAGTGTATGAGCGTCCCTAAATATTATGCAATGCTTTCTGTTAATCTAAAAGATCACCACATAATTCAAACTAACACAATTTCGTAGCTAACACAATTTTGTAGTCTTGTACCGACTTGGGGTTTAAGTCTCCTTCAAAATTTACAATTTGTATAAGGTTATTAGCCTTACAGTAGTAGTGCCGATGTATATAACTTTGGTAGGCTTTTAATGCTATCTCTTTTACCTGCTAAGAGGTCACAAGGAATGTCTTAAATTGTTATGTTAGTGTATGCTCGTATGAAGAGTCTGGGTCACTATTATGGTGTGCTTTCTTATTCTATGAATTACTTATAATTCCTAAAATTGTTCTCGACTTTATTCTTGTCTGACGTCTTTCAACTGAAGGGCGAGTTAAATTATGTTAGATATTATAATCCCTTTTATAGGAGTGTTCTTTATCGTCGGTGAATTATGTGTTCATAAGTATTCACTTGGTCTTGCCCCCATCGCTCTGGATTGTTATTCCGGCTTCTCCAGCTATTAACTCAACAACTCATGCCAGAAGGATTCTAATAGGTTGGTTAAATACGATAATGTCGTACCGGCTATTGTATATAAAGAAGATGTCTGTGTGGTCTTACAATGCGCATTACGTCACGCCCTCGTACGAGCGATCCCTCATTGTACGTCTCTTTCTGAGCCAAACGCATCTAAATTTGTCCTTCACGATGACAATTCAATTCATGCGGAATAAAGTGTCAGCAGTACCCGGTGAAGTTCACGGAACTTATTCATAAGATAATTCTGAATGTAAATGCTACAATTAATGAGTAAAATGAAGACAAGGATTAGCTAATACCCAACTTGCCAATTTTGACTACTTAAAGGGTAAACATTGTTACACGTCTTATATATCTAATGGTCTTGAGAAAGGTTCTAAAGAATATTCAGATACAATCATTATCGAAAGGTTGTGGTGTTTGGGTACGGTGTCATTTGTTTCAATATTATGTGTTAAAGAAGTCTTAAAATTGCGTAACGAAATTATATGTGGTAAAGATGTTCTAAAAACTATCAAGGTCAACAAAGAAATGAAGCTATAAAATTGGTTATTCAGCAATTTGGACCTTCTGTCGAGTTTCTGGAAAATTCCACTGGGACATTAAACGTGCAGGTATGTTTAATATTTCCTTCTTAGTCAATGAAAAATACGCTCCAGCACTAAATTACTGATTTTAAAATTCCCACGACTAAAGAAAATTCAAGTCTGATTTGGGTATTACAATGATTACAAAGTATAAAGGATTATCAACAATTCTTCTTCATAACAACAAGATATATGTAAATTTCAGTGTATTCATCATTAATTAGGCCTGTGATTGTACTGTTTCTATTACGTCCATTAAAATTCATTTCGAAGAAGTCCTAGAACAATATCAAGTTCTAAGTAGTGCAGGAGGAAAATTACAGAGGCTAAGCATCGAATAGTCTGGTGATGAAAATTGAATAATCAAGCTGGTATTTATTTTTTATATGATCATTTTCCTCATTTTAAATTTTTTATTCACTAGAATAATGTATTTAAATCTTATTTGGTCTGTTTTGAGAAGTTTTTTGTTGGACAACTTATTTATATTCTGTAGTAAAATAATTATCCTATTTCAGTAATTGTAGAAGAAGAAATTCCTAATTGAGAAAAACAAAAAATCTATACGATGAGTTACACAATAGACAAAAGAGCAACTTTCTTTTGCTCTTTTGTTTTCTTTTTATTTGTTATCTTCTCGATTTTTTTTCGTAAATTCTACTAACCTTGGTCCCATAAGAAGGAACATACGTCGAAAAGAATTTTTCACACTGATAGCAACACACATCGGATAAAATGAAAGCATAAATTATATTCAAAGTAACGTTGGTCAACAAAAAAGCATCGTTTAAAGTATCTCTATATCTCACTTTGATGTATTTTCAGGTAAACATAGCATGTAAAGAATTTTTTATTTACCAGATTTCAGATCTTTGTAGAGGTAATCAATCCTACTGAATTCTTTTCTACTCAGAAAAAAGAAAGGGCCATAACATTTACAGTAGCTAATCACCCTCCTAAGACTCTTAATCATTGCTGCAACGGTGTTCATAGTAAACCGTATACAGCAAATAGTTCTTTTTGCCCTGAACGACAGAATCAAAACTTGAACAGATTTGGTTCCTTCACCATGGTCTCCGTCTTTCTTCGTTTGACAGCTTTCAGGTACTACTCTTCCGCGCCGCATAAACGATCTTGGAAAAAAATCAATCTTGGCGATGAGTTAATTGTTGTACGTTTTATTCTGTGTCATCACTAAATGAAACTCACGTCACTAAGACGATTTCCAGTTATAGATTTAGAGTTTTCTCAGACTTCAGTTAAGCGATGAGGGTTATAATATAGGTGTAAGAGAGTCTTGCGACTCCAATTCCCGTAACTGTGTGAGATATTTGCTCCGGGTGACGTTTAAGCCACCATTATAGACACACATGACGTTCCATGCTGTTTAGATAGACATAAAGGTAACTGTCGTCGTTCAAGTTAATAATAAGGGAAAGGGAAGGAAAGTATCCAAATACATGATCTTTCTGCATATTTATTCGGTCCTATTCAGTTATACAAATAAATAACATTCGTTAAAGTAAATTCTGCAGAGTGACTACTTAACATACATGGTAAGGGAATGACCCCATTTTAATTATGATTTAAAATGTTCTATCTTTTGGAACAATTTACCGTAACAAAAAAACTTGCGAAGTTTTATTTCTATATAAATATGTGATGGGATGAAACTCTTTTGAAAAGCAAACATATAGAATAACAGTTTTTTAAAGTTATAGTTTATTTAGAACTATTGTTTAATTCTTATGATTAAATAGAATAAATTCAACTTGAGATATAGATAAAGCATCGAAAAACATTTTACCATAAAGCAAAAATGGGTTCTACTTCTTCAAAAACAACAACAACATCCTCTGCCATCACAACTACATCAACCACCTCAACCACAACTCCAATTATTGTTGCTACAACCTCATCTACTACCACAGAGGCTACATCCACAGTTCCAACTACTTCTTCAGTTGCGACCTCAAGTTTGGAATCATCTATCCTATCTTCAATCCTTCTATCTTACTTATCCTCTTCTACAGCCACAAATGAAGCCACAAGTTCAGTTGTCTCTTCTAGCTCAGAAATGATTGCAACTGTTTCTAGTGTCGCTATAACTGCCAGTTCTTCTGTTGTTTCACCTGAAAGAGAAGACGTCACTTTTTCTTCACAATCACCATCTTCTGCAGTTGAAGTTGCTACCTCTTCAAGTATAGTCCCAGTTTCTTCCTCCGTTTTTGCTACCTCTGAATCAAGAGTTGATCCTGCCACTTCTTCTGCCTCTAGTGAAATATTTTTCAGTAGTACTTCCGAAGTTGCCTCCAGTTCTAGTGTTCTTCCATCTTCCCAACCCTCTGCTGTTGACATAATTTCTACCTCTGCCTCTTCTTCTGTAGAATCTTCCTCTGTTACAACTAGTTCTATTTCCAACTCCATTACTACTAGTTCCGATCCTTTGTCTTCTTCGTCTATTATCATCAGTTCTTCTACCCCTTCTACTCCAGTTTCATCCAGTACTTCTTCTCTAGCATCAAACAATACTTTGACTTCTTCTACAACCACTGTTATTGAAAGCTCTACAGCCACATATGTTACTACAGATGACAATGGTATTTCTACAACTATTACTACCATTGTATGTGATAACTCAAGTGTTTCCGGCAAAGCCACTGTCACTAATACTACTAGGACCACCGAAACTTTGACCACCTGTGATGAATGTAATAAGCCCAAGACTACATTAGAATCTGTCTCTACAGTTACTGGTACTTCAACTTACATCGACGAAACTACTACTGAATACTACACGTACAGTACCACAGTACCATGTGGCGAAGCCACTGAAGTTGAGAACAAAGAAACTAGTGCAAATGTTACTACAAGCGTGGAAAGATCTACTTTTATTGACGAAACCACTACTAGATACTACACATATATCACCGCTGTTCCATGTGAGGAAGCCTCTTCTGCCACTGTTACCAACTCTGAAGCCAAGAACGTTGCTGCTGAGTCCGCGATTTCATCTGCTTCAACACACCCTACCACTGTTTCTACTATCAAAGTTTCAGAACTTGCTACTAGCAACAAAGCCTCTAGTTCATCATCTTACACAGTTTCTGCAGCTGAGAACCAGGCCGCCACAAACAATATTCTTGTAAGTACAGGTTTTGGATCTGGTCTGTTAGCCATTGGTCTATTGTCCCTGTTGTAGTGATAAAACAAAATAAACCCTCTATAAATAAATATTTTCAAAAGACTAGAATTTATAAAGAACATAAGCAATGTATAATTATAATTCAATACAAGAAATGAAAAAGTTACATAATTGAGCAATAAAATAAAAAAATAAATATGTTTTTATTAAAGTTTAATATATAAATGTATATATAATGAGACTATGAGTCTCCGTATGTATGTAGGAAAGTTATTGTTGTTGTTTTAAATCAATAATGAAATGAGTTCGAAATAAAAGAAATCACGATTTATAAATATACTTTTTTTATAATAATGTTGAAAGTTTAGTGAGACTTCTTATAATTCCTTAGATGATATCTAGCGACATTTTAACAAAAGCTCTTGTTGTTTTTTATCGATCATATCATGTGTATGCAAAATGGAGGGGGTATAGACAGTTGTTATTGCTATTGAATGTGTGTGTTTTTATAATTTTATGGTCGTTATTGTTTTCTAAATAAAAAAATAAGAGAAAGGTGATTGAATGTTAGCCAGTAACAGTACAATATTTTGTCTGTTTTGTTTTATTGTTTTTTATATGTATTACCTAGTTCTTACTGGGTATATAGTGTTACTCCCAAGTAAGGATGCAGGTTTTAATTGATCACGAGTAAAATCACTAGCAAGAGAAGAGCCTACTGTTCTTCTTGGAGAATTTTTTCTTGTATGTGGTCTTGGAGAAGACGACCTCAACAAACCATTTGGTTGGGTCATTGAGTTATCGTGACGTTTGTTACATCTATATTGACTAGTTCTTGGTCTTGATATATATGCTCTATCAGCTGTAGATCTTTTAATATATTGCATAACCATTGCATCTTGTTCGGTTTCAAGTTTGTTGAAAAATTGTTCGCGAGAATCTTCTGCAAAACGTACCTCTTGTTGTTGTAGTGGTAGTTTCTGGTCGTTGTTGTTGTAAGAAGCCATTTCGTTTTTTCTTTGAAATTGTAGTTAACCTGATTGTAGAGTTTAGTTAGTTTAATTGATTTCTTGGAAGTACTACTGAACAAAAAACCAGAAACAAAAGAATTAAAAAATACTCATTTCTGAACTTCCTTCCCCTTTTATATGTTTGGATATTCTAATTTTAAAAAAAAAAAAAAAGAGAGAATGTGTGTCTGTCAAAGATTACGTAAAATTTCAGTTCAAAAACGTGTTCTCTCTATTGCGGGATGACCTGATGATGGTCTCTGCGACTTTGCCTCCACCCCTCACAATAGGCAAAACTTCAAAACGGAAAGATATGATCAACGCCTCGGAGATAAAAATAAACAGAATTAAAGGTACTGAGGCAGATTCTGAGCAACCGTTCCGCCCCCTTCTCCGGCCGAACCACGGGAAGTTTCCACTGTTTGAGCGCCGAACCGTGGTCGGTGGAATACCGAGGAACGGGACAGAACTTCGTGGAAGGGAATGGAAATCCACGGATACCCGTCTCGTAATACTTGTGGAGAGGACGGGCTGAAGATATAAATATGTTACGGCCGCGGAGATAAGATAAGCTTAGAAGGAATAAGTTATTAATTAGTAAATAATACATAGAGTACCTAAGTGATGAATCTGTCTTAAAAGGTGAGATCAGACTCTCACAGTATTCCCATACTTGCTGGGCAACACCATTAGTGAGTCCCGCTTTGACGTCCTCCCTTGCCTCGTGAATTTCACCGAATGGTACAATGTAAGAACCCGAGTCACTAGGTTTCAAAGTTGGACTCAACGCACCAAATGGCTCGGAATAAGCATCATAGACACCATCAAATAAAACCCATTTCATAACACTGACTAGTCTTGCATTCCAACTTCTTGTTAGATCTGTGTTAAAGTTACCGGGGTAACACGAGACAGACACACAGCCTATTTGATCGGCTTGTTTCTTCTGAGTATCATACCATGCCTGTGCTTGATAAATGTTGCAAGCCTTTGATTGGCCGTATAACTCCATGTTCCGAGGTTTTTTCTCAGCTGGAACATTTTTGAAAGTTGGATCTTCCCAATATATACTATATGGTGAAGGGCATAAGAAATGACCATAAGAACTAACCCACACAATTCTCTTGAGTGTCTGGTCATCATCCTTTAATAGAAATGGGTCAATATAATGTTGCAATAATTGAGGGCCCAGAACGTTCGTTTGGAACATTGCATCATACTGTTGAGTAGATGTTTCATCATTCCTTGATGACATTAAACCAGCATTATGGATAACGATATTCAATGGTTGTGATTCTGGAGTTTCTAATAATTTAACCAAATTTGTACCTGTTGTGGCTACTTTGTTTAGATCTAATAAATCACATCCACCTATGATATCAATTGTTCCCTTACAATCCTGATTTGCTTCTATAATATCCTTTTTAGCTTGCTCCCCTTTTTCTTCAGTTCTCACAATACCGATAATATGGCAGTTTTTCTGATATAACAATTCCAAAACATGTTTACCAATACCAGTATTACAACCAGTAACAATTGCAGTCTTCCCAGTTAAATCAGGATAGTCTTCGGGTTTAAATTTGGGAGGTGTAGGTTTATATCATCTGCTGGTAGCAGGAACGTTTTCTGGAACTTTCATTATTTGACTAGCTAATTAAATTTATTTTTTAGGTCTTTCCAATAATGTAGACTTTTTATTTAGAAAATACTTGGAAAATGCCAGATATAGTATCTCCCACATATATATATCTAACATCTTTTTTTTATGCGTTTGTTACTGTCGGAAAAAGTGGTGATCGTTGTCATTGATAATTTGTTCATCTATGATAACAACGGGTTCTGGGATCTTCAAATTTTTCAATTTACCATCTTACCCCTCTGGTTAGATAAACATTACATTAAATAACACGCATAAAAAGATAGAGGATGAAATTTTCAGAAGAATCATATAATAGAGAAATACAATATCCGGGGGGACACGAATAAAGATAATTTCGGGTTACTTGTGATTATCGGAGATTGTTCCGCGGAAATTATTTATTGTATACGCTCTATAAATATTTAATATATGTATTTAAAAGTAATTATGGCAAGTATTCTGAGATTTGATCTTCACAGAATTCCCAGATTTGCGTTGCAATACCATTGGTCAACCCTGCCTTCACGTCTTCTCTTGGGTCATGGATCTCACCAAATGGTACAATATATGAACCTGATTCCTTCGATGTTAAAGTAGGTGATAATGCACAATACAATTCAGAATAAGCACCATAGACACCATCCCACACAACTAGCTTGGCAGCAGTGACGAAAGGAGGCCACCATGCTCTTGACATGTCAGTACTTAGATTGCCTGGGTAACAGGAAACAGAAACACAGCCAATCTTATCAGCTTGTTCCTTGTGAATGTCATACCACGCTTGAGCTTGATAAATATTATATGTCTTTGATTGACCATACAAATTCATTCCCTTTGGACGTTGTTCTGATGGAGTATCTTTGAAACCTGGATCTTCCCAATAAATTCCATAAGGTTCTGGAGTGAAAAAATGGGCAGCAGAACTCACCCATACTAATCTTTTTAACGAAACATCATCTTCCTTTAACAAATATGGATCAATAAAATGTTGTAATAGTTGTGGACCCAACACATTTGTTTGATACATGGCTTCATAATTTTGTACAGAAGATTTTGGACTATTTGGTGCCACTAGCCAGGTTAATCCGGCATTGTGGATAACAATGTTTAATGGGCCACTACCTGGTTTATCTAATAACTCACCAATCCTTTTTCCGGCAATGTTAACTTTTTCAAAATCTAAGAAGTCACATCCACCAACAATATCAATTGTACCTTTTGAGTCTGGATTAGCTGTTATTATTTCATTTTTAGCTTGTTCCCCCTTTTCTTTTGTCCGTACAACACCAATGACACGACAATTTTTTTGATATAATAATCCTAAAACATATTTCCCAATGCCAGTGTTGCAACCAGTAACAATTGCAGTCTTACCAGTTAAATCTGGATAGTGTTCTGGTTTAAATTGTGGGGCATTTGGTCTAAAACCATAATATACCTCCTTTAAAAAGTATAGCTTACTAGTAGATGGAGCAGTAATATCTGGAATCTTCATTATTATTATTATTATTATTTTACTAGTCCTTAAAAGATCTAAAACACACTTAATCCTAGCTTATCTTTATATATTAAATTACAATCTTGTACAAATACCTATGTTAATGAAATCTAATAATAAACCTGAAGATGACTATTCCCATTGTTGATATATCTATATTTTTCAATGATGTTGCCGAAGCACAATATTGCAGTGGGTCCCGCGTTTAGCAGTAAATATTGTACTCGTTTAGTAAAAGTAAAAGCTGATATGCACAAAAAAATTCATTAAAGTATGGCAGTCTTAAGGATAAGTATACGATTGGTATTGTAAACACTTGTTGATCATTAATATCGTCGTTACAGGAGTCTTGAGGTGTACAGAAGATTCAAAAAAAAATAATGAAGGATGCGAGGTTCGAACTCGCGCGGACACCGTCCAACAGATCTTAAGTCTGCCGCCTTAGACCACTCGGCCAACCCTCCATGTTTTTGTGAAAATTTGGAAAAAGACTTGTATACATTAGTCTTTTGGAATTTTAAATTTTAAGTTAAAAAAACTTCATTTTTTCTGAACTTTGTAGTCTAAAACAAACAGAATGATAGAAATTATGTTAGACCAATATATCTCAAATGTATTACGAAGCATGTTAAAATATGAAACTGTCAGAAATTAAGAGTAATCTGCACAACACTTAATTTCAATAGGTAAAGAACTACCTTTAAGCACAGTTATTATGAAGTGTGCTAAAATATGAAACAAAATATGTGGCGACATGAAACAAAGTTAATCGCATTATGAAACAAAACATAATTCGAACCTCAATTGAGATTGGAATAAAAATATATATAAAGACAAAGAATTCTGAACTTACATTCTAAGTTAGATTCTATTCTTTCTATAAATTATATATAATATAAAGAGACTAATCGATTATTGTATTAAAAAATGTCCGAATTAAATAAAGTAAAGCTTGAAGAGACTAATAGAGGCAAGCACTCTATCTCAGATTCTCTACAGTTCCATTTATATATGTTTGATTATCATTGTCGTGATTATAAACTCACTCGACAGTGGCGTAAGTAATCTATTATTAAGTTGTTGCGGAATGAACCTATCAATAGATCATAACCTTGGTTATTATCCCTCTTATAATATATTTCCGACACCATTCACCTCTATACTTAACACCTTAAATAATGAACGAATATAAGTCTAACCACAGTATGTCTGCTTCAGCTCACAGAAATTATGTGGAAACAAATTATATCAAAAATTCTAATAAGAATTAAGCATTAATTCAAGAAAATGAAAGAAATATTGTTAAAATGTAGCAGCAGCACTAAAAAGGCTAGTATTAGTTTTACCTATCTGAAGGAGAAGGTAGCTAATATATGTAGAATTTTAGAGTGTACTGCACTGCCGTATATATTACAACACATGATATATACTGCATAAAGTAGTATTCGTTTCCCCTACATTGAATTTATTGTAGCCACATTGTCCAACGTTACTATGCACAAAAGATAAGCAGTTTAACAACAGTAACTTTGTTTAATAAATATTAGGTAATAACATTTCTATTAGCTCATTATTTATTACCTAATATGGTATTTGAAAATGATTAGGTAATAAAAGAAACAGAGTCTCAAGAGTCTAAATAATAAAGAAAGAAAGAGAATTCTGAAGTTATATTCTATGTTAAAATCCATTCGTTTTATACATCTTATATAATAATAAATGCCCCCACTTACAATTGATAGAAATTAATAACAAAATATATTTTGCATTATTTTAACATTGGAACTCAAGCTACATCTACACCTATTTACCTAACACTGAATATAATGAACGGATCGAAATCTAACTCTGTTATACAAGTTTCAGCTAAAAATGTCCGGATTAAAATACGCAAACCTTGAAGGGGCTAATAGATGTTGAAACTATATCTTATCTTCTCTACAGAATCAGAAATTTTATACGTGGATCGTAGAACGTAGAACGTTAACAGATTTCAAAATTTTGAATAAAATTTTATCAGAGTTTATATATTTTTACATTTAGAGCCAGTTACCAAAATTCCATATATCACTACTCTGGTAAACAAAATAAAAAAGTGATAAAAAGTTAATTCTGTACAATACTAACCTTAATATACATAAAATTAATTGATATAATTCACATTCCAATTTCATAGAGCTTTCTCTTATTTAACCAAAAAATATTTCAATTGATACCTTTCTCTTGAATAAGTTCAAACTCTACTGCCACTATTAAATAATAATAATTATGGCATACCTCAGAATTCTGGGACTGTTACATCCGTACACCCATCCGTGCACCCATAAACATATAAAGAAACTAAAATTCCTCTAAAAAATATAATTTTGAATATTTTTTCAATCAAAGGACCGAGACAACCCGAGCAAAGTTCCATCACTGACCAGAACTGAAAATTTCAATGGGGAAGTTATTCTGTGAAATGTACTGGCATCACTGAGTGGAAAGGTATGGACCATCTCGTCAGAAGAGAAACATGTAGAGTATCGGTCAGTATACCCCCTGACCCAATCAAGGCAGAGAGAGAGGTAAAGGACGTTAGAGGTTTAACGTTACTGAGATGTGACTAGCTGAAGGCCCTGTGATAGAGTAGATTTCTATAGCTATATACAAATTGATATATTAGTAGTTACAATAGTAAATTTTAGACTGTTTTTGTATAACTTAAAAGGAAACCGACAAACAGTATATTGAATCATTTATTGACAAGATGGCTAGAGGACCGTATGTTTAAAGATACTAAGTTAGATATTTGGAAAGAGGAGGATATCGAGATGGAACCAATATGGAGAGATAAGATATTGATATTTCAAAATAAAGTAGTGTTGAGAACTAAGAAGAGATAATATGAAATTGAAAAACAATATATATACAAATTTTGGACATATCATTATGGAGTTTTGAATTAAAGATGCTATATGGAAGTTCTTAATACAATCTTAAAGAATATAAATGAGAGAATTTTTAAATGAGTTATCAATTGTTACAGTATAAAGAAAGCAATATAAGTTTTTCCATGAAGAAAATTTAGGAAAATGTTTTTAGTTAATACCTAATTTTTCATCCCATATCATTCATATACACATACAAGAAAGAGAAATAATCGTTATTAGAAAAATCTACATATCCTTTTGAACCAATATCGTTCCAGAATGATTAAAATTGTTCTTTAATACTAACATTATTATTTGCAACGACCAACATTATTATTTTTTATTTAATACCCTGTTGTTGCATATCATATTTTAAATAGAAAGAAGCATCTAAAGAGACTAGCAGCTCCACACCATTGGTTATTAGACAAACTATCTGGTTGTTATGCTCCAAGACCATCTGCTGGTCCACACAAGCTAGGTGAATCCCTACCTTTGATTGTTTTCTTAAGAAACAGATTAAAGTATGCTTTAAACGGCCGTGAAGTCAAGGCTATCATGATGCAACGTCATGTTAAGGTTGATGGTAAGGTCAGAACCGATGCTACTTACCCAGCTGGTTTCATGGATGTCATCACTCTAGATGCCACCAACGAAAACTTCAGATTAGTTTACGACGTCAAGGGTAGATTCGCTGTCCACAGAATTACTGACGAAGAAGCTTCCTACAAGCTAGGTAAGGTCAAGAAGGTTCAACTAGGTAAGAAGGGTGTTCCATACGTTGTTACTCACGACGGTAGAACTATCAGATACCCAGATCCAGCTATCAAGGTTAACGACACTGTCAAGATCGACCTTGCTACTGGTAAGATCACTGACTTCATCAAGTTCGATGCTGGTAAGCTAGTTTATGTTACCGGTGGTCGTAACATGGGTAGAATTGGTACTATTGTCCACAAGGAAAGACACGATGGTGGTTTCGATTTAGTCCACATCAAAGATTCTCTAGACAACACTTTCGTCACCAGATTAAACAATGTTTTCATCATTGGTGAACAAGGTAAGCCATACATTTCCCTACCAAAGGGTAGGGGTATCAAACTAACTATTGCCGAAGAACGTGACAGAAGAAGAGCTCAATCTGGTTTATAAGCAAGAAACTACGTTTTCTTGTTGAATAACTGGTTTTAGTCATTCATTTTTCTTTCTTTCCTCGTTTAGTTTTATCCCACATATTCCCTTACAATGTTTTAAAGGAAACCAAATTTAAAAATAATAATAATTGTATAATTATACATATATAATATTTAAAGCACAAAATATACGGAAGTATCTTCACCCATCCTAAAACAACAGGTAATTGTTCTTTGTTGAATCAAAACTAATTTTATATGTCAAATAAGATAATACTAAGTACTGAAAAATTTCAACGTGAGAGGTTTTCGCGGTTGCACCGAGAGTCAACCCGAATAATATTTTATATGATCAGAATTGAACACGTTCAATTAAAGTAAACAGAACAATACACAACTATATATTATGCAAAATCTCTTCATATGTTGGCTTATCTACTTTGACTAGAGAGTAAAAATTGAAGAAAAAAATTGAAATAATATCAAGATAGTCCAATTATGGCTTCTACAAGGAAGAACGTCGGAAAGACGAAACGTCGTGATGTCGATGTTGACGAACCTGAAAACAAATACACGAAAGGTGATAACCATTTGGAACAATTCGCCGAAAAATGGCTTTTGAAGCAGAAACCTGATAGTGAAGCCCAATACGGGCTATGGCTAATGATTGTCACAACGATTGCATTTGCTGTAAGATTCTACAAAATTTGGTATCCTAAGGAAGTTGTCTTTGATGAAGTTCATTTTGGTAAGTTTGCCTCTTATTATTTAGAGAGAACTTTCTTTTTTGATGTCCACCCACCTTTTGCCAAGATGATGATCGCGTTTGTTGGTTGGTTAGTTGGCTATGATGGTTCTTTCAAGTTCGAAAACATCGGTATGAGTTATGAAACTCATCCTGCACCATACTTGGCTTATCGTTCTTTCAATGCTATCCTCGGTACTTTGACTGTCCCAATTATGTTTAACACTTTGAAGGAGTTAAATTTTAAGGCTATTACATGTGCATTTGGTGCACTATTAGTAGCAGTGGATAATGCTCACGTCATTGAAACAAGATTGATTTTACTTGATGCTATTCTGTTAATTGCTGTTGCCGCAAGTATTTACACTTACGTTCGCTTTTATAAAGAGCAATTAAAGAAACCTTTCTCACTTCAATGGTATATCTGGCTATATCTAACTGGTCTATCTCTATCTTTTGTTATCTCTACTAAATATATTGGTGTGATGACCTATGCTGCCATTGGTATTGCTGTTGTCGCTAACCTATGGCAATTATTGGATATCCGTTCAAACTTAACTTTGACCCAATTTATGAGACACATCAGTAGAAGATTGAATGGTTTAATCTTAATTCCATTTGTTGTTTATTTGTTTTGGTTCTGGGTTCATTTTGCCGTTTTAAACACATCAGGTCCAGGTGATGGTTTCATGTCTGCGGAATTCCAAGAAACTTTGGCCGATTCTCCAGCTACTATTAACTCAAGAGACGTAAACTATTTCGATATAATCACCATGAAACACGGTGACACTGATGCATTCTTGCATTCCCACCTAGCTAACTATCCAATGCGTTACGAGGATGGTCGTATATCCTCTCAAGGTCAACAAGTTACAGGCTATTCTCACGAAGATATTAACAATGAGTGGGAAATTATCCCAACCAAAGAACTATCTGAAAGATTAGGTCAACCAGTTCTGTTAGATGATGTTATTAGATTAAGACATGTTGCTACCAACACATGGTTATTGGCTCATGATGTTGCATCTCCTTTGTTTCCAACAAATGAGGAAATTACCACCGTCAGTGAAGAAGTAGCAAATGGTGACGATTATAAAAAGACATTATTCTCATTCCAACCTATCAAAAAGAATGATGCAGGCCACATTCTAAAGAGTCAAACTGTATCCTTCCGTATTTTCCATGTCGATACATCTGTGGCTATATGGACTCACAATGATGAATATCTTCCAGAATGGGGGTTTGAACAACAAGAAGTTAATGGTAACAAAAAACTAACAGACACCGAAAATAACTGGATTATTGCTAATATAACTAATTTGGATGAATCAAGAATGACATACGTCCCAAAGGTGGTCAAGAAGCTTCCATTCTTTAAGAAATGGTTAGAATTACAAAAGTCTATGTTTGAACAAAACAATAAATTATCTTCTGAACATCCATTTGCATCTCAACCACAAGCCTGGCCAGGTAGTTTGAGTGGTGTTTCATTCTGGACAAAGGACTCTGAAAGAAGACAAATCTTTTTCACAGGTAACATTGTCGGTTTCTGGTTCGAAATGATTTCGTTATCAATTTACTTAGGTATCGTCCTAACCGACCTAATTACCAGACAACGTAGTTATTTCGCATTAAATAAGTTAACTAGAGAAAAGTTATACGGTCCACTAGCTTATTTTTTCGTCGGCTGGGCTTGCCATTATTTTCCATTCTTCTTAATGGCCCGTCAAAAGTTCTTACATCATTATCTACCAGCTCATTTGATTGCAGCTATGTTCACAGCCGCCTTATGGGAAACCATCTTTAGCGAATGTAACTCTATTAGTACCGACAAGGATGAAGAATTACCAGGTGCAGTTTATGAGAAGGAATCCAAGGTCAAGACAAAGATTCTTGCCGCATTCTTCCTGAATATCTCTGTATGTTTGATTCTATTCTTCATATACTTCTCTCCTCTAGTTTATGGTGATGAGATTCCAGCAGAAGAAGTTGCGAATAGGCAATGGTTTGATATCAAACTGAACTTTGCTAAATAAGTCAAAATATGAGTATTTAAAACATACATACATATATAGTGATTAAACTATTATTTTTTGATAATGAATTTTATTAATATTTGTATAAATGTATTTATGGATGAGTAAAAAAAGATAATCACGACAAGAATATATATGTGAGTGGATAAAAAGTAATACTCTATAAAAATAATGGTAAAATCTGAAAGGCTAATTTCTAGTTGGGAATGGTAATGTTCTATGAATTCTGTTAACTATTTCCAAATAGTTTGGCTCGTTTTCGGTTGTGATAAAACCATGTCTTATTAAGAAGTCTACCATCACCAATGCACAATTTGGTTTAAATTCTGCATTTTGAAGTGCCGTCATAACTTCTTGTAAAGACAACACATTAAAACTATCTACTTCGCCATCGTTTGGTCTTGGAATGGTATCTTCATTCAATTTCATATCATAAATATACTCAATTTCCCCTACAATATAACTCTTCTGGCTATTGAACTTATCAACTTTGGAATTACCTTGATAGAATAAGTAAGATACAACACCAGCATTAGAGATTGACGCATTTATAATATCTTGTGGTAAATTTGCTTCTTCTAAAGATTCCTTAATGACGGTCTCGTGGATTCCATATGGGAAACCAATACCACCTGCAACCATATTATCTAACATATATGGCCAAGTTGGTTTAGTGGCAGATCTTCTAGGGATCCAAAAACGTATTTCTTTAGTCTTAGAATCAAAAAAGTAACCATTTATATGAACACCGTATGTAAGTATCCCCATGGGACCAGCCATTGCTCTTTCTATTAGAACATAAGGCTTCTTTTCTGGACACCAAACGGCATACTTTTCATTTCTCCACCCTTTCAAATCCTCGATATTTGAATGTTCTCTAAGTATAGTAGAAATTTGATCTATTTGTTCGTTTCTTGTATTGAAGTCATTTGACTTGAACCTGATCGTACGCTTACTAGAGTCTACATCAAATGTAACTGCTACGAGCTTCTCACAATGCTGAGTCATTTCATTTAGGATAAATCTACAAACAAAACCGATCTTTATATTGTCATGAGTCATTAAATAAAACATGTTCTCTTGGAATTCTGGAATATCATTATAATTGAGAGGTAGTTTATCCACTCTATCAATTATCTCTTGAAATGAAAAAGAAAACTTCTCATCATCCTCAGTTCTCACGAGAGTCTGTTTCTGATTAACGTCAGTAACTGTAACGACCATATCCGTCAACTCTTCTCCCTTTGCTTGTTTCATTTATGTAGTGTATTGAAATGTCTGATTATCAAATGTTGAAATTTATATCTAAAAAAATGACGCAGAAGCGAGCCTTGAACATTTAATTTCTTTAGATACTCGAAACTGTTATAAGCTCTTCATCAATTAAGTTCAAACAATATATGTATATATATATATATTGAGATCATATATATGAGACTATTAGTTTGAGCCCCTAACCACCACATTTTTACCACTCTTGGTCGTGTTTTGTTTTCAAATGGCCACTTCTGATGTCAAGTACAAGCAGAATGCTTCAATGTGTATGGGTCATCCCAGATTTGTAGCGGGAGGGCGATCAATCGGCCTTATTCCATTATCAATAGGAGCACAGAGAAGGAATGCGAGAGAGAAAGAGAGGCCTATAGAGTCGACCAATGACGTAAGTGTTCGTATGGTAACAGCAATATTATGTTAGGCCAAGTTTGCTTTTAGTTGGAATGATTATATAGTTCCAAGTAGCCCACGGACCACTTACCAAATTTTTGTAACGATATAGGTAGTGCCTCATTACTTTGTCGAAGCTCGGAGATACACCCTTGAAAAGGTGATGATTGCACCGTTATTTCTTCAATATTATGGTTTTGTATCGTCGCATTTATCAATTCATTATCTGTGGTGTATAGGATCTTATTTGCATCTTTCAGTGTATGGCTCTCTGATGTAGTAATATGTAATCCTGTATTAAATAACCAGAGTAACAGTCTTGTTTCTTTGTAAGATATTGAAATGTACCTACCAGATTGTTCTTTTGCAAAATTTAGTAATGACATCAATATGTCGTCAATTGGGTCAAAGGTCTCATATTCTTCATTATTCTTGTATAATTTTAGATTCCATTTGTATATTTTGAAAAGATTGTCCTTTGTCCTTTCCCCTAATTCATTACCACATCCTTTACAACATATTTCTTTATCGTTTATTGTGGTTTCTAACTCAAGTGATTCAGGTAGGCAAAGAATATTCGAACCTCCAAATAATAACTCTGTTTTTATCGGTCTTAACGTATGTTTAAATTTTCTAGAATAGAGGCTGGTACCCAATTCATTTGCATCGTTTATTGAGGGTTTATGGCAATGCCAATAATCCATTAATTCTTCCCAATGTTCAGAAGGCATATCATTCAATCTTGTAAAATTTTCCATAGAAATTATCCTATTATTACAATTTATACAATTGAAGGTAAAATGGCCTAACTGGGACAACCCTCTTTTACACCATTTCTCCTGGATTTCATTATCAAATCCTGACGATGGTACAATGTCATTACATTTTGCTTTCAATCGGAGTTGGAAAACATTCTGTTCAATTGATTTAAATGACACATTTCTATCAGAAATTGTGAAATTCCCTGGTAATAACATTTTCATAGTATATATAACCTCACTTTCCATGTTTTGAAACTCTATAGATATAGTTTCTTCATCCACTTCAAGCAATCTTACCTCTTGCACATCTTCAATGATCACTAAAATACATCCAATTCTTGAGAGAAACTCCACAAAACTCTTCATTATTAACTAATATAAGCTTAGGAACCCTAATATTTCCACTTATCTGAAGTCTTAATATAACCACATATACTAAAGAATACTAATTCCCTTCTATTTTCTAACATTATAGTTTGAAATACTTGATCTTGAGAGTGAGCTCATCTCATTCATTTTATGATTTGTTTTCAAATGTAAGCGAGACAGGCAGAGATATCGCGAAAACTTCTAATACATAAAACCAAAACAATAAACGAAACTTGCACATACGTAAATATATATTTTGCATATTGAAACTACCGAAAGAAGTAATCTTCTATAACGGCAGTCAATTAACATTCTATAAAGAAAAGTCACCTGTGACCACCGTACCCTTATACAATAATGTCGAGTTTTAATGCTATCAATTTGGCGCCCCAGGATGACGAGGTAGAAGCAGAAGAACATACAAGGGAGTTACAAATCCAGGAAGGGTTCAAGATATATGAAGAAGCGCTAGTATTACTTAACGAGAAGAAGTTCAACGGATCAAACGAAAAATTTGAAGAACTGTTCCAGCTAGATGTCATAGTTCCTGATAAATGGGGTGTTTATAGATATTCTTCTCCATTACTCGATCGTTTAAGGTATCTCACATATAGAAACAGGGGCATGTATTATTATACTTACATATTGGAAAACCATGCTTCGATAGATTCCTCAGATGTCGTTAACAACATCTTAAAAGTAGTAGAGAATTTGATAGAGGCAATTCAACATGATGATCCTGACATTGCTGTCACAAATTTGTTAGTCCAATTGTTTCGTGGTTTCAAATCAAAGAGACTAGAGAGATTGATATTAGAATGTGAATTATCTAAAGATGACAACCAACTATTATTGACAGGGAGACGAAGGAAAACACTACTACCTCAGATGGAAATGCTAGTTAATCAATATTGTTCTCTATTAACAACTTTTAAGGAAGACAACACATTGGAATTCATCCTAGCAAATTTACCTACAAAATCATATACAGAAAATATAACTGAGGATTCGAATGTACTGAAATTGAACCCAATTCTTGGAAAAATTGAGAAGATGAAAACTGAAGATGAAGATTTAATGAAATCACTAGATACGTTTGCCATAGATATCAATGAATTGAATTGGGAAAATGTGGTCTCTTCTTTATCATCTTTGCTACCCTATTCTAAAACTTCAAATTTGTTAGGAAGAAATTCTGATCCATATAATGAACTAGAGGAGCCAATAGAGGCCATTGAATTTATTGTAAAACCTGGGATCATGCTCAAGGAACAAATGGGAATAGAAAATATAAACGACAATACAGTGTTCACTACAACTATACAGAGTGCAATTGCAACAGACAACAAATCTGCCACTGATACACAAGCTGTAGCTCATGATAAAGAAAAAAATGTAGATCACTCAGACGATACCAAAAAAGGACTCAAACGACCAGCTGAAGGGGATACTGCTGCTGCTCGAATAGTACAAAGAGCAAGTAAAAGATTTAAAGAAAAAGATACTTCTATTGGTGGTGATAAAACCTATCTTTCATTAGAGGCTCATGAAAAGTTTTTAGATGAATATGGCAGGATAATATCGGAACTATCATATAAGGTACCATTTCAGGTATCTGATCTATCGAAAGAAAGTGAGGCAACCAACCAAAAATTTATATGGTATCATGATTTATTACAATGTCTTGACCATTGGAATAGTACATACACTGATATCTTTACAAGGGGAGAGCCACCTCGAAGGAAAACAGCACATGTATCCGCTAACAGGGATGAGATACTTCAATTAAATGTGCTGCTAAAGACTAATATACTGGAAGAGAAGAATGATATCTGCGACGTTACTGAAGAACTTGTTTCAAATGATCTAAACAAATTTATTGAGGCAATTAACGCTGCAAAACCGCATTTTCATGAGGCAAGATTTTCTTTATTACAATATCTCCTTTGCAATAACAATGGCGAAAGATTCGTAACAAAATTTATGTGGTGCGATGAATTATTTAAAGCTATCGTTATACTTATACTTGGCATTGAACGGAATTTGTATGAGTTCCTCATTTACAATAAAGATAAATATTGGTATTTTGGACTGTCTATTTTAGAAATTTTAGTGAATTTTCTTGGTGATATATGTGAAGAAATGCAAATAACCAAGGCCCAAAGTAATAAAATGAACGACTTAAGATCACAACGAAATAAACTGGAACGTAAAATAAATAGATGGTTCTTGCTTTTAGAATATAAAGATAGCACCGGAAAATATATACATAATAACCTTCAGTTGGAGTGGATTAGGTATTGCTACATTCAAATGACTAATGAGATTACAAGCAAGCTGTTACTTCATTCATTGGAATCTCTGTCTTCAATTATCAAGAAGATCGAAAATCCGACTCAAATAAATTATCCGAACTACAAACATATCCCAACATTATCGAAAAATTCTGTCAGATCTCAATTGAGTAAAATAAATATAATTCGAAATATTTCATTGATTGAGTCACACGAGAATGATTTTGTTAATGAAGAAGATATCGAGAAAGAAAATTTAGAACATATGAAACTTTTAGAAAATATACTGGTAAAGAGTTTGTACCCTACTGATAACTCCACAAGTAATGACTTAGATAAAGAAATGGTTAACTTTATATCTGAATCCCCATTTAATTTGAAGGCTAAGCTATGGGAAGTATTGTTTTTATATTACTGTAACCTGAATGATGTTGATGCGTCTTTAAGAGTTTATTTTAATTACATCCACCTATTGAGGATAGGAATATCCTCCAGTCAACAATCTATCTCCTTATCCGAAACTCGCGTACGCAAGCTACTATTTATTCTTTCAGCAGCGGGATCTACTTCGTTAAAAATGTTGGAATACTTAAAAAATAACAAGTGGGATGAACCGAAATTATCCATCGAACATGATGTTGTCCAGGACATCTACGATATCTTTTTTGTACTATATTCGATAGTATATTATGAGACAATATCTTTGAACGATCCTAATTTAACCCCTTTCTCTCATAGGGCTATTAAATCTTACGCTCTTGTCAAAGATTATTTGGTGTCAATGGGAAGTATCCTTGTTTATCTTTTTTGTTGGGAGAGCTATGCACAAAAAATCATAGAATACAAGGAATTCACTGTTAAGTACATATCATTACTGCATTCCTTTTTCGGAACCGTGTCATTTTGTGATGCTGCCAATGGGTTCTTTCTATTACTATCCGAAAACCTATTATGCAGATGGGCAATAAATGGGTCCTATGATTCATTTAAGCAAGTCTTGTGGTGTCGCTATCATTATTTACTTAACTATGAAAGCGGTAACACTGAACAACACGAAACCAAAACTACTAAAATGAACAAAGAGAATGCTTTACCTTTAGGTATATATCTAATGAGGTATCAGTATAAAAATTCAAATCCGCTCCTAACACCTAACAATAAATCTTCGATAAAACAAATCCTAGATAATATTATTGAAACAGTAGGAGATCCTATTGTTTCCGATAATCATCTTCTAGCCCGTAATGAATATTTGTTTAACAACTTCTTGAGTAAACCCATTACTATATCATTACTAAAACAGGCCTTGAACGGAGCATCATTGCTGACTTTAACGACACCAAATGACGATCTTCAGAACGGTATGGACGCCGGGATATTTTATGTTGCCAGTATCCAGACAATGAACCTTTACAAGATTAAAAAGAAAGCAATGCAAGCTAGACCATCTGAATTGGATTCAATAAGAAGGACCTTACGAAACGATATTTTATACAACACCAAAAGATTTGAGAGCTGGTACCTGCTTGGCACTTGCTTCTCATATATTGTCGAAGATGATTTAATCTGGACATCTGACAAAATATCAGTCATTGAAAAGAAGCGTGCTACGGCAGATACCCAAAGGAAGGCTATCCTATGTTACATAATGGCCTTATCATTGTATTTTGAGATGGATAACCCTTTACAAGATGACGCTATAGTTGTAGGCCAAACTTTCGAGGCACTTGGCAATGAACTAATCAGTGCATATTATAAACCGATGGATAAGCTCTCATTTTCATGGAATTACTCAAACAAAATATTAGAATTATCAGAAGATAGAAATGTTACTGAGTCTAAAACAGATAAATACACAACAATTTCGAATTTTAACATAGAGCAAGCTATAGTTCTTTGTTTCATGAAAGCAAATCATTACTTGGTAGCTTCTCATAGGCCTACTTGGTGGACCGACTATAACCTCAGTAAGATGTTATTTAAGATAAACAAAAAAGTTTATTATAAACAGGCTTATGATTATATATTAAAATCGACAATAACTTCAACGAAAATGTCTTCTAGAAGTAAAGATATCATTATTGAACCACATTTTTACTTGATTAATATTTGTTATAAAATGGTGTCGCTAGGATTAGTCTCCTCACTTGACGCTCTTGGTATGATTTCTAAAGATAGTGAATTTTTAGGACAAGATGATGATTTCTGGATATCCCAAAATAGTGGAGATCCTGAAGGTAGTAAGAAGCAATTTTATCAGAAAGTAATTACCCTATTAAGGCACATACTTTCAGAAGATAAAAAGAAGTTACAACATCGGCCTCAGTTCCGAATTGCGAAGATCCTCTACGAGGAATTTCAGGATACAGAAATGGCCTTAATAGAGATGGAAAACATGGTTTCTATCAAGAATTCTAAAAACCTAATAAATATTTGGAAACCTGATTTTGAAAGACCCGGAAAACACTTCGTGTATGCATATGAATACGTTATTTTTTATATCAAACTTTGCTTGGAACAAAAGAATTTCAATGACATTGCTATAATTATCAAAAAATTAAGAAGGTTTGGTTCAGGTATAGCATATGTCAACGATGCGATTGAGTCTTCCATTAGAAACTATAACATGTGCATTGAAAAAAAACTGGAGATTTGCGACAAGAAATATATTGAAACCCTATTTTTACAGCTCAGTTATCAGACATTCCTCAAGGTAAGCAAGGCTCTTTTTGAGGAATTCAATGTAAAAGATTACACAGAAGAATACATAGATGGGCTACGTTATGCGTTTCAATTAAAAAAAGGGAATAATGGTATAGCATTTGACAATGCATGCCTATCGATTTATTTTAAATGTTTTTATTTACCTAAACTTCAAGGAGAGATGGATAAAAAAACTGAATTTCATATCGTTCAGAGGGATATATCAGAATCTGGAGTTCAAGTTCCAGAGAAAACCGAACTTGTGATTAAAGCTGATAACAAAATGCCAACTAGCCCTAAGCAGAACGGTGTTAAGAAGAGAATCAGTAAGAAGGAAGCATTCGATAGAATAAGAAGTTTGGTTGATAAATTCCCTTAAATATGACTAAAATCAAACAAACATTTTGCCATATATTGCAAATTCCTAGATGAACAAGTTTTTGGCAAATGATAGCAATACACATAATAATCGCGGATTTTGATTTATTTTTGTCCTACGCAAGATTTAAAATTATAGACCATACTTTCGACTAACCTCATTTTTAAGGTTTTTATTTAAAGAGGAAACTTTGCAAACTATTCGTAATACAAACCTATTAGAATGAATAAATCTATAGAGTTACATAGGGAAGAAAATCAGTGAAAACTAATTGTTTTGGACATGATATATATGTTAAATTTGGGGAAATAATCCTATTTTACTTTCTATGTATTCAAATAGTAAAAGACAATAAATATGTTATCATTTTAAAAGCCTCCCAGATTAGTATATAAATCTTTACAAGACAAGGGGTTTTCAGAATTCGTCTACATTCCCAGTCTCTATCCATTTTTTTTTTATTTGTTCAAAAATCGGGTGTAATTGATTGTAATCTGACCATTTCTCTTTAAACTCCATAACTAAAGTTTGGGAATTGAATGTGGTTCTCGAGGAGGAATGATACTTGCCCTTAATATTTCCAGGTGTTACCCTTGAAATATGAATATTATTTGGTGCAAGAAAGAACTCACCGTTTTCTCTAATTTCAGCAATATAGGCTCCACTATTGTGAATATATTGGGCATATTTAAACTGAGGTTTGCCCCACGAATAATTTATGTCAAAGTTAATTTCTCCTTCTTGTAGGAATTTAGATGCCCTATTATCCAGGAGGAACCCGGCTAATTTAAGTAAACAAATGTGATAATAGAATTTGTTCGAAGAAAAAAGTTCTTTATCGTAGAACTCCGGGTCTTCCCACGGATTGATGGCAAGTGTTATCTGAGCAAACGAGTGAAATGGATTCATACTTGGGAGAGAACATAATTCTTCCCAAGGAAGCTCAATTAGCTTAAGACCATAACGTTCACAAATTCTGGACCAATTCCCGAGTAAATCGTCAATCAATTTTGGGGTCGTAGTCATCCATTCTAACCTGATATGAAAGCAGTGATCTGGGTTATGAACTCTGTCATAGTGAACTGTACAAACTTCTTGTTTATAAGATCTGTTCAATGAATCGACATCAATCTGAATCGAACTACTTAGTGTAACCATTGGTTTAGTTGACCCATTCTTTGTACCTTTATTAGTTGAATCACCGCAATTCGTTGAATCTGAGTCCTTAGAATCGATATGAGAAAGGTGATTTATATCTTCGGCTTTAGAAATATACTCCGACTCTGGAAATTTAGATATTTCTGAAATAGAATGATGGGAGTTTATTCCATCTAGTGTTTGTGAATTAATCTTATATTCGGGTTTAAACTGATAAAAATAGTGACCGTCAAGGAAACTATGCTTATTCAGGACATGGTGGAATAATCCTTCGTCCATTAATGTCTGTCCAAATACCACGGCATCGTCCCTAGTGAAGATATCAGAGAGATTTCGAACTAACCAAGACACCATTTCTGAACCAACAAAACAATTTAAATGTCTTTTCCAATGCCATTTTCTATTGACTAACATTAATTTATCTCTTCCAAGCTGTAATTCGTGTGCTAACTTAAATAGTTCCGTATTCTTGTCCAGTAAAATTTTGTCGTCATTAAAAAGGGAATCAATTGTATTTTTATTGACATTATTTAATGACTCTTGGTGCTCATCAATAAAGTTTAGAAGCGACCCAGTATAAAATATTACATCTGGTTGTAGTTCATCTTTCTTTGATTTTTTCATTCTTTTCTCCTTGTCACTTCTTAATTTGCACTTTGTAATAGAATTAATTAAACGACGTAGTCCCTCTAACCTGAGCTCCTCTACTGAAAGTACTTCGTTCTTGCCGTTTACAATTATCGAAAAATTATTTGGCGTAGCTTCAGATGGTAAAACAACAAATTTGGATCTAAACCCATGCCAAGATCGGTCCAAAACATAATCACCGTAGCCCGCTATGACCTGATCGATTTGGTTCCAGTTCAACGACGGTCTCTTCACATGAATTGGGTCTATCATAGAGTCTCTATAGACAGTTTCGTATCGAGTCTTAATAAGAGGAAGATAACTAGGAACTTGATCGAACAGGTCACTATTATTTTTCCTTAGATATCTCTGTACATCTATCGTCCCATTCTGACTACAAGATATTCGGTGAATTTCAGAGTCAATAATTAAATAAACCTTGATGTCCTCCCATTCTTTGTTATCTATGTATTTTACGACAGCTGTTCCATCATCCGAATTAGTTCTCAACTCTTCCAACTTCTCAACCTGCTCACCAGAACACAATTGAAAGCCAGTGACCAAACGCATGTATATTATATTCCTCAATAGATCAAGTGCAGTTTGATTATACGATTCTTGATCAATATTTAATGTGACTGAATGGTTTCTGAAAAAGAAGTTATTCTTAAAATCTTCTTTTGTTGGGAATGCTGATATTGTTACTGGTAAATCTGCTGGAGTTGTAAACGATCTCCATTTACTATACTTTTTAGCAACAAAATGAGGCCAAACATCTCTCCAGCGGACAGGTAATAAACGATTAGCAATCTCCAAATTCACAGGAACGGAGGGATTTTTTATTTCGATCCAGGTTTCATTTGATATATATGTATTACTTTCATATTTTGGATTATTGTCGAAAAAAGAAAATGGTCTCGAATTAATGGCTGGGTTTGAAGCGTATAATCCTATATCATTATCCTTATAGTTTAAGACTATATCCTCTGTTAAATTTTCAGAAATATCGGTACCAATAAGATCCACGATTTGTTGACTATTATTGTCAATCTGAGGCTTAACCATTGAGGAAGTAGAAACTCGCTCTCCTGATTTCTTAACATTTTCTTGTGGAGGTGAGAAAATATTTAGGGTTGTTTTGGAACTACTGTTACGTCTTGAAATAGAATATGTGGATGATTGCACATTAGGGGTGGTTTTATAAGGTGTTGTATCTCTAATATTAACTCTTGCTGGCTTAGGTTCAATTCCATTTTGAGGATTAGTATTTACATGATTATCATATCTTGATTGAGTTTTATCCACATTTTTTGTCCTAATAATTCCATTATTGATTTTTACCATTAGATTCCTTGTAAAATCCCTAATTGATCTCTTGCCACTGATTCCCCTTAATGAATCCATAGCGGCAGAATTGGATGTACTTGATGGATCATTATAACTAGTAATAGGCTCTAATGTTGTTTCTTGTGTACTACTTTTAGTACTCGTATTGTCTCTATTTGTTTCTGCAGTCTCGTTTAAAGCTACCATATCACCTACCACATTAAATGTCTGAACAGCTTCAGTCACTGGTTCCGAGAAAGTCAGTTGTCTCCATGCCAATGTGTTTTGCCTGCTCGATAATTGCCTTTGATTAAGTGTGTGTGTCGTCGACTTATTACTTTGAACTTTCTGTTGTTGTCTAATTATATTATTTTTGTCTTGGAGTGAGGATGAATATTCTGGAATATTAAATATATTTCTTTCATAATTTGAGACCACAGTGCTAATCGAGTGATCCTTCTTAATATTTGCGCTAAGGTAAGGTATATCTGCTTGTTCCATAATTTCATTATCCGTTAACCCCATCATTTGTAAATCATAAATTTTACAGCGTGGGTGCCATTCATCGATGGATTTGGATGAATCGTTCCAGAAGAATATACTCAACCAGTTGGGTATACAATAATGCAATTTTTCTTCATAATCTATTGCTCGAAATAAAGGAACAATGTGTAGAGGGGCTCTTGAAAGACAAATTAGATCCATTGTCATTTCGAGGGATAATAGTTTCTTTCCAGTTAAATTCAATAGATCATAATCTACATCATATAGTCCTGACCCTGGTGATATAATCATTACATGCGTCGTAGTGTGACGTAAATCGACTTGTCTAAAAGGGTCGACTAATACAGTCGTAGCAAAATTAATTAATTCCAAAAAATTCGATTTAATTACTGGAGAGAACCTTCCCTTTAAAATATTATATCCCTTCTCGGTCATAATATTTAATAAGTTGTTTTTAATATTTAAAAATTCAAGTTTCAATGTTTCCATAATTTGTACCCAATGTATGATATTGACTTGGTCAACAACAATACGAAAATGATCCACTGGGTTTTTTAATTTCTCACCAGGTTTTAAATCTGTGAATGGAGAATCTGAAAGATCCATCGATATTGCAAAAGCTATTGTGATAGAATGATGCGTATCTATAGCTTTCCATTTCTTGAAAATTTTTGGAAATAAAGAATTGACCATTTTTTGAAATAATTTTTCACCTGTTTCTTCAAAATTCCACATTTCTTCTGTAATTTGAATTAAAAACATCAACTTTGCAGACTCTGAACGGAATACAACACGGGTAGATTCACCAATATACCCTGATAATACTTTATGACCATCTCTATATATACCTTTCACCGTACCTCTGATAGCCTCGATAAATGTAAGTCTTTGGTCTGAGAAAACACAAGTATCTTGTAAATGAGATGAAAGTGCCCACATGTCACCTCTATTCAAGAAGCAGTCTTTTAAATTTATCTCTATCAAGTCAGCCTGATATTTTTTTTTATTTTTTTTCTTAATCCAAACTTTTGATTTTGTAGGGAGATCTATCATAGTCTTAAGTTGTCCCGAGAGTAACGATATTGTACCTATATTATGTTGCTGCTCTGGTTTCTCGAGAGAAACACCATCTATATCGTTAGTCTCACGAGATTCTGGGAATATATTACTTCCATTTGTCTGCATTGTCTTTATACTTGCTGATGCCGTTGTAATGGTAGTATTAGTCGTTGTAGTGGTAATTCCTAAAGCTGCAGATGTGTTGTTCAATTGAGTTACGGTTGTTCCAGCATTAATTTTATTCTCGAAAGGACAATTGTCCTTTGCAATAAAATATATTTTCTTTCTCAATCCTCCACTAGTTGTTGAATCATCATCTCCACTAGTGATTTTCCCATTATATGTTCTAAATTCACATAAATCATTTTGCCGTATATCCTTAAATTGGGAAAGATCTAATTGAATTAATTCATTAGAGACTCTTGTTTCATGGTAGTACAGCTCTAGTTCGTGAGAGGAGCGTTTATGTGATGGAGAATCAAGCGAATTTTTACTGAGTGCTGGAACTTCTTCGAAATCAGCTCGGGATACTTGAAGTCTCTTGAGGTTCGAACCCTGTGTTATATTGTTATGACTCGACCCTACAATCAAACTCCCTGCATTTAAAGCAATACTGTTTGCATGTGTGGTGTTTGTGGTGGATCTAATCACTTTAGGATTTCTTTGTATTGTATTGATTGCATCATTTCTCGTAGATTTCTTTCGGGATGCTCTTAGTTTCGAAAATAACGTATCACTTTGCATTGCAGGATAATTGGGTTACAGTATATGACTGAACTTTATCGATGTTACAACAAACTCAATATAAATACACTATTATATTTGTGGAAATCGATCGCAATGGGCTGTCCCTTAACTTTTAATAACCGATGAATCCTTCCTTGTCTGGTTCTTGTTTCACTTTGCTTTGCTTTGACAGGCCTGCCTGTCTCTTATCGAAAAATACGTCACCAAAATTTAAAGACCTAATTGGAAGCCATAGGGTTAAGCAACCAAAAAAATATAGGGCAAGAGATCACGTGGGATTGACTCATTTTTCGCACACAGTTAGCCCCATGGGCACGTGACTGAACTGCTTCGTTGACATATCACGTGGTTTTGTCATTTTCTTGGTACATGATTATTACTTCATCACTTTCTTGTGACATAGCGTGCGTGTGCACAAGACAAGACTCATTAATTAACTTCGATGGTGTTGCCGTGTGGCCCTCATCCTTTTGCTGTGGAGTTTCACCATCACAACGCCAATTACCGATATTGACTCTACGATGAGCAACTTTTAGAGACCCATGACGTTGAGGGTATCAACGAACGGACAACTCACGAATCACACAGATCGTTTGCTTCCCACTCTTTTATCTTTTGACAGTACATTGGAAGTGTGAGTTCGAAGACATGGACAAGAGATAGCCATTTATAAAGTAAATATTCCGATCTTATAACTACTTAATATATATATATATATATAAGTAATAAGTTCTGTCGATGTTTACCTCCTATAATTAATCTTTTTTTGAATACCTTTTATATTTTTAATATTCTTTTGAACCACATACGATAATAGACCAATCCTCAAAAACACTGCTCAACATCTCTGCGATGACTGTCACTACAAATGCATCATTGCAACAGGTTCTTTACGAGTTTGCCCTTCGGGACTCAAACAACAAGTTATTCTATACTACGGCTACCAAAGCTGAAAATGGCAATGACTCGATTCCAAATAATGCCATCCATTTATTGAACGATAACGATCCGTTTGCTAATATCTTAGAAAATGTTTCTAGTAATTTAACTACAGTTTTCACCGATGAAGTTACCTTATTGAAGAGTTTACCCCATTTGTACCAATTGGAAAACTCTATAGTGGTTAATGTAGATTTATATTTACAGGATTACTCAATCATTACAGCTCTGAAGGACTTAAACATTGTTTCTTTAATCTCAAATGATGCTGCTACAGCTATAACTCACGCTCAATTGGCTAGTAAGATCGCTCTAGAGAAACGTCTACCTGTTTTCCACTTCATAAATTTCACTACTATAAATGCTTCTGAGGCGATTATCCCTGATTTCCAAGAACAAACTTCAAACGAGACTGTATCAGAAGAACAGGAAGAAGAACAATCCACTCTGGAACAATTTCTAATCGAACAAAATATACAAAATTTTGAATTGAAAGCACAAGGGTCCAATCCTTCAGTTGCCATCATTAACCTATCCCAATATGGTCAATCTATTGCTCAAGTTCTACCAACTTCAGCTTCATTGATAAATGTGAACATTTATAGACCGTGGAACATTGACCAATTACTACAATTAGTCGCCCCATCTGTCGCTAAGATTGTTATGATCCAAGGGTCTTACAAGGATGACTCATCAGAACCACATCATTCATTTGATCCTTTCTTATTGGACTTCTTTGCCGACTTTCAAAAATTGGTTGAAAGAAATATCGACCAAGTTATATTGACAAAAATTGGTCAACTACCAAATGATGCAATTGTTGACTCCCTAGATATCATAATTAACAATGCTCAAAAGGATACTCCTGTTCAAAACCTTTATTTGGGTAAGCAATATCAAGAGCAAATTGATAACAAGCAATACATAGATTTTTTGCATTCTTCTGTTAAAAATGTGTTAAATTTAGAAGCTGCATACATCAAGGTATTAAGAAATTTATTTTCTGGTAATTTAGAAATTTTAAATGAATATTCGAATGATACGGTTAACTCAAATACTCCAGAATATGGTTTTGGTTACTACTTAAACCAAGATGAAACTCGTCAACAACTTATTGATTTGGTAAAATCTTCTCTAGATGTTTCATTATTCTCAGGGGTCCCAGATGCATCTAAACTGGTCGAAACTCTGTCCAAGTGGTTGGAATTTAACAAATCATTGACCTCGCAGCAACTAGAGGAGGCTAATGAACTGGCCAAACAAATATTTGAGATTTTAAAAGCCAACAAAACCAATAATAACGTTGCTAAGATTTTAGAAATAGCACCAAATGAAGACGGGTTATCTTTTAAGTCTCACTGGTTAATTGGTTCAGATGCTTGGTCTTACGACTTAGGTAATTCTGGTGTCCATAATGTACTATCATCCAATAAGAATATTAATATGCTATTGATAGATTCAGAACCATACACATCTAAGAACAAGGTTGCACATAAGAAGAATGTCGGTTTATATGCTATGAACTATCACAATGTATATGTTGCTTCTGTTGCTGTATATTCATCATACACTCAATTACTCACAGCTATGATTGAAGCAGCTCATTTTAATGGCCCTTCTTTGGTTTTAGCCTACTTACCTTACTCCTCTGAGATCAATTCATCATTAGATATTCTAAAGGAAACCAAGGTTGCTGTTGAATCTGGTTATTGGCCATTATACAGATATGATCCAACCAAGGAAGATGAAGATGATGAAACGCATGGCTTTTCTCTAGACTCCTCAGTTATTAAAAAAGAATTGCAAGACTTTTTGGACCGTGAAAACAAGTTGACTTTATTGATCAAAAAATACCCAATTTTTGCAGACAACATTAAAAACTCAGCCAGTGATGTAATTACCAGAAAACAATCTACAAGAAACAAGGCTGCTCTAGATGAATTACTGGACGGTTTATCTGGTCCACCATTGCACATTTATTATTCTTCTGATGGTAGCAACTCTGTTAATTTAGCTACCCGTTTGTGCAACCGTGCCATTGCAAGAGGTTTAAAGGCTACAGTGCTATCAGTCGAACAGGTAGTCCTAGATGAATTACAAGGTGAAGAAAACGTAGTCTTCTTTACCTCTACGGCTGGTCAAGGTGAATTCCCACAAGATGGTAAATCATTCTGGGATGAATTAAAGTCCTCTACCATTGACTTGGCTGGGTTAAATGTCTCTGTCTTTGGTCTGGGTGACTCCAAGTACTGGCCGCGTAAGGAAGATGCACGTTATTACAATAAGCCTTCAAAAGATTTGACTGCTAAGCTAGAAGTCTTGGGTGCCAACTTTATTGTTCCTTTGGGACTAGGTGATGATCAAGCTGCTGATGGATTTCAAGAAGGTTACCAAATCTGGGAACCTCAATTATGGGAAGCTCTTGGGGTTGATAATATCGACGTTCCTGATGAACCAAAACCTTGGAATAACGAAGATATGAAAGTTAACTCCGATTTCTTAAGAGGTACAATTGTTGAAGGGTTGAACGATGAATCAACACTTGCCATTCATCCGTACGATCAACAACTAACAAAGTTCCATGGTTGTTATATGCAAGATGATCGTGACATTAGAGATATTCGTAAAGCCCAAGGTTTAGAACCTCTCTTCAGTTTTATGTCCAGAGTTAGATTACCAGGTGGGAAAGCTACCCCAGAGCAATGGCTTGCACTAGATAAGTTGGCTACTGAGGTCGGTAATGGTACTATGAAGATCTCTACAAGAGCTACATTCCAATTGCATGGCCTTTTAAAGAAAGATCTAAAGCACTCTATAAGAGCGATGAATTCTACTTTAATGGACACGTTAGCCGCTTGTGGTGATGTTAATAGAAATGTTGTTGTTACTGCTCTTCCAAATAACGCCAAAGTCTTTAATCAAGTCTCGAAAATGGGAACTGAAATTTCTGAATATTTCTTACCAAAAACTACTGCTTATCACGAAATTTGGTTACAAGGTACTGATGAACGTGATGATGATCCAAATTGGCCAGAAATTTTCGCGAACAGAAAGGAAGGTCCAACTAAAAAGAAAACATTAGTCAGTGGTAACGCTTTGGTCGATGTTGAACCAATATACAGTAATGTTTATCTTCCAAGAAAGTTCAAGGTCAATATTGCTGTTCCACCATTTAATGATGTTGACGTTTTCGCTATCGATTTAGGGTTAATTGCAATTGTCAATCCTGACACTCAAATCATTGAAGGTTACAATCTATATGCTGGTGGTGGTATGGGTACTACACACAACAACACTAAAACCTACCCAAGAACTGGTTCTGATTTTGGTTTCGTTAAGCCTGAAGATGTTATTCCAGCTATCCAAGCTGTTATGATTATTCAAAGAGATAATGGTGACCGTCAAGATCGTAAACATGCTCGTTTAAAGTATACCATTGATGATATCGGTATTCCTCAATTTAAAGCTATGGTTGAGGAAGAATGGGGTAAGAAATTTGAGCCATCAAAGTCTTACGAACAATTTATTTCTAACCACGATTATTTCGGTTGGGTTAAGGATGAAACTGGTTTAAATCATTACACATGTTTCATTGAAAACGGTAGAGTCGTCGATACACCAGAACTACCTCAAAAGACTGGTTTGGTAAAGATTGCCAAGCTTCTACAGAAGAACAACTCTGGCCACTTTAGATTAACTGCTACACAACATGTTTTAATTTCTGATATTGAAGATAAGCATCTCGATCAAGTTAAAAAGGTCTTAAAGCAATATAAACTAGATATTACTGAGTTAAGTGGTATTAGAATCGCATCTTCATCATGTGTCGGTTTGCCAACTTGTGGTCTTGCTATGGCAGAATCAGAACGTTACCTACCTGTGTTGATTGATGACATTGAAGAAGTTCTTGAAGAATTAGGTTTGCGTCATGATTCTATTGTTATGAGAATGACAGGTTGTCCAAACGGTTGCTCCCGTCCATGGGTTGCAGAAATTGCTCTAATTGGTAAGGCTCCACATACCTATAATTTGATGCTTGGTGGTGGTTACTATGGTCAAAGACTAAATAAGCTTTTCAAGGCTTCAGTTAAAGATGATGACGTTATTGGTATTTTAAAGCCATTGTTCAAGAGATGGGCTTTGGAAAGACAAGACGGAGAACATTTCGGTGATTTTGTTGTTCGTGTGGGTATTATTAAGCCAACATTGGAAGGTAAGTACTTCCACGATGATATATCAGAAGAAGCGTATTAGACTTTTGCCATATTACTTTTTATGTGTATATATACTTATTTATTGTATTTATTAACAAATTGATTATTTATAAAATTGGTCTATTTCTATGGTGTTAGGCCCTTCCGAGATTCCGTGACAATATTAAAGTGTGATTTCTAATTTAAATGCAAATAGGTTCCCTTTGATTATCATTAATGAGTTGTCAATACAGAACAAAGTGGTTAGATCGTCAGAATATATATTACAACAAAATGTCCATTGCAGTTGTTACAGGTGCTTCATCGGGGATAGGTTATTCATTGACTGATGAACTGGCAGCAAATGGTTTCATTGTTTACGCATGTGCAAGAAGGTTAGAGCCTATCAACGACTTAAAAGACAGGCATGGACCTGAGAAGATCAAACCTTACCAAATTGATATATCGAATAATGAGGAAATAGTAACTTTCAGACAATTTTTAGAGAGTGAACTACAAAATGGAAAAGTTGATCTTCTCTATAATAATGCCGGTCAGGCTTGTTCCTTTGCTACTTTAGATGTTACAGACAGGATTATGGAGGATTGTTTCAAAGTCAATGTGTTTGGTCATATAAACATAACTCGAGAACTATCAAAGTTGATAATTAATGCTAAAGGTACAATAGTATTTACTGGTTCCATTGCTGGAATTGTTTCCTTCCCATTTATGACAACGTATTCAGCCACGAAGGCTGCCATCCATCAATATGCTAGAGGGTTACATTTGGAAATGAAACCGTTTGAAGTAAGAGTTATAAATGCTATAACTGGTGGTGTTGAAACGGCCATTGCCGAAAAAAGACCTATGCCATCCAATTCTTTATTCAACTTTCCTGAAGGTTTGGAAGCATTCAAGGCACGTTCCAAAAAAGTGCAAAAGATGAGTTCTTCACAGTATGCCAAACAAATGGTTAAAGTAATCATGAACTCAAATGATCCAGTAGATGTCTATAAGGGCTCGTTTGCTATGATTGCTCGTGTTTTGGCCCTTTTTGTCCCAATGTGGGTTTTGAATAAACTTTTGTATAAGTTTAATAAACTAGATAAGGTGGAGTCCTCCATAAAGCAAAAGGGGGCAAAGAAAAGTCTGTAAATTTAAATATCGAACGACATTAAACTGTAATACTTGGGGTCGTCTTATCTCAAATAAATCTCTCTCTCTCAATATATAAATCGTGATCCCATATTCTTAAATTTTACGTGCTTAAAAGAATTCCCTCATCGCTAAATGAAGTAGATAAATTGTTCACTCACGTATACTGAAATATAGGATATACGAAGATAAAGATCCAACTTACAAAAGAACTAAGGACTTATACAATTTTCGAGTGGGATAATGGCTATTGAAGAATTTTCATTATTGATAAATAAGTTCTTCCAGGTATGCGATAGAGCCACCGATCCACTAGAGCTTCCTCACGATCTGTTAGATCTTGTAATCGCCGCCCAGCTCAGCGATTTTAATTGCAATGATAGATATAAGGTATTGAAATGCGTGTCGTATTATAGTTTGCATCCAGATTTACCAACCAAGCGTAAAATTATTAATTACTTTGAGAAGTATTCCTCTGATTCTGATGGGCTGATGAACTATCTTATTGACGAGCTGAAGCCAATGCTATTGAGATCAAATTCATCCAGAAGAAAAATGGCTAATGTACATACCGGACTAAATCCAACTTTGGGGTTCTCCTTCGAGGAGGATACTTTTATAACAGGATGGAAGGCTAATGGAGGATTGAAGGGTATACCGTTGTTTTATATGGTGTTGAGACATTTAAATAAAAGTCAAATATCAGTTAATTTAAACTGGATCATCCCAGGTATCATGAACATGTTAGACAACACATCAGAATTAAAAATGATTAAAATGAAAGGCGTTTTACTTTTAAAGACATTTCTATTATATTGCTTTGAAAGCAATGAAAGTACAACAGGAAATTGGATTTCTTTCAAGCAAACGGGTGTATTCGAGATGGTAGATCCAATTCTAAAGAACATGTGCTATTTCCTACCACCTAGTTACAATGAACATGATTCATTGGATATTCTTGAAGAAGTCTATGATACATTAATTGTGTTATATAAGCGTGGTTTGAATAATGGAATGATGAAACGTAAGCTTGGTACGGTGCTACTATCAGATATAATATTGAGACATACTTTGCCTAGGATTGGAATAAAATACGAAGCTCTTTTGCAATTTCAACTTGATAGTGTGGAAAGAATTATAGACATTTTAGACGATAATACAGTGATACATTTGCAGAGGATTATATACACATTTGGGGAGTATATAATACGAGATCCGTTTTTGACTACTATTAAAAACAATAACATTTTACCTAAAATCATTGATGTGTTCAATAAAATCGTGAACATATGTCCAGAAGAACGAATACAAGCCCATAAATATGACTTTGTGGCAGCTGTTTGTATCATCTTCCAAAAATATGACTCTGAGGGTGGTGTGAGTGTAGAGTTATTAAACGACCTGGGTAAATTTTTGGACAACTTGGTCGTAAAAGGTTGTAACCTGGACGATATTATTACCCCACTGATGAAGGAAAACCCACAGTTTAAGGAATTACTAATAAATAAACTACAGGAGACTAAAGATATTAACGTTTGATAGTTATTGTAACTTTTAGTGTCATGACATATTTATGTGCAAAGTTATGAGATGGTATAAACTATAGCATAATGTGTGTATTTACATGATATATATATAGATATAGATATAGATATAGATATAGATATACTTGAATATTATAATATATGAAAGAATGGCATACGATTAGAAGAAGTTCAATCACAGACATACCAGTCCAAAAACGTACATTTCTTTATTATTATTGAACGTTTTGTAAATTCTGAACAATTCTAATGTTTGCATCCAAAAATCTATTAACACAACTATTTAAACATTGTTCTTCTTGTGCAGATAGGTCTGGAGATGTGATAGAAGACACGCAGTTCTTGAAACAACTGTTTGTAAAGTCATGTATTTGCATTTGGACTCTTTGCTTTGAGTTCTCGGCATCCAAGAAGTTGGCAATCTCCTTCTTAGATGAATTGTTCATGGAGTCCAGGTCAGCTTGAGAAATGGAGGACATGGTAGGCTTTTAATATGTGGTAATATGATACCAGTTTATGAAGTATAGTCCTGACCTTTGTGTGCTTCTGCTAGTTTTCTCTTATATTACTTTGTTGAATGAGAAAGAATAGTGCAAGTTGAAACCCTTTTTGATGATCATCACGAATTGCTCGCTGCGTATAAAATATTTTTATGTGAACTGACCATGTTTGCAAAACTGTTAGTCCTAATGATTAGGTACTTTGAAATGCGTGATGAAACCAACTGGAGACGAGCAAACAGGTTAAAAAGTATATTGTTTCTCTGATGGAGGATACTATAGACGATTATGTGAGGAGTTTGGAGACTCAATTGGAAAATAAAGTCGTGTTTTTGAAGCAATCTAGGGATAGTCTCAAGAAACTACGACAAGAGTACAAAGATGAAGAAGCGCAAGACATAAATCCAGACATATGGAAGGCATTCATGAAGAAACCTGTCATGTATGTGGAGAAGTCAGATCCAATTGGTTTGAGTCTTGCTGATGTTGATGTATATTTACGAAATGAGTCGTCGCTGGACTGGATCGAAATGATGACTGGGAAAGAGATGAATTATTGTACTACATTGAAGGAATCCATTAATAATCAACGTAATATGAATAAGGATCTGTCGACATTGATAGGTTTACTTGAACAAGATGATCTAGAGACGGAGGAGGTTGAAGAGATACCTGTAGCGTCCAATTTGTTGGATCAAAATCAGAAACTATGGGATTCGCTTCAATTGTTTACTAAAGAGGTATTATGTAAAAATGAAAATAACCGAATCGAGATATATAATCTATTGAAACGATTAGTTAAATTCGATCCTCTTCTTACCGTCTCTGATTTCAGAATCTCTCATGAATCCGAAAGATTGTATAGGTTGTTATCGAAGGCTAATCTTGTCGACGTCATCCATATTGACAACAATACCAATTCCCAGGTGAGATTGATCAATTTTAATGACAACGACCTGAGTTAGCCATTGCCATATTTATATAGTTGTGATATATATAATCATTATAAATGGATAATAACATTCTTACAAAGATATATATTTAATTGTATTAGTAACTTTCCTACTTCATGTAAAGTATGCACTGGTCGGTCTTTCGCATTCACCTTATTGGAACACTGAAAATGTAACTATTCTTTTACTGCTAAATAAACAAGACGCATTCATTTGAACATTCTTTTAAAGAATGTAAATATATTATAACTCTAGCTTCGTCATATTGGATTGACTTGGATAACAGCTCGATATATCAGTTTATTCAATTCGCATATGTCAAGTGGTAAAAAGCTCTCTCTTGAAGAGAGACTGTCGTTAGCAGCCAAGAAAGGGAAGAAGAAAAGTAAAAAGCTTACTTCAGCTAGTCCCACACCAAGTCCTCTAGTAGAAGAAGATGTTGATACTTCCATTAAAGAAACTACACCTGAAATCAATGAAGGTATAATCGAAAACAGTAACGTTGATAAAACAGAGGATAAGATAAGTGAAAATGATATGGAAACTACTATCACTGCAGAAACTGTACATGGAGACGAGAACTCTCACGAGGTCCTACAACAAGTGAAAGATGCCGTTAAACAACAGCCTCTATCCATTCAGAATTTGAAATTAGACTGGCTGCCGAATAATTATCAGGATATTGATGTGCATAAGTTATTAAATATAATTGATAATCGGATTGGTGATTCAATAACGAAGGGAGAATCCTCCAATAAAAAATTATCAGAATCCATTGATAAGAAAGATGAATTGATAGAACAATTAAGGAAAGAAGGAGAAAATCTATCCAAAGTTGACTTCAAGAAATCAAATCAAATTAAACTTCTAAAAAATAAAATATTTGATATAGAAAAGGAACTTTCGAATACAAAAGAACAATTTGATGAAGAGACTTCAAATTATCAAACATTAGAGAAAAACATTAATGAGCTCCAACAACAAGTAGTAAGATCCAATTCTACCATTAAAGACCTTAAGCTTCAAGTCACCAACGTTGAGAAGTTACAAGCTACCGTTGTCGAACAAGATTCTCAGATTATCACTTTGAAAGAAGAACTTGAAGATGTGACAAAACAATTGGCCGACACAAATTTTCAGCATCTTACAGAAATGGAATCACTCAGAGAATCTAACTCTATCCAGATTAATACGTTAGAGACCGATTTGGAACAACTTAAGATCAAATTGGAAAATAAGGTTCAATCTGATAATTCAACATCTGGAGAATCCCAAAATGTGAATAATGAGAGTCAACAATATCATATCTTAGAACAGCAATTAAGATCAAGTAAAGACAATTGGAAAAGCATAGAAGATACGCTCAACATTAAGATTGTAAAACTGGAAGAAAGTTTACAAAATAGGGAACTGGAGATGCAAAAACAAACCCTAGAGATGAAGAGTTTGGTAAATGAAAATGGTCTCCTAAAGCGTAAAATAGATAACTCATCATCTAAGAATTTAGAATTGACAGACCAAGCGCATAATTACAAGAATGAACTTCAATCATTGCAGAGTAAATATAACGATATCAAAGATGACTATAACTTGTTGAACAACAAATTTAGCATTCAAAAGACACAACTAACCAAATTGTATGGTGAGCCATTGATAAATTCGCATATTGGCCGGAGTGGTTCGGGTATTAGCATGAATAAGTCACATTCATTAAACAGCGTCAGTGAAGAATGGTTACTTCCGGCAGATGATTCCCTCATATCTATTCAAAGTATTTCTTCAGATATAGATAATAATAGATTGGATGATACTGACACGTCTCCCCATGTAGATGAGAACGTAAATATATCAATCGATATTCCTGATGATGCTGAGCATCTACAGACTATATTAACGACAAAAAATAGCAGATCCAGTAATCAACTGGATATTTCTAGTGCAATTAGAAGGTCAGATTCATATTTAACACCAAACAAATTCAGGGCTTTTAGTGACGTCAATGATAATACAGAACTGGGTTCTGGGGCAGTTAATTCTAACCCTCAGTTAGTCACTAGACTTGGATCAGAAGTCCGTAGACTAGAAAACGAGTTACGCAACATGCAGAAAGATCATGAACGCCTTGCTCTAGATAAAGATAGCGCAAACGAGGAAATATTGAGACTTCTCGACAGAAACGATAAGGCAACCAAGATAATTGATGAAAACAAATCCTTGAAACAGGAGTTAGAGACTATTTCCAAACGCTTGGAAGTTTCATTACAGCTTTTAGGAGAGAAGGCAGAGACAGTAGAAGAACTTGAAAATGATGTCAATGATTTAAAGGATATGATAAAGCAGCAAGTCCAACAGATGGTTGAGATACAAGAGAATAAATAGTTTATATAAATTTAGACCTTATTAGAATTATCTTTTATTTTTTTCGGTTTCCTAAATATAGAACAAATTGATTATACATATATGGTACATAAATTTAAAACAGGTTAATCATGACCTTGCTGTTTTGCTAGTCTAGTTTGTTCTTCAATATCATCGGCTTCCCATGGGTAACATAGCCAGACATCAGGAACTGTGACAGCAGCCATGTAATGACCAGATTCAAGCATTTCCTTTGGAAGGTCAGCTTTCTTTGGCTTATCCTTATTATGTAGAACGAACACAGTGAATGTAGTCTTTTCATCTAGTCTATTTAATCTCTTTTGTTGTTCATGAACTTCTTTTTCCAACTCAGAAACAGCATAATGTAGGGTAGTTCTGGTGTCATCGACTTCGTCAACAATCAAAACTTTCTTACCGATAAGAGAATCGAAGTGTTTATCTAAGGCACCAAAGTCTAACCATTGGGTTCTGATAACTTCCTTACCAATGGTTTCAACGTTGTCATCTAATCCTAAATCTTCGTATAGAGACAAACCAATAGCTTGAATTGGAATGTTCTTTTCACCCTTCTTCTTTAAGAAAGTTCTGATGATTCTAGCTGGAATCAAACCACCACCAGAAATACCAATAATAACATCAGGTTTCTCATTCTTATCTAGGATATCCTTAGCAGTTTGTTGACATAGTTTGTGGATGTTATTGTAAGAGATGTAGAATTTCTCAGGAGCTTCAGACATGATGAACAAATATTATCTAAAATAACGATAATAATATTACGACGTAGACGTAAAACAAATATAAATATAAGAAAACACAAGAGAGAAGTAAAAAAGCTTAAAGTTACAAGTCAAGAATCCCAAATTTCTATCCCGTTTGGTTGATAACTATGAAAAAAAATTGTATGAGATATATCCTAAGATAATCCTTTTTATATACGATAAGCTCATCTCCAAAATTTGAAAATTCAAAAAAATTTTCAAAGGTCATCGAGAAACTGAAAAATGAAAAAAAAAATTTGCTGAGATTCCTGAATAGGTAGGCGATACCGTAGATGGAAAGGATTGCCGTTTGGGGAAGAGAAAAGAACAAAGATGAATGGTAGTAGAAACCTAGTTAATTAATTATTATACATTTTAATATGAGGAAATAATGCTGTATATATCTATATAAAAAATAGTTCGTAATAATGGTGAAATGCCACGTTATTGATATTAGAAAACATATGGGTTACGGACATATTTTTGGGCTGTGAGACATGATTATGCAGCTTTTTCTGCAACACCAGCAAAGTCTGAAGCATCCACAAAAACATCGTTTTCACCATTGACATATACCATATTGTCTTCATCCTCATTTGAAACAGCACCTCCCGCCTCAATATTGTTTGTATCTTCACCTTGTTCAATGGCTACTTCAGAAGTACCATCATCGAGAGATAACATAGCCAATTCCTGTCTTAATGTAGCTTGTTTATTTAGTAAATCTAGTCTACCTTGAATACCTAGTAGTGTTGGCAATGTTTCACTTGAAGACTTCAAGGCACTCTTAAAATGTTTCATATTCTTTTTGGGTTTCTTATCATATATCGTACTGTGAGGAATATTTTTCAGCATCACTATCCATTTTACCCATAGATGTAAAGTGTTATCTTCTGTCCAGACATTGTTTTGAAGTTCTGCAATAATTTTGTTTAGAACGGATCCTATTAGGCTTTCTGATGTTAGTTGTGTATTTATACAGTTAATAATTCTTTGTTCATCCCATGATGGTGATGTCAGGAGACTAATGACAGACATCCCGTCTGATTTGTCATTTTCCTTTGACAATGCCTTAATTAGTCTAACATTCAGTTCAGTCTGTTCAGATTTTGATATTTTTTTTGTCTTTTCATGCTTTTCTTCCTTGATAACATCTTCAACGATCTTTTCTTTGGGGTACCTATCTTGTGTTATGCGATTTTCTACAGGTTCGACATCTTCGACACCTTCATTTAGGATAATTTCCTTGTTTCCTACAATATTATCAATAGATAGTAATTTAAAATTAGGTTCGTTGACGTTCAACCAAGCAAGCATCACATCATTTGATATCTGTTTAAAATCAATAACTTCAGAATTTGTCACCGCTATGGTACTGATAGGCTCGCTTTCGGTTACTTTAAAGACGGATATTTTACCGTCAATAGTCAAAGTAAAAATAAGATCCTTGACACTTCCAATTCTGTCTGCTTGCACATTCCATGAACGGACGATAGCCTTAGTTTCATAGTCATATACGGTTAAAGTGTCAATTGTAGCCACACTAAAATATTTCCCATCTTGGCTAAAAGTACAAGATAATGCGCCGAATACTTCAAAAGTTGCTACTGTACTGGGTCTTCTCTTACTTGGATCGATGATGTATATTTTTTGTTCGGTAGCAATAGATAAATATATGCCATCTTCATTGGCATTATCTCCATCATATTTTAATACTTGGAAATGTATTATTTCCTCATCTTTACCATCAATCAAATGGAAAGTCTTCACTGGCTTGGTCTTATTGTATTCTAACTTCTTAACACAGTCATCTGAATCGTATGTCCATATATATTTACCATAAGAATCAACAGCCTTTATTGTATCCTTATTACGAACTATATTGATGATATCTCTACCAGTTGACGAAAACGTAACAATTTGGCCATCATTAAATGCATTGACAAAGAAATTATCTGTTCTGGAGGACAACCCACTAGCTTCATCGCCATCCAATTTACGTTTAACCCTTCCAGAGTTGGAATCTTTATTGTTATCATCACTATCGCAGCACCAACCGACGTATAGGATGTCTGAGGATTTTAAATCATGACTTTCATAATCCACGTGGTTCACAAGAGAACTGTTAACTTTGAAATTATTAGAAGAATCCAAAGGATATATATCAATAGAATTCTTTTGGGCTGTACCGGTATGGAAGGCGAACTGACCTGCACCCTGTGCAAAGATAGCTATTAAATTAGCGTCTACACTCATATCTGTTTTATGTTAATAAATCTCAGATATTTCGATTTAGCAATAAGTAAAACTTCCAAATAATGCTCCAAAGATATCTCAACTGGCTACTAATAAGTACTTATTCGAAAATATATATTTAATATACTTATGCTTCTATAACGATATTCTTTCTAACGTCCTCTTCTTCATAGTATAAAGGACTAGCAAACCAAAGATGAAAACTTTTTCATTTTTGCGATGAGCTAAAAAAATTGAAAAAGCTAAAATATTTCAGATGTAGAAAGGTTACCCTCACATTAAGTTATAATGTAAAAGCGGTATTGGTTTTACACGATGACCAGGTTTATCTAATGCAAATACGTCTTAGTTCACATATATATCGGTATACATACATATATCTATATATATAGTTCTATTAGTGTATGATCATATACTATCATCTCTCTCATTTTGACTTAATTCCCCAATAAATGAGCTAGGGAAGCCTGATCTTCGTTGGAGACGTTGGCAAAAGCAGCTTGATACATTGCACTGTTTGAAGTAGGAAATTCATTCATTGATGTCTTGAAGACGGTATTGATATTTATGTCGTCCAAAATGGATTTTGTTAGAGGGTCTTCCTCCAGATCATCGAAAGTTTCATCGTCATCAAATGTTAGCCCGTCTGCGAAATTACCACCACCGTTATCCTTCTTCATCATTTCTAGATAATTCTCAAATGTGCGTTCATCCACAGTAGAATTATCGTCGTCATCATCGTCATTCAACTCAATTGCATCACTCCAAGGTGTTTGCACATCATTGCCAAATGCAGAAGACGTAAATTCTTTCCTTTTATCTATTAGTTCCAACTCTGCTTGAGGATATTTGAACATTAAATGAACAAGAGAGTTCCCTAAAGAGGGTAGAACCTGTTCAATTGACATTTGTGAAATTTCTTGTGGTGGTAGTTGACCAATTAAATTTAATAGAGCCATAATAGAAAGTTTAATGTCGTATATCCTCTTGAAGTTTGGGATGTATACTGTTAACCATACGTCAAAGAATAATGGTAAGCAGCCATGGTTATATACGAATTTTATGGACTCTACTGGTGCAGATACCATACTGGCAATTATAGCATTGAAAGTTGTCACTCCAAATACAATATGTTTCTTTAAGTCAGTCTTATTAATAAGGATGCAAGTAATAGCGTTCTGAAGAATAGATTCTCTTATCGTAGCAGAGATTTGTGGCCCAAGTGATAATAATAGTTTTTGACCGTAATCAAAGATTGTATTGATCTCATCAAAATCAGAATCTTCATCAATGTTAGTATTATTATAAACTTCATATAATATCTTGCAATAAAAATCATTCTTTTGTAATTCTGCACTTCCATAAACAAATATATTATTGAAAATTAGCATAAAATCTTCGAGGAAGTATGTAACCATGCTATCCTCCTTACTATTGCATTGTCCAATTAACTCCAATATTTTCCAAGTGACTGGGGTGATATCTCTCAGTAAAAATGTTGAGTTCTCGTAGAACTCACAAACTTCACGATAAAAATCATCCAGTTGATTATTCAAAATAAACTCAGCTGCAGAATAGAATGATTGCTCTAAACTTTTAACAATGTCGACCGAATTTTCAAAAGAAAGTAAAAGAGAAATAATAGTAGATAAGATACCTAACGCAGCCATTTGTTTATCACTCTCATCGGGAAGATTTTCACCATTCATGTAATTAGAAGGATCAATGTTGGATGCATCGTTCAAATCGATCGCTAATTTTAAAAACTGTTGAATCAGATTATTAACTAATTCGACACCAAATGGTTGTAATTGCTCAGCAAACTGTTCAACGAATTCTTGCATAACACCAGCAATTGAATCAGATTCAAATTGGTTGGATAGCTCTAGTAATTTTTGCATAATAGGAACAACTGATTCTGACATCGCTTGTTGGAAATATGTGTCCTGTACAAACGTCTGTAGTGCCAGTGCAGCCGATAAATTTATTGGTAAACAGTCCGAAGTGTCATTTAGACATTTAGTGATACCACGATATATTGTTTCGATGGTAGATGGATCCTTAAATTCTATTAATCCTAGTTTAGAGACTATCTCGCATACTCTACTTTGTAGAAATCCGAATTGAGAATTAAAGAATGGGAAAATAAAAGTTTTAGCAAAACCTTCAATTTCGTTGGAATATGGTGAACCTTTTAAAGTTAGTCTATCCAATATATTAGAAAATATTCTGAAGGCAGCTTCGATATTAACAGCATTCTGTAAAGTGAGAGAATTAAAATCTCCACAATTCGCTTGTAACGTCTCAATGAAAAATTCCATTGTTGGTTGGATTGTAGTCTTACCTCTCTTGTTTACTGCTGTGGTCAACAATGAAATAGCAGCAATATCTGGAGAATAATCATCATTCCAAAGTTCTAAGTTTCTATGAATATATTCCTGAGGGTCACTTTCAAATTCATCCAGCGTTTCTTCTGTTGGACGTAACAGAGGGAATATCACATGTTGTAATATAGTGGAATAGTGCGGAGTTATTAGCTTCCAAGGGTCCTTTTGAGTAACAGCCTGCTCTAGAAAAGATAATACGTAATATAACGATTCATCACTCAGCCAAATGGAACCTCTTCCCCACTCTTCAATCTGTTGGAATAATAGAGTCAGTAGTTGAGGTAGAAATTCGTCCATATAAAGAGCTTTGAAATCAGAGTAGTCAAATCTTCCAGATAAGGTCTGAGAAGCATAACGGTAGAATAATCTAAATAGGTTTGCATAGGACCATTTCTTGCATTTGACCCAAGGATTTTGTTTCCTTTGATCAATATCAATAATATTCATTATTGAATCCGACAGTGGTGCTTGTATGATAGATACAAAAAGATTTGCCCATGGAACAAAGAATTCTGCACGTTGTAAAGTGAAAGGTAGGTCATGGTACGTAACAAATTTGTAAATTTTCAATATTAGAATCAATAATTCACCAATTTTAGGGTCGGTCATGTTGGCACCTTCCTTTAGTAATGTATTGTTAGCATAAGCTAATAGGTCGGGAAAGTATTGCAAAATTAGTTTCTCAAGTTCTTGTCTATCATCATTTTCTTTATATCTAAATGTTCTAAATATCTCAGATAAGCATATTAATCCAACGTGTGCAACATTGATATCACTATTAGATAGGAGTTCCAATGATTTCGGTAAAAGGTCATTCCATTTACCCTTCGGATATTCCTCCAAAATAATAGTTTTCAAGGCTGGTCTTAGAACTCTAAGGCAATGAGGAGAATTGCTCGAGCATTGTAGCATTGTCTGGATAATCATATCTTGGACGACTGGTTTTTCATCGTTATCAACTCCACGGTTCAATAGTTCATTCTTGCTAGCTGAATACGCAGAGATAACCCATCCGTATACAATTTTATTTTTAAAGTAGAGTGATGCAGATAATTTAATGTTCTCTGGGATCTCATTAGAAGATATGATATCTAAGCATGCACCCAAAAATCCTGGTGCTTTACTGGTCTCTTTTAATTGTGTTTCCGCATGTGATCTGATGGTGGCATCATGGTCTAGTGTACTTGCAAAACATTGCAATAAACCGTTAGCATCCATTTCGAGAAATGTGTAATTATAGTGACGCTTTAATTATAAATCTAGTATTCAAGTAGTAATAAACTAAGGGAAATGCAACTTTGTATATCAGTATATATATCACTTGATGTATATCAATGTTTACTAGGTTCTAAAGTTATAGAAACAGACTCCAGAAACATCAAAATTTTTTCAGCTCATCGCAAAATAACATCACATTTGACGACATAATAAACAGGAATATAATATAAAATATGACGGATTCCAAAGAGATAATTGATCTCCATAACTAAAATTAACTAGAAGAGAACATCCTTTTCAAGTATTACCTATATTCCATAATTTATTACTTTAGTAAAGTTAATATATATACGGTTATAGCGCTATATATTGAATTCGGAAGAATTTATCATCGGACCGTATTAGACTCTGCTTATTCAAGAGACCAACCTGTAGTCAAATTGAATTTTTCCATATCTGTTTTATCCAAGACAGGGAATGGATGTGCTTCAGTATTGAATACAACCTCTCTAAGGTCAACGTTATCCTGAAAAAGTAAGTACAAGTATTTCAATGTTTCTGCAAGCCAGAAACTTTCCATGTTGTCTCTTTTTCCAGTAGGAACGTGTAGGCAATCATTCAGAGATGTATACGCTTCTACTCTACCGTTTTCTTTCACAGCAGTATGCTCGACAAAATTGTTTAAAATTTCTTGGCCCCATTCACGGTATGTTGTATCGTTAGATAAGTGGTACATGAACATGATGGATTCTACTGTTTCGGGTCTCTGTAGATTGTGTCCATCCAAAGGTTTCACAAAGAAGTCATCAGTTGGAGAAGTCCACCAGTTTTGACGATCAATCATTGTAATTTCTTCAAATTCAGTTCTTTGTTCCTTGGCGTAATTGAAAACAACAATCTCAGGTGAAAGGCCAGCAGGTAGTTGATGATACATTTGATAACATGTATGTGTCAACTTCATAGCTAGTAACCAATCATCCTCCCTATCTTCATTCCAGAAATACATAGCTCTTGCCTCTTTGATTGTGTAGCCTTCAGTAGCGCCCATTGCTAAGAGACCCCCCATGAAACATACTAGATGGTCCATCTTTGATGATGCTTGAAATTCTAGACCATTTGGTTTTTCAGCAATATAAGTCAGTCCTGATGGGAAAGATTCCTTTACTAAATGTTTTTTCATACCATCAATAGCAGCACGATATAAATTGTAGTACATAACCTCATGAGTTAACAAGTATTGTTTTAATAGATATTCGTAGAAAGAATCACCTCTAGAGCCAAATCTAATGTTTTCCCCCCAGAATTTTGCAGTATCTGGTAAGGTATAAATTGGTACTAAACCATCGTATTTATCTAAAATATCGTTAATTTTGTAAAGTGGTTCATAAACTTGTTCTGCAAGGTCCCAGTAAGTCTTGTTACCTGTAATTGATGCTAAATATTTGAATTCCAATTGTAAAGTGGTAAACTCTGCTGTAGAAGATGCTCCATTATCTACATGGTTTTTAATTGCTTCACCGGTCTTCAAGTTTACACTAGAATATGGAATACCAGTAGGGGAATTTACAAAAGCTAAGGATAGACGATTAGCTAAATCTATGGCTTTATTTAAGTAAACTTCAGGTTTGCCGACATTGAGATCTTTTGAAAGATAATATCCTGAGAGTAGCCCACCCAGCATTCTAATTGTTGTTTCGAAGATATTAACTTCTGCATCCATATCATAATCCAATTCATTTTCAACCCAATTTTCTACGAATTCAATTTGTTCTAAGAATTCTTTTTTATTTTCCTTATCGATTGTATAATTGTAACCTAGCATTAGTGTATCAATAGTATCAACAATTATCCAACCTAATGGTTCACCAGATCTGGGCATATTACGGTGATTGTGTGAGATTGGACCATAGACGTCGTATGGCCATCCATTCTTTTTATAGTCATTGAATGATTGTAAAAGAATTTTCTCTATTTTGAATGACACCGTTGTATTCTTGCTTTGAAAGTAATAGAACACTGCCAATACAGCAATCCCTACTGATATAATCACAGGATTCAGCATTATGATTTGCTATTTATGAATATTTTATTCCTTCGTTCACGCAGAGATCTGAATTCAAAAACAACACTCTATTGTTATTATTATTTTGTTACCTCCGCAGCGATTGATAGAGAATAAGTAAGTGAAACTTCAACTAAGTCTTCTATCTTGAAATATAATGTGACACCTCAATTTAAAGGCAAACCCTCTATCAGGATTCTCCCATTTATTCAATTTGAAGTATAATTATTTTTCAGAATAATTAAGAAATTATACATATTACGCTATTATTATTATCGCGGCCTGTGAAAGCAACTGACGGAACGAAATTACAAGTAATATAATAATAAAATTTTCCATATATTTCATCGATGAGATGAGATGAGATGAGCTAATCTCTTTTTTCTACGAAAAGGATAAGTTTTATTTTATGTTTATATCATTGGGCTACTGAGGAAACTTACCATGAACATTGTTGACCAATTGTATGCTAGACGACCTGTAGAGGCTTTAGTTTTTGATTCTGAGGCCTCATTCGAGACTTTGAGAGATCAGTTACTAGAGATTAAAAAAATCAATGCATACTATGTTAAGAAAGTTTTGAAACGCATCATTGATTTGAGTCTATATGCAGATGATACGGACTGGATTTATGATGAATATGTGACATTATTGAATGTGACCGATAAGGATCAATATTCCCGAATTGATTCTATACGATATTTCTTTAAAAGGAGGAAGAATAATTCAGATACACAATATGAATATGATGACAATGCAAATGAAAAAATATCTGTTGATATTTATGAGAAACCGAATCTAATTAGTGCTAGTGGTACTACAGGGTTTAGAACGTGGGAAGCTTCTTTGTTTCTATGTGAATATATCTTACAGAATGAAGCTTTATTTAAGGATCAAAATGTATTAGAATTAGGTTGTGGAACGGGTATTTGTAGTATATTATTACAAAAGGTTCAATCTCCTAAAAGAATATATGTGACAGATGGTGATAGTGAATTGGTCACTAATCAATTGGTACGTAATTTCGAATTGAATAAGATATCTAGGAATAACAATTCGAATATAATATTACAACGATTATGGTGGAATGAGGACAAAATTCCTAACGATATAGACATTGTCATTGGTGCTGATATTACATTTGATGCAAGTTTATTTGATTCCTTATGTCAATGTTTGTTAGAATGCCTCACATATTGTCCGATATGTTTAATATCGGCAACTATTAGGAATCAAGACACTACTGATAGCTTCATTTCCACTACAAAAAAACTTGGGATGAACATTGAAGAAATTGCCAGAACTGATAAACTAGAAAGTACGGCATTACTAGCACCTGTTGTAATATACAAGATAAGTAAAACAAATAGATAAATACAAATAAAATTACAAATGAAATTTAAAAAGAAAATGTTGACACTCTCTGACACCCATGTATCATATCATATCTTAACGATACACATTCCACATGGGTTCTTATATGAGTGGCTAAAGTTGGGTTAATATATCCCATCACTTATCACGATGAATAGTTGCATTGAATATTTATAAAAATGGCAACCCACGTACTGTCTATAGTGAGGGAAACTTTTGGACAAAGTTACCCTCTTTAAAAACTGAACTCCAAGAAAACTCAAGTTGGAAAACTAATGAGAATGAATTTAGTGTTTTGAAAATGTGAGAGCCCTCATCCTTTTTATACTCCTCAATTTTTTTTGCTTTGGCGTTGATTTTTTTTGGTTTTTTTTTGTACGATTCAGAGGAGGAAACAGAGCGACTGGATAAAAGTTAGGGCTTTGGCAATTCTTTTAGTCGATTCTATTCTTGAGCGCTTAAGGGAAGGGTTTCTTGATATTAATAAAGTTGCCGCCATATATCTTATTGAATGGTACTCCTAATTTCTGGAATGGTAAGTGGTTAAACGTATTAACCACTTGCTTTAGGTTTGAAGAGAATTACCACCTCCTCCCACCCCAAAATAAAAATGAAGTACCCTATGCAAATAAGTTCTATCGGGCAGAAGTATAGCTCATTCCATTACTTAGATAAAAAAGGGTGTTTATAAAGGGTTATGTTCGATACATCAGGAAGGTTATATCCGTTACAATCTCGCTCATTTGTGTCTGAGCTGAGAGAGAGATATTGTAGAGTACACTCTATGACATATCCTACAATATAGCATGATGTTGCTGGTTCTTTGTCTGGTTTTAAAAGTCATTGTTTTATATTCTCTTTAAGTGCCATTAGTTGTCATTCTTTTCAGATATTTTTATACCTGGGCGGTTAGCTGAAATACTCATGGGAAGCCCTATATTAGGTTTACTACTACTATGACCGCAAGATGTTTTCCTTAGCTTCACTCAAATGCTAACAACTGCACGTAGGTCACTCCGTGTTGACCACCTCTTCGCACTTTTCTTTCCTCCCACTCAGGGAAAAATGTTGAAAAGAATATTTCACCCCCAATTCTTGTCAGGTGGAAAGAAAGAACATTGCGGTGAAAGAAAATACGCAGCTTGCTAGTCTATCAATATTCACAACTGGATTGTGTTTTTTATTCATCTATTTGATGTTGTTTCATTAGGAAAAAAATAAATTATGATAGTTAAACAACAATTTACCACGGAAAAAAAAAAGATGGACGCAGAGATAATGGTAGCTTCTTAATCTAGCAGGACACATTTTTTTACAGCGATTTAAAATTATTACTGATGCTGGTTTCCGCTCCTACGTTATTATTGTTAATCTGGTTGGACCTCTTCACAATATACGTATTCGATTCAAAAAACAAAATGAATTCTTTGTTATGTATGTTTGAAATTTCGACTGCCTGCCTTACTTAGTTAAACTTCTGTGCAGACAGGTTTTTCTTCGAAATTTGTACTATATTGGAAGTTACATGCACACTCAATCTTTGGTTATTTACTATTTGGTAATTCATTTGGATTTTTTGTACTTCGACCAAACACCGTAGCTGCATTGTTCCTATACCCTTTATTTCAATTATTTCCTGAAGAGAAGATTCTTTACGATGTCTAAAATTACTTTTTAGGCTTATTGCTCGCCTTTTTATCTTCCTGTCTGCCTATTTCCTCCGGTCACTTTTCAGTGATACTTAAGGATAATTTTTCTTCCGTTGTTGACTGCGGTGTTGTTCACACTTACTGTTGCATTAAAGTACTTAAGTAGTGCTTCCCCTATCAACATTAAAAAAGATATTGTTAATTACTCGGCATTCAATTAACTAACGTCTCCTAGCTGTCTAAGAACGTTAATTTTTGTTTTTAACTCTCTTCCCCCCCCTCTTACTTAGTATCTCCTTCCTAAACTAATAAAGAAAAGAAAATATTACAGTAAACAGACCTTCAATGGTAAATTCTCTTCTGTCATAATTTCAAGTTACCATTATTTAAAAAGGAAAAGGAGTGGAAATAATTCACAGACATTGACTTATAAACAATTATTTCTTTTATTTTTCTTCTTTTTTTTTTCTTATTTTATCTTTTTAAAGAGATTTGGTTTATGCTTTTATAATAGCAGATCAACAATTCAATATATTATCATTCAAGAACTATAGCAAAATAAAATAAAAATATATTCCAACTTTTATTTAATATCACTTCTGGAAACTATAGTAATTGCAACCAATAAACAACAGAATAGATAAGTCACTTGGTTTCAGAATCCTTCCCTACTTTAGGATTATCTTTTTTTTTCAAAAAATTCAAAATTATTGCATCTTCTTTCCCTTCAAGAAATTGATTCCTTTGTTGATTTGTTTTTGAAGTAATCAATACACCTCCATTCCCTCTGCCCGATTTAAAAGATGTATCAATCTTTTGAACCAATTCCTAAGAAGTCGAGGGTTATTAAAACTGACAAGCCAAGACCATTTTTATGCCCTGTTTGTACTAGAGGATTCGTTAGACAGGAACATTTGAAAAGACATCAAAGATCACACACAAGAGAAAGACCTTTCTTATGTATATTATGTGGTAGATGTTTTGCCAGAAAGGATCTGGTGATTAGACATCAACAGAAATTACATTCTGCATTCACCCAAGATAATAATTTTGATAAGATTATTGTTAATGTAGTAGGTAATACCCAAACCATCCTACCCACCTCAGGGAAATCTACAATTAATGGCGAAAATATAATATCTCAAACTCCTGCAGAAGTAATAGGAGATCAAAAAATCCCATCAATTCATGTCCAGGATACACTTCCACTACAAGAACCAACATTTATGCCAAACGAATTTCAAACTCCTGAACAAACAATTGATCCACAAAATATAGAACATTATTTCCCGCAAAAGAGAAGTTTTATGGAGGTATCTTCCACTAATCATTGGTTAGATCCTAATGTTGCTACAACTGCCCCAGCTTCAAAAAGACATGCATCATTTTCTGCTAGCACGGCATTTTCTTATGCTCCTAATGCAGGATCAAAAACAATCGAACCAATAAGCTTTAAACCCACTGTTTCAGAGGAGGGACCAATTCAAGTTAGCTTCTCAACACCCCAGTTCACAGGTGAACAAGTTGTAAATAAAGCAATTGAGGCAGGTTTGCTTGAGTTGGATCCTTTAGAATTGCCACCTAGTGCATCATCTGAACAATCTAAAGACTTGACTATAAATAACTCAGAATTTAACATGATCAGAAAATCACAATCCGAATCTATCAAGGATATTAATGCAATGTTTAGTAATAGTAGTGCGTTTTTGGCTAGTTTACCTTCTTTAGCGGACTTGGTTACGATCTCATCTACCAGTGGTGGTAATAATGGGTTTTCTAAAAACTTTTCGAAGGTGAACGTAAACCCATTTGATTACACAACAGAATTGTTGAATACTCAAAGTACAATGAGTACGAATACAGCCAACTCTCTATCTTCGACAGGAACAAATTATCTTAGTGAGATTGGGACAGACCCATGGTTGTCAGAATTTTTAGACCCAAAATATTTTCCAACAGACGCACAATTGAACCATATTGGGTTTATCGACAACAATTCTACGCCAAGTCCAAATGCTGAAAGAAGAGATTCATTAAGTGATCAAATTTTAGGTTTATTTACGTCCAGACAAATGGATCTTCATAACGGTACTAACGATTCATCTACTGGTAGTGATGAGGGGGACATTAAGGAAGAGCCCTTAACAATTAATTTTTCACATTCGTCTAGTTCGGAAACTTCAAATGTAAAGCCAATTATCCATCAGAATTCAAAACATTTCGAATTTTTCACTGAATCCCTAAGACAATATGTGATTACAGATAATGAACTGAATCAAACCAGTTTCCCATCCGTTAAAGAACTAAATGGTTACATTAAAATGTATGATGATCAATTTACGGAATATTATCCATTTGTCCATTTGTGTTCTATCGTCCCATCTGAAGAAAACTACCCCTTACTATTGTCCCTCGCAATGATTGGTGCGTTGTATACATTCCATTCGAGTCACTCCAAATTAATGTCGATGATCTGTAATGTACAAGTAAAGAAATACTTATTCAGAAATGAAATCCAAACTCCATTGTGGTTAATACAAACATTGGTTTTGTTGAGTTTTTATAATATTTTCAATAACAACATTCATATGACGAAACAAATGACTGCACAACTTACAACTTTATTGAATTTAATTCGTTCAAACAAGCTCAATTTGCCCTTGGAATTAAGCATGCAGCCACCAGTTCCTAATGATCAATATATGAAATTCGAAAATAATCCAGATGAAATAAAGTTAATGTATGATCGTTTAAGTTCTCCAGAACAGTCGAAAAAGAATTTTGATTATTTTATCTTAGCCCAACAACGAATTAGAATATGTCATATGGTACATTTATTGACCACCCTATATGGTGCTATGATTGGTGTTCAATATTCCCTTCATTCTATCGATCTTAAATGTGGTGTTCCAACTATTCATGAAGAATTGTATGAGTGTGCAAATTATCAAGAATGGGCTAACATGTTGCAGTATAAGTTAAAAATTAGGATTGACTCCAAATTTTCATTAATACAGTTATCTAACGGTGGTGAATTTTATCAATCATATTTAATGTATCTGTCCAACGGCTATAATGGTAGCATGAAGTTATCCCAGAAACCTGTTTCCAAATTGACCCTACTATCATTGATTATTTCGATCCATGAAAAGATATCTTTTGAGAGAAAATACGCGAAGGATAGAAATATGGATTGGAAGGTTAATTCTAGACCAATTATTGATTCCATGATCAAGCATTGGGAAGTTTTATACTTAAAGAGTGGGGGTACCTTAATCATGAATGATGCTGCATTACCCATCATAGATAATGATTCTATGTCGAGACTCATTGTTCCAATGTACTTTTTTATAAAAACAAGACGTTGTGTTGATTTCTCACAGATTGTAGGTAAAGTATGGATAAAGGACTGGTCTTCCATGAATAAACTTTTAGAAAATGTTGCTCAAGATTGGACCCATTTCCGTGAAGCAACAGAAGCTGCGTTGACTATGATAGAATCATGGATTAATATTGTAGCCTCGATTTATACCATTCCAAATGAAAAGAAGAAAAAATACGGTTACAAAACTCCAGTTTTCACAGTTACTTGCATTTTCACGTCTGTCTTAATGATCTCTGAATATTTAAAACATATTGAAGAATGGGCATCTCGCCAAAAAGACGATATACACATTTCTGAACTTTCAAAGATAGATAAATTACTCTATTTCAAGGCAGCCAATATCATGAAGAAGATTCAGGACGTGCTTCTCCCAAAAGACCATGACCAAATTAAGTCATCCTATGTTGAATTTTTGAAGTTACAAGCATCAGCATATGATCACTTAGATGGGTTATGGGATACCCCACCAACAATAGAAACTGATAGAATGGAGACTTTAACATTAATTCAAAAATTAAACCTTTCATCTAAAGCATTATATCTAGGTGTAAAAATATTAAGTGATGCACCTATTTGGCCAATTTCTCTTTTATTCGCTCATGCATTCCAAAGTAGAGCATTGTACAATGTGAGTAATGGTTCAATAGATGTTTAAAGGCAGCATTTTTCCACCTATATAGGTATCATTATTTAGAAAGCATTATTTAGAAAGCATTATTTATCTCATATATCATTTGTATAATTAAATAAAATAAGTATGAAATGCATCTATCAATTAAGTACAGATAGAGTGTTCTCTCAATATCTCTTATGTCTTGTAGGCATCGATTTAGCACAAGTTAGCGTTTACTAGTACCTTATTTCTTGTTTGTCTTTTGGTTAATTAAATTATTTTTGACCAGAAAATAGTTAAATATTATGACAGAAATTATGTGGGATCAATATATCTCGAATGTATTATGAAGTACGTTATAGTATGAAACAAATATTACGTAACAATCGTTTAACCAATAATCGTGTAGAGAATCTGAGATAGAGCTTCCCCCTCTAGTAGTCTCTGCAATTTTTAATTGTTTTAACTCGGACATTTTATAATACGATAATCGATCGGTCTCCTTTATTGTATATATTTTTACGTATCGTAGAATATTTGATATTCTTTATATATTATATTAAGAGTTTCCTTTTGAGCTGAAGCAGACATAGTGTGGTTAGACTTATATTCGTTCATTATTAAAGGTGTTAGGTATAGAGGTGAATGGTGTAGCTTAAGTTTTAATGTTAGGTAAGCAAAATATAATTGTTATATTTCTCTTATATTTGTAAGTGATTATTTGTATTGTATATAATTTATAGAACGAATAGAATCTAACTCAGAATGTAAGTTCAGAATTCTTTGTTTTTATATATATTTTTATTCCAATATCAATTGAGGTTCGAATTATGTTTTGTTTCATAATACGATTAACTTTGTTTCATAATGCCACATATTTTGTTTCATAATGCCACATATTTTGTTTCATTTTTTAACATGCTTCGTAATATATTTGAGATATCTCAATTTCACATAATTTCCGTCACCTTTTATATCATTTTCTTTAAAGATTTTATTTCCTCAATCACACCTTTCATCTCTGTTTAGTTTAACTCTTATCAATTTTTGACTCTTACCAATAACTGTGCTTAAAGGTTTTTCTTTACCTATTGAAATTAAGTGTGGTGTATATTACTCTTAACTTCTGACAAATCGTTTAGGAAACAATCGTTTAGGTAATAAGAAGAAACGAAACTTCGATAAAATAAATGATATATAAAGACAAAGAATTCTGAACTTACATTCTAAGTTAGATTCTGTTCGTTCTATAAATTATATACAATATAAATAATCACTTACAAATATAAGAGAAAGATAACAATTATATTTTGCTTACCTAACATTAAAACTTAAGCTACACCATTCACCTCTATACCTAACAACTTTAATAATGAACGAATATAAGTCTAACCACAGTATGTCTGCTTCAGCTCACTTACAAATATAAGAAAAGTATAACAATTATATTTGCTTTATTTTAAACACTAGTATTCAGTCTATACCTAGTCCTCTCTACCTAACACTGCAAATAATGAACGAATCAAGATCTAACTCTATTATGTCTGCTTCAGTACTGTTGAATATGTAGCGGCAGCACTAAAAAGGCTAACATTAGCTTAACCTAACTGAAAGTGAAGGTAGCTAATATAAGTAGAATTTAGAGTGTGCTGCACTGTCGTATATATAATAACACATGATATATACTGCATAATGTAGTATTCGTTCCCCCTACATTGGGTTTATTGGAGCTACATAGTCCAACGTTACTATGCACAAAAGATGAGCTGTTTAACAACAGCATGTTGACGTAGATTGGCAAGAGAGTAGATCCTAATAGAATTAGGATTGGGAACGATTGTCATTTCTATAAAGATTGCTTGTATAATTTCTATTCGTTAATCCATTACATAAAGTAGTATACAAGCTAATCCTATAAATATATAGATAGATACCCAGATATATCTCGAGGAGATAATATCTCTTTAATAAATGAAGTAATGTACAATGGGCATCTCATCGCAGGAAAAGTTTTCTTGAAGCGCATCGCGCGTTATCGGAAAAATATCTTCTAATAGTTTTTCCGATATTATAATATACATGTCACGTGATAATTAGTGACCACGTGATCCTTTTAGAACAGTTGCTATAGAACATACTTGTATGTTCTATCTGTTCATGAATTGTTACCATAATAAGTATCGCTACTTAATATTCCCACAACACAGCAACTCTGTTTAACAATAACATGTCTATCTCCCTGCCACAAAATATAATAAGCAAATCAAAATTTAACTCTACTATGTATACCTCAACTCTCTTGCCAATCTGTATTCACGTTAGACAGGTTAAGCTAGTGGTTACGTCCAAAAATGATGATAATTAACTTTTGCATAAGGTTCATCCTTAATTCAACTTATATCAATAAAAGAAGAAGCGGTGGCTCAATGGTAGAGCTTTCGACTCCAGTTAGATCCTGGAACTTCCAAGGAAATCAATGATTGCAATCGAAGGGTTGCAGGTTCAATTCCTGTCCGTTTCATCTTTATTTTTTTAGAACTATTTTTATAGGTTCCGGGTAAGTTTTGAAATCAGATGATTTCAAATTAAGTAAGCTGTCATCCCTAAAAGTTTCAATAAGTATTTGACCAATAAAGGTCATGATTAAGAATAAATTTTTCTTTAATATCACTAATTCACCATAGAAAACACTATTCATAATGGCTCAACCAACGAATACAAACATACCACAAGATACAGTAGAGACGGAGAGTACGTTATTATTAGCACGTGAAACGATACCCTATACTCCATCGCCACGTCCTATGAGTGGTAGATCCCAATCAACACCAGATTTATTCGATTCACTGAATTCAATTGGTCGTAGAGCTAGAAGTAGTACTGTGTCTAGTGTTGTTAGTACAAGTATCGAGATAGTGCAAGGACATTTAGATAAAAGGAAATTTATGTTTTTGTTAGCTATTAGTTTATTCATTTATTTAGCTTTTCTTGCAGCATTTGCTCCACGTACATCATTGGCAAGAGATTTTAGGAGATGGCATAACTCGAAATTGACTACATCTGAGGTCTACCGAATATTCTTAGATACATTACAGGAGGATAACTTCATTCACCACCATATGAAGAGTTATACAGAAATTGACAATGGTGCTGAAAGTCTTAATTATACTATGGGAGAAATGAAAATTCTTGGCTTTGAACCAAAGATCGAAACCTATTATCCATGGGTTACTTCACCGGAAGCCACTGATGTGCAACTAATAAAAGATGGAAAATATGTATTTAATGCATCATTGATAGAGGATTTCCCGTCTAAGCAAATTGAATCAGCCAAATTTAAGAAGGGATATCATGCTTATTCACCAAATGGTGAGGTAAAAAGTTCATATATATATTGTAATTATGGAACTCTAAACGATTATAAGACTCTCCTTGATCATAATATTCCGATAGAAGGTAAGATTCATATTTTAAGAGATGGTCTCATATCAACAGGCATGAAACTTAAAAATGCAGAATTATATGGAGCATCAAGTGCATTAATATATAATGATCCATATGACGATGGATTAGTTACAAAGAAGAATGGATTTAAGACATTTCCCGAGGGGCCTGCGAGAAATCCGAGCAGTATTAAGAGAGATTCAGTTGAGTATATGTTTGATTTCCCCGGTGACCCCACATCTCCAAACTTCCCTTCTAAATCTAAAGATATAGAAAGACTTTCACCAGCAGGAAAAATCCCTAGGATACCTTCTATACCGATATCTGCAAAGGAAATAAGACCGATTCTTCTTGAACTTAATGGAAAGGGTATTAAATTGGGAAATGGTGATATTGAAGGGTTTGATTATTTTTGTGGTCCATCTGACGATAAGGTACAAATAAATTTGCTTAACAAGCAGACACATTTTATTTCTGAGATAAATGACATCATTTTGGAAATACCAGGTATATTTTCAAGTGGAGATATAATCATTGCAAGTCATAGAGATTCATGGGTATACCCTGGTGGTGCTGCAAATCCAAGCAGTGGCAGCGCAATACTTCTAGAAATTGCGCGGGGGCTAAGTAAGTTGAGATCCAAGGGTTGGATACCTCTTCGAACGATAAAACTTGTAAGCTGGGATGGTGAATCTGCGGCAAAGATAGGATCCACAGAGTTTATCGAAGATTATGCTTCAGACTTGAAAAATAATGCATTGGCATATATTGACCTTGATAATGCTATTTCTGGGACAGAATTCCATTGTGCGGCTAATAAACTCATGGAGAACGCAATTATCATAGCTGCTAAGTCAACGAGCTTTAAAGGGAATGAAGAATGGACCTTATATGAAGAATGGAAAAATGAAACAGGTTCGAAGTATAAACAACTTTGTGATGATCCACCGTCATCCATTTTTCAAAGTCATTTAGGAATTAGTTCAGCGTCTTTCAAGTTTCGGAATAATATGAAAACAGATGCGATAAACCATGCAAATTCCTTCTTTGATTCCCACGAATGGATGGAACATTTTGTTGATCCGGATTTCAGGTTACATGGTACGCTTGCTTCCTTTTCAGGATTATTGACGCTAATGTTAGGTGAAAAAGAGTTGCATTTTTTTAGTATTCATCCTTATATGAAACAAGTCCACAAAAGAACGGTTGAATTGAATAGATTGATTAACGATATTTTCCCGCATGATAATGAGTTACATCATCTATCACAAACGGTTGAGGCTCGTCTTGGACTACTCGCCTGGCAAGATAGTGTTATTTTTGATAAAAAAGTTGAGAAACTTTATCAGGAATCTTTTACAGATATGCCAATTTGGTTTGGATTTAAAAAACTCAAATTATTTATATCTTTACAGAGAATGAATAAAAAATTGAGAAGTTTCGATAAATTGTTTGTAACCCACCTGGGATTAGATGACAGAGAATGGATGAAGCATTCTCTTCTTGCGCCCAATAAATATGATGGACTTACAGGGGATATCCTTCCTGGTGTCCATGAAGCGTTAGTGGATATGGATCGATCAAGAGTTTCCAAAGAATTGAATATCCTCCTGGAACAATTTGAGAACGTAAGAAAACTTCTTGCATGAGTACATTTTAATTATATATTATATATTCCAAACATATTAATCATTGAAAAGAAATAGTGGTAATTTTTATAAGATGTGCAACTTAAACTGATCAGTTTTTCCTAAAATTAATTGTTTTATGAAATAAAGTGAGTCAGATGGAGTGTCATTTTGGTACTATATCATATATATTCAACTGCACTTCTTAGTATAAAGAAAGTGGAACTCAAAGAACTTGTACTATGGATTGTTTTATTCACATGAATAATTCATAATACCTTAAGATATAATGTGACACAAGTGTATGTAACACAAAATAGTTGTAATTTTGGTATTAACCTAACATCACTTCTAAATTAGATTATCACTATTGTTTTTTTGTTTATTGTTTTGGTGTTCGTGGGGCATTTTCAAACTTGTTGAAAAAAGATTAAAAAAAAGATTATCTAAAAAATGTGGAATAAATAAAAATTTGTAATAACCTGTTATGATAAGAATAAAACGATAAACTACTAGGCAGCAAAACATGAAATTTTACCTGAAGCTCTGCCATCCGTTCATAATTAGATCGTTTATAATATATCAGTCCCATTGAATTAACGAAAGAATAATAGCAATTGAGAAGAAATAAATAATAAATAAGACGTTGCAAACTTCATACAAATAACCATAGCGTATTTGCATATTATGGTGAGTCATTAATCATGAATATTTTACATAAAATTGTGTCCCTATACATTTTGTAAATTATAGGATATGGGCATATCTATGGTTAGCTGTTGGATATTTTTATTAGTTATGGTGAGTTTGCTTAACCTCTGCATCTTGCCTCCTGTTATGAATCATGTGGCTCTTAACTAACTGTCCCGTTGCCAAGGCTGCACATAATGATAGCTCTGCCGCCATGACTGAGCACGCAACAATCTTAGCCAACAACCTAGCATTTTCACCTGGATTTTCCTGGTTGGGGCCACGAACACCCAATAGATCTAACATGGCACTTTGGGGTCCAAGGATTGTTCCACCACCAATTGTTCCAACCTCTATCGAAGGCATCGATACAGATATTTTCAAATTACCATCAACTTCATTCATTAACGTCAAGCAGTTCGAACTTTCGACATTTTGTGCTGGGTCTTGACCTACTGCTATAAAAATTGCAGTCAATGTATTAGCTGCATGTGCATTAAACCCCCCAACAGAACCAGCCATTGCAGACCCAATAAGGTTCTTACATATATTGAGTTCAGCAAGTGTTGCAGGATCACATTTAAGAACTTTTGAGACAACATCACCAGGAATAATTGCCTCAGCATAAACACTTTTCCCTCTCCCTTCTATCCAATTTATTGCAGCAGGTTTCTTATCAGTACAATAATTACCAGATAATGATATAACCTCCATATCTTCAAACCCATACTCCTCTATCATCATTGATAAAGAATTTTCCACACCTTTAGATATCATATTCATCCCCATCGCATCCCCGGTAGTAGTCATAAACCTGATGAATAACAAATCGCCTGCTAATGCGGTTTTAGTATGTTGCAACCTCGCAAAACGAGATGTCGAGTTGAAGGCCTTTATTATCTTTTCCTGTCCTTCTGGAGAATCCAGCCATAATTTACAGGCACCTGATCTTAATAGTGAAGGGAAACGTACACAAGGTCCTCTAGTCATGCCGTCTCTTGTGAGAATAGTATTCGCCCCACCACCGGCATTTATTGCCTTACACCCCCGAGTAGCAGACGCTACAAGACATCCTTCTGTTGTTGCCATAGGGATATGATATGACTTACCATCGATGAGTAGCGGCCCCATTACCCCTAGGGGTAAAGGCATATAACCAACTACATTTTCACAACAGGAACCAAATACACGATCATAATCGTAATCTTGATAGGGTACATTTGATGTATTCAAGGAAGGTGACTTTGCCAACGCAGATATTGCTTCTCGACGTATCTTAACGGCTCTTAGTCGGTCATCTAATGCTTTCTCTAAAGAATAAAGAGGTAGTTTCTTTGCTATAACCATATTAGCGATTTCAGTGTTTCGTAAATCTTTTAGCTTACCTTCGTTCATCAACTTGACACAACTATCTAATGTTCTTGCTGCTGGAGACAAAGATTCGCTCTCGCTACTTGTACTACTTTCATCTTCACTTATGGTGAGGGAAAACGTCTTTGGACTTGAGGTTTTTGTAAAATCTGATGAATGTAATGATCGTGTAAGAGATAATGGATTATTATTAATAGTATCCAATTTAGCCCCCTTTCTGTTTCTAATCAACTGTGAAATGGTGGCATCAGAATGAATTTTTGCAACTCTTAACAAGTAAACATTTGTTGTAATACTTATTAGGCAAATAATAAATATAACTTTACTAATAAATTTATCAGAAATAGCAAATCCCAGAGTTTTAAATATTAAAATTGTTATATTTTCGGAATTAGTTTGTTCTTTCAATGACTGATAATAGAATGTTGGGAGGACCGATATTATAATGTCTCTATTTGGAATTGGTAAATGGTTACTATGACTTGAAAGTAAAATTTCTGGTAAAACAGTTGGACGGAAACTTAAAAGAACAGATTTAACGGTATTAAAAGTCCACCTTAAATTAATATTATATATGTTAATACCGACTAATAAAAAAATAATTGATAATTTACCTATGCGTATCATTGCGTTTGATTTAAAAAAGGAAAGTTTCTGTAGACCAATCTTTTCATCAATTGCATCCGATTCAATGGTTACATTGCATTCTTCTTCCAATGTTTGTCTGATCATAGTAGATCTGTTAATAATTTTTATCTCCAACTTTAAGCATAATATTGATGAATAAAAAGTTGCTGTTAGGAGGAGATCATAAAATAAAATAAATATTAGTAATACTAAACAATTAACCATTTGGGTAGAGTTTTTAAATGATAAAATAGCGAAAACAGCTAAAATAGATAGACCAAGATAAAATCTGATTAATTGTGAAGAGACATCAACAAACGCATCATGAATTATCTTATCTACTGTAATTCTCCTGGATATATTTAAAGTACCATATCTCTTGATAACATAATCACTAAATTTTATCTTATCTCTAAAACCTACAATTACGAAAAAGAATGGCAATGTTTGGAATAGTACTAGAGTTGTTGTTGGTCTTTTCATAATATACAACATCGTGAAGGAAGCGAGAAAGAAAGCACATGCAGAATTTATGAGTGTGGTTAAGGATAACCAAAACCGTGATCCTTTCTTCTTCATTTGTCGAAACAAGTCCAGTACTGTTCCAAAGACCATGGTATAAGAGACCAGTAGTAAAGTGATGTCAGTTTGTTCCAAATTATTTTGTATGGTGATACTGTGTAAAAATGTTAATATATGATTCTTTAATTGTCGTAGATAATTCTTTGTAGCCCCCATCTCCCAGACAAGTTCATTGTTAATGCCCAAATATTCGTCAGGTTGAAAAAGAGAATCTGTTAGAATACATGCACTAGAGTTTGTCTCTGAAATAATGCCAGAGAGTTGGGGAGTCGTTTCTATTGTTGTCTTATCTTGGAATGTGTAATTGTACACGTAATAATGTTTCAAATTTGAATAAGTTTCCAGTTCCGAATAGCTTAATCCTTTCCAATCGTTCAACTTGTTAGAATGGTAGTAGTGTGTAGAATCTTTCAATAAGCCAATTTGATCAAAATCGATAGGATCTACGGTATTTTTAAATATAACCTCCCATTCTTTGAAATAATAATGCATCACAGACAAATATGCGATGGATGAAACCAACAACGACATCATTACAACTTCTATTGGGTGTCTCGCGGACAATCTTGCTAGATATGCCAACGGATTAACCGCCTGGTTATATGCAGTTAGAGTTGTCATTATACTTTAGTGGATCTGCCAAGCAACAAAATAAACAAAGGTTGTAACAAATGTTTAGCTCTAGAGAATCATCTAACTCGAACACTACTCTCCCAAATGGTAATAAGTACGAGTACTGACCTATAGGGGAAACAATTACTCTAGTTATCCAGATATGTTCTCAAGTTCCTTCAAGTTATATCTCCAATGCTGGACTTTCGGCGGCTTTTTTTCCTTCTCCAACTTTGCCTTCGAAAGTGACTCCTCTTTGTTCTTTCGTTCTCCCACGCGGTGAATAAAAGAAATTAATCCTGCTGAACTACAAATTGTAGTGGCATCGCCTGATTTTCGAACAACATTTAAACGGTATATATCAAATATAGTATTGAGATTCAAGTCCACCAAACCATCAACTGTATCCTGTTGAAGCTTCTACTGTAAAAAATTGTAAAATTGCTAGTTTTCTTTACGTATATTTTATATAAGAATAATGGCTAGATATGAAATTAATCGTCTTCAAAACTGAGAAAAAACTCCAACCTGAGAAAGTTAATAACGAATATCAAAGGTCAGTAGAACAGCAGTAGCTATTCTTTTCTTTTTCCAAGAAAATCTAATAGGTCTGATATAATCTCTGGACCTTCTTATTTCATAGAGACAAGCTTAACATCGAAAGTCAATTCAGAGTTAGCTGGAATACCAGGTAGAGCTTGTTTACCGTAAGCGTATGGAGCTGGGATGACGATTCTACGTTCACCACCAACAGCCATGCCAGCAACACCAATGTCCCAGCCCTTGATGACTTCACCTTGACCCAACTTGAAAGCAAATGGCTTACCGCTTGTGTTTTTGTCAAAGACTTTACCGTTCTTTAACTTTCCGATATATCTCATACCAATTCTGGAACCTTTCTTAGCTAGTTGACCTTTACCACTGATACGGTCTTCAACGACGATACCACCAGCTAGAGTCTTAGCCTTTGGCTTTGCTTCTTCTTTCTTCTTGGTTGGACCTTCTTCTAAGTCCTTCTTGAATTCGACCTTCTTGGACTTCTTAGCCTTCTTAGTTAGCTTTTCTTCTTCTTCTTCAGATTCTTTTTCTTCTTCAGCCTCTTGCTTTCTCTTATTTTGCTTCTTGTTCTTCTTTTGTTTTTCTTCAGCAACTAATTCTTCAATACGACCTTCGATATCGCTAGCATCTTCCAAGTCATCTAGTTCATCACTTAACTGTTCGTCATCTAGATCTTCAATTTCTTCATCTTCATCATTAATTAGATCTTCTAAGTTGTCCTCATCGTCGTAGTCTTCTTCATCTTCTTCATCAGAATCTAGACCTTCGATAGGAGTGTCAAATGGATGCTTGATGTAGTTACCAGACAAAGAGACTGTGTAGGAACCAGTAACAACAAATTGGATATCTTCTTCTGGAGCAATAGTGATATCCAAAGATTGTTGGAAACCAGTTTCTGGAGATAGAGTAACCAGGACACATTCTTCAAACTCATCGTCAATTTCTTCTTCTTCACCTTCTTCACCTTCTTCATCTTCATGATCATGGTCGTGCTTGTGATCATGCTTCTTACCCTTCTTAGACTTTGGCTTTTCTTCTTCTTCTTCTTCTTCTTCTTCTTCTTCTTCTTCGTCATCATCGTAGTCATACAAGTCATAATCTGGGTTTCTCTTGATCATTCTCAAAGTGGATGGCTTCTTTTCATCATCAAAAGCTTCTGGGTCAATAGCAGCCATAGTCAAATGGATAGTGACTGGCATGTCTAGACCAATAGCTGGAGTTGGGTCATATGGTTCCACATTGATACTGTAAGTGGCTAGGGGTAGCATATCGGCCATTTTGGATTATATTATTTGATTGTTTTAATTCGACAGAACGTTGTAGTTACAAAACTGTAATTTCTGAAAATAGAAATTCTAAACTTTCAAACAACTACACAAAAGAAATGTGCATAATATATATTATATTGTATTTATACTTAAAGTAGAAGCTCATCTCTTTTTTCTTTTTAAATTAATGAAAACGAAAAATTTTCAGGCCCCAAATTTTCAGAATTTCACATCGTGGGGCCGCACAGAAAATGATAGACCCCCTCTCTCCTTCCAAAACGGTAAAGAAAAAGAAAAGGGTATTACAAGTAACTACTGGATAGAATAAAACAAGATGATTGATTAGATTATTCACTACAAACAGCAAGATATAAATCAATTTGAAATTTTTTTAAATTGAATTTTAAAATAGATAACCACATATATACCCACATATATATATATGTTATTTAATCCAAAGAAATATTTTTTCTGGTATCGGATAAAATGTTTTGCTTAAGAATACCTTTGCATTTAAAAACACACGTATGTGTGCCTTTACAAAATAGTTGCTGTTGAAGTATATCAATTTCAATTGCACATGTAACTCGACAAATGAGAGACAAGATTAGTCTTATTAAAAGACAAAAAGAAATAAAATATGTGAATATCATCAGATATAGTACATAATATCCTTAACCTTATTACTAACCGGAGGTAATAATTTGGCCCCTGGAATAACGTCGTCTTTATTCTTTCTGACCTTAGAAAATTCAAAGTTCGCAAGGGCAAAGTTAGCTTTGAAGAATTGTGCACTACGGTCACATAATAAATCGGCGTAATAGACGGGACTTGCAACCTTGATACTGGTGCTAGATCTACCAAAAATATAACATAAACTGTGCGTAACTTGTTGTAAGTAATCAGATGAATATTGATTTTCATCGTAAATACACCAGTAATGACATGGAACACCAGTACCTTCCAAAGCTTGTTGAGATTGTAAGAAGAAATCAAAATGAGCAGATGATGTAACACCACGGTCAACAACAGTACCAGCCATAACGTTACCCATGGTTTGAACGGCAGCAACGTCACCCTTTTCATTCAAAGCGTTTTGTTGTAATGGCATGAATCTGATATGGTTTCTCTTAACGACAGCTAGCACGGTCATTGGAGGATTATATGGAGCACCTTTATTCAAAGAGGTACCAACCTTTTTAACGGCTTCCTTCAAATTCTTTACTTCGATGTTCACCAAGTGAGTGAATTGACCTTCAGAAACACCATCTCTGTAGAATAAGATCTTTGGAGGTAACTTACCATTGTTATGTTTTTGGTATAGAACCAATCTATCTCTCAACAAACTACCAATACCAGCAATCATTTCTTCACCTGGTTCATTTTGTAACAAGTAGTCACCCGGGAATTGAGCAAATTTATCATCGAAGGATGCAACCAAAGCAGCAATGGAGTTCTGATCTTCTTCTGGATAATGTGTAACATCAGCGCCTAGGATCATGAATGGTAGACCAGTGATTTCATCGATTAATAGAGTAGCATCTTCTTTACTCAAAGAATGGTTAATACCTTCCATCTTTAGGTTCATCTTCATAACAACATTGACATTATATTGTGTAGAGTTCTTCTTGAATTTATTCCAAACAACACAGGAGTTAATGACACCATATTTCAAGTCAGACAAGTACTTCAATCTGTTGTATACATCAGAGTTACTACCACGGTTCAAAACATAAACAATGTAAGTATTTTCTGGGACTTTTTGTAATAAGTGGTCAAGAGCTTCTTCACCTGGAGACAATTCAAAGATAGCTTCACCACGACCACCGAAACCACCACGACCACCACGACCACGACCACGACCACCACGGCCACCACGACCTCCACCACGACTACCACCACCGACAAACTTCTTTTGTGGAGCACCAAAGTCGTTAATTAAAATCGGATCAGCGGAGACGTCGAATTTGACACCAACAGATTCAACATCCTTGGCGAATTTGGTCAAAGATTTCTTTAATTCTTCCATGACAGACACTGGTGGAGTTCTGTCAGAGTCATTGACAAACACAGCTCTCAAGTTAACAGTCTTTTCTGGTGAATTAATAAATTTGTGACCGATCAAATCCCAGTTACCCTTTGTTTCTTCGTTTCTATTCTTACCATTGACTGCCTTAGCACCAAAAGGTTTATCAGTATATTCCACCGTAGAACTCTTGAATTGTACAACAGGAGCATCGATAACACGAGACGGAACTCTTAGGAAAGAGTAACTAGTGTCATGAGGAGCCTTAGCTCTTTCTTCTTCAGTAGTTAAAGCATCTCTGATAGATGGTAAGGCCAAGTTGGTGATAGCCTTGAATTTATCGACTGGTCTCAAAGCAGTGAAGTTGATAACAGCGACTTCATCTCTAACTTGGCCCTTCAATTTTTGACCTGGAATGATCGATAGACATTCGGCCGGTACAACATTTCTACCACCGAGACTGACTAATTTAACATCTGGATATTGCAGCTTGATTTTGTATTTTTTTTCGAAGTAACTGTTAGTGTTGATCATAATTTCCTTTTCATCATCTTTTGGGGCTGTGTTGTTGATAGCACTTGGAAAAGCTCTGAACTTCAAAGAGTTGGCAGTTTCTCTAACGAAACCAACAATACCCTTTGGCTTAATCATCTTAGATGGTTCCTTTGACTTACCATCAGCATCGACACTGTAGTTGATGTAAGGTCTGTTAACCTTTAGACCCTTCAATAATTCCTTGATATCTCTGTTCTTGTCAATGAAGAAGTTGATATCATTGGAGGTGACCTTACCAGTAAACTTTTGACCTCTAGATTCTTTATCTTGAATGTAACATTCGATGATCCAATCTAATAAAGAATATTTAGTCTTAGAATTTTCATTGAACTTAGCATCATTTGGTAAATATTTAGTATGCTTGTAGAATGGTAAACAAACGTTAACAATGTTCAGTAAAACAGCACCATAAGTGTATCTTAAAGAAACAGTGAAACCATGCATCAAATATGCACCCATTTGGAAAGGAGTAGTGATAGCATGCTTATTGAAAATAAAAAATTTGTTACCTTGTAATTGGAAAATTGGATCCTTAGTTTGCAAGAATTTAACACCTAATAAAGATAATAATACTGTCTTTTCTGGAGCAGACATCTTAGCTTCTTGGAATTCTGGGTCTCTATTTAGAGTCCCTTTGTAAATATCGGACAAATTAACCTTTGAAACAAACTTTAGAATGATTTGAGAAGTCAATTCAGTTAAATTATAGACATCACTTTGAGAAGGAGCAATCTTAATCTTGTTCTTTTGTTTGTTGCTAACATCCCAACAACCTTTGAATAATGTGAATTCTTCTAATGGAACATGAGAGTATAACGTTTCTTCACCGTTGAAAGCAATACGATCCTTATATTTGAATAAAGTTTCATCTTCATGGAATAAAGCGTCGATCAATTCAAACTTTTTTGGTTTAGAAAGTGGTGCTGGAGGAGGAGGTTTACGTGGACCTTTACTTTCAGGAGCAACTGGAGTAATGAAATCAATATGGTAAGCGTAAATAAAAGCAGACTTCCACCATGGATCGGTTTCAGCTTGCTGACTGTTAGTGACGTCATCACCGCGAGCCAAAAGGATATGGTTAGTAAGGACATCAACTTTAGTACCTTTAGTACCATAATCTACTCTACCATGTAGTTTTAAACCGTCTTTAACTTCTATTTGTTTCCCCCCCGTTGGAGCATTATGAGATTCATCGAAAGTTTCTCTTGGGATTTCAATGTTGTTAATAGCTTCTGGGATTTCTTCTGGAGAGTTAACTGCACCATTAGAAGCAGCTGGTGCGTTAGTTTTTTTTCTTTCTTGTTTAGTTTTAGTCTTCTTTGGTTTTTCTTCAGGGACAGGAGTAGTAGGATCAACAGAAGATTCCTTTGTTTTCTTTTCTTTCTTAGCCTTCGATTTTTTTGGTTTAGTTTCACCTTCTTCCAAGGTAGCAGGAGTATTATCGGAACTAGAGGATTTCGTAGTATCCTTCTTTGATTTAGATTTCTTCTTTTTCTCTTTAGTTTCACCTTCTACAGCAGTAGTGGAATCATCTTTCTTACTCTTTTTTTTTGATTTAGTCTTTTTTGGTTTATCTTCACCTTTGGCATCTGGAGTAGCAAGGCCACTATCAGTAGAACCTTCCTCATTTGAACTTTTTGGTTTTTTAGATTTTTTCTTTTTCTTCTTTTCACTATCTTCAGAAGAAGTAGTCTTTGAAGATTTTTTCGAAGATTTTTCTTTACTTTTTATATTTGTAGAATCATCAGTTACTTGAGTGACTTTTGGTTCATTGTTAGATTCAGACATAATGTAAATATATCTTTCTCCAAATTAAAAAAAACTAAAAGTACTGATGATATGTGTATATGTTTATTGGTCGAGAGTTTTAATCTTTGTTGTCTTTTTAGCTACTATTTATCTTTTTATGATAATTCCTTTTTCATTTAGTTGATTATAGTTGTGGGAGATATAATCTGAAAATGTATGTATGTGAGTGTGTCTATGTGAGTTTTTTTATCAAGAAGGAACAATAGAGAGTAATAACTTAAAGACGAGGGAAAAAAATTAAAAAAATATTAAAATTAATTATATATATATATATAGCTCAATATAGTTAAATATTTCGATAATACCAAGGAAATCAATACGTTTGTACACCTACCGATCTTGAGAAAGTGAGACTACTCAAAAAGGCATAATATGTATCTTGGTATCTAGATATCTCTTTATCTTGATGAATTCCATCTGACTGTCTAAAATCTCCAATAAAATATTAAAATCAACCAATGAAACGAATAGCGCAAAGTGAGGAGATCAGAATGTTGAATTTTAATAACTGCCACTGTCACGGCGGGTAATCTTTGTTGGAATCGTTTCTTTGTCTGTTTTTTGGTTCTTTTTTTGCAGGTCTGAGTTTTGGGTGCTTCATTTCGAAGTAATAAATTTTGGAGAAAGAGGGGAAGAGAGGGGCGGGGGTTGGGCGGCTAGAGGAAAGGGCAAATGGATGATGGGGAGGGAGGGTAGGGTTTGCTTCGCACCAAGGGAAGGATGTCGATATTCAAGTCCGCAAAGTTAGGGCTAAGTGGGAGCGCCGTGTAGATGTATCACTCCCTTCCCATTGCTTAATATAGGATGGAGATGCTACCTATATAGAGGGAGACAAGAATATGGTAGCGTGTGGTGCTAGTATTATTGCTATGTATTTTTATATATAGTTCCATATTCGCTTAGAGTGAGGAATACGGCTAGTAATTGTGATAATATCTCCAATATCTAGCCGTATTAGGGCGGGGGTTTCAGTGCTCGCCGCAATGTAAAACTTGTGTATTTGGTTTTATCCCTGTCGACAAGAACTAATGCAATATATATATACACAACAATCTAATGTCACCTGACCCTTTACTTTATCTCTCTCGTATATCCGTTGTTTTTTATGACATTAATAGAGAAAGGGTTTCACGTGATTGACCGGAGTGTGGGGCGGGGGAGGGGAAGTGTTTGGATACTACGTACGTAACGATCTCTAACTGACTGCCAACTGACTGTCGCCCACTCTATAATAAGGACAAGGACAAATATATAGTCGCCAGTAATACTCAATACAAGCCTAATATTGGCGAATGGGGAAGAGCGATAGTCTTTAATGACAAAAACAATATCCATATCCTCTCAATAACTGATACTTCCCTGCTGATAGTCATTATCACTAATACTATATACGATATAATATTATATACTATAACAAGAATAAGAGCATATAATTCTCTTATTCTTCAACTTTTTTTTTTATAATTTTTTCTTATTTTCTTATACGTCACCTATAACGTAGAAAACATATATAGGTAATAATGAGCTATAGAATTTAATATAAATATATAGACTGTATCGTTATACCAGGTGCCTAAAGTTCGAAATGATGGTGGGGGTGTGGAGTTTTTATTCTTGCACTAATATTTGTAAATGATTATTATTATTATTTTTTGTTTTTGTATTGTATTATTGTTCTGATTTATTATGTCTGTGTTTGATTTTTAAAAAACATGCAAAGATGGAACAATTTAGAACTTTAACATATGTGGCTTTTCACCATTCTTCAAGGAGAAAGAAGTAGCCAAGTATTGCTTTAGTAAAGAAGTTTTCTTGATTTCAGCTAATAGAGCCTTGTCGACATTCTTTTGATCTTCAATTCTTTCAGTTTTAATTTCCTTGGAAGTGTTTTCTGGGAACATTTGAGCTTCTTTCTTTTCCTTCTTGGTTAACTTAGCATCTCTAGCAAAGTATTCAACATTGAATTTGTCAACATTAACAGAGTCGACAGCAACCTTAGTAGAAGTGGCAATGACATAACGAGCATTAACTCTTCTCAATGGAACACCATTGACCTTGAATGGACCAGAGATCAACAAAGTGTTGTCTTCTAGGTGCTTCAAGTAAACAACTCTCTTACCTCTGAAACGACCAGCTAATAGGATCAAAACAGTACCTGGAACTAAAGAAGCACGTAATTTTTGTGGACGGATAGCCTTTCTAGTCTTCTTTTGGGCAGAAACATCTTCAGATGGGAACCACTTTGGAACAGCTTGAGCACTCATTTCTTCTTATATATATATTTGTTGTGTTTAGGTGTTTGATATCTTTAGAAATAAATATAGTTATCTATAAATATGACTATTTCTATTTAATTAATTACAAGAGATGTATATTTTTCATAAGTTTCACAAACTTTACACTAAACTAAGTCAATACTATTTGGTGCACCTTAGTGGTGAAAAGTTCCACTAACTCTACCATCCTTGGTGGAATAATAACTATTGGTACATAGCGTATATTCTCTCCATAACTCTAACAATTCTCTGGAGACAGCGCAGTTGTTAGCGTCAAAGTGTGAATAAACTGATTGCAAGTAAAGTGCACCAATTCCATATCAATATCGAAAAACTTACTAACTAAAGTTTCAATCATTAATTTCACTCTCCGAGGAATTGCTCGCGTCGCGTTTTTGGAAAACTGAAATTTATCCCAAAAAATCAAGAAGTTGACAAAATATATTTTATTTAGGAAAAATAATTAATAAATGTAAGGATGTAGAATGGGGTATGGGTGTCATGGAGCAGTCTCAAACGTATCCAAAGAAATTCAAATTTAAATTGAATATCACCTTAAACGAGCAATTGTGTATAATATGTTTTTTTTTTGCAGCCATCTTGTCCCTTCTACAGCTTCTGTTGCTGTCTCTTGTTTTTCCTAAATTGACTGCAGCAATAGTAGCAGCACTTCCTATAATGCTTTAAAGATGTATATAATGGAGCATAATTTATACTCATCAACCAATCAAGAAACCTTTCAAATATTCTACATATCTGTCGTTGCACATCACTATTTGATTAAGTTTACAAGGCTATAACACTTCAACCGGCTCTTATCCTTTTTGTTCTTATTATTCGATAGCTTTAGATTAGTTTCAGACCTTAGCAAAACATTAACTTACTTCTGACAATTAATCATGGAAGGTGTTTTTTTCAATATTGATAACGGTTACATCGAAGGTGTTATTCGTGGTTACAGAAATGGGTTTTTAACCTCAAACCAATACTTAAACCTAACACAATGTGATACTTTAGAAGATTTAAAATTACAACTTTCTTCTACTGATTATGGTAATTTCTTATCAAGTATCCCAGCTGAAGGATTAACCACCAGTGTTATTCAAGAACATTGTTCAGATAAATTATTCAATGAATTCAATTATATTCGTAACCAACTAAGTGGGAAGAGTGTCAAATTTATGGATTATATCACTTTTGGTTATATGATCGATAACGTTGTACTAATGATTACAGGTACAATTCACGCTAGAGACAAAGGTGAAATCCTAAGTCGTTGCCATCCTTTAGGTTGGTTCGATACTTTACCTACTTTAAGTGTCGCAACAGACTTGGAATCCCTATACGATACAGTGCTTGTCGATACACCTTTAGCACCATTTTTTAAGGATTGTTTCGATAACGCCGATGAATTGGATGATCTTAACATTGAAATTATAAGGAATAAATTATACAAGGCTTACTTGGAAGATTTTGCCACTTTTGTCTCTGAAGAGATCGAAGAACCATCAAAGGAGATTATGTTGGAATTGTTAGGCTTCGAAGCTGATAGAAGAAGTATCAATGTTTCCTTGAACTCTTTACAAAGTGATGATATTAGTGACGATCTTAAGAGATCTTTGCTACCAAACCTAGGTAAGTGTTTCCCAGTGGTCACTGGTATGCTATCAAAGGCTCATGACTTTGAAAGTGTAAGAGCCGCTCTCGGTAATGTCTACGAATATCGTTCACTATTAGAAAATGGTAATCTTGAAGATCAATTTTATCAATTAGAAATGGAATTATGTAGAGATGCTTTCACACAACAATTTAGTATTAGTACAGTTTGGGCTTGGATGAAATCAAAGGAACAAGAAATTAGAAATATTACATGGATTGCTGAATGTATTGCTCAGAACCAAAGAGAAAGAATAAACAACTACACATCTGTCTATTAGTTTCAGAAGGAACAATAATTACTATACACTACTACTTCATTCAGCGTTCGCTCTACTTTTAAATGGAATTTAAATAAGTAAACAAACTACTAAATAAAAAATCATTATGTCATCATTAAAGCAAATACTTATACAGGTACATAGAATAACATCTAACTAAGGAACTTACCAACAAAAAAATAAAATAAAATAAAATAATATAATATAATAATTGATAAACATATTATTAATGCAAATCAAAAATATAAATTCTTTATGTTTTGTTGTATTCTTTCTATAGTAGTGTAGAAATTGCAGCACCGAATAAACTACTATCCTGTAGTAGAATTAGATTGATTCTTCCATTCGATACCTTTTCTATTTGGTCCTGATAATATTTTGAATAAGCCAATGTCGAACCAACATAACCGATACTAATCTTATGATATTGGCTCACCTCATGTTCACTAACTAACGAGTCTATCTCAAGAAGTGCCGCTACTAAATAAATGGATGCTCTCTGAACTATTATTTTGGCCACTCTTGATAAAGGCAACAAATGTAGAGGTGTGATGGTTCCATATTTATTTTGCAATTGAGAAGTTAACTCCTTCAAATCAAAATTATCCTGAATGTTTGCTAGTTTCCCAAAAATTGCACCATCTATTACTTTATCTAAGTTTACCATTCCAGCCAACGTAGGTTCCAAAGTAGGGTATTTCTTAAGAATATTTATTAGAATTGAAGGAATATATCTACCAGAAGAGATATATTCCAAGGGCATTGGTTTAGAATACTCAGGTGGATGATAATCAAATTCCGTCAATGTAATGCAACTTTCTCCTAAAAACCCCATCTCGGTGTTTATAACCACTGTGGTGTCATCTTCAAATGGTGCATTATTTTTGGCCTTCATTAACTCAACACGTTTAAATTCCGGTAATCTTTTGAATGGAAGTTCAAAACTAGCATTTGTACCAGTACCTAAAATAAAAGATATAGAGTTACCATGTGAGTTAGCAAGTGTACTAGATGAAGATGCAGGGATGGAAGGGTATGAATCTGTAAAAAACGTGACAGTCGGAAATTGTTTTATATAAGTGTTAGTTAAATGTACTGCAATAGAGTCATTTATAATCAAATTATCCTTAATGGTAAAGGCAAATGTGTCTTTAATACTATTTTGAGAGCAAACTTTATTGAAGGTCGTTTGAAGGAATGTTAAAAAATTAATATTTTTAATTTCATCACTTAAGATATAACCTTTACCCATTGAAGTAATTTCAAATTTTGAGTTCAATGGAAAACTGAAAGTAATCGAAACAGGGATGTTCAGTATCTTATTATCGATAAGATCGTTATCATAAAAAAAATCAAAAAATTTATCTTTCATTTCATCGATCATAATTTGAATAATATTTTCAAAGAAAGAAGAATTGACGTCCCTTTCTACGATATCCAAAGTATGCAAATAATCTATACATAATGTTGGATACGTCTTAATCACAGCAATTTTTAATGTAGTGCCACCAAAATCAATGGCTAGAATTTTATTATGATTGTAGGGGTGTAATAAGTCGTTGTTATCCTTGTATAATCTTAAAATATTTAAACTAGAAGGTAACATCGAATCTGAAGACTTATTCAACATCTGTAATAACTCCTTTCTAAAATCCTGAGATATGAATTTGAATTGTTGTTTTGGCAACAAAGCCGTCCTAATTTCTTTTAGAACAATATCATTAGAAGAAACTTTTTGTTTTACTTCTGTAGTCGTGGTCATTATCTACAGTAAATATTATTTTAATTGCTTGATTAATTGTAAACCGAATAGATAACAAAATATTAAATGGTAAAATAACATAAAGAAAAAAAAAAAATCGATACAAAAGCACAATTGAAGAAGCCACTTATATATACATATATATATATAAATAAAACTGGATATCGTCTTGTATAAAAAGTAACCTTTTTATTTTTCACTTTTTACCTCTTACCTTTTTATTTTTAATTATTTTTCATAAACAAGCAATGAGTAGACAAAGAACTCTTAAGCACAACTTTTTTATATATTATTCACAACGTATATTCAGTTCACCTTTTTTAAATAGCAAATTCGTTCCCTGTTATTAACCTGTCAGTCTCCGCTATTTTCATTTGTTCATATAATTTCATCAAAAACATGAAACCAAAACAAAAAACTTCAATTTCCACTTTTTACTTTTTGACAGATTTGCGGTTTCTAATAATGCCTGTATTGCCCCGCAATTCAAAATCCCCCCTCCCCCGCGCAGATCATAACAAATGACAAAAGTTCATCAATTTTAAACTTTTATTACCTTTTTTAAAGGACTTGGGCATATTATTTAGTTTACAAAACATCTCAGCAAAAGTAATTGAGGTAAATGATGTTGATGACTCATGTATGAATTTTATTGATATTATTTACTCTGACTTCCTTCTTCTTGTTTACTCTAGTACATCCCAACCTCTTTGTAAATTGATCATTCCTTTTCTAAACGACCCACTGAGTCTGCTATCTCCTTGACCGTGCTATCTAGTTGTTGCTGGCGATAGGATAGGTATTTTTCCTTTTGTTTCATCCATTCCTCGTGATTATTAATGATTTTGAGACCCCGATGTGCATCAAAGGAGAACCCAGCTTCTTGCCAGTAACCTAGTTTCTTGTTCACATTTTCTAATTCTTTAAAAATGGTATCAATTTGTTTAGAATATTCTTCTATCATTTTTGAAGATATTTCATAAATTGCGTTCCAGTCAAAGTTATAAATTATTTCTTCAGAAGGGAGCTCAGTGGAAGATTCATTATCCTTTGAAGTAGAAGCGTCCTTTATCAACAATAACATCTCCTTGATACCCTTTACCACGACTTCCTCATTCATAATAGACTCTATCCCATTGGAAAAATCCTGATTTTTTAACCATTTACTCGAAGCGTATTCAGATAAGGGTCTTAGGAGTTCGGTTGCATTTTTATTACTAACTGTAACATTAGAATCAGACGCTTCGAGAAGTTCCTGGTCACTCATCTTTTCAAACAGAATACGTTATCACTTCCGAAATGTATATAAATTTCAATTACAATCTAAGCTCTCTCTCTAACTCTATTTTAAAATTTGCACAAACTAAATCCATTGTTTATGTAAGGGTTCCATTTTTCCTTCTTTTAACCGCCCATCAAATCTATAACAATTGCCGCCCAAAATACATTTTAAAATATGAAAACAAACAACACAGAAAAGATGTCTATAGGAATATAATTGCGTAAATTTGGGTTACTATGCTAATAAAAAATGCTGATATATATATATATATATAGAGAGAGAGATACACATATGAGTGAATGAATCTCTATTTGGTCTGATAATTGGCTATTCAAAACATCATCGTACTCGAAGGTACAATAGTTTGCTGTCTTAATGCATCACTATCTGTCGAGGACCTTAAGGTAATACTCTGCATCTCATATACTTCATCGAGATCGACATCACCGGAATAGCCATCAGGGTATTGAGTAGAATCATATCCTGCGTGATATCGACCACTGTATGTGTTAAAGTCATGAAGTTCGTCAAAATCAGAAAGATCTTCATCGTCACCATCCGATTCATAGCCAGTGTGATTATTATTTTGACTATGTGATACTCGTTTACCAAATCGCCTTGAATTTTGGAAAGCTTCCTTCAAATTACAGCTTCTCAAGAAATCTGCCTCTTTTTCATCCTCGTAACCATCCGTATCACATCCATCCATTCTATTTTCTTCGAGTTCACTCTGAGAGGCTTCATCTAACAATGCCCTACTATTAGTATTATCCATCATTGCTGCCCCTGCCCCATTCTCACTTAGAAATGTATCATCAACTACTGTACTATCTGACACACACCATTCTAAACCCGACCAGGCCATACATGAAACAGAAATGAAAAATACAACCATCCAAAGACAGGTGAAAAATGCCTCTCCTAACTTATATTCAAACCCAAAGGACATCAATTCTCCTCGAATTTTCTTTTGGAATGAATAATTTAGCCATACAAGATCCATTAAACTTACCAAACCCATCACAAATACACAAAACGATAGAAAAGTTATAACATGTAATAATGTCTTCTCACGTGCAGTGTTGATGTATCTTCCTTTAATCAAATAATACCAGAATGTCAATACAAATGCAATGATTTGGAAAAAAATGACTACCATAAATAAAGTCAAATATTGTCTTTTATTTAACTTCATCACCTGAATATAGCCCTCGTACGCAGTACCTACTGAAGATCCCGAACCATCTGTTTGTCCATATGCATAACTCAGGACAATATCTAAACCTAATGAGGTTAATATTTCTCTATAATCCAGAACATAATCAAACCCTTCCCAGAGACATTGCCGTATGGCCGTCGAGTTTTGTTGTGAATAAGATGTAGTACCTTTAGTTTTAGTGTTTTCATAAACGTACCAATCATCATTGTCGTCATCGGCAGTAGTATAATACGTAGAACAAGTCCCATACAATGAAATGGTAATATACTGTGGAACATTACTCACCTGGGCCGAACTGTACGCAGTTAATATATATAGTTCTGAAGTTGTCAAACCGACACCATTATTTATGGTACTAGATGCGCCTGACTCCATTGCATCACTCAACGCTTGGAAAATACCCTCTGTAATATCATGAGAGTATGAGTTTAACCTTGACATATATAATCTATCAGGTATTGTTAATGGACCTAGTACTAATGTTACAGAAAATGCTATACAGCACATCATTGAAAGAATCCTAACCCAGAAAATCCATCTCTCAAACACGGTCAGGTTTTTGTATGGCTGCAACAGACCATACTGGCCATCGAGAAGCATAATAAAGAATGGAATTATGTTTCAACAACTTAAATTTTGTTGGTACCGATTACCAAATGTTGTGCTTTTATATATGTAATTTCTTCTGTTGATCATTAAAATAACCCTGGCATTAGTACTATTTTTAACTTAAGCTCTTACTGTTCGGGTTAAGCTTCATGAAATGACTTCGGATTTATCTTCATTTTTTCTCTCCTGATGACGGAGGGAACGTAACGAATCAAAACGAAACCAAAACAAAGCAAAACAAAGCAAAACGTGTCGATGTTGAATAGATCATGAAATTTGATTGTTAAAAAAGGGAGAAATGTAGAATCATAAGTAGTGTGTTACATTTGGAACTGATCGCTTCAGAGTTAGAGGGTACATATATTTGATATCAATATCCAAACCAGGTCGTGGTGATTATATCATTAAAGTCCACACTTGACAGCAATTGTAACATTAAATAACGCGTCGCGATCTGAGTCTTTTGTATTCTTTCTTAGTAAGATACCCTCAACAACAAACATAAAAAATAAAGAATTATGGCTGCTAACTTGAAGGATATGGAAGGTTGGCAGATTGTCAATGTTGATGAGGATGGGAAAATTATCAACGAAAACAGGGCCAGACGTTCACGGACAGGAAATCGCATTAAGAGCACGTTTCTCCAAAGAATCTCTGATGGGTTAAGCTTTGGTGTAGGTGACAATATCATTACCCATGACAATGTTACAAAAACATATTCTGTTTATCTGGTCCATGAAATTAGACAAAATACAGTTAAATCACTGGTAGAAATTTGGGCCTTTTCATATCTTCGATGGTTTGAATTAAGTGGTATTAAGTATTTCTCACAATTCGATCCTAATATGGTTGAAAGGTTTCCTAATCCCAAGGAACTCAACCAACAACTGTTTCAAATTTTAGATCCTCACGAACTCTATCTAACCGCTGAAACAGTAGAGTTTGAATTATGTGACTTCATTGATGTGGCAAAAATTGTAACAGGGAAAGATTTCGAAAATGGAAAAGCCATAACTGACAAGGACTTCATTGTCAATTATATTTGCGAACCAACAGGTGAAAATTTTGTGAAGATAGATATTTTCCATGAGTTGAAACTTATTAAGCAATTTCCTAAAAAGCAAAGTGACGAACATTTAAAAAGATTATCTACACAGCGTCAGAGACCTGCTTCTAATCAGAGTCAACCTCAAAATAAGACATCATTGAAACAAATTCCTTCATTATCTAATAAAGAACCTATATTAACAGCAGTAACAGTAACCAATTCAACTGATAGCGATGATTCTAACGATGATCTTCCATTATCACACAAGCGCCGTCTTTGGATTCCAAAGTCACCCAATTTTTCGCAATCAACCCATTCTGATGACACAACTTCACAAAAAAATAACATTCCAAATAATTCTGCCAGTAACTCAAATGATTCTAATGTTGTTGTGTCAAAGATTCCCGAAAATGAAGAGGAAAAAGTTGATAATAACGATCGCAACAATGAACAAACACCATCACCATTACTAAACTTATGTGATACACCGGTATCTGATGTAAATATTAACACTATTTCTCAAGGTACAGCACAAAAAGAGGAGCCAGCTGATCAAATATTCCCGCTAAGTCAACATGAGAATAATACTAAAAAAAGTTATAACTTAGAACAAGAAAATATTTATAAAGAGAAGGTTCAAGAACAGAAAAATGATGAAATAAAGAAAAAACTATCACTCTTCGTGCAGGATAATGATTATGAGACTTCTATCGAGAGTTCTGCTGAGAGTTCTGCTGAGTCTGATGATGCATCTGCTCGAATAACTGAAATTACTTCTGAGATCCAGGACAGCTCTGATGCTGAAAACTCATTCCATGACGCACTTACAGAGTTGCCCTCACAACGTAAACATATAACTTCCAGACCATTGCAATCAGCTAATAATACCAAAAGAAAATTATCAGATGAATCGAATAATGACCGAGAAATAAACGATGGGCAACCTGAAAGGAAGAAAGCAATTTTTGATGTAACGCTTGCTAATGATGGAAAAGATAAAACTTTGAAGACTAAAAAGACAAATAGATTATCCACATTGACGAAGATCGATGAAACTGTGCAAAGTGATGGAGTGAAAGAAAAAAAAGGTTCAATAAGAAGCGTACTGATAAACCCATCTACTTTCAAATTGATAAAGACAAATTACGATAAAACCTTGGAACTAATAAACAATTTTCAAAATGTAAATATCTCAAATACTGAATTGCCTAATTCAGGAAGCTCTGATAGTAAAGGGTCGACTATAAGTCTCATTGGTACCTTGATAAAATATGATCCGAAAACTTCAACGAAAAACAATAAACAAACATTATATAGTCAGATCAAAAGCTCATCGAACAATCTTTCCATCGAATTAAAATTAAGATCTATCACAAGAAAGAAAGAAGGATTATCTGATGTTTGCAATGTATTTGTCGATGTTTATTACGATCTATTTCGCAGAATTAGGGCATGTTCTTCCTTGTTACTATTTTGCACCGCAAAAAAAGTTATTAGCGCTGAATATGTCTTACAAGAGGTTCTTTCAGAGTTATCATTATCATATATTATGAAAGAACTCCAGCCGTTCACTTGGACGCACATATATCCTATCGAAAATCCCACAATTGCATCCTTAGTTATACAAATATGGAAAAATATATCTGGTGAGCTTTTGCAGGCAAAGCAGGCTATTGGGGCTTTATTCCATTTCTGTAAAGATGTTCAAGTTATGAGAAAGAAATATATTATTGTATTCATACATAATTTCGAATCTATACTGAACACTCCAAATTACGTTCACATTATTGATCTCTTAATGAGGTTGGTTCAATTTCCAAATTCCAAATTGTGCATAGTTTGCATTAGCAATGAGAGCCCACAATTATTAAAGATGTTCACTGAGAGGCCAAATGATGAAACATGGAAGATAGTAAACTTCCCAACTTACCCAACAAACGCTATCAAAATGGTGATACATTCGATCCTATACAATAGGTTTTATGGAACATTTTTTGTTAAACAAGACTCAGCTTCGTCTAGTTGGTCAATTAGGAATCTTGATCCATTAATAACATCACCAACAGATTATACAACCGCTGTATCAGATGCCTCCAGAGATGGATATAGTTCAAAACATATATTGGTTTCTCCAGAGGATGCTCGTGACATTATCGCATTATTGGAATCTCACGCAACTCATTATGACGAAATTCTAGTTTACTGTAAAAAAGCAATATTTATGACAAAATGGACATATATTAAACAATTATCTAATAATAGAATAGAATTTACCGCCGATCCATTGCTAACTCTATCTGATGTCCACCGCATAGTTGATAAACCTATCCTAGAAACTGCTTTTGAAAGAGTTAATTCATTGCCTGCCATCAGTAAATTATTATTGATGTCGTCATTGTTAAATGAGAACGGAAACATTGCCAATGAAACTACTGTAATTCATTTCCCTAAATTAAAAGATCAAATGATAAAATACATGCATACACATAGCGATATGCTGTTTGTACAACAAGTTAAAGCTGCCCTATCACCAAATCCAAATAATTTAAATGAAATAATGGACTCTATAAATTGGCGCTTCATATTTGAGAAATTAATGAACTTAGGTTTAGTCAACTTTTCGATAAATCTTGAAAACGATGTAAATAGCATTTTCTTCATTAACCTTTTCAATAGACTTGAATTAGGAACATATTTGCTAACGTGCGGCTCTGCACCAAATTCAAATCCGAAAACTTCAAAACCGACCAACCTTAATTTATAATATTTATAAAGGAAAATTTATCAAGTCCTTTTATTATTATTTTAATACATATATTTGCATATAATCATTATCGATCATTAAATTCTCATTATTTTTTTTATCATATCTATATAATAATCCCTTATGACCCATTTAAATGCGTATTACCAAATTCTTTATATATCAATAAAGGATCTCCAATATCACTAATTTCAGAAATCGTCAATCTTAGATTAAATATTTTGGCTATTATGATTTTGAATAATATTTGTATGTTAATTGAATATGCAGAGGAGGAAAATATAACAGGAGAATCCATTATTTGTGCGTATTTGAGACAAGTCCGTGAGATTTCTTCTTGATAATCTTGATCCAGCTCAATAAACAAATCATATTTGGTGCCGACAAGAATTGGGATAGCATTTTTATTTAAACCAAATGCTTGTCTATACCATTCTCGAACCGATTTCAGTGTCTCTGGTCTTGTTAAATCAAACAATAAAAGAATACAATATGAATCCATTGTGGCTAAAGGGAGCATATTAATAAATTCACGTTGTCCACCTAAATCCATTAAAGATAATGTTATATCTGTTGATCTAAGTCGTATTCTTTTCTTTAAAAAATTGACCCCTAACGTTTGTGTGTATTCTTTGTTGTATATGTCCTGCACATACTTAACCATTAATGAAGTTTTACCTACTTGTGCATCTCCGATTATACCTATTTGTAGTTGTATTTCCTCTCTGGGATTAACCTTATTTTTATCAGAGCTCATAATGTGGTCGATAACAATATCTCCTCAGTAGATTAAACTTAGGTTATGTGTTTAAGACCTCTTTTTGTCTTCTAAAGGGTTGTAGTACGCAGAGTAATTTAATATATAAACATATATATATATGCGTGTGCCTCGTCAGACTAATAACTCCAAAACGACAACAAGAAAAATAATAAAGAATTACTCCCTTCTATTTGCTAAAATAAATAATAACACAGTTCTCAATATGGTATAAACATTATGTACCTATAAGATCAATCTTGTCCAAACCCGTTTCAATATTTTATATCTTGTTTATTTCTTTATTATGATCTATTTCAACCCTTTCCAACTACCATATTTGCAATGTATGTAGCAGAACGCCATTTGTTGCTGTTGACGAGAAAATGAGGAAATTTCAAAATTGTTTCAGGACTGCAACAACAAATGAACATCTGTACATCCAGGACTGAAACACCCATGCATCTTCAAAACTTATTGAAAAAATAATAAATTCAAAACGTTTCCAGTTTGTTCCCGAAAAAAAACAATTTCAGTAATTTTTGTTGGAAATTTTTCAGCTCAGAAATTTTCAGTTCGCTAGAGGATTTTCTCTTTGTTCTATATGCCGGAGTAGTATTGGTTTGGCAAGAGAGGCAAGAACTCAATAGGGATATCCACAGATATAGACGCATGGACGCAACTTCGGACACCAATTCTCTTTTGGAAAACCTTCCAACTTCCAAGTAAGAGCAATGTTCGCCAGTTGTACAGAGATGTAATGGATAATGGAGGTCTGACCGACTGTCATTACTACGAACTCATCAAATCGAATCGATTCAATATTATACGCACACACACAAACTCTCTCTATCTATCTGTAAATTTCATTTCAATAATGTGTATATCTGTTAGTATAAGGTGTAACCGTCTACTTGAACTTATACTACAAAAGAGAGAATTTTTATTCTTATCATAAGATACAGGAAGAACGTTAAGTTAAAAGACAGATAAACACAATTAATCATGGCTGTTGGTAAGAACAAGAGACTATCCAAGGGTAAGAAAGGTCTAAAGAAGAAGGTCGTTGATCCATTCACCAGAAAGGACTGGTTCGATCTAAAAGCTCCATCTACTTTCGAGAACAGAAACGTTGGTAAGACCTTAGTCAACAAGTCTACTGGTCTAAAGAACGCTGCTGACTCTCTAAAAGGTAGAGTTGTCGAAGTCTGTCTAGCTGACCTACAAGGTTCTGAAGACCACTCCTTCAGAAAGGTTAAGTTGAGAGTTGACGAAGTTCAAGGTAAGAACCTATTGACCAACTTCCACGGTATGGACTTCACCACCGACAAATTGAGATCTATGGTTAGAAAATGGCAAACTTTGATTGAAGCCAATGTCACCGTTAAGACCTCTGATGACTACGTTATCAGAATCTTCGCCATTGCCTTCACCAGAAAGCAAGCTAACCAAGTTAAGAGACACTCTTACGCTCAATCTTCTCACATCAGAGCTATCAGAAAGGTCATCTCTGAAATCCTAACCAAGGAAGTCCAAAACTCTACTCTAGCTCAACTAACCTCCAAGTTGATTCCAGAAGTCATCAACAAGGAAATTGAAAACGCTACCAAGGATATATTCCCTCTACAAAACGTCCACATCAGAAAGGTTAAGCTACTAAAGCAACCAAAGTTCGACGTCGGTGCTCTAATGGCTCTACACGGTGAAGGTTCCGCTGAAGAGAAGGGTAAGAAGGTCGCTGGTTTCAACGATGAAGTTCTAGAAACTGTGTAAACGACTAGATGAAAAATTTAAATATAGTATAATTTTGCATTTTATTTTTTTCTTATTCAATAATAAATAATCAAGAAAACAATTAATTAAAAACATCAACAACAACATCATCATATATTTTATTAACTTTATCGTTATGTACATATATAAGTAAGTCAGGCAATGTCTAATAGTAGAGAAGTCGCAGGATGTTCAAATTATAGATTGAATATTCAGTTATTTGAGGTAATTAGTAATAGTTCAACAAATGGATGTCTGAGTACGAATGATTCTTTTACTATTACTCTTACAAGCTAGGTACGGTCTATATGTTACCCTTTCAATTGGTTATACCCTCTTCGTTTCTCATTTGTTTAATTTGATTAAATATGATTTCAACAGCTGTCAAACTTCATACATGTATATATTTTTTGGTGGCGGCAATTGTTAGTTTACTTCACCGTGAAAAGAAAAAATCAACACTTTAATTTACATAAAACAAGCAATATATTAAAAGAATAAGCACTTTCATAAACAGATATTAACAACTGATAACAGCCAAGAAACGCTAGCCAATATATATTCAGTTCAAACTTTGCAACATAATGTTAGTAGAGGACCAGCTATACCTTTTATCATGCATATTTGCTACAAGGGCAGATGCTAAAAATATGACGCGACTGACTTGCAAGTTCAAAGACTCACAAGATTTTATTAATGCAATCATTATTTTATGGCCTGAATATGGCGAACCTAAGGATCTGGGGTTCTTATTTGCAAACACAGTTCGAGAAGAAGAAGAAGAAGATGTAAACAGTGATGATGACCTAATGATTTCACTAATCAATGGTGATTCTGATCTAATCTCTATGGTTGAACTAGATCCAGAAGAAGTTACAAATAGAGTAAAGAGCATAAAACAATATATTGAATCTGAATTAGAAACAATAGAAGTAATTGATAATGAGAAAGGTCTTAACTGGTTGGCAAAACGTATAATATACTGTAATGACAAACGCCCAGAGGATGCATTATTATACTCATCTTTATGGGAATGCATTACGACCAAAGATCCAGGGTTCCAAGATTGGATTGACAACATAGTATTACCCTTAAACTTAATAAATAAAAGACTTGGAAAATTAATTAAGATAAAAGAATTTATGGAAATGAACGTAAAGGATGTTTTCCAATTAGTTCTGACCATTAATTACAATGAAAACAACAACAATAGTAGTAACCATATATTAGATGAATTACTACCATATCTAAGGTACAAGAATTCGGATGATGCTTATAGTAAATTTCTGAAAGATTGTTATACTCCTGATAGATTTGATTTCCAATATCCTCTGCAAACTCAATTATTTACCAAAACTTTTAATGATATCAAAAATGATTTAAAGGATTTAGAAATGGACAATTTTTATAATAAGACATTGGAGATAATTTTCACAAAAGCAGGTCAAAGTTTAAAAAACTCAGATATAATCAATTTACAGGATGTCTTGAAATCAATACCTACTGAAATTACACTTTCAAATTATCCAAGTGTTACCTCTAAATCATTGATAAGTTATTTAGATACAATACATTTGTTCTTACCTCAGATGGACCTCATGACTCTATATACTATTGGATCAGAAAAAGAAATTGGACAAAAGACGCACTTTACCTCTATATGTAATGAGACTCTATTAACAAATGACACAAAGATAGTGACGTTACGTGAATTTATCAATCAAGAACATAAGGAAAACGATGGAAATTATGTTAAGATATTCAATAAGTTATCGCGTGAAGAAGATTTGAGTATATTATATGAGACCTGTTTGAGTCTTGGTAAATTTGATTTATTACAATCGTTTGGTCAAGAAGAGTCCACCACAGATACACAACTGGAATCCATACTATTAGAAAAGTATTTTTGGCAATTTTTTAAAAATGAAACTAATGGTAGTTCGAAAAGACCTGGAATGATAAAATGTCGCAAGATTCTAACTTTGTTACAAAATGGATCGAAAGCTAAATCATATACAAATTTAGAAATATTACTTGAGGTCAGTGATACATTAACAAAGTATTCAATGAATCTAGGTAAAAATATTATATTTAAACCAAGTAATATACTTGATTTTAAAGATGATCCATTTAAGATTATGGAAATTTTATTAGAGAATAATCCACAAATGTACAAATCTCTTGATACCAATTTGAATATCCTAGAAAGTTTGTATATTGCATTGAATAATGATGTCTCAACGGTAATAGGTGAAGATTCATATGGTTATAATAAATTGTTATCTATGATTATCGATCATTCATTAGTGAATCTTGATTTTCAATTTGCAATGAAACAATGTACTTTATTGATTCATCGTTCTAAATTTGCTTGTGAGTTTTGGTATAGTATTTTACAAGTTGGTAAATTTAAGGATCCAAACTGGGTTGATAATGAGACCCCGACAGAGATCTTATTTATGCAAATGCGTCTATTGAGTCAATTATTACAAGTTTGTCCCGTAGATGAGACTGAGGTTGTTACTCAACAATGGAGTGAGATTGAAATTGAGATTGCATCAAGGGATTTAATTCATGATAAGTATTCATTTGATCATTTAAATTCCAAGAGCTCTACAGTTTTTAAAACAATTTTCACATAAATTTTGCCTACACACGTGAGTTTATCCATCAACATACACACACACACACATATAAATAGATGGAATGTTTATTTTTATTGATCATTTATTTACTTATTTACATGATAAATTCTAAATAATGGATGAGACGACAGAACTTAGATGGATTGTTCTTGATTCACCGATGCATCTGTCAATTGTTGAATATAATTTTGTACAATTTGTAATTCGTCATACCTTGATACAGTCTTGCCAGTTGTTCTCAATTCTTGAACGATCTTAATGGCGTCATTAATTGCTTGAACGTTATTTTCTGATGTGAATAATACAAAGGCTTCACCTGCATCAGTGATTGTTCCTAAATCAACTCCTTGAGTATTTAATTTTTGTAATTTTATATTTGCCACACATTTAATCCCATCCACAAAGGATCTATCGATGATATTCTCTTCGATGATTTCACTAATGCCAAAGATAGCATATTGAAATCTATTTAAAGTATCCCAAGTAGCAGGGTCCTCCTTAGGGTAGCTGACCTCATTTTTAAACTCCGATACAAACTCGTCACAAAATTTCTTAGTTTCATTAGTGAATGAAGTTTGAGCCAGTTTAATGGCATAATCACGCTCACTTAATACATGTCTGATCTTCCACATTGTGTCTCTAATCGTATCGGATAATTCCATATAGGGACCTGCATCTGCCCCCATCGACACTTCTAATAGATGAGTCTCTCTAGCGAGGACGTTTCTTTCTTTCAAACAAATGTACCATAAGGAATGCAAATCGTCAAAACTTTTACGTCTTAATTCAGGAACTGACCACGACCTGGCTTGCATATCCAAATCTTCTTCAGCTCTTAAGAATTTTTTTTCATGGAAAAACTGCCATAAGGGATGATCATCTGGGCATTCTACATTTGCAATAGTTGGTGGAATAGGAGCAGTGATCTTTAAATTGTTTGAATGATGGGTGATTTGAGTTGGTAAACGTACATTATCACGTATTGGTGGAGGAGGTTTTGGTATAGTAAATTTTGTACGAGCTAGTATTTTCCCAGCAGTAGAGAATGACCTATGTAAACGTATCATTATTGATAATGAAAAGAGAGTGAAAGAGCCACGGTATTAAAAGATCCGTGATTCAGTTATGATATTCGTCTTTATCTCCTTGTGTATTGTAGTTTAGTATTATATAGCCAGTTTCATTTAAAGGGCTTCTTCTGTATATGAAATTACCAGCATTTTTAAAGAAAAAACTAAAACTCGAAAAGAACGGTGTTACCCGGATGTGCACATCCGGGTAACACCGCCAAAGAGAAAAAGGTTGATACATTTAAGTTAAAAAGAGAAAATTAACAGAGAGAGAAAGAGAACCGAGTATCACTATAACAGAAGGAAGGTCACAGGATAATTATAGTAAATTAACCATTAATATAGAAGGATCAAGAACGCACACGATGAGCAATACGCCACTAGACCTATTGAAGTTGAATTTGGATGAACGAGTATACGTGAAGTTACGTGGAGCTCGTTCTATTACGGGCACATTACAAGCGTTTGATTCGCATTGTAATATAGTATTAAGTGATTGCACCGAGACCAAATATTCGTTAGTTGATGGGATATTGCAAAGTGAAGAACGTGAGTCTGAGATGTTATTTGTGCGTGGTGATTCTGTGACGTTGATTACCACTCCAGAAGACGAGTAACAAAACAAAACAAAATAAGTATATATATATATATATAATACGTAGCATGATACTAATAAAATAAATAAAAAAACATTCATTATAAGCAGGTACATTATCAGTTGAACGATTTCAAAGCTTTACGAATAGCCTCAATCCCTTTATCCAAGTCTTCCTTTGAGATTACTAACGGTGGTGCTAGACGTATGATGTGATCATGGGTGGGTTTAGCAAGAACACCGTTATCTCTCATTGCCAGGCAAACATCCCACGCGGTATGGCCCCCTGTCCTTGCAGGATCGATCACGATGGCGGTCAGCAGCCCAACACCGCGCACCTCGCTGATTGTGCCCCCGGATTCCTTCTGTAATTGACGTAATTGGTCCAGGAAGTAGCCGCCCATGTCGCGTGCCCGGTCGACCAGCTTCTCATCACGTACGACTTGCAAAGCGGCAATGGCCACTTTCGATGCCAGGGGGTTACCACCAAATGTGGAGCCGTGGGAGCCCGGTGTGAAGCAATCCATGATGGCACGGGAAGAAAGCACAGCACTTACGGGAAGCACACCGCCACCAAGAGCTTTCCCCAAGAGGACGATGTCTGGTTTAATTCCGTAATGTTGAGAACATAGCAACTGGCCGGTCCGCCCAATCCCGGTTTGAATCTCGTCACAGATCAACAACACGTTGTGTTGGCGGCATAACTCGGTAACTCGAGGGAAGTAATCTGCGGGAGGAACAACGATCCCTGCCTCCCCCTGGATCGGTTCCAGGATAACAGCGGCAACCGTCTTCCCATGTGCGGCTAGCACTTTTTCCAAATCTTCGGCAACACCGTATCTGATCGTGGTCCCCAGGGGTCCACCTGCATGAGTATGCTTCAAAAAGGGGCCGAAATGTAACCGGGAGTCTTGCTCGTCTGTGGACAAAGAGATTGCACCAAAGGTTCTTCCATGGAAATTACCTTGAGCGGCTAGTATTACTGCCTCTCCAACGGGGATCTTCTTCACCATGTAACCCCACCGTCTTGCCAATTTCAAAGCAGTTTCAACGGCCTCTGCACCGGTATTCATCGGCAACACACATTCATAATCGAAGTATTCGGTAATAAATTTGGCAAATTCGGCAAACGCTTCACTGTAGAATGCTCTTGAGGATAAAGTCAATTTGTGAGCTTGCTTGACAAGGGCGTTAATAATAGTCGGATGACAATGGCCTTGGTTAACCGCCGAGTACGCAGATAAGAAATCCAAGTAATCCTTGCCTTCGGGATCCCAGACATGGGCACCCAAAGCATGATCAAACACGACAGGTAAAGGATGGTAGTTATGAGCGGAGTATTTCTCCTCCATTAGGATAGCTTCTTCAGACATATTGAAAATAGTTGTATATAGTTGTATATAGTTCTCTCTGTCTCTATGCAACAACACAAACGGCACTAACTTTTCAAGTCCCACCCCCCTCTGTCTCTATCTCTCCTTATATACACATCGAATAGGTATCTTTATCTCCTCCCCTTGAAATAATTGTAAATATATGGACGCTAGTATCGCCATACCGCAAACGGCTGTCTCTCGCAATGTCCTGCCTATAGCGGTTAAGTCAAAAAAAGTACGGGAGCCTTTCATTTCCGCTCTTCTGTGCTGCTTCGCTCTGTGGGAAACTGTCAGAGAACAGTTCCGGTCATTTTGTCATTGCTAATGGCAAACAACGGCGGTTAGCGAGTGGCATTGTCTGCTGACATATACTATCTGCCGATATCGCGCACTGGCAATATTCTCTGTTCGTTATCAACTCAGAGATAAGCAAATCGAATCGAATCGAATCGAATCGTCTAAACAATTGTGACTCTGTTGCTTCGCTCCATCTTCTTCCCAATACGAGATAAGACTTGCAAACAATTTACTCATCGATTCTCACCAACTGCTTTTTGGATAAATTGCAGAAGCAGAATGAAATGAAATAAAGGTGCCTCTCTCCACATGCAACATCCATGACGGGTGTTCGTCAACGCAACCGTTACCCTGACGGTATATGTATGCGCGGTGCACGGGTGGTATGCTGTTTACATAACAAAGGACACCCACACACCGCACAGTAATCGTTTCTTTTTCTCCTTTTCACAAGGGCCAACAGCAAAAAAGTTGCTTTTCGGGTGTCTCCATGACAACAGCACCGCATGCAATCGAGATTGCAAAACTTCAACCATATATATATATATATATGTAAAGATGGGAGCAATGCAGACCTCGAGAAGACAGATACCCACAACAACTAGTTCTCCGTCACAGAACAACAACAACAACAACAAACTATGGATAACACTACAACAAACAAACAAAATAAAGTCGGGAACGAGGAAAGAGTCTATTCTCCTAATCAACGCAATGATTATATGGAAAAATTGAGTAACATCGGGATGCGTATAAGACAGACTGTCGACAGCAGTGCAGCGTTCCAAGGCCAGAACACTAATACTAGCATGTATGCCGGCCTGATTGTCCCCCAGTATAGACAACCTAATCTGGCTCAAGAACCACCAATGCTAGCAAGAAATGGAAGCTCCCTATCCGACTTGGAAATCATGAACGAATCGGCTGAAAACATCAACAACAACGGTAAGAGATCCTTCTAAGAAAAAAAGGTATATTATATTAACCATTATTACACCTCTCTCTATAGATAGAGCTACACTTCCCTCATTTGCATTGCATTACATACATACATATATCACATATATATATAAACTATCAAAAATATATACACACATACAATTACTACCTTTTCCATTAATACCCCACCGATTGAGGTCCAACGAAGGTCATCCTCTTCTTCCCATTCTCATTAGCTATCAAACAACCATCGATTACTGGCTCTCCTTAACTAAAAATTTTAGCGTCTTTGGGACCGCTTGAACAGAAAAACGGGCGACAAAAGCCAAAAAACCCACATCAACACCGTCCTTGACAGTTAGAGTGGACTTTTCTTAAAGGGATTATTAGATTGATTACTGCTTACATGAACAAAATCTAAAAAAACTATTTCCTTGATATAAGTGCATTGTCTTTACATAAAGAGGAATAGAATAAAAGAAAGACCATTACAAAGAATTAAACTCCACAAAACAGTGCAGATATACTGGACGTATTATAGTAACAAGTTGGAACATGGGTAATACAGATTCTAAAATTACTAATGTCTACCGGGACTATCTGTTCCAACTCTCTCAAAATGATGATACATCTAACAACGAATTTTATACTGATTTTTTAAATGTTACTGCAAATTTACAATTACATACATTTAACACTGTTATTACAAATAGTGTTCTAAGGAAGATAATTTGTTTAAACCCTCAAAATTATGTTAATTTATTGGATTTTACAATATCTAATTTCATCGATTTGTTTACGAATTTTCAACAAACTCAATCTACTAAGAGACAGGTGAATTTTTTCTTTAAACAAGTTATAACATCAATAAGGATAATTACTAAATTGACTCCAATCCTTTATGAACATATTCAAGAAGGGCATACTATATTATATTCTAATAATGAAAAATTGGATTTACAGAATTTTTTCATAAGAACTAATCTAATTGAATATTTCTTACAATTATGTTTCATGGAATCATTCACAATACAAACACGTACAGCCGATCCAGGGACAATTAATTTAATTCAATGGCAAACTGGTATATCTCCAAATGTAGTACCTAAAGGCCTTAATGATTCAATACCAACAACTTTACAACTTCCTTATTTAGATAGTAACAGATTAGAACTTATAAATTTATTCCTTACTTTATCGTCGTTGAATCTTTATTCAAACGATAAACATGATACACCATTCTTTGTTCAAGAGATGATCTCAACGCGACAAAATAGAGATATGTTACTATTATTAATGATATCAATCTTAAACTTATATGCACACTATTGTAAGACTATAAATGAATTGAAAGTTAGCACATTATATGAAAATCCACAAAAGACTCACATTTCAATGACAACAGGAAGCACCGAAAATGTGATGACATCAGGTGCAAAGGACTCGAATGAACCTAATAAACAAATAGTTTCATCACAACAACTAATTATTAATCTAAAGAAAAATCTTATATTATCATCATTGCAATGGTTCAATCTTACATGTTCTCATTTATCTGATAAATCGACGTTCTTAAACGATTTCCTGAAAAATGAATTCCAATTAAAATTACTACTCTCTACAGTTGTGAAAATATTTAAAAACCCAATTGATTTGGCAATAGATCAAGAATCAAATCCATTAAGCTTCAATTCAGATGATTCCTCTTCAAATGGTAAGAACAATGGTTCTAATTCAAACTCTATGGGACAATCTAAACCTTCGAATAAAAACTACAATCAACTGAAATTGAAAGATTTTACAATACAGTTACCAAAATTAGATATGATTTTTCTTCAAAATTTGATTTTATTAATAAATTTGATTAAATTCAACAAAACTTTTGAAAATTATTTTGCTGATAAATTTTCTAACAAATTTTTAATTTTTGTTATTTATTATATCAAATATTACTATAATGTCCCTCAATATCAATCAAATGTTATACCGTTATGTTATGATATGGCTGTATTCCTTACAGATAAACCATTGATATTACATAAACTTTTACAGACTTTTAAGACGAATTATTACACCAACAAACTACCTAATTTCTTCAAGATATCAAACATTTCACATATAGAATCTTTGACATATAGAGATTTTATGATCATCCAGTTATCCAACCTTTCTTCCAATGATATTAAGAGTAATTTGATCTTAAAGTCCGGCTATTTTGAAATTATCTACAATATTTTGCCCATTAATGCCAAAACGATAAGCAAAATGTCAATATCATCAAGTGACTCTAATTTGGTTCAATTATCTTCTGTGAAAAATTCTAATTCTAATTTAACTGATAAATTAAGTTATAATGCAACTTTAGCTTTGTTAAATCTGTTATCAAAACTGTCTAATAGAAATTTTTTGTCATCATTTGCAAGTTCTGATTCTGCAAAGCAATCTGCTTTAACATCTCCAGCTATAAAATTGGATATTTTAGCATTATTCTTAAGATCAATGTTAATATATATTACGACATGTTATCAGGAATCTAAAAATTTAATATTTTTATTGACTAGGCATTATACCGTACTTTTACAAATAAAAGAATCCATTAATTTTATTTCAACCAATAGAAATATAAATAATATGTTATTTTTGGAAGATTTACCAACGAACTCTTTATCCTTAATGGATCAAAATTTTGGAACATCTAATAAATCGAATTCTGATTATAATTATGGTGAAAATGAAAATGAAGAGAATGACAAAGGCAGTTCAGATTCCAATTTGGAAATAAAAGATGAAAAATTAAACATTCAGAATACTTTAGAGGGGGAAAATTATTTAATTTTTAATAAACAAATAAAGGAATATTCTGATGATGATAATGATGTTGTTGTTGACAATGATCCCGATGTGGATATTTATGATGTACCTGATAATGTTGGGAATGATTATAACATGGGAACAGGAAATAATGGTAGTATCCACAAAAGAAGTAACAATTCAAGACCATCATTTAATCACGTAAATATCCACAGTGCAAAATTTATGTCCACGAACCTTAAAGGAAATGATAATTCTTCCTCTGCACCGAATACGAATAAGGAGTATGAAATCTATGAACATCCAGATTATAATAAACAATTGATAATGAATAATATAGACTTATATCTGAAATTAAAACCGAAATGGCCAATTGGCCTAACCGAAAATTCTAAATTAAAGTCACCACGAAGGTCTGATTTTAGTCAATTATGGATCGGTGCATCTACCCTTCAGAAGCTGATAGATATAACTAAAATATTTTTGAGACAATTTCCAGATATTGTCAAAATGTCTAAAAATTCGGATTTTGTAGATATAATCAAGAATATCGAACATTTTGAATCAGACTTCGATAAAAAGATCAAAAAGAATTTAAGGAAAGAATTTTGTTTAAATGAACCACTAGAATTTAAATTTTCTAAAAAAAGAAACCTGGTATTTAATGACTGGCTTGATGAAATATTTTGGTCAGATGTGTTTCAAGCACATTCAGCGCCATATATTGATTCGCTATCGTCTATGGCTGATGAATCTGGTAATAGTGGCACTGGAAATGTTCAGAATAAGAGAAACGATTCGATCTCATCGGGATCAAATATTCCCCTTTTGGAAAGATGGTCTTCTCATGGCTCTCAGATCTCTAGAACTCAGAGCAATGGTAGTTCTATGGTCAATTATTTTGCTCCCGATAACCTTTCGAGTATGCATACATTAAATGAACAATCTGAAACAAGTTCACCTGATACTGTAACAGGAGTAACTAACGCAGAGTTATCTGCGTCCTCATCTGTTACATCTTCTATTAGCATTCCGAATACTACGAATGCACAACCAACCCATAATCTGTCAAGAAAGAGCAGTAATGCCTCATCATTTTTATCTAGATTTTCGTGGACTGGTTTTAATAAGAACGAAAATCAAGACAATGTGATACGCGAAGAGACTATATCAGTCTTAGATGGTGACATAGGGCCATTCGTTGTAGATGAAGGTCTTTTCAAGACAAATATATGGGTAGGAACGAACATTAAATTATTCCCCATAACTACTATTAAGAAGGAAGAGTTTTCATTTTTGGATATGACTTCATCATTATTAAAGAAATTTAGATTTAATAGTACTGATAATTCTGAGAGCAACGTATCTAATACTTCTCGGAATACAAATGAGAGTAGACAATATTCCCCTGTGTTAAGCGCAAATCCGTTTATGGCGTTTGCCTCTCCTAAGAGATTCTAGTCCTCTTTGCTTTGGTAGACATTAGAATATGAAACATAGTTAATATATTTATAGCAGTAAATAGCGAATGGTCACTTTATAAACTTGTCGAAGAATATTGATTATTTGTTCGAGATTTGTTTACAATCTCATTGTGAATAAAATACAATAATTTAAATTATATAAATTCATTACATATTTTGCCTTGGTGATTATTTAATACATTCCTAGTTATACGGATAACAATGTTTGCTTCCTAGCAACATTTAAAATTTTCTTTTCCCTTTCTTTTGTACAAGTTCAAAACCATCGTCATCTATTATCGGTTCGGCAGTGGTAGTCACTATCTCTTCTTCTTCAACAACTAATTCCATCATATCTTCGTCCTCGTCCTCTTCATCTTCTTCGCAGCTAGAGTCATCATCACCGTGTACATGAACAATTCTCTGATCTGGTTTACCTTGTCTGTTCTTTTCCTTTTCTACGTATCTGGCATAAAGTTCTTCTACACGACCATAGTTCATAGCATAACATTCCTCGTACAATTTAATAACATTACTTGCAACGATCAAACTTGTATCGTCCTCGACATTTGTATCAAATTCATCAACCATTGCATACAATAGTGTCTCTTCTACCATGGCAATATCGACAATTTTATTAGTTTTAAATAAATCTATGACAATAGCCGTTATCCAATCTCTCTTATCAGCAGAATCTATACCACCCCATTGGTTTGCCACAGCAATGTCAAGTGCGTCCCAACTGTATATCAACATTGAAATACCTAATTCAAAACGACCTTGTTGCTTTTCATCAGAAAACTCTAGAGTGTTAGCATCATTTGTGGCTTCTACGAACGCACTTTCATCTATAGTTAGGCTGCTCATTTTATAAAACTTCAATTATTTGGGGCAATGTTCGCGTCTTGTAGGGTTATCTGTCAGGATTAAACAAAGATAGCCTATCGTTCTCTGGAATTAACCGTTCTTAATCACCTTGAGATGAGATGAGATGAGATGATCTCTTTTAAAAATTTTCATTTCTATCCATTTTTTTATGATAAACCCTAATTAGGGTTGAACAAGAGAGACCCTAAGTTTAGTACTCATTCGATGCACAGAAAGTTGAACTTGGCTATAAGGAGTTGCAGGGGACCTGAGCAATAATTGATTGCAATAAGATTGCCTTATTATTCTAATCCTACCATTATTTTGGATGGTATAGAACCTATACTATAATCTAGGATTGGAGTGATCTGTGCTCTGATTTCATTGAACATGGGGAAGTTGGAAGAATATTTGAAGCAACGAGAGGATATTACCAACTACTTGGAGGCACTCGTACAAGTTCATAAGGAGGCGTTATCTGATGGATCAGATGGTAATCAATTAGATACAGTGCGGGAACACATATCTGTATGTTTTTCTGATCTTTTGAAGATTAATGATAAGTTGATTTCTCATAATGGTATTTTAAAGAACGAGATGTCAAAACTAATCGAAGTCCGAGCAGAGGTATTAGAACTTTCAACAAAAGAGATAGAATTACTTAAAGAGAAGCATATTTGGGATTTTGATAGTTCAGTACCCAATAAGGTATTGGATAACCGTACAACGAAGTTTACCTTTGAAACCCATTATAGGGACGATATGAATAATTATATTGAATTGGTTGGAATTACAAACACTTCGCTTTCAAGGGACTACAAGGAAGATAACCATGGGATAGAAGACAATTTATATCAAAAAAATACATATGAAGGATCAGATGAAAATAATAGTGTCTTAACAAGAGATGACACTTTGAAATGTATGACTTACCTACACAATGCAAGTAGTGCTGTAAACAAAGACATTCAAGCTTTAGAAGGCATTATAAAAAATATGAAAAAGGATCAAAACTTTCTTCAGGACGAATTAAAAATACAAACTAGTAAGATAAGAACTATCAAGAAAAGAATTTTGAATGATATTGAAACCATTAATAGAAGGACAGAAAAAATTCTAAAGGAGATCAATCTGACAATACCGAACCAGTCGGAAGTAAAAGATAAAAAGTTGATTAGTTTGGCCAAAGGTAATTCTATCAATAATCAAATACAATTGTCCCGCGAGAAAGTGGAACTCGAAATAGAGTTCATAGATATCAAAAAAGATACATTTGCTCATATGTTTAAAGAATTAAAGAATGAAACGTCCGGTTTAAAATCGCAAAATGAATTATGGAAGGATTGTTTAGAAGAAGTCGTATCTTTGGAGAAAAAGCTTAAATATAAGATTTCAAGGAAAGGATCAGGGCCAATAATACCAACTGATCTAATAAAAATAATTCAGACCTCTCTAAATTATCTTCAAGAACTTATGAACTTAAACAATAGTAAAGTGATATCTTCAATAATAGAAGATGAAAAAGACACTTTAATAAGGGCTTGCAAAGAATTAAAGAAACAGTTACCAGTAATATAAAAATCCGGTAATTATAATTGCCCGTTTTTTTTTTGCTTACGTTCAGTCGATGGAGTATTCTAATGAACATAACTTTTAAATATGTATGTTAGCATGTCTCAAATTTGTCTTCAGTATCCAAGTTCAACTCAATATATAAAATATTATTAACTCGATGGGAAGGGTTCTATCCTAATATATAATTTTGCATTCTTAAAAATATAATCATTTATATGACTTATAAAGTGTAATTAGTACATAAAGGTTTTCATTGTGTAAATTTCTAGTTATTTATCAATTATTTAAGAGAAAAAACTCTTATTGCAATTTTTGATTATTTTTATAAAACCTTCGAGGAAACTATTAAACTATTAAACTATTTAAATAATCTCTTCTTTCTTGGTATAAATGGTGAAGGCGACGGACCTCTTCTGTTGTATTTCGGTGGACCATTTGAGGGAGTTCTTGACTCTTGTCCTTCAGTAGCAACTTTGGTTTGGGAAGGCTGGTGATATTTTTCATTAGTTTCAGGGTAGTATGGATCCTTTTGATAATTCTCGTTTGGATTACTTTCGTATCTTGTATTTGGAGCATTACTGTTCCCTAGGAGTGAATGGGTATCGTACTTTGAGTTTACCTTGTTATCATATTGCGAAGTTTGGTTACTATCGTAGCTTGAGTTTATTCCATTGGGGTAATTATTATCTACAGAATGGTTATTTTCAAAGTTTTGATTATTACCATATCTTGCGTTTGGATAATTATTATAACGTGCATCAGGGTAGTTACCAAAGTTACCATTAGAAACATTATTATAGCCATGTAATGGAGAAGGTTGTTCATTTTGGGTGATAAGATGAGTACCATATTCCCCAGGCGCGTAAGGATGTCCTAGTCCAGAAGGTGGGCGATTGTTATATCTTGAATCGGTTGTCGAACCATCATAACGACTAACTGGAGAAATTCTATCAAGCAAGTTGTTTGATCCGCTTTGGGATATAGTATTGTTTGCACTATATTCTCTAGTAGGTGCTGTTGGAAGAGGTTGAATTCTGTCAATTACTCGTGGCAGCGATTTTGTGCTATTAATTAGATTCGATTGGTCAGGGAACGATGACTGAGATGAAGTAAGCATAACTTGTTTCCCTGGTGCAGGTTTTAACAATGTATCACTAGAATTTCCCCCAGTTTTAGTTTCGAGATTGACTGGTATTGGTTGTTTACTATGGTCTTCCTTCTGGTACCTGTTTTCCAGCGACGTTGTAGGATCATAGTTGTCATCTGGGGTTTGTACCTCTGTTTTTTTTACCTCTACTTTATCGATGCCATCGTTGCTTGACACTTTTAAAACTTCAGCTTCCTTGTCTAACATATCGGTTCCACTAACTTTCTTACTGACAACGTGGTTATTTTGGGAAACGGAATTTATCTTGTCCTTAGTACTAGAGCTCTCTCGACTCTTCGATTCTTTCGATTTTCTTCCTTTCATTGAAGATTTCAAAGGTCGCGGGTTCGATTTCGATGGAGGTAAACTTTCCCATGTTGACTGAGGAATAGCGACTACGTCATCTTGGAAAGCGAGGTGTCTATTATCTTTTAAATTAGTTAATTTTCTCTGTTTTTTAATTTTCTCATCATTAATGTATACATGACTGTTAGGAGTTGTTGTGGATGTGGATGATTGTGTGGGTCCAAAGATCGAAGATTTTTTTTTAGTACCTGAAGAACTTCCATTTTTGCTGTCATTGACGACAGTTTTGTCCGTATCATCTTTCTTTTTTCTCTCGTCTTTCTTCTCTTTTCGTTCTTTCTTCTTTTCTTTCTTTTCTTTCTTTCTTTGCCTTTCTTCACGTTTTCTTCTCTTTTCTTCATTTTCTAAAAAGTTGCCCTCTTTTAATGAAGTATCTTTTGTCTTTTTCTGTTGTGGTTGAGTAGATGGGGATTCATCTGTAGCAGGTCGTTTTCTTGCAGCTCTGGCAGTGATATCTAATGGATTGTAAGAATCATCATTTGTACTTGTGACTGAATTGGTCCTTTCTTTTAGTTCTTTGTCTGATAGGAAACCAGCATGAGCTCTTTGAATGCAATGTCTAGATTCTGCATCATCTATCAAATTCCTCCACAATTTATTTTGGTATAAAGAATTTCTGTGGCCAAGGATCCATAGACTGGTCTTAGCTCTTGTAAATGCAACATTCATACGGCGAAAATCTTTCAGGAAACCCACAGATGATTTTGTGTCGTCAGCACGAACACACGATATGATGATAATTTCTTTTTCTTGACCCTGGAAACCATCGATTGTGTTGAAGTCAATGTATTTATTTATAAACGAACCAAAATATGACGTGAATTTTCTACGCATACGTTGCATCTGCTCTTTGTATGGAGATATGACACCAATTTTACCTGTGAAGTCTACATTTTTGTCAAATTTTGTAAATAGGAAATTTATTAGCTCAACCGCTACATTAATCTCTTCGGTATTCACATAAGACATTGTTTTTTTATTTTGTTGTTGTTGACCGGTTGTAATATCAAAAAATTTATAAGGCTGTAATGGAGAGGAGGTATGCCATGGTCTTTTGTTGATCACTGCCATATCTGGTCCATCCAACAAACGGCCGTTATAAAATTCGAGCGAAGGGAATCTACTAATATCCGGATGCATACGATATTGAACATTTAACAAATATGGAGTAGTGTTTTTTTCCATACGCACAAAAAGGGATTGGTTGTATTTGAAATTGCTAGCAGCACCAGATAAAACAGTTGGGGGTAGTTGATTGGGATCACCAACCATAATACATCTCTTTCCACCGTACCTTAATGGAATTATTGAAGATAATTCTGTACACTGACAGGCTTCATCGATAATTACCGTGTCAAATTTTATACCTAAGGTTGATAAAACATCATGGGCTGAACCAGACAGGGTTGAGCAAATGATATCACTCTCAGAAAGAACTTGAGCTTGTGCGTTCCTCCTATCAATGTTACGTTTTCTAAAATTTAACGATCTTTGTTCTCTCAATTCATCTTTTTCCTTACCAAGAATGTTAAGAGTCTTACTTAATTCTCTAGTTTCTGTTTGTAGCTTTCTGATCTCTTCCGATGATAGCTTACTATGGGGTTTACCATTTTCGGAATCTAATTTAGCCATCAGTTCTCTTCTTTTCAAAACTGTAGTACGGAATTTTTCGTCCAATTCAGGATTCTGCAGATATTCCTGGTTCTTGGCAGATACCCTCCTATCCACCAATTCCTCTAAAGTGAGCTCCTTGATTGCAACATTGACTACATCAGATCTACCGACACGAACAACTCGTGGTTTTATTAAATTGCCATTCCGATCGTAAACTCCATCTTTTAAACGAATACAGATTTCATCTACAGCTGCATTACTTGGAGCACAGATTAAAACTTTTTGTTTTTTCAGTAGTTGGTCGATAGGACTTTTTGCTTGTCCAGTAGGAACCGAGATGACATTCGATGGTAAGGCGTTTCTCAGGGAAAGGATATACCCAACAATTCCTAATATTGTTTTGGTTTTACCTGTACCAGGTGGTCCTTGAATTAAAGAAAAACCTTCATTCAGAACAGTATTAACGATAGCTTGAGCCTGGGATGTATTTAGTTTGTAGCAACGTTTAACACTCTCAACCTCATTTGGAGAGACTTGGGCAGGAGGAGACGGTTGTGCTGTTAAAATTTGGTCAACCAAGTCATAATATTCTAAAGCTTCGATTGTTTGGTATTCCCTCTCTACAGTTGTCATTTGCATAACCTTTATGGCATGTATTTCTGATCTTAGGGAAATAAATTTTGAGAAGGATTGATTTCTGTGGATCCGCAATGTCAATTCGACTGTATTGTTCTTGGCATAGTTAATAGAACGAATTTTAGCAAGACAAGTATTTTCAGCCTCCCGAAAGTCATCGTTGGAGGGCCTTTGACCTGGAAGTAAGTTTGGGAGATAGGCCATTGCGATTAGATCTGATTCATTAATTTTACTGTTTTCTACAAAAGACTTTGGCATTGATGTGAAAATATCATAAAAGTCTGACACAACTCTCCGGTTACCACATATAACACTAAATGGGATATTATCAACCCTATCCCTTGCAGCACATAATCCTTGCCAGCATTCTAATAATAACAAAGGTTTGACTATTTTTCTGTATTCCGAAGCTGAGGTGAATTTATTCTTTATATCCGTGTATTGTGAAGTTTCGTCGTTTGGATATTCATTCTTTCTTGTATAATCCCATCTTAATACAGTCTCATATAGCGCATTCAAGTCTACATTTAATCTTCTTCTCATATTTTCTTCTTCCATTCTAGCAATTTCTGCTTTTGTATTACGTTTGATATTTTTCCCATCTATCCCCACTGTCTCAATTGTGTGACTTTTCGCCTTTGTTGATGCAAATAACTCGCGTGCTGTTTCAAGATCACCTTCTACATCACTGTCACTATCACTTGAGTCATCATTTTTGATTTTAGGTTTTGATTTGGTGTGAAAAACTGAAGTACTTGGTGGGTGTATAACACGATTGCTCATTAGTTGTTTTCTTGCTAATTCCATCTTTGAAAGAGGTTTATTAGCTTTTTTCGTTTGCAAAGTCATATCGGCGCCAGGTTTGAAGACACCAAAATTCGTAATCTTAGGTTGGGTAGATTTTGGTCTACCAAGAATCGAAGAAGATGTAGCTTTTCTTTGCAAAAAATCCACCCTTGATTCGTTTAGACTTGGCAGTCTAACTGTCGAATGTTTAAGGGTTTCCTTTCCTTTGCGACTTTCTTCAACTGAGTCGACAATAGAATTTACTAATCGGGAATTGAACAATTTCGCTTTTGTTAGTATCTCAGATGTCTGTGTTTCCGTTAATTTATTAGAGTGTTTCTTAGCTTTAACTGCATATTGAGTCAACGATGTTACGATATCGTCATCAAATTTCATTTTACGTTCAAAAGCAAGATCAGTGGCACTTATTATTAATCTAACACAAGATTCTAGTAATTCATCATCACTTAGTCTTAACCAGTACAGCATATTTTTAAATGCCTTCAGGACACTATCAAACAAGTCTACACCTGAACTGGATATGATATCTGAAAATTCTCTAAAGGAAATAACGAACGAACGACTCAATTCTAATGTATCTTTGGTAAAGTTTTCTAACTCAGAGTAGTCGTATTTTGAAGCCCATTGTAAGGTACACTTATATATCGTGTCTAAAAACGACCATGAAAGTTGCCAAAATGCAACGATTTCCTTGTCTGTGTTTTCATCTTTCAAACTATCATAATTTGAAATAATACCACCGACAGGATCTGAAAATGCACTTAAAATATCCATTAAAACACGGATAGCTCTAGGACAAGGTTCGTAGAATTCACATTTAATAAGTTGTCTTAATACATTATTAATGGATTTTAATTGATATGATAAACTGGTGTTTAAAAGTATTTGTACACCTTCCAATCTTCCCTCCACATCAAATGTATCATAAAGGATATTGGTGGTTACCTGATACAAGTTGGCATCGGATGAAAATATACAAGACCAGAAACCTTGTGAAGCATTCTTATCTGCTAAAATTTCTGAAAGTTTATTGGGGAGAACATCCGTAAATTTACTAATCAAATTGGTTGATAGATCTAGATATTGTTTTACACTTTCATTATGTCTTTGGATAACTGTTGATTGACCAGGGACAATTAATAACCCGTTAATGTTACGCATGGAAATTAATAGATATTTTGCCAACAGTGGGCCATCCTCGAATGAGTCTAACTTGACCTTGTTGTTCAAGTTTTCTAGTAGGGTTAAAGGCAACGGTAACTCGCTAATACTTTTTCCTGAATATAATCTGTAAGTCCTTTGACATAGGAGAAGAATATCCAAATCAATACATTTGGATAAAACAGCCATCACAGATTGGGCGACAGAATACACAGCCGACCCGATACCAGGATAAGTTTGTGCCGCATTTGTTGCAGATTTTATTGCAATATCTTGAATTAAAGGATTATTTAATAAAGATCTTGAGTCACTCTTCGTAAAAAGAATTGTTTGGAAGTCGTCCCTGACGTAAAGCTTTGATCTTTCTTCATCTTTAATAGATAGTATATCATTTAATAGAGCAGCAGATGAGCTCATTAAAAACAACTTGGCAGTTGAGTTTAGATCATGGTATGTTGCAATGGTTCTTAAAAATGCCACAGAAACTTTCTTCACCATCTGAATTCTAGTGGATTCGGATAGAGAATGGTAAAATGGAAGATTCCATGATAATAAATCTGTCATGGAACCCTTATTTGAAACATATGTCTCGATATCATTATCTGGGATTCTAACATTTTGAACGACCGTTAGTCTGGTGACAAATAAATTATTGCTAAAAATTAGTTCGATTATATTGTGGAAAGTGTAAGGATGAATAATTTTCCAAAATTCACTATTCATCTTATCCAATAAAATGCATAAGGCTCTTAATAAGAACTCCAGAGGTTTATTCCCTATATTTATTGAGAAATGTTTGTACCACAACATAAAGATAGATTCTATAGGGAACCTGTATGTTGCAGTTAAGGATTTGATATCCTTTGGAACTATTAAATATTCTTTGAACGTATCACTGTCTAACAGGGCTATTATTGGAACAAATTTCATCCAGAATTTAGCTATATTTTCGTTGGTCCAATTCGACGGATCTTCTAGATGAAGAATATAAAAAAATAATTCTTCAAGTATATCTGGCGTCATTGTCTTTTTGGTTATAATAAAATTTTCCTCATGTAATTTTGTTAAGAATTCTTTTGCCCAACTTTCTTGTTCTCTTGTACCGTTATACCAACAATAAATAGTCCCAGCAAGGAACGTTTGTAACGATTTGGGTGATCGAATGTCAAGCAACTCATATTTTGTATCATATAGGTACTTGAATATAACAGCGAATATTTCTTTAAAATCTGGATTGTTTCTAATCATATGTGGATTACAGAGACCTTCAAACATTGCACAACGTACTTGAGGTGTGACATGAATAGATTTTCTATCTTCACTGATCGATATGTTTCTTAATATAGGTGAACAAGTAGCAGCTCGCCATTCCGTCACTAGATCATTAAATTTATATACACGATCATGAGGAAGATCTCTTTTCGTTGCAAAATGTTGTAACATATTACAAGTCCCTCGTGTAAATGCTAATATACATTTCTCACACTTGGATAGAATTGGATTATATGTGTCAAATAACCATTTTCTTGCGGCTTCGTCAGGAAATGATAGTAAAGTTAATGAAAATATTGAAATTTGACCAATTCGAGGGTCACAAAATAGATGAAAACCTTCTGGTAGTTGTTTTAAAAGCTCTATGAGTCCTGATAAGAGATTTGCCTCCTGATTATTTTGGCTCTTCCCTTCATAAATTTCTTTGATATAGGGTATAAATTTGTCAGCCTTTTCATATATGGCAGCATACTCAGGATTTACTGCTTCCATTATAAAAATATCTGGAATATCGATTTAAAAATGGGGGAAATGCTAGGAATTGATTGAAGAAAACTGTGCAGACCTGTATTTGTTTTCAGTAGATCTGATGATGTTCTTGTAACTAAAATGTAGTAATGCAATAAAAAAAATGACAATAATTGGTGTATGATATATATAGAACAATTTTAGCAAAACATCTATGAAAATATACTAATATATACTGAACAAAAAAGTAGAAGGAATGACCTAAATTACTTCTAGTTCGATTTGATTAATGTTTACAAAACAACCTTTCAGATTATTTTATTTTACTGAAAAAAGTATATTCTTCAAATGAGAAACCTCTTCACTTGTATTACGTTCGATAAATCGATGAATGCTTCTCTATAGATGACTTTAAGAATTGTTAAAAAAAAGTTTAGCTCTGTTTCAAATAATCGAACCACTTGATTTATATATCTTGTTAAAATTTTAGTTCGATTTTTTTCTCGCGTTTTTGTACCTTTTTTTGTTGGGAATTAATTACAGCTATTAAAAGATAAAAGAGACAAAGAAAAACGTGAATTCTGAAATTGATTTCATTTACCCTCGTTGGTTGATTCTTCAAAATTAGGGTAAAATATATTTAGAAACAATGCTAAAGATACTAAATTGAGTTCATTTCAATAAAGTATAAGTTTTTCAATGAGCATTCTGGGACAAATGGAGGGTTGATGGTCGGAGTTACTTTAGATTTGTTGTGGTATAATTTTTAATACAGTCTGGTTATTATTAAAAGAATAAATCGGTGTGTGTATATATACGTTTTGCACACCTCATAATAAATATACAATATATATCATTAACATTGCAGTATTTAATTTTTGTGAACTAGCTCCTCTAGCTTCTTTTCGACTTGTTTTAAACGTTCGTCTTTTTCTAGATTGGCCTCTGCAAGATGTTTAATAACGTCTTCTAGATGTAACACCAAAGAAGATAACTTCTCAACAGATTGTTTTAGGCCTAATGATTTAGGCCCAGCAGCTGCTGAAGGAGAAGACGTTGGTTGAGAAGTGGCCTCTACTTGTTTGGTGTCCTCTTTAATTTGGTTCTTAGCAGGTTTCTCCTCAACTATCTTAGCTTCAACCTTAGTAGCTACTTTTTCAACCTTTGGTTCTGGTGTTTGAACTTGAGGAGATGGCGATAGTGTCTTAATGACGACAGGTTTGTCGTCTTCTTCATCCCAAGTAGATTCAGCCTTCGATGGATCCTCGGCGTCGTTAACAGTATCCAAATCGGAAGATTTTTTTAATAATTTACTAACAGAGTCATCTTCTTTCAAGTCATCCAAGGAACCAGTCTTTGGAGTAGGAGAACTTGCCTTGGGTACAATAGTCTCTTTCTTTGGTTCTTCCTTCTTTGGTTCTTCCTTCTTTGGTTCTTCCTTCTTTGGTTCTTCCTTCTTTGGTTCTTCCTTCTTTGGTTCTTCCTTCTTTGGTTCTTCCTTCTTGATTACAACAGGTGATTGTTCCTTAATTTCTGGAGTAGATTGTTTCTCTGCTGCATGGAAAACTGGAGCAGAATCATCATATGCAGCTTTCATACTGACCAACACTGGACCATCAACTTCTTTACCAGATAACCATTCTTCAGCAGACAACGCAGGTTTGTTTGATGGGGCATCTGGATAAATATCTTCTTGGAATTCTTCAGCTCTTCTTGGAACGCGGAATGAAACGTGTTCAATACGTTGATCTACCACAGTTTTGAAACAACCAAAGACTTCATTTTCTTTAACATTGACTAATCTTTTAGGAATCACTGCAAATCCTCTTTGAGGTTCTGTAGATTGGAATTCAGATAATTCAAATAATTCATCATTTTGAAATTCATAATATCTGATATTACCATCACCTTTACCTGCAAGATATAAAATCTTGTTACTATCATCAAAGAATGGCATTAAAATACCAGAAGATTGGTCAACGTTATAAAACCCACCAAGATCACCTTTCTCTAAATTGAATGCATCCCAAATACCAATTTGACGATCACTTAGCTTTGAAAAACCAGTAGTAGCTAGTCTATCAGAGTTACCTAACCAAACGACTCTTTGATTCTTGGCACCAGTGTGGGCTGGTCCTTCGCTGATAATTTCTTGTTTCTTGATATTCCAAACCCTTAGCTTCTTATCACGAGATATTGTGGCTAAATGTTCCCCATTATAAGAGAAGGACATTGAGGTAACCATATCAGGATGTTTCAGAGTGATAATGTTCTCTCCAGTCTCGATATTCCAGAATCTTACAGTGTAATCTAAGGAAGAAGACACTAATATGTTTTCGGCGACAGGATGAAACAGGACATGGCCAACTTTTCTAGAGTGTCCACTCAAGATCTTGACTGGTTTAATATCCTTTGGATCTCCATTTTCGTCAACATATTTATGGAAGGAATAATCCTCAGGAATCTCCCAAACACAGATCTTAGCGTCATCTGAACAGGATACAATTCTTTGTTCGTCAAATGGATCGAAATCTGTGTCCAGAACTTGTGCAGTATGACCTCTGAATAATGGGACTTGGTCAGGAGATTTACCAACTTCCCCTACAGGGATAACTGCAAAAGCACCACCACCTGAAGCGTTCCAATTGACCGATATATATTTGCCATTAGTCTTCAAAATGTTAGAGTCCCATGCATTGTTGGTAACCTTGATATTTTCGTATTGAAGTTCTTTCTTCGCAGCTTGACCAAATACGTGTCTGTATTTAGATGCACGAACAAATTTCCCACTCATTTTTAATTCTTTGTTTTTGTATTTTTTAGATTTGTTACAATTGAAGGTGATAGTACAATTGCGAATTAATCTTGCAAATACTCAATTATTATCCATTCACCTCTTTAACTACTATTCTTATTGTTGTCTAGTTCTCTTTTGCTGTAGATTAATTTTCGTTTCTGTAATTGTTATTGTTGTTGTTTGTTGTTCACTCTTTTTTTTGTCAGCCCTCTGCGAGGGTTCTCGAGTAAACCATAATTGCCGCAATCCTCTTTATAAGTCGTTCAATATTCTTCCACTTATTATATAACATGTGGAAAGGAAGTATATCTCATAGTTACCAAGATCATTGAAACGACGTTTCGATATCTGTTTTATTAAGTAACTTCAAAAGAATAGTGTTGTTAATTATTTATATTATACATTATGTATAAGATGGGTATTTATTAATGTTTATATGATTTTTTTTAAATATTTTGAATGCATAGACCGTAAGGGTCGTAATAATAATGGGGTAGAAAAGGTGGATAAAAAGTTCCTTATTTGGAAAGGTTTGCAAGATCAATTCATACAGAACTCTGTCTATGTGCTAAATAACAGAACCTTCTCCTTTTTCTTTTTTCTTTTACCATTCCCTTGTTTTCCTTTGTTAGTGTCTGATGATTCTTTCAGTGGGTTTGAGTTATCCCTCGAATTATTATTGATCTTTTGCAATAACATATCTTCGAAATCTTGGTTCTCCTTTGACGTCCTTTCATCTGGTAAAACAGAGATGGATGTCCCCCAAATAGTTGTTTCCTCGTAGTTTTTTTTCTTGGTATTACTGGTTATGCCGTTATTGGTTTTTGATAATGAAGCAACAGTTGACGTGGATAAGGAATCTAATCTATTTGATGAATTGAGAATCTCACTGAGTTCAATAGAAGGTTCGTTCAGCGAATGTGAAGTACCATTTTCCTCTTGATAAAACTTTATTTGGTCTTCTTCTAATTTTTGTTGATACATTTTCTTCTCGAGGTCTTCTTTTTGTTTCCTTCTATTGAATTGTCTTCTACGAGTTTTTAATTCATTAGTAAATTCATCATAGACTTCCTTTGGGATAATATCTGACTTACGCCAATCTATATCAATAAATGCTAATTCTGTTCCCAGCGGTAAATGGCTAATATATTTCAATTTTTTAATTAATTGTTCAGTGACCGCTGTCCCAAAATGTATATTTTCTACTTCGATCTTTAAAGATTCTGGAAATGAACTGTAAGATTTGAAACTACTCAAGAGGATTTTGATATCCAAATGAGATAAGAAATATTTCGTTTGAGAGTCAAATGCAGTCTCATAGAAGAAAAAGGCATCATTTTCAGAGTACTTGGACCTCAATAATTTACCATTAGAATCATTCAAATTTAACCTTGATATGTCACTTGTGGTCGATAGCGCCAGGCTATCTTGATCATTGGCCTCCGAAAGAATTAAAACAATTTTATCATTGATGGAGTTAATGGCTAAGTCAACATATTTCTTATCCTCATCAAAAAGGGCTTTATCGATTTCATATTGTGTACTTATCGAGTTTATATCCCTCTGTAACAATTCTAATTCAGAACTAGTGTCACACTTCATTATATGGCAATAGGAAGTAATATTTTTGATGGCATAATTTGGAAAATCACCAACCTCACGAGGATCTATGTTTAATTCTACTGGCAAAGGCAGTAATAGACCATGAGGTTTGCACATTAATTTAAGGCTGATTTCAGAACCGATCTTTGGTCCGATATCATTTGATTTGGAAAATTCATCTTCAAATATTACATCCTTCACCATCTGTGGCCTAACAATATTGCCACATAAGGGACAATCTTTATATTTCTTCTTTTTCTTAAATCCTGTCTCTTTGATTGTAATTGTTTCCTCCATAGAAAAGAAATTAATGAGACAACTAGCACAAAATATGTGACCGCATGTTACCATTCTAGGGGCAACAGGTTCCTCGCATAGACAAATAGGACAATTTTGCCCCTTCGAAACTACAACTCTAACTATTTGAGAATCTGGCAATGGAATATTTGGGTTATTCATTTGTTCATTGTAATCACCGTTATCCTTTACTAGAAACCTTGAATTGACATTAATAAAGGAGTCACCGGATAGATGAATATGATCTCTATTTTGTTCTTTTCTCTTGTTAGCTGCTCTTTTATAAGTGCTATCATTTTCATTATTTCTCTCAATCTCAGGAAGATTAAAGTCCAACAAATGTTTAATAGACACTTGGGTTTTTCTACCTTTCAATTTAAAGTTCCCATTAATGATTTCATCTTCAATAGATGAATTTAAATTGCCACTGAATTCAGTAAATTCGCTATCACTACTATTGCTTCTGACTTGTTTATATTGATTTTGTTGTTTCCTCTTGTACTGACCTTGTCTCTTAGTCGAATATTGTTTACTTTGGTTGCTGTTAGGTCTGTTAGAATATTTATTATAACCGTTTCCATTCTTATTCTTATGTTGCGTCCCCTTAATATTACTATTATTACTATTGTTATTATTACTATTATTCCCATTAGTAGAAGAAGATATATCTTTATCTGGCATATTCCCTTTAGTAAAAGAGTTCATGTCCTTCAAATTCAATGAGCTCATCGAGCTAGATAGTATAATATAAACCTTTAAAGTTATGAATTCGGAAAATAACAAAATGGAAACACCTGCACAACTCACTCCAGAAATGAGTAATTTATATATATGTATGTGAGTATGGTGTATCACTGGATAATGTTTTAAGCTAAAACGTTTAGCAAAAAAGAAAAAACGACTACTAACTGAGATGGATAAGGGTATATCACACCTTCAATCACTTTCCATCAGGGATATAAACAAATCACAAGATATTATTTAAACCTTGGTAAAACGTGTTCTATCTCCATCTCAACAACAAAAACGTGTTTCTGTATTTATTTATTTATCTATTTTGTTGATGTGATTGCTATTTTCTAGCAATCCCTCCAAAACAGACTCACTATACAGAAAAAAGCGTTACTAATATGCTCGCTCTTCTGCTCCCCTCTCCCACGGTTCGTTCCTGCGATTTTCACGCAACTGTAATTTTCAAAGTAATCTAAATAGAGAATCCAATGCTAGCCATGGGAAGGCACATTGAATATAAATAACCAAGCTAATGGGAAGGGATCTGAAGAGTATGATGATTGGTTTGTGCTAGCGAGTCTTTTATATAGTCCGTATTTATATAAAGTTTTCGTTGTGTTGTGGTTGTCGTTGAATTGCACTCGACGTTCTATTCATCAGGCAGACAATCATCAATTTGGGCGAATTTTCTAACCCATACTTGAATAACATATGGCATAGACATTAGAATATGTGCAAAATTGGCATACAATGGCTGCTGTATTGTGCCTCTTTCGCCAATCTCACATTTATATGTAATATATTTGGCTAGACTCTCGACATCGATAGTCGGAGCCCAAAATTGTCTAGGAGGTTCAAATCCTCCAAACATCTTTGTGTTGAGTTGTCCTGGTATGACTAGCAACGTCCTGATGTTATCGACATGATGTACTCTTAACTCTTGCTCGTATGATTGATGGAAAGATATTAAAGCAGCTTTTGATGCTGCGTATGCTGCAACTTTACAAGGATTTAATATACCTAGCACACTGGCAATGGTAACAACAAAACATTGGCGTTCATCATTTTCATTAGGTGTTAACTGTTTGATAACCTCTATTGCAGCAAAACAATTAACTTGAAAGATGCGTTTTATTTCGTCCTCATTTAGTTTGTTTATTGGTTTGAATGCGAGTCGAGTACCAGCATTATTCACTATTAGGTTAATTCTATTTTCAAATTGTTCTTTGATCGTTTGGACTGTTTCTTGTACATCAAGGGAATTTGACAAGTCGCATCTATAATACATTAATCGTTCATCTTTAATGGTAGAAGGGATTTTATCAATATTAATTATCGTAACGGAAGGAAATCTTTCGAGCAGAGTTTTTATAAGCGAATAACCTAATCCTCCGCTGCCTCCAGAAATTACTACCACGTTTCCAGTAATATCTCTTAAATTCTTCCATTCCTTGGTACATTTAAATTTGTATATCTTATTGAATGCATTGAATAGATAAAATGTTATGCTATATATCACGGAAGCAACTTTGATCCATACTGGAATCCATTGGCATGGTAAAATCAAAAGGCATGGATATTTCAAACATGGAAGAATGACACAATAAAAGATAGTATCAATGCTTATCATTCAGTAGATGTATGGAATCACTATTGTAATATTCGAGAATTATCACCTTTCTTAAACTCAATTATATGTAGAATATTTATATATGATTTTTTGTCTATATTGAAGGTATCTAATTTTTTTAAAATTTTCATTACATTAAGGAATTTATTAACTTGAAGAGATTTTAGTATTATAACATATTTTTCAGGAAAGTAAAATGGCCAAAACCAAACTTTCGTACATTTTATGTTCTAGAGGATAGCTACCTTTCTTAGTATAACCTTGTATGATGCAAATAATAATAGTTTTGTACGTTTGTTTACAATTTCAAAGGAAAATTCGTTACGTACAATTGGATTATAATACAACTTTTTATAAAATATAATAATAAGATTATTTACACTAATTTTATATTGTCCTTAAATATTGTTACATTGCTTATGTTTCCCTGGTTTATATTCCTACCAATTCACAAGTCATCAGTAACTGTCTACTTGGAATATCAGGATGACTCAGAACAACCTTAAATTCGTCATTTCCGGAAGAGCTAACCAAAAGCACCTTTTTCCCTTTTATAATTTGATTCGGTATCATCCTGCTTAATGATACAGTGGAATTCTTTAACGAGTATATTTGGATTAAGCTATCCCCAACTAGTATTAAATGATCCTTATAATAACAAGTTCCAGTGCAATAAAAATCCAAAATTAAGATATCCTCAGTCCAATCAGGTATCTCACCATGTTTATTCACCTTCACAACCGCTTCATCATAAACAATCAAAAAGTTCCCAGTACCATCATTCAGCTCAAAACAGGTCAGAGGTTTAGTTTTATTAGTGGCTATGTCTCTTTTCACAAATCCTGCCATCTTATGTGTAGCTATATCTGAATGGGATGACATGTCACTACCTGATTTGAATAAACTGGAGTTAAATAGACCTGAATTTGTATCGCTTTTCATAGTAGAGTCATTATAAAAAGTCGGTAAAATAATACATTCTTCACCGAAGACATCTCGATATAGAAGTGCACCTTTAGTGGTACATACAATAAAACACTTTTTGAGTACAACAATGTCATATACGTCAAGTCTTGTCAGACCATTTGATGGAAGCTTATACTCCTTATACTCTTTGAAATACTTGAAAACTTTGCTTACATTATCAAATTCAGGAGTTAATATCATTATTTTCCCCTTCCTTTCATACAGTAAATGCCTTGAATGCCCAAAATCACTGGCAAATTTGAAATACCCAACTTTGTCCCTAAGAACAACACCAATTATCAAATTGCTAGATAAATATTTCTTTCTATCATAATAAGCCCCAAATATGCTTGGAATATTGAAATAACACAGATTTCTATCATCTAATATAAATAGAAGACCCAATTTTTTATTGACCTCCATTTTACTAACAAAACCACATTGGATAACCTTCACAAATGGTGTATCTACACCGTTATCTAATCGTACCAATATACCATTTGAAGTAGCTACAAGCAAAAATTTCTCATCTTCAAACTCGAATTCTTCTGTGCATAAAATGTTAGTAACCATTGGAAAGTTTCTCAAATTATCGTTGTTTCTATTATTCACCTCATAACTTTTTAGTGCATAATCTATTTCAGACCCTTCAGGGGCAACTGGTAAATTTACGGGAGCATCTTTATCTGAGTAAGAAAATTGAGTAGATACTACAAAGAAATCTAAAACATTACTATTATCATTTTTTTCATTGTTTTGTAAAGCTCCCAGTATATTCTTGATCCATAATTCTTTCTCATTTAGATTGGAAGTGATGAATGTTATTGATTCATTAGTTGCAGTGTTTCTGATTTTGAATGATAGTTCAGACTCAGATGGTTGAACATTCGAAATACCAGTCCGAGTTTCTCTTTGTTTTGCCGATACAATGGTCCTGGACGCATTAGAGGCACTATACAAGTTAGGTCTTGAACCGGTCAAGGGTGTTGAAGGTGTAATTGTAGAATAAACCTTCGAATCTCTTTTATTAGAGGAGAGAACACTTTGTGAGTCATCATACTTAACTTTCTTTTCTAAGTTAAGATAATCAATAGGAATAGGTCTTTCGACAAGTTTATATTTTTTATTATCATTCTTGACAATTGTTTCTGTTACTAACAGATAATTGTCCAACAATACGAGAAAAACAGGTGTTGGATCCAGCCAAAGTTCCCTCTTTTTTAGAACTTTCCCACTTAGGAGTAACATTCTCTCCGGGTTATTAATACCAATATCTAAAGAATCGTTTGTTTGTTCGCCATAATTCACATCGTTGTTACTTGAGTTTAGCACATTGGAATAGCCATGCAATGAACCTTTGGATGGAACGTCCCTCAGTAGTTGACTGGAAAATCTTAACAACTTCCGACGATCAATAGCATTTCCATGTACTTTGTCAACTTCCGAGCTCAATTTTTCTATATCTTTTATCACCATTGTTAAATAATCATAATCTTCCATAGAAGGATCGGTAACTTTTAAAATAGAACTCAGAGTAACAGTCATATTTTGTAATGACTTAAAATAACCACCAAAAAAAATCACGTCGTAATACATTTTTGATCGGGTAATTTCAGGGGAATGATCTACTTCATCTAACCATCTCGAAAATCTAGTTCCATGTTGCTTCTCCCACTTTATAATTTCATGTACAGTTGCCATGGCCTTTGCATATCTCAGATAAGACTCGCGGGCTTCATTGCACCATTTCAAGTATATTGTTCCAATACCATCAATGAATTTTCCTTTTATTTCAATTTTACGAAATATGGGCTCAAGTATGTATGTCTTGTGAATATCTATTAGCGGCCTGAAAACATCAAAGGCTAAATCTGAGAAATCTTGTTGATCAGGTAATAATTTAGGATCAAACCTTTTCCCATATATCTCAACAGCAGCATTTGCCATATTTAATGACCTCTCCTCTAGAATAATCAAATCAAATATATAACTTTGCCTTTGAATTTCATGCGGATTTATCTGACTCAATTCTTCAGAGGATATATGCCAATAATCTGTCCACAACCCTAGAGGTTTCTTAATAATATCCGCAAGCTTAACTTCTTTCCTCTTACCATGAGAGTGACTATTCATACATATGAATGAGTAACATGACGAAGAACAGACTTGTTCGAATGTCGTGTCTGCAAAAGAATAACAAGGTAACAATTCTGTAAATATTCCTTGCACGTCAAGACCCCCCGTAATGACAGTGAATTCACCATCTATAGTGTCTACCGTTTTATCGAATGCCTGTTGTGGCTGAGGTTGACTTCTTTTTTCGAACCGTACTGCATCTTGAATTACCAATGATTCTATAATTTTATCAACATTCGAATCTATAGTGTCTTGGTCACACGAATTTGGAACTTGAAATTCTAATAATCTTTGTACAACTTGGTAAAATTCAAGTTTTCCAAAAACATATTCGTTAAACCATTCGAAATATATTTTCAAAATCCATTCGTAAATATCTGACAAGCGATAAACACAGTAACATTGGTACAATTTGTTCTCATCCAGGAAATCTATATGAAACGGCTGTGTCGGAGTTGTTATACTTGGGATCATCTCTAATGGTTTCCCACCAGAAAATGAATTGTAACTACTATGACGTGCACTGGAATTATTAAAAGTATAATTGGAATCAGAATAGTAACTGTCAATTCCATCCAATTGTCTACTAACTTCACTAACCACTCTAGAATTTGGGATCGGACGAGGAGGTCTACTATAAAATTCGATATCAGTATCAATGGTCATACCAACTTTGATTGAATCATTGAGTTGATCTGACTCTTCATTGGTTGATGAAAATATATGCTGTTCCGTATTAGATATACTAGAGGACAATTCAGGATCCTGATGTAGATCACCGACAAAGGGAGAGGGATATGCTACTGTTTTGAGAGATTTTAACTGGTTTTTATTTTGATCGTATAAATAGTTTGTCGAGCTTGGTTTACCAACAAAAGGTGAATCATATAGCGACATGTTATTATGGAAATTTTGTTCAGGAGTCACAGGTGAGAAGCTCCTATATGAAGGGTTAGGAGTTGAAGAATTGTTGTGATAAATTGAAGAAGAACGAGGTGGTGGAGGAGGCGGTGGGGGCCGCCTCCGAATTGTTGGTGTCTTTCCTTGTACTATTCGTCTAGATGTCGAACTTTGGGCAGAAATAGGTGTGCTTCTCGAAGCTGCATATTCTCTTTCAACCTCTGAAGAATTAGAGGTGAATCGTGAAGGAGTACTCAATTTAGGTCTCTCTTCATGTTCGTAATCAAAGTGGCTATCATTTGAAGCTCGCGTTCTTAATGGAGGTAGTTTTGGCAATGGTATATTTTTATCGTTCCTCCTCTTAGGAGTTGCATAATGAGCATTATTGTCGTTACTGCTGTCACCATACATGAGAGACGACCAAATTATAATTGACGATATTAGCCTATTTTTGAGTTTCTTGTTATTCTTGTTTTGACTGATCTGATCTAATAGAAACCCTACAATAAGAAGATGTTAGAGAGTCGAAACAATCGAACCGTATCTAGTGGTTATTTCTCTGTAATTAGTTCAGTGAAATATAAACAGTATAGATGTCTAAACTGGTTATTTAGTTTTATGAAAGTACAGGTTCAATACGTTTGAGCATTTGTTGATGTATAGGGTCACGTATATGGATTGATGCGGCTTAGACAAGCTCGCTCTGTTCTTGATATGAGAAATTTGGCTTAATTTAAGAAAGAGTAAGATATTGATGGAATGTTGTGAACTTAAAAAATGAGAATAATAACTAATACATCCAATCACAGCCGGATGCTTATGCTATATGTGATCTAATATTAACCAAATCGTCATTATTATTTTCATAAGATTACAGATCTTTTTACGTCAACAAAATTGCCGCTATATTTTCTGAAATGTTCTTTCATTAAATTATACCTTAACAATGATATAACTTTGTTATATTATTTGATAGATTAAATCATTAGAGTTGTCTAATTTCTGGCGAATTGTCACAACATTCATTTCTTAAAGATATGTAATAACGAATCAAGGAATTAAATGGAAACTCCCAAAAAAAAGTAACAAAAAAGAGCTGGCATAAGGATTTAAATAAAATGGCGTTATGTGTCTATTTTTTGCCTGACAAATAGTTCAGGTAAATTTGCAATCACCTGTAAGAATGATTATGATCCTGCCATTATTCCTTATATTCTTGAACTTAAATGTTTTTGTTAGCTTTGGCTATCATTAATAGAGATCAGAAATTAGGAAAGGACATAACGATTATTTAAGTTATTATCTATTAATACCAATTATGTCATCTTCTAATACACTTGGATATAGTCTCTATTTTTGATACAAGTATGGGATACTGAGTATATAGGAAAAATAAATATTTGTAAATTGGAAAACTCGTTACTTTAGATATGAGGAATCCTACCAGACCCCAACTTTGTATAACAAAATCCTAGGTTTAATAATGGAATATTTATAGTTGTGTCCCATCCTTCTGGTAAAATCTTTTAACCAATGATCGTTTAGGTAATCAGTTTACTACTTAACAATCGTTTAGGTAGCAAGAAGAAATGATATATCGGTAAAATTAAATTATATATAAAGACAAAGAATTCTGAACGCACATTCGAAGTTAGATTCTATTCTTTCTATAAATTATATATAATATAAAGAGACTGATTGATTATCGTATTAAAAAATGTCAGAATTAAATAAAGTAAAGCTTGAAGAGACTGATAGAGGCAAACACTCTTTCTCAGATTCTCTACACTTTTACAACTCATTATTTTAGAAGTTGAATAATCTTCAAAATTATGTACCTTTTATTAAGAACCTCTCTAATATAAATGAAACCACAATTACTGTTCCTCTATAGCCTCTTCAATTGTTTTCCCATTGTACCAGATTTGTAAAGATTAAACTGTAATAGTGACAGAAATTATGTGGAATTGAGATATCTCAAATATATTACGAAGCATGTTAAAAAATGAAACAAAATATGTGGCATTATGAAACAAAGTTAATCGTATTATGAAACAAAACATAATTCGAACCTCAATTGATATTGGAATAAAAATATATATAAAGACAAAGAATTCTGAACTTACATTCTGAGTTAGATTCTATTCGTTCTATAAATTATATACAATACAAATAATCACTTACAAATATAAGAGAAAGATAACAATTATATTTTGCTTACCTAACATTAAAACTTAAGCTTCGCCATTCACCTCTATACCTAACACCTTTAATAATGAACGAATATAAGTCTAACCACAGTATGTCTGCTTCAGCTCAAATAGCTACTATATAAGTGCATTCTGGTTATACACCACAAAAATATTATTACATCCTGATTATGGTACACCTTTAATTATCACGATAGTTTTCCTTTCTCAAACTCTAAATTATAATACAATCTATTATTTTAAAACTTTTGAATTTAAACAAAATAAACAGTAGAAACTGTTGAAATGTAGCGGCAGCACTAAAAGGCTAACATTAGATTAACCTATCTGAAGCTGAAGGTAGCTAATATAAGTAGAATTTAGAGTGTGCTGCACTACCGTATATATAACAACAGATGATATATACTGCATAATGTAGTATTCGTTCCCCCTACATTGGGTTTATTGGAGCCACATTGTCCAAAGTTACTATGCACAACAGAGTTGCAGTTTCACAACATCAACTCTGTTCTACAGAAACAAGAACAAAACAGAAATTGGTAAAGATTACCCGGTCAACATAGTTTACTCAAATACTAAAATATCTTGCCAGAGAGACATCAATTAATTGACTTCGTGGCCAAGCTGGTTAAGGCGTGCGACTGTTAATCGCAAGATCGTGAGTTCAATCCTCACCGAGGTCGTTATTTTTATATTTTTCTATTTTTGATATTACTCTGAAAGTTCCGTGTTCGACCTCCCGACCGGTCACTTTATTGTTACCCAACAAACGGAGACAGAGAGCGAGAAATATGAAATTTTCACCAAAAATATTCAGTTAAATTCACCTTTGTCTCCCGAATCCGATTGGCTGACTAAGGATTCTTTCATAATTAGGGAAATGAATGAATTGGTTTTTAAATTCGAATTCGTTACATAATTATATTTTTTAAACACTATTGTTTACTTTGAATTCAGTTCAAAAGAACAATTATAAAATTGAATACATAACTTCATTGTGTATTTTTAATTAAAACGTGAAGGTACATTAAGGAGTGTTAAACAATGTTTCGCCACCTAGTAAGAACTAGCAGAACTACTGCAGGATTGATAAATACTAGATCTGTATTGATCAAAAGATCTACTGTACCACTCATTGTACGTTCATATTTTTCAAGAAATGGTTATAATTATGAAGAACCACAACCTAGCAAATTAGTATGCTTTTTGTTAGGTGCCACAGCAGCTGCAGGTGGTATTTATTTCATCAAACCAAATAGACCAAAGCCTAAGAAAGTTGAAGAAACCCCTATCACCCCACCACAGGAGAAAATATTTAGTATAGAACCACCAATGAGTGAAGAAATATTAGTACACGAGGAATCTGTTGAAACGCCTGAGCAAGAACCAATTGAGAACGAGGAACCTATAATTGAAGAGGAAACGATTATTGTTGATGAAGTAACCGATCCTGCAGTAAACGTTGGAGAGAGTGATATTGTAGATGTTGAAACGAGAGCCACTGCTGTTGCTGATATTGAAACTGGTGCTACTGATGTTGCTGAGATTTTGGACACTCATATTGTAAGAAAAAATAATGACACCAAGAAATCAAAGATTGATATTGCTGAAAAAGAGAATGCAAAATTAGGTGAATTGGAAGAAGAAACAAAGAAAGAATCAGCATACAATCCAGATACTGGTGAAATCAATTGGGATTGTCCATGTCTAGGTGGGATGGCTCATGGTCCATGTGGTGAAGAATTCAAGGAAGCATTCTCATGTTTCATTTATTCTGAATCCGAACCAAAAGGTATAGATTGTATTGAGAAATTCCAAGGTATGCAAACCTGTTTTAGAAAATACCCAGAATACTATGCCGAACAATTAAAGGATGAAGAAGATGCCGAAACTGTCATGCAATCTGAAGAATTTTCTCAGACTAATGGTGATGGTACCTCTGCAGTTTTATCGGAGGAAACCATTAGCCTAAATGAACAAGAGTCGCAACCATCCGCCAACAAAGTCACGAACCAGGAGAAGAAGGAAGAAGAACCGTTCGATTTAATTGAAGAAATTGAATTAACTGAAAGTGATTAGAATGTAACTGTCATAGGCCCTTCTACTTCTCACTCCAATAAAAATCGATATTTGATAAAGTTATTTCCTTCTCCTAATATTAATATCTGAGAATAAAAGAATATATAATTGTGCGTATATTATCGTATGTTTAAACAATTACATGTAAATAATATATAATTCATCATTACATTTATAACAACAAACTTGAAGTCTAGTGAAAATATTATGATCATCATCACCATCATCGTCTATCTATTTGAGAACAGCTGCCGGTCATATAAGCAGATGTGTCATTTTGTATAAAAATGTTGGAAGATATTTTCCTTCTTCTTTTTCTGCCCATAGTATATCATCTTTCATTGCAATATTCATCCTTTTATCATTAATTGTATTTGAAACCTCAAATATGGGGACCAATAAGCTACTATCTTTCCCATATTTCAAATGTGCATACTTATTAGAAATCTTTCTAATAAAAAACCCATGTACTTCACAAAATTCCTCAACTATCTCACGAAAGGTTGGCCTAATCCTACGCATAGGGATATTTGTCATATTATAAATAGGTTCCTTTCTATCATCATCTGACACCATATCAACTCCATAAATGTTCTCTAGACTTCTCTCTACATTGAAGTCTTCATTATGTATTGGATTAATAGTATTGCTTAACTTCCATTCATTTAGAAACTTAAAGGTATTCTTTATTTCTAATATCTCTTTTTCATTTGGTAACGGATCTAAAAATGTACTATTTATAAACCAATTGAACCAGAAAATAGAGGCTCCCTTAGATTCATCATCAGCATACAGCAACCACTGGAATAAAACCTTGTTCAGCTCATTAAAGATAAACTTCAATAGCAGATCATACTCTGAAGCGTCAAATAGGTTAACGTAGGAACGAAATGTTTTAACAGCTGCTATGGAATCAGCTTCATCAATATTCTCTTTTACATCATTCCATTCTTCAAGTTCAATTAATGGATCATAGTATTTCTCTAAATAATCCTTCAAAAATGTTTTAGCAAAATTCCTAATACAGTTGTTTTTAATTCTATCATCTTCGTTTAGAAAATTCTTTATAAATATTAAATCAGAAGAATTCGGTATAGTAGAAGTTTTATAATCCCAATTCAAGCAGTACTGATAAAATTTATCAAATAGTAATTGCTTCGCTGCGGAAATCATTTTTTCAGAGGCAATTGTATTTTGCTCATATAGCCAATGTCTGGGAGAATCCTCATCGACAGAGTCTGTAAGATTCCAAGCTTTGACGGATTTAATTAGCTGTGGTGTAATATAAGTCTCTAAAATAAAATCATAACAACCAATATATTTCAATATACTCTCATAATTCAATAAATATTGGATAACCGTATCATAACTTTCACGACCTCTTGATAAATCAATCGTACTCCAAAAGTTTTCCATTTTAGTAAAGACTAGTTCGTATAATACTGTTTGTGTTCTATTCAAAAAACCCTTATTCGTTTCTAACCTATATCTTAAATTTTCTAACATATCAGTCAATGAACTTAAGATAGTACCACTAGGGTCTAATGGATCCCAAGCAACTTGTGTAAGTGTTCTATGTATCTGGTTTGCAATCAATTTATCGACAGTATCATCGTTTGGCAACTTAAGAATCATATGAAGTGAATCAGAAAAGTCAGATAGCGTTGAACTTTTAAGGAATTCCAAAACTTTAACATATTCTTCGATGTTATAGATGTCGTTTTCTACTATAGGAATTTCATTGTCTAACAGACTTAATCTGTTTAGCGTACCACTCATTTCAGTTAAATTCAACTTCAGCTTACTTCTTCTTTGAAAGAAAGTGTTGTCATCCATTTCATTGATATTTTCTTTCAAAGTTAACAGGACAGGGGTGTCCGAGTTAAAATAATCGATTGCTGAGTTTAAGTCCAATTCATTCAAAAGTCCGGTGACATCTTTACGACCACCTTTCTCAAGACTCATAGACTCTATTTTTTCAGACTTTTTAAACGAAACTGGTTTGGCTTGCGTAGAATATTTCACATCTTCATCAGAGGAACTTATACTATAGTCATCATTTATAGACTGTGTCATTGACAACATACCTAGACCAGCTCTCTGGAAAGCTGGGGATGACGCACTCTCAGTTTGAATGGGATTTACTATACCTGAACTATCGGCACCTAACCCTTTACCACTAACATATCCCATTTTGGAAAGTAGCTGAGCACCAATCCCATATCGCTGTTTTAGTTTGCCCTCTTTGTCATTGCCCTGTATATGATGTTTCTTTGTCGGCGCTACTTCACTAGGATAAGCTGACTTTCGCTTTTCCATTCTTTTAATATCACTCTTGGACCGTCGGTTCAATGTATTACATCTACTATTGGGAGGTATGACTTATTACTACAACACCCTTGTTATTTAACTCATCTCAAGTGTATTTTGTTTACTTTTCTATTTTCCTTTAGAATTTTTCAATACGTAAGCCGTCAAGCGAGTCATACCAATAGTGAGAAATAACAAAAGTATGAGAAACAACACATATGAGAGTGACCTCTGTTTAATATTTAATTCTAATGGTAGTTTTGGGATCATTAAATGGTTAAATATCTTGAATAAAGGTAGTTTGTTTATGATGTTCCACCCATTCCCTTAAAAATTTGTTTATTATTATCAATAAGAACAACATCCAGATATAAATGAGACTAACTAGACAGTTAAAAAAACAGAAATATATTCAAAAAATAGCTATCTAAGATTTGAATGTACCTTGAAAAAATTCATGAATTAAAATCTTAACGTAGTAAATATAGCTTTCTCCTTTCAACAAATATTTTAAGCAAAATAAATTGCAAGAACATAATCCAAATTTTCATTCGCTTGATCTACTTTCATCAAACTTCCTCAAATACAAAATGAATCTGTTATACTTTAAATATAACCTATAAATTATATATCTTTGAAATTTTAAAAACTTTTGATTGAAATTTTGCAACTGTATTTCTCTTTAAGGAGTGGTTAGTTTGTTACTTTAATCTGACAGATGCCTAGATGTATCTCGAGGTCATAGTATCACCTTAATAGACCAAGTAATGTAAAATTAGAATCCCATTGTTGGAAATTTTTTCTTTGAAGCGCATCAAGCGTTAGGGGGAAAGTGTTGAATATGTAGCGGCAGCACTAAAAAGGCTAACATTAGCTTAACCTAACTGAAGGTGAAGGTAGCTAATATAAGTAGAATTTAGAGTGTGCTGCACTACCGTATATATAACAACAGATGATATATACTGCATAATGTAGTATTCGTTCCCCCTACATTGGGTTTATTGGAGCTACATAGTCCAACGTTACTATGCACAAAAGATGAGCAGTTTAACAACAGCAACTCTGTTTAACAATTATAACATGATCTGAAACTTATTGTTTCATTTACTATTTTATATATAAATTAATTTATTTGGTCCTTTAACTCTCTTACACAAACGTTTAACAAATTATTATGGGCGTGTGGCGTAGTTGGTAGCGCGCTCCCTTAGCATGGGAGAGGTCTTGGGTTCGATTCCCAACTCGTCCATTTATTTTTCCCCTTCAAACGACCGACCCAAGTCGGTTGTGTTCAATCCAAACTACAAGTTGAACTCATTCCTTTCAACTTCATTTCTTATTAGATGTTGACCATCTTCAAGGTGTTGATTATTTTTTTTGTTATCTATTGCTTGCTATGAATCGTAACTAATGTATTCATTGGAAGAAAGAATAGTAAAAAAAATCTTGCCCATTTTATTTTGATAGTCTTTAAATTATAAAAAAAATTTACAAATCAATTATATTATAAAAAAATTAATTAGTTCTGAAAAAGATTGTTGCTATATTTCAATCCCAAATTGTAAAATCCTGTAATTCTGTGAATCCATCCTCAATTTTAGGAGCGAATGCACTATCCATAGCGTTACCTAAATTACCCATATTCATCATGGCTGGACCAGCAACCCCTGCCATATTATCATACATACCTGCATTTGAATTATGTATGCTACTGTTGTAACCACTATTATTGCCCACAGGTTGCATACCACTACCGGCAGTATTCATATTATTTCCCGGTAAGTTCATGACAGAGGCCATATTGCCCATGCTCACATTGCTATTTAAACCACTTTGGGAAAAGCTATCCATACCGTTTGTATTCGGAGCACCTATATCAGAAATTGGATTAAATTCGTTGATAGCAGCCATGACACTGTTAGAGTCAAACAAGTCCCCAAAGTTCGAGTTTTGGACAAAGAAATCGTCCGAATTTGGTGTTAATGTAGAATTTATCAAATTGGCGTTATTAACAGCTAGGTTACTTCTGGAGGCAACGTTACTGTTAGAATCCTGGAAGAAATTTGATACAGATGGTAGGGGCATACCCATCGGAGAGGCTGCATTTAATGGAATATTCATACCAGGTGCTGGTGAGTTAACAGCAGATGGGTAAGATGAATTTCCATTACCGTTGAAACCTTGTTGACCTGTCATCATGCTTGGCGGAACATTTTGAACCTTTGTACCATCTAGAGTCATACCGGTAGAAGATATACCAGATGATAATGTTTTTCCTTGATTCAAAGCCGGAGTAACCACAGCATTATTCAACTTCCTTCTCTTTTCAGAAGCATCCTTTTCTGCTTGTTGCTCTAACTTACGTATATTACTATTTGTATAAGTAATTGGTTTGTAAGACGACCTTATTGGAGGCAACTGCGTAGTAGACGATGTAGATGGAACTCTTGGTCCAACAAAACCTAGAGCGTCTTGATAAACAGGACATCTCTTCAATTGGTCAGTATTACCAGACATGATTAACGAAGGAACATTTTTGAAGAAACCAGAAATCTTTGGATGCTTCCACGTAGTTAGATTAAAGCCACCCTTCTTAGAACCACTTAATAATGTGATAAAGAAACCAGTAGATCTGTAAGTTCTTGTTGCATATGGATATTGTACTGCTATTTGTTTGGTTAATTTCTGGAAGAGTTTCATTCTTGCAATCAATATATTAGCAAGTTGGAAATCAGCAACAGAATCTAATGCAATACTATTTATCATATTGGAACTCAATTCTAATGGGTCCCTTACACTTCCATAGTTGGAGCTCGAATCACTAGAATGGGAGTCATTATCTGAGTCCTCACCACCACTACTGTTATTGGAGAAGATATTTTCCTTCATACCACCAATTGGACCACATTTGGAACGAAGTGTTAAACACACTAAAAACTGTAAGGCTCTATGACCAATATCCAAACAATGAGGTGTCAACAAAATGTTGACATAATCAAAAATGGTTGAATGGTTGTGTAAAATTTTATCCCTCTTAACATTGTTGAAGAATATCAAACAATTCCTGTATCCATCTGTAGCAAAATTTAGTGTTTGTTGGGCGTAATTTTTAGTTAGCGCAATAGTACCACTATCTTGACTACCCATTGGTTCATAATGTGTAAACAATATGTAATTCAGTAAGTAAAGTAACATTCTTAAAGTCAAATGTTTTGTGAAGAAAAGAGCTTTTGTTGTAGACTCGTGAGGTAATTCAAACTTCTTCTCAGAGGGAGCAGTAGAGTGCTTCTTACCTGACACAGAAGATGCAGGTGAGGCACCAGTAGTAGAGCCCGGTGTATTCATAGCTGACATTGGACTAGAGACACTCGAATTTCCGATCGGAGTAGCAGTACTTGAAATAATTTCTTCTAAACTTGGTAAGCCATAACTTTCATCGGTGTAATCTTGGAAATTAATAGAACCTTCTGAGGTTGTCAACAACCCATTGTTAATTAAATCATTTAAAACGTCACCTATACTTTTCTTTGCATATGTCAAATTGGATAAAGATTGGATTAATTCATCTAACTCGAATTTCCTAACATTCTTAGCAAGGAACACGTTTAAGATATTATTTAGGACGGCAATGATAACCAGATCAATTTGCCAGAACAAACTAAAGTTCTTAATGATAATTAATTCCTTAATATCACGTACGTAATCAATCTTAGATGCGGATGGTAACTTTGTATCACTAAAATCTTTCAAATTTCTCAATAATCTTGGAGTACCCAATGTTAAAGATTGTTGGACATCCAAATGGACAATAAAGAACCAAATTTTTCTCCATGTGTGTTTGAATCTTTCTGTAGTTATTTGATTTTCCTTTACGCTAGAATTACCTTCTGGGTTACCATTGGCTCCAGCATTGTTTGAATTATTTCTTTGACTGTTGTTGTTTCCAACGTTCATAGTAGTACCAGCTGCACCTTGACCATATGTGGATACGACGTTTAATTGAGGGAAATTATCTGGATCTCTATGTAGACCACAACTAAAAGCCATCTGGATAATTGATGATAACAGAATTTGGTTCAATTCACTATCATGAGAGTTTGGATCACTAATACTATGGAAACTGTTGTTATTTCTCTTGTTGGCGAAACCTTCTGTTGGGGAATTCATCATGTAAATCTTATACAGAATAGCAAATTGGATTGTGGTTAGATTAATGTTATTGTTTGATATAGATGAGATTTTATCGAATTTGATCAAGTTATCCTTTACTAGATTTAGCAATTCCATAGGAGTTTCATGTTTCATTAATTGGTTATCTTCCTTGTTGTTAGAGTTTGTGTTAATATTCAAATGAGATGCAAGATAAGAGTTTGTTAACTCGGTGTTACCCAAATTAATTTCACATCTATTAGCCGGTAAGGATAACCATGTCAATCTTAGAATAATAATCATAATACCCAGATTACAATAATCAGATGATTTTGCCATATGTAACTCCAATTTCTTATCTGGTGTTTCATGAAGGATTTGAATTAAATGATTCTTAAAATTTTGCTCATCTATAATAGGAATAATTGGGTATATGTGTTTAAAGAATTTATCGATAAATGTGAGTATAATGTGTCTTGGAGGTAACATTGAAATTACTTTAGTGACAATTTGTTCATAAGTCATTTGTTCAGTGGTCTTAGCCATTAAACTTGGTTCCGTCTCCTGTGGTACTGGACATTTCGAAGTCAATTTTTGGAATGATGGTAAAGGGTTGGTTGCAGATGGAGCAGCTGTCTTTGGTTGAGCTTTATTATCACTATCAGTCCTCTTCATCTGTTGATTTATTGAATCCATTTCTGATTCATCTGTTTCCGTAGGGAATCTATGTGCCACGGGACATTTACTAATATCTCCTGTGGAGCCTGCGGGCAATGGATGTGGAGCAATTGACATACCACCAGTCGTAGATGCCATTACAGGGACTGGAGAGGATTGTGGCTCCTTTTTAACAGCTGGTCTAACGTCAACAAATCTATGAGCCACAGGACATTTACTTATGTCACCTGCACTACCAGTAGGTAATGGATGTGGAGCAATGGGTGTTGAATTCGAACCTGAAGTCGATTGTGGTGTTGGTGGTGGTGGGGTATCTATCTTAATTCCTTGAGCTTTAGCTTGTGCAGTACCCACTAAACTTTTATAATCGATAGGGCATTTACCTGAAGAAGCAAATTGTAAATTTTGAAAACTTTTTGAAGGATGAGGAGGACGTTTAGCATTTGATACCCCGTTACTATTACCAACCATTCGTTGAGAATACCAATCATTGACTCTTTCTCTAATATTAAAGATATGACCCCATAATAATTTCAAATATGGGTCACCTTTCATGATAGCCAGCCAATGTGTGGCCCCTAGGTGAATTGTCCCATTATTTTTAATATGTAACATATCGAATTGTTTAGTTAAATCTAATTCGTCGTTGTCATATTTATCTCTTGGATTAGCAGTACTGGGATGATTAGTAGCTGCGACCAAAGAGCCTAAATTATCTGAGTTTGACTGAGTTTGACGATCCATAGCACTACCATTTGAAGAAGATGAAGAATCGTTCATGACTAAAGCACTATTATTACTAATCGAAGGCACCGGACTGTTCATGTTCATATTAGTGTTATCTGGAGTATTAGCCACAGTATTAGAGTTTGAAGTTGATGAATGAATTTTTGATAGAGCTTTTTCTAAATATTTCACTCTGTCTCTTAAATTTTTCAATTCAGCTTCCTTAGATAATTCCTTTTCAGCTTCTTCAGCCCATGATTGTTCCATATAATGACATAAATGAGCTACACCGGTCTTAGTACATTGATTACAATGTGGTCTAATCTTATCACATTTAACTTTTCTTTTACGACAAATAGTACATGATAAAGGGATTCTATTTCTCTTTCTCTTTGATTTTTTATCTTTTTCTTTACTTGAAGAAGAAGGTGTGTTTGCTGAAGGTGATGCAGATGCAGAGACAGCTGCAGATACGGATGCTGTACTATTAGGAGTTCCGATATTAGTAATATTAGTACTGGTATTATTACTATTACTATTACTAGTACTGTAACTATTATTGTTATTATTATTATTATTATTGTTGTTGTTCATATTTATATTCATATTCATACTCATGTTATTCATGTTATTACTATTATTATTATTATTATTATTTTGCATGGTTGGACGCATCATATGCTGAACTTCTGGCGAAAATGTATCAGCTGGTAAAGCGATCGACGGTTGTGTATTCATTCGTACTAATGTGAAATTCAATCCTATTCTTTTACGTTTCTCAGGTTAATATAATATTGCGATTTCTTTTCTCGATAGGATGACTTATTACTACTACTATTATTATTATTACTAAAGCAAAAAAAATAAATAAATAAATATAAATATCTTAGTAAGTTATAGTAGATCTCAACTCGAGAACCTGTATTAACTGAACAATTTTTAAAAAAACTGCAATACTGATGATGATCGTATCGTTTGTGGGAATCTTACTAATTTTCCTATTCCACGTTGCGGTTGATGGGTCAAAAGTTGTTGATGAAAGAGAGATGGGATGTGAGAGAAGGGACTCGTTTCTCTCTGTCTCTACCTCTTACTTCGTTTGTAATTTTGCCTTCTTCTTCTTCTTTTATTTTTTTTTTTCGTTTTTTTTCTTTCTTCTTTCCGAGTGCTCGTTCCGTGTTTTCTCTTTCATGCGGGTGTTAAAATTCACGTTCGTTTCTCTAAAGTGTGACAGAAATCGCCATTTTTCAACCTTTTTGAAATTAACGCCGGCGGGGTTTTCTGTTTGGCCGGAAAGAGCAGCGATCTCCGCGTCGGTTTTTGGGTCGTTCTACACAGCAGCGGAAGCAGGGGAACGGAAAGGTATTCTGTTAACTCAGTTGCGCTCGTTGCTAGTGATGTCCGCGGGGGTCACGTGAAGACTGAAAGTTTCTCCTTTCGTGTAGAATGATATGGGTTTGGGATGACACTACACTCTCCCATAATGGATAAAATACCAGTTATCACAAGGTGACACTGCTTTAGATTAAACTAATGAGATCACGTAGACGATGTAAGTGTGCATTACACGGTATTCCTATATTTGAATAAGGGTAGGCCAATACGACATTTTGTGGCGTTGTGTATCTCGCATCGAATGCAATGGTCTTGTTGTGGAATTTGTATTGCTTATTCTACCTTTCATATGTACTATCTACACATATATAATTTTGAATGCTTCTATTTACAATATATATATATGTAATTTGAGTGGAGGGGAGAATTATCTAGAGAACGTTCCACATGCGGGAGATAAACTGATGGTACCATAGAATGGTGTCGTACAAGAATAACTGGTTACGGCGTCTTTCGTAACGTATCCAATTCATAATATAAGTGAGCGTCCATCTTAGGGTCCAACGACCATTAATGTTGTCGTTCTGTTCACAATCCTCTCCATAGACAGTCTTTGAACAATACTGGGTCATAATTAAAAAAGTGCGTTCGGGACCCAGCGGATTATGCAACGATTCATCCAAATATCTAGTCAGATCATTTGTCTTAAGAATCAGTAATACAATTCTAGGGATTCGAGATAAGATACTCATTAAGTCCGGTAAAAACTCTCCATCCATGAAACGAGATGTCATCGAACTGATTTCCTCTTTACTTCTTCGAGTGCTGATATCATAATGTAACGCCACATCTATACTACGACCCGTAATGGCAGCGGCAAATAATGGGAATTGTTCATCGTTAATATTAGCAAACCGTTTAGCATAAAAACGCATCTTGTCTTGATCTTGATCTAATAATGCTAACCAAAATCTCGCATAATCTCTTCTCATTTGTGTCTCTGGGAACCTATATAAACCATGATCAAATAAAATAATTTCAAAATTATGAGGGTTGTTACTCGTTGGAGTCACGGGTCTAATGGCTAAATTACCCCCATGAGGATCACAATGTAGACCAACATTTGGTGTAAAGATCATGTTACTAAATATATGTGACAAACATGACGATACTTCAACCCTTGATATACGGTTGCTATCAATAAACTCTATATTATCCAGTCTTTTACCTTCGACATATTCCATAATCAGAATTCTTTGATGTGCCTCGATAACATCTGGCACTTTTAGTGCTGTCATCTTAGTAAATTTCTTGAAATAACTCTGGGTATTAATTGCATTTTCTGCTTCTTTATTAAAATCTAATTCTGTGTATATCGAAGATTGTAATTCATCACCGAGCCACATTAAGGGATATTCTGGAAACACCCTATCCATTAATGAAAATACCGTCTTTGTTAAGATGACATCCACAGGAATAAATTCTTTTAATTCTGGGTGTTGACATTTCACTGCAACATTTTGTCCCGTTGACCTCAACTTCGCAATATAAACTTGTGCTAAAGACGCTACACCGATAGGTACGTCATTAAATTCACTAAATGTCTCGGCGATAGATTTACCTGTGTCACTAATAAACATCTCATTGATCGACTCTATAGAAGATTCAGGACATTGGTCCTGTAATGGAATCATAGTCTCTGTCCATTCCATTGGTAATAAATATGTCATTGCACCGATGTGTTGACCAAATTTAATAAAGATCCCTCCATTAGTTCTTAAAGCGTCCAATGTAATAAGTGCACATTGGCTGTGACATTTTGATAATGCTTCCTTTCTAGATTCTTCATCCGGATAAGGGTCATCTAATGTCTTCTTATAATAATAAAAACATCTTGCTGTAGCCTTCGCTACTACCCCAGCACGCTCACTAGTGAAATAGACATGATCAACAAAATTATGGACAGCACCGTCGCTGTCATATAACAACACTCCCGACGCCAGACTTGCACCAAACAAAGTCTTCTTCTTATTTTTGGAGACGGTTTCTTTCCAACTCCTTACTGGAGCAGATCTGGAGGATTGTGATACCCACCTGCGTGGTATATGTAAGAATGGGAAACGCTGAAACAAGGGCCTCATCTCAGAACCAAAAAATGTAATAAAGAATATTAATAAACAAAAAGTTCAATGGTAAATTTTCGAAACTCAGGGTATTAAACGATGTATCGATCGATACCTTTTACTCTTCTTTCGTAAATGTACCTCCACTTGTCCCCTCCCAGATATGTCTAATAAAGGATATCTTTAAATACTCATCCTCCAATCCCCTCAGCTTTGTTCGTTTACGGAACTCTCGGTAGAAGCGAAGTCACGCCGCTCATAATATATACGTATTAATGTGTACTGAGAACGCCAATGAAGTGACAAGATAATGATATGGCATTGCTATTTGTTTAAGATTAAACTCATTATTTTATTTAGTATTTAATAAAGTGCAATTAGATATACACTGGCCTGCTGTTAATGTACTATTGTCTCTCCGGATGCCTTTAATCCCGTTATAACCACTTCTCCGAGGACACTCCCGATGACTACATCGACAACCGAGTCGAATGTGACTAAAGTCTTTCCATTAAAGAAAATTTCGTTAAATACTTCAGATAATTCGCTTCGATCAATTATATTCATATCATCGTCATTTATATCAAAAGTAACGTCGATGAAAGTATTGTTGCCGTTGTCCTCATCATGCTTAATCTCAGATGTAGATTCAGTCCAAACTCTCATTGGAATCGACAAAAAATGTATCCCCTCATGATATATCTCCAAATCACCTTTGATATTATGTACATTAAGCCTTTCTTCTTGAGTCTTGTAAAACGCCAAATTTATTGTGGCTGTCATTGTTCCAACCATACGAAGTCTATTTTCTGACCATATTAATCGCATATTATCGATTGTGACTTCTCTTAATGCATCCGTTCCATTAAGTGTAGTATTTATAGATATTGGAAAATAACCTAATTCGTGGAAAATAGATTGTAATATATCTGTTGGTAAAAGCATATCATCTCCATGTTGAGCATTTGAATGATCTATATCTGCAACTTCACCTTTCAACTCGATCTCACAACTCAATGAATCGTTCATTAAATCATTGATAATCATTGTCAATGGTGTAACAGTATTTTCTTCATCTGAGGAACAAACATGTGTCAGTAATTCCCGAGGTAGTGGCCCTCCTAATCGATTAAACAGTGTAAGTGATTCGTTTTGTTTCAAATCGAATTTTTCACTATGACATTCCAATGTAGGTACTTCAATAGTGCATTTGTTATAACAATCCGGAAGTCTTACACTCCATTTAAGATATGGTATAGTTGTATCTTGGGGTATATGTAACCATTTATTATCTGATAACAATCTATCGAATATTCCTAAAGGAGTTGTTTGTATCTGTACATCAAAATATAGATCTGAATCATCAGTGACTTGTAATTGTTGTGCCTTCGGTATTTCAAAATTTTCATCCAGATAACCCCAAAATTGATCTTCTAATTTATCCCATTTGAAGATCTTAGTCCAATCTAGGTGAATCCTAGGTACAGATGCTAATCTAATATTTAGTTTCAGAACACTTTGCTTGTATAAAGTAACACTCACTTGAGACCATAACTTTAAACCTTTATATTTGTGAGATATAATCTTCTTAAGGACACTCATAATATTCTTCATATTTGGTTGTACTAACAGAGTAACATTTACTGGTGTTACTGTCCCATTAAGTAACGAGACACAAACTGGGTCCTGTATTAATATATTTGCCAGTTCAAAATTCTTGTCATTAACATTATGAAAAGTTGTAGAGTTATTCAAATCAACACAAAGAGTCTTCACTAGTGTTTCTGCTACAAACTTGAAATTTTGTATTTTTTGAGGGTCTACTGCCAAGGAACTATTTTGTAAATGATCATAATTTATCATATAATCGGCCTGTACTGTCACTTGTAGATATTTACCACCATCATTGTCCAAATCTGGATTTTTTTTACTTTCTCTCCAACCGTCAATATGCACATCACGTACATTTACATCTGATATTTGGAACACATTATCCTGTACTTCCTCAACTGTAGGGGTATGTTTGACGAATGTAGTAACTTTATAAGTTGTGAGTATAAATAATATCCCGGCCAAGACAGTTCCTAATATTATTAGATCTACTTTTCTCACACCATATAACTTTTTTCTAGACTTCCTCATATCGTCTGATGGGTAGGAAGATGGCTCTATAGTATGTTGTATATCATTATCTCTGGTTGTGTTCTGTTGGGTTCCCAGTAAGGGTTGAGTCTCTAGGTCGTCCACAGGCATGGTTTCCGATCTTCTTCAAACTATCGGGTGGAAATACTGTATATGTTTAATTATAACCGCTATAGCAAACTTTGTCACCAATAACCTTAAGAAAACAGACTTTCGAAAAGTCCCTACACCCACCAGAAATACATTCTTTTCAAATTACTAATTTGAGTGAACTTCTTAGTGAAGGCCATCGCCAAGTCCAAGTGCCCTTACAGGGGGAAAAAAAGACATCAGCTCATTACTATGGTGACTAATCATTTTATGGCTAGTGAATACAAGAGATCGTTTTTCTTTGCAGTACTCCAATAATTGCATGACCAGAACTCAATCGTTCATTACAGAATACTTTATGAATGGTTGTTCTATTATATTATACACATACGTATATCGAGAGTTTACAACTCTGGCTCTTAGCCTTTCTTTTACCTAACTGTCTGTCATATAAAACGGGTGTGAAGCTCATCGCCTCGCGGGACACCTTCAGAAGCTGAAATTTTTCAATTGCCCATTTGATGATAATATATAATGCATATATAATTCGAACTTTCCTTTTTGATTGAGAGATTTCTCATAAGTTAGTTATTGCTTTTTCATTTATTTATTCATTAGTTACGCCAATTGCACAATATATTAACACCTATTAACTATGCTGTACTTGATTGGGTTGGGTCTTTCTTACAAGAGTGACATCACAGTTCGTGGTCTAGAGGCCATCAGAAACTGTTCCAGGGTATACCTAGAACATTACACCAGTATTCTTATGGCTGCCTCCCTAGAGGAACTAGAAGAATACTATGGCAAGCCCGTCTTACTGGCAGATCGTGAGTTGGTGGAAACTGGATCCGAACAGATCCTGAAGGACGCTGATAAAGAAGATGTTGCCTTCTTAGTTGTTGGTGATCCATTCGGTGCCACAACACATACTGATTTAGTTCTAAGGGCTAAGAGAGCAGGCATTCCAGTTGAAGTTGTCCATAATGCATCTGTAATGAATGCTGTAGGCTCCTGTGGTTTGCAATTGTATAATTTCGGTCAAACTGTATCGATGGTTTTCTTCACTGAGAATTGGAGACCTGATTCCTGGTATGATAAGATTTGGGAGAACAGAAAGATCGGTTTACATACTTTAGTGCTACTAGATATTAAGGTCAAGGAGCAAAGCATCGAAAACATGGCTCGTGGAAGACTCATTTACGAACCCCCTCGTTATATGTCTATCTCTCAATGTTGTGATCAACTACTTGAAATCGAAGCCACAAGAGGTACCAAAGCATACACACCGGACACTCCAGTGGTAGCAATCAGTAGACTGGGTTCGGCGTCTCAAACTTTCAAAGTCGGGACTATTGAGGAATTGTCTCAATATGATTCTGGTGAACCATTACACTCTTTGGTCATCCTAGGTAGACAATGTCACGAACTTGAACTTGAGTATTTACTAGAGTTTACAGATAACAGAGAAAAGTTTAAGAATGACGTTGCTGCCGATCAGGAATATTTTAAGCCAGCTGCATGGGTTCCTCCAACTGAAGAAGACAGCGAATAATCTGATATTTAAATGAATACATAGGTATCTCCATAAGCAAGACATAATTATTTATAATTGATTCATGACTAGTTACTTCTTATTTCTTTTGAAATTTGAATTTTTTTTTATCGCTGTTGTTTCTATTCCTCCATAACTTTGAAGGTTATATGTAGTCAGCATTGAAACAAACGCAACGCCTTGTTCTAAAAAATAAAAACGTATATTGAGAAATAATGTTAAAAAGATCTATCAACGACCATTTTTCACAAGATTAAACAGTGCACACAAGGATCCAATCCAAGAGAACCATACAAGTTTCCTGTCATTTTTATATACCACCATCAAAATATGTCTCACATTAAATATCTTTTACTTGTTTCGAGGCAAGGAAAAGCCAGATTGATGCAATGGTACACACCTTTCACACCTAAACAAAAGACTAAGATAATAAATGATTTGACACCATTAATTTTGGCTCGTAAACCAAAGATGTGTAATATTTTGGAATATAGCGATCACAAAGTGGTATACAGACGATATGCAAGTCTATATTTCATCTGTGGAATAACGAATGATCAAGATAACGAACTATTGACATTAGAGATCATCCACAGATTTGTTGAAACCATGGATACATACTTTGGTAATGTATGTGAACTGGACATTATATTTCATTTCGACAAAGCTTACGATATCTTGAATGAATTGATAATGTGCGATGGTTCAATGGCAGAATCGAGCAAAAAGGAGATATTAAATAATGTACATGCAATGGACGCAATAGTGAGTAATGATCATTTAGATAGAGTCCTGAGTTGATCAATTAAGAAACTTACATAATATACATATTTAGACTACATATATTAATAATAAAATATTGTCATTTATTCTGGTCTAAAAAGACAGTGCCAAATATGTTTCTCGGCAACCATCTCAGTAGAGTCCGCATTGATCTCATAATTGGCACCATCATTATCAGAGTCATCAATCGATTCTTCTGCCTCTTTAGAGTCACTTTTCCGCCCTCTTAATTTATCATGCTCTAAGTCATGTTTATATAATATAATGTTCTCCTCAACCGAGTCCATCATCATAAAATTCCACACAAAAGTTTCCTCCGTTTGACCAATTCTGTTGTTACGACTGGTTGCCTGTAATTCATCACCGTGATTTATAATTGGATCTAACAGGAAAATATGTTTTGCATTCATTAAATTCAATCCTGTACCTAATGTACGCACATTTAGTAATAGACAAGTAATAGTTGAATCATTCTTAAACTTATCTATAGTATTACTAATAGTTTTTTTATTTTGAAAACCTTCTAAAAATAATATATTATTCAAAGTTAAGATATGGGTTATTATCTTCAAAAATTCAATATTCTGCGAGTAAAGTAGAATTTGTGGAGGTATTTTATTTTCAGACTGATCACGTAATTTCAAAAATAGAATTAATTTTATTACAAAATCAATCTTGGCTCCGAAGCTTTCCTTAATTTTTATTTTATGAACTTCATTCATCTGTGGAAAGTTCGAGTACTTATCACTAAGTGAAAATAATTCGTCGCTATATGTACTAGTTGGATTAACTATTCCAGTTGTGACACTAACTATATTTTGATCAGAGGCTACACTTAGTTCACTATTTGACGAATTAACCTTATGCTGTTCTTCATTTTTAAATTTAAAATTATAAACCTCGGAAATATCTGTTGTTTCTTTGCAAATTGGGCAAGTCTTATGGTTTTTCAACCAATTATGAATACAGCTCTTGCAAAAGAAATGACCACACTTCATAATAGAGCCCAGATATATGACACCAAGACAAATAGAACAGGTAAATGACTTGTTTTGGTCAATTAATTCTTTCAATTTCCTTAAATTCTTTAAGTAATTTACTCTAGATTTTGTTTGATTAATTTTATTGACATTTGCGTCATATCTTTTGTGAGTCTTGACTTCTTTAACGATAATATTCCTTACGTGTGGTTCTAACTGAATCAATGATACCAAGGAATCTGATATTCTTTGAAGTTGAGTAAAGTATTCAATTTTACTATTGTAGATAACATTTAGTTTTTTAATTGATTCTCTAATTGCTTTGTTCTCATTTTTTATTCTTTTTATCTCACCTTCGTAACTTAATAAATGATCTTCAAAACTGTTACTTGTAGTGACAGTAGTCAATGAACCGCGTACTATCTTTGAATTCTTCAATTCGTTAAAAATAGAGTTCAAAGATACACCCTCCTTTATTAAATTCAATTTCTTTATTAGTTTAATGTGGAACTCAGAATAATTGGGATCGATATCAACCAAAGTTTTGGCATTTAATTTAATGACATCGTCTTCAGAATTAATAACAATATCCCTATTTTTCAATACTTCTTCCAGACAATGTAGATATGCATATATTTTATCTTGATTATCTATAGAACTTCCGTATTCCTCAGCTTTCTCTTCCTCATTTGCTTCTGTATATTCCTTTGAAATTGGTCTGTGTAAAATTTTAATCACTTCTCTCATGAACTCGTTGAACTGTTTTGCTTGGTTGTTTAAAGATGCTACGGAAGTTCCGAGGGACTTGAACAATTTTTGAGTAAGGAAATTTGAAGCAAAATTTTTATCGTCCTCATATTCAATCACTTGGAGTTTAGTCAGCGACCTACCATTCTTTTGTTTCTTGTAAAGATAGTCATCTACTTCTTGTATCGTTTCATCAACTTTCTCAGACCTTTCCTTTAACATTTGCCTCCTCAATTTTTCTGCATGTTCATAATACATTTGTTCTTGTAATTGGTGTTTATGAATAGTATTCATTTCTTGAGCGGAATAAACATCATTATACTCTTTACGCTCACGAGAATGCGATCCTTCTTTCTCGTTTAACAGATTTATCTTTTCATTCATGTCATCAATTTCTTCTAACTTCTTTGAACCTAAAAAATAATATGCTGTACCAATAAAAAAGAAACATTGGTGTAGTAGATCTATGTATGCTCTGATTTGGATCTTAGAAGAGATAACCTCATCTTCCGTTACAATAATATCAATTGCATCGTCAACTTTGTCTTTACCCTGTGGAAGAGATTTATCGTTGGTTTGATTTATATTAAATGGGTCTCTAATATTAAACTTTTTCCATAAATCATCTTTGATCTCATTTATAATAATGGAAAATATATCAATAGCTTCATTAGGCATATTCTGCAATTCCATCTTAGCTTGTGCTGCTTTGAGATGTAACTGAATGTTCTCTCTATGTAAAGTGTCCAGTAATTCTGTAGCATTAATCGTCATCAATTCGAGAATATCACTAATATTATGAACAGATGTAATTTGGGTATCTAATTGTCCGAGTTTTGAATTCTTCAATTGATTCTTCTTAAACCCTCGATGATGTGCTCGTCCTTCAAAAATACTCAAAATATTCTCAGGAATAACTGCATGACAACATAGGTATCTTAGTTTTATTAGCCATTGATTTAATTGTGCCGGGGGGATTCGAGACTTGTTTTGACCTCTTGGACCAAACCCTGAAATAAACAAAAATTCATTCCAAGTATTAATATAATTATCCCATTCGACAGGATTAAATTCTAATGGAATAAGGTATTTGGTTTGTTTTGGAATGTGAATCTGGTCAATTACATCTTCTTTTATATGTCTAATACAAATATCATATTTTAAGAAAATGTTCAAAAGTTCATTTATTGAAAAGTGTATACCACTTTTCAATATCGTTCCTTTGTTTGGCGCAACATCGATTTCAGTTTTGTGGTCTTTAACATTCTCTAAAATGTTAGTATTTAAATTAGATACAATATCAGGTATATCACAAAATGGACGAATCTTTAAGTATGATAACACTGTTTGAGTATCTTTAACGTTTTGTATTGGTGTACCTGATACACCCCACGTATGGATTCTATCCAGTAATGAAGTACATTTTGCAGCTTGAGTATTATCACTTTTCAACATTTGGACCTCATCTAAAATAATTCGGAAAAATTGCATTAAGGACAATGGAGACGAATAATCATACCTTGGGGCATTATTATTATTTCTTCTTGATCTTTGATTTGCATTGTATTGAGTGTAATGTATTTCCATGTTGATTACATTGTAAGTTGTAATGATAACATCAAATTGAGATAACTTGCGGACAATTTCATTGATATTATCCGTGTTGAAGGTCTGCTTAACGTTATTATAACCTTGGTAATGGAATACTGATACAGAATCTTTATTTGTGTGTTGCATAATTTCGTTAATCCATTGTTGCAATAGCGGATTTGGACATATAATTAGAGTTGTCTTTGTCTTTAGAACGGTTTTTCCTAGTTCATTAGTATACGAAATTAAGGAATTAGAAGAATCATATTCTGTTTGGGTTAATTGACGTTTATTTAAAAGGATTAATGAAAGTATTTCAATGGTCTTCCCCAACCCCATTTCTTCACATAATAATCCCTTTGCATGTTTTTGGTTTTTGTTGTTCGAGAGGTAATAATGATTTACATACATTTCTCTTGCAGAATCTGAGTCCAGAATATAGTTCGTAAATTTATTCCAAAAATAATGTATTGATTTATCAGAGTTCATGACTTCATACCCATAACAAATAGATTCGTTAAGAAATAGTAATAAATCTGAATCCGAGGGGATAATGACGTCGTGGGGTGTATCTGTAGTCATTTTATAACCTTCTTTTGATAGTAACCAATGTAAACTTTGTCTTTGAAATGGCAAAAGATTAACGTTTAAATTTGGTATCGTTTTGAATGAATTTGTATCAAATTTGTCAGTTAAATGGGTTTTGGTATAATTTATAGTCTGTGTAATGAAGTGTCTCTCAATAAAAGGTGAGTTTATAATATGATGTAGTATTGAGGATTGATCATTAGTAGAGAATAATAAATCTAAGTACGATCCTGTTTCAGATGTAAATTTATTAAAAGAATTTTTATGAAATTCAAGGAAAATATCAAATGAAAGTGTATCATATTTAATTTTACTATTTTTAATAATGATATTTTTCAATTGTTTCCTTTTAGGTCTTAAATTCTTTAATGTATCGTTAATTTTCTTATTATATGATTTCAATCTAAATTTCTTTGATATAGAACCTTTGGAAGTAATATTAGATCCGGAGTCCGACAAATGATTTCTTAAAGTATTCAATTTTTGTTCATCCTTAAGAATAGAATAATTCAAACTAACTAATGATAAATTTTTCAATAAAAGCTTATCTTGGGAGAGAGCAGTGAAATCTTGCCGTATAGACCACAAGGGAATCAAATCTGGACTAAATATAGTAAGACAGCCCATTTCTTTCTGTTCCTTTATTTCAGGATCATACTTAATTAACACAGGTATATCTAATAGTGGAACTGATTTGTAGAATTTCTCGATTCGGATCCTACAAGACGAAAGCCGTATGTGTGATGGAGTTCTATCATTAGTAGCAATAGAAGAATTTCTTTTCAGTCTCTTCACAGGAGGTGTCGTCGTGGTCGTGGTTAATAAATCAGCACCATTTGAAAAATGGTGCTGATTTATCACATTAATTAACTCATCACGATTAGCTATAGAGGTTATATCGGTTTCACTCGCAAAGAATGATATATCAACAGTATTAGTATTACTCATCAGCACAACCCTAATGATTCATTCTACTAACGAATGCTAAACGATAACTGTTATCTCAGTGGTAGTTTCCCTTCTTTTAGTGTGACAGACTCATCGTCTAACGGTGTTAGAAAATGCAGTGAATATATATAAGATTTCATTTGTTAAGCAAAAATATTCAATATTTACATTAATCCGGTAGGAAACTGACCGATCTGTCAATTAGGTAAGAAGAAGAAAGATGAAAAATTGTGATGATGATTTACAGAGAGGACAGATACAATAATAAAATACCAACCCTAACGTCAAACCCTACATTTACACACATATTTTCGGCCGGAGAAAAGTATTTCTATTGTGAATGAGAGGGAGAGATGACGTCAGTCACGGATATAATTACGTAATTGAGACTATAATAGATAGATATAGATATATTTTCTTCCAATTAAGATAGATGTGGTACCATTAAACTGTGGGGTATGGAGTTCAACATCTATATGTAATCTACAAGACTATTGAGATAAAGAATGTAAATATGGTAGCCATCCATCTCGTGGATATCGCAGCACCCAAGCGAATCACCGGTGCAACTGGAAAATTACAATAAAACAAGTTACTGTTTCAATACATACATATATATAAGTATAAGCTATAACCAATCTTATAAGCTCACTTCACTTCACCAAACAGGGAGATGCAGACTGAAACCCCCCCCCCCAAAAAAAGATCTCTCAATATAATTTGAAATTCCGTTTGGCTCCCCCCCCCCGCACATCCTCAATTTCGCCCTCCCGTCCGCTTTCCAGCATCAACACCGCGAATACAAAGCAACAAGCAGGTAAAAAAATAGGAGGGCTGTAATTTCTTGAAGGGGAAGGAATATTCACACACACATATATATATAATAATAACAACAACCACAATTGCTGATTTTTATAGTAATGGAGATTAGAGTACGGTCTTTGTAATTTTACTATTCTTATATATCTTCCTGATCTGTTATCGAAAGAAGACGAAAAGAGAACGGATACATACTAATAAATATATAAAAAGAGGTATATAAAGATAAGTTTGTCACATTTTTTTTAAAAAAAAGAAAACAAAAGAATCAACAAGAACAGATCATATCATTGTATTGCATTCATTCATGAATAAAATTAAAGCATTTTTCCATAAAAGTAAACGTTTCGATACCGAACAAAATATTCAAACTAGTGATCGGAAGAATAATGATAATAACGATAATACCACAAACGTTAACATGAGCATGAGCATGAACATGAACAAAAAAAATATTGTAAACCCTACAACAATGGATCATACAATAGAACCAATACAAATAAGTGCAGAACTTGAGACTCAAGATATTCCAATTACAACTACCATTCCTCAGCAACAAGAACAAACAAAATCATATTCATTTAATGAAAATACCAGATTTGATGACGAGAACGATGACAATTCCTTCGCTACTAGTGATTCGAATTTATCATTAATATCATCAGATTTTGAAAGTGAATATAGTTATGTTAATGATTCTACCACGGAGGAAAATATATTTTCTGAACAACTTGAATTAAAGGATTATAAATTGAATGAAAAAATTGGAGAAGGTGCTTTTTCAAAAGTGTACAGGGGTACACCTCTTGAATCATCTTATGTCGCCAAACATTATAAACAAGTTGCCATCAAAGTGATCAAAAAAGATATATTGACTGTAGAAGACAATGAACCCATAGAAGTAAACGGTGAAAGACATGGTTCAAGCAAGACCTCCACAAGGGAACAAGTCCTTAAAGAAGTTGCATTACATAAACAAGTCTCTCCAGGTTGCAAAAATATTGTTCAATTTATTGATTTTCAAGAGACACCATCTTATTATTACATTGTTCAAGAATTATTAAATGGTGGTGAAATATTTAATGAAATAGTGAAATTGACATATTTAAGTGAAGATCTTACACGTCATATTGCTAAACAATTAGGTAATGCAATTAAACATTTACATTTAATGGGTGTAGTACATCGTGATATTAAACCTGAAAATTTATTGTTTAATCCAATAGAGTTTATAGCCTCACCTGAACCACGTAAATTCCGTAAAAGTGATGATCCAAACTCAAAAGCTGATGAAGGTGTATTTGTTCCAGGTATTGGTGGTGGTGGAATCGGTATAGTGAAATTAGCAGATTTCGGATTATCAAAACAAATATATCAAACCAATACAAAGACTCCCTGTGGTACTGTTGGGTATACTGCCCCTGAAGTGGTTAAAGATGAAATGTATTCCATGAAAGTTGATATGTGGGGGATTGGCTGTGTTCTTTATACGATGCTTTGTGGGTTTCCCCCATTTTATGATGATAAGATTAATATATTAACCGAGAAGATCTCTAGAGGTGAATATACATTTTTACAACCATGGTGGGATGAAATTAGTGATGGTGCCAAGAGATGTGTAAGAAAATTGTTAGAAGTTGATCCCGGATCAAGATATGACATTGATGAATTTTTGAATGATCCATGGTTAAATCAATACGATTGTGAAATCAAACAAAGGAGTCAAGCTAAGAGAAAGTCAAAGGCTCATCATCATCATAATAACAATAGACGTAGGATTCTATTCAATCAATTCGCTGATAAGGATGTATTATATTCTCCTGCTGCTGTCGCCATGCGTGACGCATTTGATATCAGTAATGCTGTTGCGCGTATTGAGGAAGAGCGTATGCAAACACCTATCTATGGCCTGGGGTCCCTGGCAGAAGATGATGAAGCAGCATCCCTCGATGAGCAACGAATGAAAGAACAGGAGAGACAGCAAGAGAGACAGCAAGAATTAGAAAATAAGATGTTCCATTTGAAGTTGGATACGTCGACGATTGTCATGAGACGGAAACAAAAGAAAAACAGTATACCTTAATGAACAGAGGTATACAAATTGACAGTTTCCCACTACACTACACACACATACATATATATATATATATATATATTTGCACATAAATACAATAACAATGAAAATAATATTAAAAGAACCCATGCTGTTATAAGTGGATACGATCATGATATTGAGTAAGCCTGCTTCCCTTAAACCTCCTTGCTTTATATATCTGATGAGGGTGGGCGGCTAAATATTTTTCACGTGGACACATTCGGGGTCCCCCAGTGCACATCTTCATATCACAGGGCACGAACACCGTGCACAGTGACATACCCTCAGCTATTTGTCGGGTAACCACCCACCCACACACCGCACCACAGCACAGCACAGCACGCTCCATGAAAAAGCAATCACAGCGCACCAGCATGGACCCGCCCGCTCCACGTTTCTTTTTTCTTCTCTGCGGTCCCTTCTCTCTTTCTGTCCCTCGCTCGCTCGCTGCCTCGCAGGATCGCTCGCGCTGCCTCTCTGAGATAAGCGATGAGATGCGGCAGGGCACAACAAACAAGAAAACGTCCACAAAAAAGAAAGTGAAAAATTTTCTTCCTTTTTCACGCGCACTCATCTCTCACCCACACACAGAGACACACAGATAGAGACGGTTAAGCTGGCGATGCTGATGAGAGCACAAAGTGAAAAATTTTCACTTCTCACTGGTAACTCAACTTGTTAATAACTGACAGCACATCTACAATGAAAGAAGAAAAAGAACAGAGAACGTTGAGAATATCGTAAACTTAATGAGTACAAAGTGATGATGATGATAATTATGATGATAATAATAAATAATGAAAAAATTTCTCATTCTGCTCTGCTTGTATTCTTCTTCTTTTTGTTTTTACCTTTCACCTGTGCAACTTACACTACCTCTTTCACAATATGGGTAAGCAAATTTAGTGAAAAATTTTCTTTTTTTTGGTTTTTTGCTTTCTTTACCTCTTTCCATTCTTGATATTTTGTCTTTCAATTATATATATAAGACTTTACTCGATTTCAAACTTGTAACTTATTTTATTTTCTTTCTAAAATTTTATTCTATTATTAAAATCATTTTTTCTTATTGATTATTTTCTTTAATAGACCGTGTAAGAAAATGTCTGATTCTCAAGAATCCATCAAGGTTTTAGAAGAACTTTTCCAAAAGCTATCTGTTGCTACTGCTGACAACAGAGAAGCTGTTGCCACTGAAGTCTCAAGCTTCGTCAACGGTGGTATCATCGAACACGATGTTCCAGAACAATTCTTCAGCACTTTGAAGAAGTCCATCAAGGACAAGAAGACTGCTGCTAATGCTCTAGAAGCTGTTGCTCACATCGCTAACGATGCTGGTTTGTCTCCATCTGTCGAACCATACGTTGTCGATTTGATTCCAGAAATCTGTGCTAAGACTTCTGACAAAGACAAAGACACTCAAGCTATTGCTTGTAAGACTTTGATCGCTTTGTCAACCTCCATTAACCCAGTTGCTGTTAAGGCTTTCCTACCACATCTAACTGGTGCTTTGTCTGCTACTTCCAAATGGCAAGAAAAGGTCGCCATCTTGGCCGCCATCTCCGAATTAGTCGACGCTGCTAAGGAACAAGTCGCTCTAAGAATGCCTGAATTGATCCCAGCTTTATCCGAAGCTATGTGGGATACTAAGAAGGAAGTTAAGACTGCCGCTACTGCTACCATCACTAAAGCTACTGAAACTGTTGACAACAGAGATATTGACCGTTTCATTCCAGAATTGATTGGTTGTATTGCTGATCCAAACTTGGTCCCAGAAACCGTTCACTCTCTAGGTGCTACTACTTTCGTCGCTGAAGTTACTCCAGCTACTTTGTCCATTATGGTCCCATTATTAGCTAGAGGTCTTGCTGAAAGAGAAACTTCCATTAAGAGAAAGGCTGCTGTCATTATCGATAACATGTGTAAGTTGGTCGAAGACCCACAAGTTGTTGCTCCTTTCTTGGGTAAGTTGCTTCCAGGTCTAAAGAACAACTTTGCTACAATTGCTGACCCAGAAGCTCGTGAAGTTACTCTAAGAGCTCTAAAGACTTTGAGAAGAGTCGGTAACGTCGCTGAAGATGACACTTTACCAGAAGTCTCTCACGCTGGTGATATCGAAACCACTTTGTCTGTCATTAAGGAATTATTGAAGACTGAAGATGTTGCTCCAAGATTCAACATTGTTGTTGAATATGTTGCTGCTATGGCCGGTGACTTGATCGATGAAAGAGTCATTGACCAACACGCTTGGTTCACTCAAATCACTCCATACATGACTGTTTTCCTACATCAAAAGACCGCCAAGGATATTCTAGATGAATTCAGAAAGAGAGCTGTCGACAACATCCCAGTTGGTCCAAACTTCGATGACGAAGAAGATGAAGGTGAAGATCTATGTAACTGTGAATTCTCTTTGGCTTACGGTGCTAAGATTCTATTGAATAAGACTCAATTGAGATTGAAGAGAGGTAGAAGATACGGTCTATGTGGTCCAAACGGTGCTGGTAAGTCCACTTTGATGAGAGCTGTCGCCAACGGTCAAGTTGACGGTTTCCCAACTCAAGAAGAATGTAGAACTGTTTACGTCGAGCACGATATTGATGGTACCAAGGCTGACACTTCCGTTGTTGACTTCGTTTTCGAAGGTGATGTCGGTTCTAAGGAAGTCATTGTTGCTAAATTGCAAGAATTCGGTTTCTCCGATGAAATGATCGCTATGCCAATTGCCTCCCTATCTGGTGGTTGGAAGATGAAGTTGGCTCTAGCCAGAGCTGTCTTGAAGAATGCTGATATTCTTCTATTAGATGAACCAACTAACCATTTGGATACTGTTAACGTCGCTTGGTTAGTCAACTACTTGGAAACTTGTGGTATTACTTCCATTACTGTTTCTCACGACTCCGGTTTCTTAAACAAGGTTTGTGAATACATTATCAACTACGAAGGTTTGAAACTAAGAAAGTACAAGGGTAACTTGACTGAATTCGTCAAGAAGTGTCCAGCTGCTCAATCTTACTTCGAATTAGGTGCCTCTGATTTGGAATTCAGATTCCCAGAACCAGGTTACCTAGAAGGTGTTAAGACCAAGCAAAAGGCTATTGTTAAGGTCTCTAACATGACTTTCCAATACCCAGGTACTTCCAAGCCACAAATTGAAGACATTTCTTTCCAATGTTCTCTATCTTCCAGAATTGCTGTCATTGGTCCAAATGGTGCTGGTAAGTCCACTTTGATTAACGTCTTAACCGGTGAATTGCTACCAACTATTGGTGAAGTTTACACTCACGAAAATTGTCGTATCGCTTACATTAAGCAACACGCTTTCGCTCATATTGAATCTCATTTGGACAAGACTCCATCTGAATATATTCAATGGAGATTCCAAACTGGTGAAGACAGAGAAACTATGGACAGAGCTAACAGACAAATCAACGAAAACGATGCTGAAGCTATGAACAAGATCTTCAAGATCGAAGGTACTCCAAGAAGAATTGCTGGTATCCACTCTAGAAGAAAGTTCAAGAACACTTACGAATACGAATGTTCTTTCTTATTAGGTGAAAACATCGGTATGAAATCTGAAAGATGGGTTCCAATGATGTCTGTTGACAATGCTTGGTTACCAAGAGGTGAATTAGTCGAATCTCACGCCAAGATGGTTGCTGAAGTCGATATGAAGGAAGCTCTAGCTTCTGGTCAATTCCGTCCTCTAACCAGAAAGGAAATTGAAGAACATTGTGCTATGTTGGGTCTAGATGCTGAATTAGTTTCTCACTCTAGAATCAGAGGTCTATCTGGTGGTCAAAAGGTTAAGCTAGTTCTAGCTGCCGGTACATGGCAAAGACCTCATTTGATTGTTCTTGATGAGCCAACTAATTATTTGGACAGAGACTCTTTAGGTGCTCTATCCAAGGCTCTAAAGGCTTTCGAAGGTGGTGTTATTATCATTACTCATTCTGCTGAATTCACAAAGAACTTGACTGAAGAAGTCTGGGCTGTTAACAACGGTATAATGACCCCATCTGGTCATAACTGGGTTACTGGTCAAGGTGCTGGTCCAAGAATCGAAAAGAAGGATGACGAAGAAGACAAGTTCGATGCTATGGGTAACAAGATTTCCGGTGGTAAGAAGAAGAAGAAGTTATCTTCTGCGGAATTGAGAAAGAAGAAGAAGGAAAGAATGAAGAAGAAGAAGGAACTTGGTGACGCTTACGTTTCCTCCGACGAAGAATTATAATTATAATAAAAGAACTTTAAACACTAATTTAGTGTTTTTTATCCCTTTTCGTTTGTAATTATTTTTTATTCGTTGGTTGTGAAACTGCATGAGTTTTTTTGCTTGCAAGAAAATCTCAAGTCTATCTCCTAACCCCCCATCCAATTCCTAATTTTATGTCCTTTTTTCTGTAACATACTTCAGTATTATTTAAAGATTAATCAATCATTGTTATATAAAATTAAATATAGTGTATGAATTTTAAAATAGATAAAATATAGATTCATCGTCTCAAATTTCAAACTCTCAATTTTATTAAGTTTTTATTCTTATGGTGGTTTGGATATTAATAGGTGTTCTCGTACTAAACGAGGATCCTTCCAAAAAAAAGTATGAAAAATGACGAAGCTTGAAAAATAATCAAATACCCTTTGCAAGTCGAAATAAATAAGAACATTACTAAATCAATATAGCATTACGAAGTAAGGCTATACGTCAGAGAGAGACGACACCAAATAAATAATCGATATTGATAAAGGACAGCTCTACAAGGGTGTAACATTTGAAAGTTTTTATTTCTTTCTGTTTATCAATACTATAAATATCAGGAAGAGATGAAATTTTTACAAACGGTTCTTGTGCCTATATGGTTACTTGTATCACTAGTTCAACCAAGTTCTGGTTCAGCCATTGCTGATGCAAATGCCAACGCTGCAGACCAAATTAATATACAAAATGAGAAGATCAATGTCGACAAAGAAGCTCCACCTAATGGGATGGCGTGGGAAGAATGGCATATGTTACACGAACATCAGTTGGAAAAATATACCCCTGAACAATTTTTCTCTTTACATGATGTACAAAAGAAAGGGTTTCTAGATAAGCACGATATCCTAGCGCTGTATGGTTTAGATAGACGTGAGGTTATTGGCACTGGTGATGGTATGGGTCAACATGATCAAAGTGAAGAGATCGATGAACAATTGGGTGAACGTGTTGTAAGTTTTATTATGAGACTTTTAGATGTAAATGATGACAATAAAGTGTTGAAGAGTGAATACCTGGATTTTGCTAAAGCAGACCACAAATTCCCAGATTTAGGTGTTGGTGTGGGTCATCATTCTGATTTTGAACAAGAATATGAGATCCATCATTGGAACAAATTCCATAAAGACAATGATCCAGATGTCAAGAACGTCCATAAGGAAGATATTGAGCATGAATTGCTGCATCACGAACATGAAATCGAGCATGAAGAAAAAGAACAAAGAAGTTCTTCAAGGGCTACTGTGATTACTGATGATGAATTGGAATCCCGTATAGAACTTAAAAACATTCCACAAAGATTTAAGAATGGTCTCTTCTAAGTCAACCGAAGAAACCAGTTAAATCATTACAATATAAGACATATATACATATACATATACATATATATATATATGCGTAAAAGTATTCGTTATCATTAATTTGTTTATTAATCATGGTCTATTTATATATTGTCAATACAGAGATCACGCTCCGTACCATGTGATATGACAGTGTCAGATCATGTGACCACATCCGTACCAAAAGACTTCCATTAGCCCGGAGCAGCCCTTCACATGGCAAAAAATGGACTTTCCCGGGAAATCGGACCCCCCACAGCTACCATACCAGCCAATCAGCAACGAGAAATGACGTCTGTTCCTCCACTCTATCAACAATCAACTAACTTCTCTCACTTTTAACATACTACCGACAACTTCAACGAAACTCCGCTCAACGACTGAAATAGAGAGATATTCTCAACTTTGACCCCGTTAATGACGAAAGAACGACATTCGCTGGTATAGAGAAAAGAGGAGATGCGAATGGCTGTAAAGATGACTGAAGTTCATAGATTCTCAACAACGGGTGGGGAGTCATTGCTGAACAATGTCGATATTGCTAACACAGTTTCTAATGGGATTATTTCTTTGCGAAAGTCTGTTGGGGGAAAGAACACGGTAGAAACTGGTTAACTTCGAATAAAGTAATGACTTGTATTTATATATAAGTATATAAAGGAGAAGAAGTCACAAATAGGATACTTGGAATTTCTTTTCTTGTCTTGAAAACATTATATAGTTCTTCATTTAATATATCAGTTTATTGAATAGATTTGATTTTACATTAGTAATATCATAACATATTATCTAGCAAACAAAAAATTGAATAACGTTAAAAAATGGTGGCTCAAAAAATTAAGGTGGCTCAACCTATCGTAGAGATGGATGGTGATGAACAAACAAGAATCATTTGGCAATTAATTAGAGAAAAATTGATTTTACCATTCTTAGATGTCGATTTGAAGTATTACGATTTATCAATTCAATATCGTGATGAAACTAATGATCAAGTTACTGTTGATTCAGCAGAGGCAACATTGAAATATGGTGTTGCAGTTAAATGTGCTACTATCACACCAGATGAAGCTCGTGTTGAAGAGTTTAATTTAAAGAAAATGTGGAAATCTCCAAATGGTACCATTAGAAATATCCTTGGTGGTACAATCTTTAGAGAACCTATCATCATCCCAACTGTACCAAGATTGATTCCACAATGGGAAAAACCAATCATTATAGGTAGACATGGATTTGGTGATCAATATTGCGCTACTGATGTTGTTATCCCAGGTAATGGTAAATTAAAATTAGTATTTGAATCAGACGTTTCCCCAGATCAAAATATGGATTTACAAGTATACGATTATCCAAAGGATGGTGGTGTAGCAATGGTAATGTATAACACAAAGGAATCCATTGAAGGTTTCGCTCAAGCTTCATTCAAAATGGCTCTAAATAGAAAACTACCATTATATTCGACTACTAAAAATACTATATTGAAAAGATATGATGGGCAATTTAAGGATATCTTTGAATCCTTATATGAATCCACTTATAAACAGGAATTTGAAAAAGTAGGAATCTGGTACGAACACAGACTGATTGATGATATGGTCGCCCAGATGATTAAATCTAAAGGTGGGTTTATCATTGCTATGAAAAACTACGATGGTGATGTTCAATCAGATATTGTAGCACAAGGGTTTGGTTCCTTAGGGTTAATGACCTCAGTATTAATTTCACCTGATGGAAAGACTTTTGAAAGTGAAGCTGCCCACGGCACCGTCACTAGACATTACAGACAACATCAACAAGGGAAAGAAACATCTACAAACTCTATTGCATCTATTTTTGCATGGACTAGAGGTATCATTCAAAGAGGTAAAGTTGACGGAACTCCGCAAGTCATTGCATTCGGTGAAACTTTGGAAAAAGCTACCATCGATACTGTACAACTTGACGGAATTATGACTAAAGATTTGGCTTTAAATATGGGTAAGACCGACAGATCTGCTTATGTCACCACAGAAGAGTTTATTGAAGCTGTCTCTAAGAGATTACTAGCTGAAATGGCATAGATCATTCAAAAAGATAGTTTTCCTGTTTAAACATTTTTGCCTCTCATGAGATTGTTATTAATTATGTAGCTAATCTATATGTATATCATTATATTTAATATTCTAAATGACCCCATTAATTCTTTCTAAATCCTGTTGATTGACACACCTAAGAAAGTGTTCATTGATGTTTAAGTTTCCTCGTTTCAGTGAAGTTGGCACAAAATTAATTTTCGATGAGGTTACCCTCCTTTCTGTGAAAATTTTTTTTTGGCTTCTGGAAATTTTGAAAATTTTTCAGTTTGACAAAAATCCGTTTGCGATGGCCCAATTGAATCCCGCTCCCAATAATGCTCTAAGATGTAAGCTAACTTCATAGGAATTAGTTTATCATTGCAATTGTAAGTCTCAAGTATTCTTTTAATTGTATTTATCAGTAGGTCTACTGTTTTGTTCTTGAGTATTTCTTTAATTGTTAGTTTATAACAGTTTTTATCTCGAAGATCATTGTAATCTACCAAAGGTAAACCTCATAATATCAACACAAATCTTATCGATATGTCCCAGGATTACGTTATTAAGCCAGAAGATGCAGGTGCCTCTACCAACACTGCTGAATGGCCATTATTGCTAAAGAACTACGACAAGTTGCTGGTAAGAAGTGGACACTACACTCCAATTCCAGCTGGTTCTTCTCCTCTGAAGAGAGATCTAAAATCTTACATCTCTTCTGGTATTATTAATTTGGACAAACCATCCAACCCATCTTCCCACGAAGTTGTTGCTTGGATTAAGCGTATCCTACGTTGTGAAAAGACTGGTCATTCCGGTACTCTGGATCCAAAGGTTACTGGTTGTTTGATTGTTTGTATTGACAGAGCCACTAGATTGGTTAAATCCCAACAAGGTGCCGGTAAGGAGTATGTGTGTATTGTTAGATTGCACGACGCCTTAAAGGATGAAAAGGATTTAGGTCGTTCTCTAGAAAACTTAACTGGTGCTTTATTCCAAAGACCACCTTTAATTTCTGCTGTTAAACGTCAACTGCGTGTCCGTACCATCTATGATTCTAATTTGATCGAATTCGATAACAAGAGAAATCTAGGTGTTTTCTGGGCCTCTTGTGAAGCTGGTACCTATATGCGTACTTTGTGTGTTCATTTAGGTATGCTATTAGGTGTTGGTGGTCACATGCAAGAGCTACGTCGTGTTAGATCCGGTGCTCTATCTGAAAACCAAAACATGGTTACTTTACATGATGTTCTCGATGCCCAATGGGTTTACGACAACACCAGAGATGAATCTTATTTGAGAAAGATCATCAGTCCTCTAGAAACCTTGTTAGTCGGTTATAAGAGAATCGTAGTCAAGGACTCTGCCGTTAATGCCGTCTGTTACGGTGCTAAGTTGATGATGCCAGGTTTACTACGTTACGAAGAAGGTATCGAACTATACGACGAAGTTGTTTTAATCACCACCAAGGGTGAAGCTATTGCCGTTGCCCATGCTCAGATGTCTACTGTTGACTTGGCTACTTGTGACCATGGTGTTGTTGCTACCGTTAAGAGATGTATTATGGAAAGAGACCAATATCCAAGAAGATGGGGTCTAGGTCCAGTTGCTCAAAAGAAGAAGCAAATGAAGGCTGATGGTAAACTAGATAAGTTTGGTCGTGTTAATGAAAACACTCCAGAAGACTGGAAGAAGAGTTACGTTTCCTTAGAAAAGTCTGAAACTACTGATTCCACCTCTAAGCCAGCTACCACTGAAACACCTTTGATTAAAGAAGTTAAGAAGGATGAAGATGTAAAGGAAGAGAAGGAAGAAGAAGTTGCTGAAGTCAAGAAAGAAAAGAAGGACAAGAAGGAAAAGAAGGAAAAGAAGGAAAAGAAGGAAAAGAAGGAAAAGAAGGAAAAGAAGGAAAAGAAAGAAAAGAAGAGAAAGGCTGAAGATGACGAAGAATCTGACAAGAAGAAGAAGAAGTCCAAGAAATAAAGGAGCTCATCTGCATTACCCCATATATGACAAAATTTGCAATTCATTAAAACCCATTTGCATATATATATATATATTTCACACTGTATTTTATTTTATAAGTTTTCTTAATATCAATCAATATATCGTATCTCATTAAAAGCAAGGAATTGCAAAACGAAAATCTTTGAGGGAATGAATGAATGTGTATATTAAAAAATATGTATATAACGTATATAGAAACGTTGTTCAACTGTTATTGATTCTGAATTCTGCTAAGATAAAGTCACGAATTTCGTAGCTTCAAATGAATAATTTAATAGTTGGACAGTCACATTATTAAAAAATAGCCACAATAATAGATTCTCTGATGATTTCAAAGATATGTCACCAATTAAAGCGTTCGTAAATCTGATATAGCTATTGATTAATGTATTGGCCGAACATGTGGACTCTGAAACAAATTCTAAAAACTTGAGAAGTAATGTATTGAATGGATCTTCCATGATATGATTTTCATCTGACGAATATTCAATTCCAGATGGAGCCTCCTTGAATAATAATACAATGTTAGCCTGCAAAAAGTCCTTTATAGCTTTGCATACTTCATGATGTTTATCTGTGCTAACCATATCATATATATCTTCTAAGTTTATGGCCTCCCAATCACGATGCATATCACCTTTAAACGCTTGGAAACTGTTTAGAAATTTGAGGATGAACTTGTCTAACTTTAAAAGTTTTTTCATGAGCGACGTAAAATCTTTAGCGGTAGTTGTTTTAGAGTTTCGTAAAGTTGCAGGAAGTTCCATTGTTAAGTCTGAAATTTGCTTTGGATAAGTCTCAATAAAGCTCTCTAAAGATTTGACAGTGTCATTTGGCGTTTCGGTAGATTTCGTTTTGTCGAGAACCAAATTAGAAAGATATTTAGCTAATGATATATGTGTAATTCTATCACATTGAGCAATCCAGTTATTTAACTCTTCTGATATCAGTAGATTGTACATCTGGGGAGATACAGAACCAGTATGGAAAAAAAGTAAATTGGTAGAAAGAGAATCAAACCTTAAGAACTTTATATTGTCAAAGATCTTGTTGCAATAAATGTGGTACAGTGATTCTAAAGAAGATATCATATCTTGATCAATACTACTTGGTAATAACGACTTTGGAATTGGCGGTAAAGAAAGTTTGTATAACTTGGATAGGACAACCTCGTTTTGGAAGATATTCGGTAAAACGTTATGCAATGAAAGAGAAATATTATCAGAGGATTTTGAAGGTTCTGAATTTTCATTGATCTTTTTCGAGTTAGTTTTGGTTTTTTTCGTTGTTGAAACAGACACCTTGGAATCCTCAGAATTATCACTTTTACGTTTCTTAATGCTGACATTATTTGTGTTATTGGATTTTCTTGATAGGTTAGGATCAGGAACTTCCAATTTGATACCCATAGCTTCTGGTGAACTTGGCTTACTCACAGACGGACTCATATTGGCACTACTGCTATCTGCATCATCATCGAAATTCTCATTTCCGTCAGAATTGACCAGTTTTAAGCCGCAATAATGGTATTTGGACTGGCCTCTCATACCTAATCGTCTGGTTGTTAATCCTGGGAAAACAGTTCGGATTAGTTTCCCAAGAGACGCTTGAGATAATGGTTTTAGGTTATATTGAGCACATGATGATGCATATTGGGCAAATATTCTCCCCCTTGGCACATAACTGTCATGATGGGATTCACAGTTTTTCATTAACCATAGCAATGCATATACCTGTCTTTCTCTCTCCTTCTTTTGTTCTAAAACTTGGATTGATGCTTTGGACTGTATGGCTGGGTTTATATGTAGGACATCTAACTCAGCTTCCTTCACAATAGAGGCATAATCTTCAATAGGTTTGTCCAAATATTTTTCTGCAATTGATTTAGCCACCAGTTCTTGTGTATTCCTTCTCGATGCTAACAAATTATTGTTGATTTTCGACTTTGTAGTCGGTTTGAATGCAAAAGTCGTTGACGTGGTAGCACTGGTTGTTGTTGATGTATTGGTGCTATTTCTAGATGTTTCGTGAGAAGATGTAGTGTTCGTTACATTCGTTGATTCATTATATGTATATGGAGGGGTTTCATTGGTTAGGTGCTGAGCCGTTGTAAATGGAATATTTCTGATGTGTCCTTGGGATTCACTCTTCTTCTCATCTGCTTTCATGAAATTTTGATTAGTATTTCTACCTTGTTGTAATGCATTTTGAATAGGAAATATTCTTGAAGATTGGGGTGAGTCACCTATAAATGGTGCCGATTGAAAATTCGATAACGTTGAAGGGCCTCTACTTATAGTATTAAGTTGTTTGTAGAACGGAGTGTCATGACCTTCTTTCAAAAGAACGTTACTAAAAGTGTTATCATTTGACGTACTTCTGTCGTAAGATGGTAATGTTGGGATGGAAATATTAGATTGTTGAGATATACTTCTACCTTGAGGTGGTGATGTATTTGGTTTTGGCAGGCTTGGTAACATAGGCCTGTTATTTGTGTCACCTGTGTAAAATGAATTGAAATTCTGCCCCTGTGGTATTATATTAAAACTCTTGTCTTTATTCGTTGAAGAACCATTTATAGTGTCATTTTCTCCGGCTCCTCCTTCTTTAGCTCGCAAACTATTGTTGTTGGAAGAATGGATCAAATTATAGATCGAAGAAGTTGTACGTTGGTATCCTGGAATGTTATTCACATTTAGGTCGTTGCCATTGGATGAATCATGTGCCATTTTGTCTAAATCGATTACTAGATTAGACAATAACAGAGATTTTGAGTTCCTTGAAGATTCGGAAAATTGAAAGAAATGTCCTTTCAGATTGTATGCATAAACCTTAAAGAGGAACAAGGAATCACAAAGTAATTATATTTAGGATATATAAATAGTGTTCACTCTAATGTAATCTCAGTACAGTTTTTTTGGTAGTAAGTAACCTCTTCAAAGAGTGATACGTGATTATTAATGTCTTGGAAATAGATCTAATGGGTATCGACACCAACAATCCCAAAGTTGTCGTTGCAGTTCTTGTTGGAAAAAAAAAGTGTAGCTGATGATCAGCTATTTTCAATGGATGGTATAATTGCACCTTATTGCTAATAAGAAAACTTGGTTCAATACGACGAAAAGAGGGATCTTTTCTAACTAAACAATAACAAAAATAAGTGTATTAAGTAAATACTTTAAAATATTGATGATGCATTTACTCTTCTCCTAATTTAAATTTTGAAGTAATAAGAGAGGGAAATGTACGAAAGACGCCTAACCTCATTACATCAAATTTCTCTATGGTAACGATTATTAATGTTAGAGCTGGATCACACATATTAAAAGTGTACAACATGGTCGCGCATAGCAACAGTAACACCAATTTATTCGTTTCTGTAGTTTCCGAGGAAAAATTGTAAGCAGTTTGAAGAACTTTCTTTAAGAAAGAAGCGTAGTAAAACCGTTTCACCCGTGGAAGTTCTAAATTAGTCTGTATAATTGAAAGGGGCGAAAAAAGGAGTGAAAAAAGAAGAAAAAAATTTTCGGCCCCAAAATTCAAACTGGAGTTTTTCAATGGATAGTACATATAAAATGTTTATCGGTAGAGTGATGAAATCGCCTAAGTGGCCAAAAATTCTTTAAATCCACGTGACGGTTGAACTTTAAAGTTGTCAATGACGGATGACAGCTAATAATAATGGTGAATACTTGAGGATACATTTGGAAATTTTTCTTCCAGTTAGATAGTAGTGTCAGTTATAGATAAATTGATTTTTTGTTACTTGTTAATTTATAGTTCAGAGGTTCCATATCAGAGGATTGAGGTGATATCATAAAGGAAATAATGTTATACAGCTCAGTTTGCAATTTGGCCATATTCGTTAATAACAAAGCTCTTAGAGCGTTGTGATTGTTACCATTTTAATGATGGAAGTAGTTATATATCTGAATGAAAAACATATTCTTAGTCGTAATTTAATTTCAATGACTTCTTTTCCTTTTTTATAAAAAAAATGTATTAAATTCGATGGATATCTCAGCCAGTATCTATTTTATCACAGAGAGCAAATATAATAATAGTACTAGCTGGTCATTACTGTATACCATAATATTATTTTCTGTGATATGTTATTTTAGCCTTTCTATTTTTATTCGCACTAACATAAACTGATACATATTTCTGACTTAGATACAAACAAATAGTATTCATATTGAAAGACAGTAAATACAGTAAATTAGATAATAAATAATGGAGAATATTACCATAAACTTCTATCTTAAACAAGGATTCCAAGTTTTTAATCGTTTCTTGTTCAAAACACACATCAGTAATTTCCCTTACAATTTTCTTTGTATTATAAACATATCAAAGCAAAAACCTGTTGTAACGTAGTTCAGCACACTTAACGTCGTTCGAACTATTGAGCATATTGTAATTTCAATTATACCTTTATTTATTTCTCTAATGAATGTTATTAAATTAGTTCCAAAAATAAATAGCCGCTGACCAGGCTAACCAATTATCTTAAGTTGAAAGTCGCCTCCGTTTCGTGAAAAGTTACAAGGCCCAAAAAGTTACCCCGTCGGATTAAAAAATTTTCTTTTAAAAAAACTGAAAAATTTCTTACTGTGATGCGATGAGATGAGCATCAAGCTAAGTTTAGTAGGGCTATTATTATTACACGTTGAAATCACCCATTTAAAAGAGAAGATGTTGATTTGTTCATATATATGTACATATATATATATATTTGGGAATAGTTTATTGTCTTGATAGAGCAGCAACAACCAGAACATAGTCCATACCGATGTCAACTAATGAACCAGCTGCCAAATTGAACTCTACTCCGGAGATTCTTCTACGTAAGAGAAGAAATGCTGATAGAACCAGATTAGAAAAACAAGAATTAGCTAGACAAAAGAATGAAGACAGAAAGAAGACCAAGCAAAAAAATAAGAAGAGATTCATCAGAGCTGAAACTCTTGTGTCCAAGACTCTAGCTACAGAGAGAGAGAAGGAAAGAATAAAAAGAATATCCAAGTTGGAATTGAACAAAACCAAGAAATTAAATGGTGCTGATGCAGACACCATTCATTTACCATCTGAAAAAGATTTTATTTTGAAGATCACAGAGAAACATTCCAAAGAAGAAGCTAATGAGTTGGAAGAAGGTATTGATGCCGATGATGAAGAAGACAACATTATCAAGGAAAAGATTGTTTACAACGGTGAACCAACTCTGTTATTCGTCATTAGAGTAAGAGGGCCAACTGCTGTTAATATTCCAGCTAAAGCCTTCAAGATCTTAACTTTATTAAGATTGACTGAAGTAAACACTGGTGTCTTTGTTAAGCTAACAAAGAGTGTATACCCACTTTTGAAACTAGTTGCTCCATATATTGTCATTGGTCAACCTTCTTTGTCATCTATCCGTTCTATTGTTCAAAAGAGAAGTAAGATCATGTACAAGAGACCAGAAGAAGATCAAGAGAAAGAAATTCAACTAAATGATAACAACATCATTGAAGAACAACTCGGAGAAACTGGTATCATCTGTATGGAAGATATAATTCATGAGATTAATGCCATGGGTGAGTCCTTCCAAGATGTTACTTTCTTCTTATTGCCATTCAAGTTGAACAGAGAAGTATCTGGTTTCAATTCTCTAAACAGATTAAAGAGAATCAGACAGCAGGAACAAGAAGCTAAGTACCGTCACCACTCTAACTCAGCCGTTGCTCCAATAGTACAAGTGGATATCAACGAATTGATTTCAAAGTTAAATTAGTTGTTAGAGTCAATATCAGGTACATATTTCTATCTCTGCACCACACTCATATATAAAAGTCATTATATCAAATACTGTATATTATTCATAATAGAAATAAAGAAAAAGAAATTAACATGATCCTGGTTTAAAAACAACCAATTTTGTATTAACTGGCATTCGGTGGCATCGTCATCAATTATCTCAAGGTTGGTGCGATGTGAATTTCCTTAGTTTTATTTAAAATCTCTCCGTAAAATATACCTCTCTGAGCATTCAAGTTAAATTATCAAATTCAGGAAATTAGCTGTTATGACACATTCGACTAATAATACTTTGTAAGTATTTTAATTAGTGTCACATGCAGAGCCTTTGAATTAAGATCATTGAGTGACGCTATCGTGGATCATCTTATCATGTCTGGTGCTTCTAATTTCTATCAGAAGCGAACGCCGTCAACGGATATTTCCAACTCCTGTAACCACCATCCCCGGTACCGGACAGCGGTGAAGCTCGCTGCGAACCAAAAAATAGAAATTCTAAGGACCTCTCCCAGATGTTGACTACTACAAGACTACGCACGCTCATTAATAGTAAGGGGGGAGGAACGGTTGGAGGCAGATGGTAAAACTACAGACCACATTTCTATTTAGCTCTCTCTCAAAATGAAACTAAGAGGATATTCATGCAATTCTTTCTTTGAACAAAAACTAAGAGATGTTGCAAATTGGTGACTTCGCTCAAAATTTCGTGACTCAATAGGTAAATATTGTATTCTTTCAATAGATTATCAAATTTATATAAAGAACGAATGGTTTGACCTTTTCTATTTTATTCTTTATTTTTCATTATATGGAGTTATGTCTTCTTACTCCCTTTATGTATTTCAATTGATTATATAATTCTTCGTATAGTTCTTACTGGAGAATTCTAAGTAAAACAACAATAATAATACTTATAATATAATGTCTACTGTTACTAAAACCATTGTAGTCCTACCAGGTGATCATGTCGGTACTGAAATTACCGATGAAGCTATCAAGGTCCTAAACTCTATCAGTGAGGCTCGTCCAAATATTAAATTTGAATTCCAACATCATTTAATCGGTGGTGCTGCCATTGATGCTACAGGTGTTCCATTACCTGATGAATCATTGGAAGCCTCTAAGAAAGCTGATGCTGTCTTATTAGGTGCAGTTGGTGGTCCAAAATGGGGTACTGGTGCCGTTAGACCAGAACAAGGTTTATTAAAGATACGTAAAGAATTGGGACTATACGCCAATTTAAGACCATGTAACTTCGCCTCTGAATCTCTTTTAGAGCTATCACCATTGAAACCTGAGTACGCTAGAGGTACTGACTTCTGTGTTGTTAGAGAATTGGTTGGTGGTATCTATTTCGGTAAGAGAAAAGAAGACGACGGTGATGGTGTCGCTTGGGATAGTGAACAATACAGTGTGCCAGAAGTTCAAAGAATCACTAGAATGGCTGCCTTCATGGCCCTACAACATAACCCACCTCTGCCAATTTGGTCTTTAGATAAAGCAAACGTTCTAGCGTCTTCTAGACTATGGAGAAAAACTGTCGAAGAAACCATTAAGAATGAATTCCCAACTTTAACTGTGCAACATCAATTGATCGATTCTGCTGCAATGATCTTAATCAAGAACCCAACTAAGTTAAATGGTCTTGTCATCACCAGTAATATGTTTGGTGATATTATCTCTGACGAAGCCTCTGTCATTCCAGGGTCCTTAGGTTTACTACCATCTGCATCCCTTGCATCTCTACCAGACACAAACAAGGCATTCGGTTTATATGAACCATGTCATGGTTCTGCTCCAGATTTACCAAAGGGTAAAGTCAACCCAATTGCTACTATCTTATCTGTCGCTATGATGCTAAAACTTTCTCTAGATATGGTTGAAGAAGGTGTCGCCGTTGAAAAAGCTGTAAAGAAAGTTTTGGATAGTGGTGTCAGAACTGGTGATTTACGTGGTACCAACTCTACTTCTGAAGTTGGTGATGCTGTTGCCGCTGCTGTAAAAGAATTCTTATAGATATATCAAAATTAAATTAAATTAAATAAGTGAAATGACCCTTTAAAAAAATATAATTCATGAATATAAAAACGAACAGTTTTATGCAATTGTATGTTGTTGATGATGTTTTTGATTATTGAAATAATTATTTACAATTTTAAGTGAATTAAATACGATTTTTATTGTTTTGGAGAACTAAATTAAACAGTAGAACTTTCCAATATATATATATACTTTTTTTTCTCTTTTCGGTTTTTTAGTTTTAATGGCCTGACCATTCGATAGAATCCAGATCAATACCTTCTTGGACCATTTCCCATAGTGGAGACAATTCTCTTAAAAACTTTACTCTCTCAGAGATGGCCTTGATAACGTAATCAACTTCTTCCTCAGTAGAAAATCTACCGATACCAAATCTAATAGAAGAATGGGCCATGGCATCATCCTTACCTAAAGCATGCAAAACGTAAGATGGTTCTAAAGATGCAGATGTACATGCAGAACCAGAAGACAATGCAATGTCTCTTAAAGCCATTAGTAATGACTCACCTTCAACATAAGCAAATGAGACATTAATACAACCAGGGTAACGATGTAATGCAGAACCATTTAAGTTTGTATGGTCATTAGCCAATAAACCATCGACTAATTTCTTTGATAATCTTTCAATATGTTTTTTATCGTTTTCGTATTCTTGTTTCATAATTCTTGCAGCTTCACCGAAACCTGCTACATTTGGTGGTGCTAATGTACCAGATCTTAAACCTCTCTCTTGACCACCACCTGAGAATAGTGGTTCTAGTCTTACTCTTGGTCTTCTTCTAACATATAAGGCACCAATACCCTTTGGACCATAGATCTTATGACTAGAGATCGATAGAAGATCGATATTCATTTCATTCACATCAATTGGAATCTTACCATATGCTTGAGCTGCGTCGGTATGGAAGTATACTTTATGTTTCTTACAAATAGCACCAATTTCCTTCAAGGGTTGAATGACACCAATTTCATTGTTGACAGCCATCACTGATACTAAACAAGTATCAGGTCTGATTGCATCTTCCAATACCTTCAAATCTACTAGACCATTTGCATCGACATTTAAAAACGTGACCTCGAAGCCTTCATTCATCATTGCTCTAGCGGCCTCTATAACACATTTATGTTCGGTCTTTGTGGTAATGATATGTTTCTTAGTCTTACTGTAAAATCTAGCAACACCTTTAACAACCATATTATTAGATTCTGTAGCACCGGAAGTAAAAATGATTTCCTTTGAATTAGCGTTAATTACATCTGCAACATATTCCCTTGCAGCCTCAACAGCTTTATTAGTCTCCCAACCATAAGAATGTGTGTTAGAATGTGGATTACCATATAACCCTGTGTAATATTTCAACATTGTATCCAGGACACGAGGGTCTGTTGGTGTCGTTGCTTGCATATCTAGATATATAGGTCTAGTACCATATCCTGTATTTTCTCTATAAGCATGGTTCAAAGCGGTAGTGCCGGAACTAATACCATCTTCTGTACTCATAATAGAGTTGCTGGATGTACGAATATTCGATTGTTCCTTGTTAGCAGCCTGAACGTCTGTATGTGTCTCGATAGAGAGACCTTCATCAGATCCTAATGTCTTCGCAACACCTGCGGCTGAAGCTGCATATTGTCTTGTCAAAGACGTACGCAAGCTTGAACCTAAAGCATTTCTTGAAAAGGTAGCAGTAGAACTGGCGATTCTGGGTAGCCTATTATTACTCCTCACAAAAGCTAATCTCAACATTATTTTTTAAAACAAATTATGCTAATTTTGAGTATATTGTGTTTCTTATCCTTCGATATACAGATCCTAATATTATTTATTATATTCAGATCTTAAACACCTAAAATACTAAACAAAACAAAATAATAAAAAGTCTTACTTTGTTAGGTACAAATGAATTTAAGAACAACACTAAGAGATATATTAAAAAAATGTAAAACCTATAAATATATACTTTTTATCTTCCAAATTTTGAGATGACCAATCCTTATGATTTGTAAGCTTCCCACATTATATCAAAGTTCTGAAAGGATGTCCCTACTTTGATATTGAGTCAATATCAGCAAATGGCAGCTGAAATTTCAGCGATAGAGCAAATCTGCACTAAAGAAAATGCGGCGGACAAAAAAAAAGGGTGCGGGCACGTCAATGTCACGTGCAAGTGTCATGTTGCACGGCTGGAAATACCGGTTTGTGTACAAAGAGAGTAAAGTAATTCATCCTATGGGTGGATGGATGGGTAATTGATTAAGCTCTGCTGGTGATAATGTAATGTTTACCTACCCTACGTCTTCTGGCGTATTTCATGATGAAGGAGTCGATCTTTAAGTGTTTCACATTGAGTTCTTCAATGAACGGCTCGATATCCCGGAGATCCCAGGAGGATTGCAACTTGAATAATGTCTTGAATCGGTCCTTGGGATCCATTGACAAAGTGTTACGTGCAAAATATTGGATTTGTTTTTCTTGTGGTTGATAATAATGACCTCTCAGCATAGTCATGTCTATATCGCAAGGAAAGAAAGGGGGGAATTGAGACCTCCATTGTAACATAAACTCATCGATTGGTAAAGCACTCTTATTAACATATTTTTTAAGTGATTGAATACCATACCATTTAGCAATAGCCGAATTGTTCAATTCCCATGTAGGTTCCTGGGACGTTATATCAGTCTGTCTACCGAATTTGTTCAAGACAGTTTCGACAACTTCTACGGTGTACGGGTTGAATCCGCTGTCCATGTCTTTATTTACAGCCTCGTATGAACTTTTCAACTTCAATTCGTTAAGTTTCATAGATTCTGCCAACACACTCATTAGTGTGACATGTAATGCTTTGCTTATAAATTGTGAGCTCAGGAGACAAACTTGCCCCTCTATCGTGGAACCACCTAGACTATGCCATTGTGCTAGAGCTTCTCCCTTTGAACATGGAGACTTTTTTAACAAGTCCTCAAAGATAAGCCCCTGTTGATGCTTCGGAGGTGAGAAATCCTTTTCACCGTCGTATATTGGTACAAAATCGAGATGTAGACGCCCCTCTGTATCTATCGTCTCGTATTCATAAGTTGTTCTTGCAAACCCAATGTAGTCAGTAATTGGTGGAGGCAAACCAAACAATGACGATGGATCAATCACCATAGAATTATCTACAACGCCTTCATGCATGATCATGGACATATTGGAATGGTCCTTCTGTCTCACAAGCCACGTCTTGTCCTCAGAGCATAACACTACATGAGATTTTTCATTATCTAGAGATTTGAATCGTAATCCTCTACACGTATCTTTGTCCTTAAGAACATGCATTAGATCATCATTCAATTCGATCAGTTTATAACTTATGTTACTATTTTCTTGTTTCAGTTTAGAATACAGGTTTATTGACATTTGTAGAGTGTGCTTTATCAAATTTTATTGTGTAAGTGCACTATAAGTATATTCTAACCAAAATATTGAGCGATAATAGAGGCCCGTCTATAATATAATATAAGTTGACGACTGTTCGAAGCAATATACGTAGTTTAGAGATCGTTTATTTTATAGCTCATCGACTTCGTTCACGCATCGACACGTTAGCAATGGTTCCTTTGTATTACACGTCCTCCAAAATATTGTTTCGAGACCTACAACGAGGTGAAAAAATTCGTTACCTGTTCAGGAAATTTGCAAAACAAACAAACAAAGGACTTTTTTCAGACAAACAGAGCAACGATGCGAATGGCAGGATTTTACTTCTTGATCTGATTAATGGATGTCATGTAGACAGTTGAGATTACTAACAGTAAGGCAAAGAGGAACTCTATATTTTAACTTACCAGTTCATTATATATATTTTACATGTAGAAATATTGATTGCTACTTCTATAAATTGACGTTGTACAATAACATACAAGGTTAAACAATTTTTTTCTATTTTTTAAAATTGAGAATACTACATAAAGCTCACCAATAAATCTTCATTTTATAATAAAACTACATCAGGAGCATTATAAATATGGTTTTACAGGAAGAAGGAGCCAATGAATTTTCATCTTTATACTCCCATGAATCTAATCTCGACAAAAATATAGATAATTTGGTGGAAAATAATGAAGTAGATGATCCAACTACTATCGAGCCTAAATCACAACCTCTTAATAAAAAAATTATATTGTTTAATAATTATCTTAATGATACAGATTCTAACGGCACGAAGAACTGGAAGAATATTAAGATATATTGGACTCAAAAGGTCTTTGATGAATCTAATATATTGACAAGCCGTGACGATATTTTATGGGGTACGCTTATCATATGTATACACCACAATAAAACAACTGATACATATAACTGTTTGATATTTGATGACTTTGGTTTGACCACAATAGAGTCAGTTGATACTACTACGGAATCTCCCTATTATCCTGCGATTGAGAATCTAAATTCTAAAGACAAAGATTCAGAAATAAAAAGATGTATTGCAGTTGTTATGTTGCAACGATACTCAGAATTAACTGTTAAACAAAAGAATCAACTAAAATCGATGTACAATGAAGAATCTCTTTCAGATTATGATAATGTGCATGCTGGTCAATTGGCTAGTAGTTTCACCGAGTTTAAATCTATATCGCCCTCTCTATTAGGTCAGAGAGTCATTTCTAAAGGTTTACTTGATCAGCACAATGTTAAATCAACTTTATTAGATGTAATTTATCAAAGCAAAGAGTCTACTATTGAACTGAATAATAGGCTTGTTTTCCACCTTGGTGAACAGTTGGAGCAATTATTTAATCCGATTACTGAGTATTCACCAGAACAAACAGAATATGGATATAAAGCACCTGAGAGTGATACTCCAACAGAGGAGGATAGTCCATTAATTAAAGCTATTTGTAATGAATTGTTAGAAGTACAATCCAATTTCACATTTAATTTGGTAGAATTTTTACAAAAATTCTTAATAACATTAAGAGTACAGGTTTTGAATAGCGATATTGAAGGTTTATCCACTGTCAAATTGAACCGTTTGTTCCCACCAACCATTGATGAGGTCACAAGAATTAACTGCATTTTCCTAGATTCTTTGAAATCAGCCACCCCATATGGATCATTCGAAGTACTAAAGGCTTGTAATTTAACGATACCATACTTTTATAAAGCTTATACGAGACACGAAGCAGCTACTAAGAATTTTAGTAAAGACATAAAACTTTTTATGAGAAATTTTGGGGATATTATGCCAAATAATGATATATATACGGAAATGAAGCTAGAAACAATAATAAAAGGCCCTCAAGAAAAATTACTAAAACTAAAATTAATACTTGATAGATTATACAAAAAAAAAGAATGGTCTAAAGAGAATCTAAAGGCTGCAGGAAAATATTATAATAATATCATTGATATTATTAATTCGTTTGGTCATTTAGATGCTCCTATGAGTTCATATAATACAAGGGTATTCACTCCGTCAGGGAAAATCTTGACTGAATTGGCCAAGGGGTGGCCTGTAGAACTGCAGTATAAATGGCTGAAGAGACGTATCGTTGGCGTATTTGACATTGTTGGAGCGTGTGAGCCGTCTAAAAGAAAATTGTTGGTTATTTTCAGTGATTATATTGTTTTCCTCAATATTCTTGATTACCAAAAATATTATACTTCCGATAAATCTAATAAAAAACCTCTGATTTCAGATATTTTAATGAATTCCTTAATTAATGAACTTCCATTACCTCCAAAAATTCCAAAGTTAGAAGTTGAAAAATACTGTTATATTAATGAGATTCATACTTCAGTGACGAATAACAACATTATTAGATTCGATGCAATTGGCGCAAAAGAGAAAGGACCTTTCTCTGTGATATGTAAGCTCGCATCTAAAACAAATAATGCCACATATATTGCAGACTTGATAACCAAAGCAAAAATTCTAGAGAAGGATACTGCTTTCCACTTGTTTAAATCGTCCAGTGAAGAATCTATTCTCTATTTTACAGCACATGAGCTGGAAGCTTATAACAGCGAAAGAATAAAATCTAAATTTGGGTTATTCTTAAACATGGATGTTTCTAAAGAACAATTGATTGCGAATAACCTTCATTCGGCTGTTTTTGCCAAGTTCTCCAATCTTAGTGAATCAAACAAAGTTCATCTGGATCTGATCAGCATAAATGATAATGAAAAACGACAAACAAGAATAATTCCCGCAGAAAAAATGGTTTCAACCCTCATTTCCTTGTTGGCAGTCGAAGTACCTATCTGTTATTCATCAATTTTTTCAAAGGAAGCCTTAAACCTAATTAATGTTAACGGCGTTGTAACAACCCAACTTTTGGAGAGTGACGAAGTAGATCAACCTTTAAGTGCGGAAGTAACATCTCCAAATTTATCCCTTGAAATAAACGAAGAAACTAAAAAATCATATGGTACAATAACAACATTCAGAAGTGATGTAAGTGATTTGGTGGATGTTACTGATAATAAAAATGATGGTAGCACTTCCGAACAGAGAGTTAAGAATGGTAAATCTGATCAGAAAAGGAAAGAAGAGATAAGAAAAAAGGATAATCTCAAAACAGATAAGAAGAGAACAAACAGAAATGATAAGGCCCAAACCAGGAAGTCGAAGATGGTACCCAAAAAAAATGTAATAGAGAAGAAACCAAAAGAAAAAAGAAAAAACAAGGGCTTTTTTGGAGCAGTCAAGAGTATATTCTCTAGTAGTAATAAAAAGGAAAAGAAACAAATAGGAAAGCCTGTTATTATAAATCAAACAAGTTCAAAAAAGAACTTGGATGTGAAGCCACGTCCTAAATCGAAATTAAAACCTATAGATCCTGCTGAAGAAGAATTAATAGTTTCTGATAGGCAACCAGAAATACCAAAAGAAAAGACCAAGAATGTAGAAGCATTATCAAAAAATGATAATATTCGGATAAGTTCTGTTGTCCATAATGCAAACTTTACAGAGACGTTATCAGATAAACAAGAAGTGGATAAGAATGAAGAAATAGAAAATAGTATTCCGAAAGTTTCCCCTGCTTTTAGAATTACAGAGAAAAAGAAAGAACTACCACAAATTCCGATTAATATCGAAAAACATAAAACTTCGGATATTAGTGAACAACCACTCGAGTACCAAACAAATGGTGCAGAGGAAGGTGACGATACAGATATCAAGTTGGCTAACCCAATTATGCATCAGAGTCAATTATTTGAAGATGACTTGTTCGGAGATTTTGTTTCTGAAAAACCTAAGGAGAACGGGGAACAAGAAGTGTTAATGAAGTTACACGAGAACATAGACAACTTAACTAATGATCATAAAACTATCAATATGGAAACTTTAACACCAAATGATGAGATACATGTTCCAACTGAATCAGTAGACTATAAATCTGAAAATTTGAGTTCTAGCGATGTCAAGTTGGAACCGAATGATGAAATAAATAATGGATTATTGGTAGAATTAGATAAACCTAAGTTGAAGAAAAAGGCACCAATATTCCCAGAGATAGCTAAAATTATTCCACCTAGGTCAAATATTAAGTTTAAAAAATCACCTTCATTCGTAGAATTGTTCAGAGACATGAGAATCGTCCTAGATGACAGTGATGCCAAGTACAACTGGAAAAGACTATCCACCGAGGTCTCCTTGAATGAGAAGTACCTTGTGAACAATGATGGTGCTAGCCATGGCAACATTGCAACAAATAATGGACTAAACACTATTGCTGAGAAATCATATAATATTCCAGCTCCAAGTTCTCCCTTAATAAAACTCGGCAATGCCGAAAATAGATCACCCAGTAGGCCATCACCACAGAAAAGTGCAGGGTCACCTTTCAGAGCTTTGGCACACAAGAAACTTTCAGACTTAACCGTGGGCGATGTTGAAAACTTCGATTCACCTCCTATTAATGATAGCTTATTTACAGCACAAAATCACGAAGAGTATATACAACAAAATATACTGTCAAAAGTTGGTAATAGCACACCTTTAGGCTCTCCAACAAAACCTGGTGCATTATTTAAGGTGATTAACAAATCTCCAACGAAGTTTGTCACTAAACATTCTAAGAACGATACTCATAACTTTTCCAATAATCTTCAAGAAAATAGAAAAGTTATCCAACTTAAAACGATGGATTCAGGAATTCAACTGAAAACCCAAAAATATGTTAACGATAGTTTGATTGGTGATGATAAGAACGCGGTATCAGACTTCTCTTTTGCTTCTAACTTTAATGTTGATAATAATAGACGTTGGGTTCAGTTGAATGTTAACTCCAAAGAAGACCTTCTAGATGAGACTTTCTATACACCTCTAGAAGAAGCGTCGGAATCGTTTTCAGATCCAATCTTTGGAAAGGCTCCTATTATATTAAATCCGACTAAAAAAATTGCAGTGGCTAATAACCTAATGGATAGATCAATTACAAAGAATAATATACCCATCAAAAAAAAAAAAATTGAACACAAAGACAAGGACAAGGACAAGGATGAAATTTTGGATGATCTAGAGTTTAGTTCATTCGATATCACGTTCAACACAACAAACACAACCAATGATGTATATTCTACTATCCCAAAGGAATCAAATGTTGGTAAAAATATTCTATTTGGGCTAAATTCAGATAATATTCCAAAAATGGATCCCCCAATTGTTTACAGGTATTCTAAGGAGTTATCTTACAATACTAATGAGAATAGTCAAACTCTAACTCAGAATTTCAATAAGTCAAGTACTGAGTTGAAAGCCAGTGACTATGATAATGATGATGAACCCTTTTGGATATCGCCAAGTAAAGTAGATTTTACAACAATAAGCAAGTACACCAGTAAACAACCTACCAACAAGACTACATTAAATCCGATCAAATACAACACAGAAGAGGTTACCACTTTAAACCCCCAAGGCAAATCTATAACTAATAAAGAAGATCCAAATATTATTCACGATATGTCATTTGCATTTTTGGGTAGTCTTGTTGATATTGATGGAACTGAGGATGGTTCTGATACGACATCAAATTTTATGAATGACAAGCCAACACGGTTGCAATTTAACTAAGGTCAAACATTTTCAAAATCCAAACATAGACATTTAAAACTAATTAGAATATTCAAATATATACGTATATATGTATGTATAAATTGACGTATTTAATTTATTAATATTATTAAAATAATTCTTACTAATTCGAGTTTATCTATATGAACTAAAATAAATATAAACATGGGAGCCAAATTCTTTTGACTGATAAATATATATATTGCATTTATTTTACTATTTTTATATATTATTGTAAAGAAATTTAATTTGTACGTTGTGCGAATGAGACAGATAAGTCTTGACCACCATAGTTATAATTATTTAGTTTACTGACACATAGGTCTGCGGAACTAATGTCTTCATAATCAACCACAGCAGTACCAGTTGGTGCCCCGTTGGAATCATATGTCAATTCAGCATGGTGCACTCTACCAAGACTTTCAAATAATTCATACAGGTCATTAACCGAGGTTGAAAGTGGTAGGCCTGTACAGTAAACTAAACTGTTCCTTTCACCATTTCCTACGACACCCTCAGAGAATGTAGATGGAGCAGGTTCTACAGGTAATATATTTTCATTCATATTCTCCGGTGGAACTTGTTCATCATATATTAATCTGTCATTTGGTTCGTGGTAAGATTCACGACGTGGTTCTCTAAATTGACGGTTCGAACGCCCTTCTCTTACTTCAAGTATTCTACCTTGTAAATTATAACCGTTGAAAGTATCAATTGCTCTAAACATTTCTTCTTCTGTTGCGTAAAAAACATTACCGAAACCCTTGGAGTACCCATTGTAATCCAATTCGATATCTGCTCTTTGAACGTTACCACACTCTCTGAACAAATCCTTCAGATCTTGCCATGAGAAGGAATATGGCAAATTAATGATGAACACTTCGAAAGAAGGTGAACGTTGTTGTGGTTGTTGACGTGGAGGTGGAGGTGCAAAACCATAGTCTTGGTTACCGTAGTATGGATCATAGTTATTACTACCTTCGTATGCATCATTAGGTTGAATTCTTTCATGAATGCTTAAAGGTTCAGCGCGTTTATTTGGAGGAGGCTGATCCTGTTTGATAAACAAATCACGACCCATGAAGTTAACATTATTGAATCTATTAATTGCTTCGTCTACGGCAGCTGTATTTGTGAATTCTACAGTACCCATACCTTTATGGCGTCCCCTTCTTCGAATAATTTCAGTGCTAACAATTTCACCTACTGGTTGAAAGAAATCTCTCAGGTCATCTTCAGTACAATCAAATGATAAATTACCTATAAAAATACTGTTATCATAGATTCTCTCTGGCATCATTTCACGCCTAGCTGGCATATCCCTGAAGGAGTCACGACTTGGACCATATTCAAAACCGCCACGACTGCCACGGCCACCACGGCCACTACGGCCACCAAAGTCTCTTCTACCACCTCTTCTTGCACGTCTTGGTCTACCACCAAAACTTCCTTGCGCATCACTATAGTCAAAACTCATACGACGACGAGAAGGAGATCTGGATCTGCTACGCTGGTTAGCAGCATTATTGTAGTCTCCTAATGCTTGGTCCATATTTTAATAATAATAAAAGAAAAGATTGTCTTTTATTGTTTATAGGTAATAATTTTCGTCGAAAGTCTCTAGGCCCTTATTTTATTCTAGACAACAGAAATGACTTCCTCTTCCTTCTAGGTATACTTCAATAGTTATATATTTAGAATCGGAACAATAACAAAAGAAACGATGTTAATGTTTTAATACTCAGACAACATAATAGTACTTGCATCAAACCTTGAAAGGTTGCTGAACGTTTCTGTCAAGTTCTCGTGTTACCTACTATGGGTGCGAGACGTGTCTCTCCCCCATCCAAAAGTTTCATTATCAAACAAAACAAAACGAAGCGAAAAATTTTGGCTTCGTCAGCGCCGGGGAGGGAGGGACAACACTGCTCGTACAGAGTGATCTTTCATGAGTTTCTACTAAGATCAGATTGAAAGTTATAAATGATGTACTTTCCAACCATTTCACTTCTTTGCAGGCGTTGCAGATGCCATTGGGAACGGTAATACTAGTCTTCTTGGTACCTCTGTTTCTTTGTTTACTTCTTCTTCACCTTCAAATCTTAGTCTGCAAGTGCCATCTCTTTTGTTTCCGATGACTTCAGCAGGATAGAACGTTGTTGTCTCTGGATATCTTGCAAGTACCTTGGTTCCCGCAAGGTAATTGAGTGTCTTGGATCTTATGCTTGCACTTTTCAATGTTGGAATCAAAATCAACTCTTTCCAACTGCATTTAAATACTTTGCCAGTGTTTCCAAGTTCGTCAGGTTCGGGATCACGTACCTCGTACCTGATCCTATCGGGAAAAACCTTGATAACCTCACATTGGAACCATTCACCATCACCACCTTTACGTGGTTTATATGCAACTTCTGATCCAATAACGATAGGATCCAGAGAATTGTATTCGCTAACCCAGTATTGTCTACCTTCAATGGATCCATCGGCTCCAGTAACAGAGCTCGATATTGGCACTTCTGATTTGGATTTAGAAGTCACAATTGCGGCTGTTGACGAGACGGCAACACCTGCCTTTACATCAGTATTAGATTTACTATCCTTGCTTTCCTGGATATCCTCATTTTCTTTGTTTTCCTCTAGTTCTTTCTGTTCATCTAATATCTTTGTAAGATTATTTTGAATGGATTCTAATAATTCATTACCTTTATTGATATTCTGAAGGTGACTTTGGAATTCCAACAGATAATTTGGTAATTGATCATCAGATAAAGAATCAAAATTCATACGTTTAGCCATTGTGTCGTCATCAAATTGTGTTACTTCATTCGCATTATACATGTCCTGCAACGAAGACACTACCATCCGCCAGTAATTCTCTACCATTATTCCTAACTGTCTGGTCCTGTAGTTATTAATACGTAGTCTGTCAATAAGTATATTCCTAAAGAATAATATCAAGTTGTATATCTTTTTATTGTTCTTCTTATCTTCCCCTTTTTACCTTCAGTTGTTGATTTTATATCCTCTTCTCTCACTTAATGGATAGTCAATGAATATCACCAAAATACACGAAATTTTCAATTTTTGTCTTTTCGCTTTGCGATTTCTCTAAGCATGGAAGTGATGGGTGACACACTATTAAATTGGGTAATAAACATTAGAGACAGTTAATAACATCAGGCAGTATATCAGGAATTAGTCGCTGGTGGAGAGTATTTCCATGACTTTGATTTTTATAATAGTGGGGGTGTCAGTGGGCTTAGGTTTTTGTGGTATAGCATTCTTTTTGGTGCTGTCTGGGGGAGCAAAATCTGCAATAAGTTGTTTAGATTGTGACATTCCAAATTATAGAAGAAATTTGTGGAGTCGTTTACAGGAGTTAATAAAGTTGTATGTCTCGTAGATGAGATCAATACTTTTGACGATATTCTTTTCTGTAAATAAATATAAAGTACTAGTAATTATTTATGTAATTTATATGTAAATGATAATATTTGGAATTTTCAAAAAGGGAACAAATCGTTAATACTTGTAAACAAAAAATCAAAAGTGATAAACTTCAAACCTTTGTTATCATGAGAAATGTCTCAATGCATCAAGTATCGAGAAAGACCTAGAGAGTGTAGATGCACCAACAACTGTACAAATATAACAAAACTTATCATTTTCACAAATTGTAATCTTCGTGTTTAGCGGAAACAGTCATGGTAGAATTAGGTCTTAAGTTATTCAGAGTTATTGGTGTTACGGTAACAGGATTGGTTGTAGCTTGATTGTGAATTGTTAAAGCAAAGCAAATATTATATATTATTCTTATCTATTTATTGTATGTGATTTTATTATTATTATTATTATACATTTTTTAGAACGAATAAAATCTAACTTAGAATGTAAGTTCAGAATTTTCTGTCTTTATATACTAATTATTTTCTCGACATTCTGTTTCTCTTATTATTTAAACAATTATTACCTAAACGAATATTGATGGTAAAATTGAATATTATGCTAAATATGTAGCGGCAGCACTAAAAGGGCTAACATTAGCTTAACCTATCTGAAGGTGAAGGTAGCTAATATAAGTAGAATTTAGAGTGTGCTGCACTACCGTATATATAATAACACATGATATATACTGCATAATGTAGTATTTGTTCCCCCTACATTGGGTTTATTGGAGCTACATAGTCCAACGTTACTATGAACAAAAGATGAGCAGTTTAACAACAGCAACTCCGTTTAACACTAATCGTATCTTCTCGATTTCAAACTTACGTTTACAATAGTAATTAATATAACTGTTCTATTATATTTTTGTAGGTTGTACTTGACAGTCTTAACTATTCTAAAATAGTAATAATTAGAGGGCGTGTGGTCTAGTGGTATGATTCTCGCTTTGGGTTTTAAACTTGAATATGTGAGAGGCCCTGGGTTCAATTCCCAGTATGCCCCCTTTCTTTTTTTGCTATTTTTATATGTCACGTGACGTTTGAACCGGAAACCCTATAAAAGTTAGAATTTAGAACTCATCGAGATTGCATGAACATAGAACTATTTACCTTTCATTGAAGTTTTATTTTACTAAAATTCATTTAAAATATTTTAGTAATTATTTTCAGGAGTGATTACAATACCTAACCTATTATACCATGTATCAGTTAGCGATTAAAGATCAATGTGAAAATTTTCCAAAAGAGACTTATGAGATTCAGCCTGTAACACTAGTCAATATATTCGCAATGGGAAACTTGCTAAAACAATAGTTAATTTTTCAATATCTTTTATATCTTAGAAACTAATATATATATATGTATTTACGTTCATTTTTACCTATTTTTATTGCTGTAAGGTTCAGAAAACATTATTAGAATAGTGATAATAACTAGTCAATGTTAAGAAAATAAAACAAACAAACAATTAAACCAATTTTCACCTTTTAATTTCTTATATTTAATCAGATTAACCAGGTGGTAATTGAGAGATATCAACGATTTCACTAATTAAACTATCACTATCTTCTTCAGCTTCTTCATGAGAAGTCTTCAATGGAGTTCTTGGTAAAGCCATCATACCACTTCTTGTACATTCTAGGACACCGAATGGTTCCAACAACTTAATAAATGCAGATACACGAGTAGGTTTAGCAGCCAATTCAACAATACAATTGGTCTCTGAGATATCTACGATTTTACCACCGAAATTCTTAGCTAAGTTGGTAATATCATTCAAATGTTGATGTTTTAATCTGTGGACTTCACTTGGTAATAAGTTCGAAGGATGGTATTTTTCTTTTCTAATCTTAGAGATTAAACCTGCATTTGTTTCATCATGATGATGATTCAATAACAAATCTTGGAAATATTCAGAACCTAATAATGATATTCTAGCAAGAACCAATTCACGTTTCACCATTTGGGAGTTAGTATAGTTCAATACGGCATAAACAGGCACTAGATCTTCGATCTGTCTTCTAGCTTGTTCAATGATACTATCTTGACCTTGTAAAACGATAGTCATTCTACTTAAATCCTTAACTTCAGTGTTACATACCACTAAAGAATCGATATTGAAGCCTCTAGCAGCCAGTGTTCCCGAGATACGAGATAACACACCAGGTTCATTCTGTACCAGACAATTCAATACATGTTGATGTTTAGGCTGTTTTGATGGAGTTGGTGTATCATATAGAATGGAGGAGACAGCAGTGTTGGCGTCCCAAGCAGGAGTCTCCACGGTTGGCAATGGAGGTCTCTTTGCGTGTCTATGTAGTTGTTTGTAGGCCATAGCACTAGTTGATGAGGAACTATAACGAATAGAGCCACATGCAGGGCTGTTAGCCACAGTGGTTCTTAGAACACTTCTCAACATGATTTGATCGTTGTTCTTCTAATCTATCGCTCCCTTTACTATAACGAAACAATAACAATAAGACGAACCCTTAAACTTGTGTGATCAACATCAGTTCTATCTGAAAGGATTCTTTCTCATTTGCTTATATATGAAAACTCTGTCTCTGATTGCTGGATTGAGTCTTCTACTGGTAAATGGATCCCTCTCTGTTCTTTCTTTGTTTGTCCCGCAAATTTCAGATAGTGCGACCGGGATGGGCAGCGAAAGAGAGAGAGCGAGCGAGTTAGAGTGAGTCACTGTAGTGAGAGTACCAAGAACAAGAACAACAACAACAACAGAGAGAGAGAGAGACAGGGAAGCCGGTTCCGGAGCATCGGATGTCTTGATGGTGATGGCTGGGGACAGAGATTAGTTCAGTGTTCAGAATGTTGAAAATTTCAGATGTTTAGGTAATAATATCGTTCTATTTGTATATGTAGGATGTATAATGGTAGGAGGAGTTTTATGTAAGCGTGGCTGATCTGCTTAGGATAGCATCTCGAGTTTGGAACTGCAAAGTGCCAAGATGTCTTGTCTCTCTGACAAATTGATCTACAGTGAGTGATCCTTTACTGAGTAATTCGTTACAAAGTAGTATAGCGTCTGTAAGAGCCAGATCTAAGGATACAAAATTGTATAGGAGGTCATCAGCGGTCGTAACGATTTCATCAACGTCCTGAGGTGGCTGATATGTGTTGAGTCTAACGTCTCGAAATTCTTCTAATTCTTTCATTTGTATTGTTAGAGATTCTCTATGTCTTGTTATATTGTCATTCACATATTGCACTGCTTGTGTCTGATATTGTAAATTGTCATTGAATTTAGCTATGACATCCTTATATTTCACGGAATAATCAGTTATTTCATTGTTCATCGATCGTTCTGATCCAGTTTCTAACTCCTGTAACAATTGTTCTAATGCAACAAGTAATTGATCATGTTGTGTATCGCCGTTTAATGTCAATGAATCCATGAGATCTACTGCTTGTTGCTGTAGAGGGGAAGGTGGAGGTGTAGCAACTTTTGGTCGTGGTGGAAGTGCATGTGCAGACACCTTCTGTTGACCCGGTTTTGGAGGTAAAGGTGGTGGTGACGTTAATGTCGATGATGTCGATGGAGGTATCGTCGTTCCGGCCACTGTAATCGAATCTTGTGGAGTCTCTATTAAATGTGTACTTTCCAATTGTTCTATTGCTTGAATTATTTGCGCAACGTTACTGGTTTGTGGATTCCATTCATTGCAAAACATTGACAGATTTAACTGTGCATCCTTTTGTACCAATGACCCATACCGCTGTGATGAATCTATCTTTTCAATATCTATATATATCAAGGGAGATGTTGCTGGGTAGTCCTCTGGTAACCACACCAAGATAGGCACTCCATGGATCACACCATGTAACACCAACAGCAGCCGTGACAGACCATCAGAGTCCGTGAACACCCTTGTACGAGGACGCAATTGGCCGAATTGTGTCAATGTCACCATTGAATCATGGAACGTCGCTCTGGGGTCATGTTTGTATATGGGCTGAATCACTTGGAATAACCATTTCACTACGGACTCGGGAATCTCCGTCTTACCTTTGCCGACTATACTACTCATTGCTGACTGGTTCCTCACCTTTAATCGCACCATCTACATAAACTATTCTACCAAGATCCACTTTTATCAGAGGGGGTACAACCAAGCAAGTGTTCAAGTACGTATTACACTAATCCAAGTTTACTGTCAAAGAAACCGCTCCAGCACGTGACTGCGAGGCCCCAATTTTCCTTACTGCGCTACTGCCGCCTTTTTGTGCGAAATATTTTGGCTGCAAAATTAGCAGCCATTTTGAATAATTTAAAGAAAGAGAGACCAACCTGGAATATATATAAGAGAGAGGGAGATGGTGATTATGGTGATGAGGCGGTGAAGGTTCTTAGTTTCTTCTTGAGTGAACAGTAATAGCAGTGCAAGAATGAGTTTGTATGTATAGATGGCGGTGGGGTATTTCCCCCTTTGTTGTTGTTGTTTGTTGTTGTTTGTTGAGATTACTAACAAGATTTGTCGATGGGATGGGAACCCAGTTGATCAATAGATTGTCTGTGAGTTCCTTTTCTTCCCTTCTTTCTTTCAAACCAGTTATACAGTTGTCGGCGTGTTGGTTGTAGTGGTCATATCCTCCTATGTCTTCTGGATAATGGCTCCTAAGGAGAATAGAACGTATGTCTAAATTTTAAGTCTATTTTAAGTCTATTTTTGTTTTCATTTACTAACAATTCAATTGCAATGTTTAACATGATATCATTCCGTTTGATCTCATGCCTGTTATATATCGCACTTTCTTTTCTATTTGAAGTGTCTGGAGAAGTACAGTCATACTGGCTTTGGCTATGATGTATTTAATGTGGGCCATTACTTACCTGTGTCAATTACATCCTCTAGTAGAACCTCGTCGTTCTGATATGAGACCAGAATAAAATAAAATAAAATACTATAATACATAAATATACAATACAATACAATACATCTAATAAGTAACCCATACATCTATTCCGACATGTTACTACATAATAAGATGAAAGAACCTTTTCAAGCTGTTAAATATGTAGGGAACTGTACCCCTGGAAGAGAAAATCCATATATAGATATATGAATAGCTTACTCTTTCAGTTTGTGACTCTATTTTACAAGAGCGATACATGGAATCCCACGATCCATCGATAGAGAGCAGTCTGCGGTTGTATCAGTTTAGTGTGCAGACCGGCCGATCGATGGCTTATTCTCCTCCACTATTAGAACCCGTGATCCGTGGTGGTGTAGTAAGGATCCCGGGGCAGAAATGGGAGTGTCTCTTTTGGTAATAGGTTTTAGAAAGAGAAGGATCATAATTGAGGTGAAAATATATATGATTTACCACTTCGCACATATAGCCTTATATGTACATACAATTAGTTCCATAATCCCTTCTTGTCCTACCTCTCTATCCCAAAGCTACAAATCGTCAAATTGAGAGCTGAGTTTCAACTTATTCATCACAGGTTCTCTCCTTTTATATTGCGCGACTCTCCTAAAATGAAATATTTTTTTTTTATTTGGCGCTTTTCGCTGTTGGCTTGAGATAGTATTTTTATGCATTAGGGCTTCTAATAAACATTTATTAATACATACATACATTTATGAGTGATGCTGAGACGGTTGTAATTTTGGCTGGGACTTTAGAATACTCTGACATATAGCTATAACTCTCTGGGTGTTTTTTTTTTTGTTTACGATGGCACTATCTATTTTCCATCTTGCTCGATGGTTTAAATTGTTATTGGTTAGTATATTGATGTGGGGCGGGTCCCTGATAGGGTTGTTACTTAACGGTATTAACAGTTTTCTGTTTAGACCTGTGTTCATCACAGGAAAATGTTTGCTATGGGACCCTCTAATGATTGCATCAAGAGTAACTACATCGTTAGTTCTACTTCCGATAAATATTCCATTGTATATCGTCCTGGGAACATCATTTCAACGATTGGCATCCTATGGTCCTAGTTTCCTTAATGCTCATATCTTATTGACTCTGATACAATACACTATGGTATTATTCATTTTTGGTGTCATTATCGGTTCCTTTGTGGGTTCAGTCTTAGGTATGACACATTATTATTTGGGAATACCTAACGTCTATCTAGATTTATCATTATTGGGTCAATACGTGATTAATAAAGTTAAATCTTTGAAAAATCTGATAAATAAACCTATTTCAAATATATTACAAACGTTGAAAAATCTAGTGATGAAAGTATTTAGTCGTTCTGATAATACGACAACAACTATGAAACCAAAGGAATCTGATATGGATGCGCCTAAGATAAAAGTTCCTGTGGCGGTCCACTCAAGATCAAACTCCACTACGAGTGTACTTGATGTTGCCTCCGTGATGCCTAGTGATTTCTTCCAACCAGGGGAGAAACCCAAGGAATTGGTTCTTCAAGTACAACCTACGGTTCAAACGAAACAACAACATACGGTGTATAACACTCCAACGCAATCCCCACAGAGCTCACCTACTTTGTCCCCACAACAAGAACCAGAAGTCTCAAATGACTCGTCTCTATTGGAATCAGAACCTTCAGTAACTGAATTATGGGATAGATTTGATTCCATTGATAGTGCGGCAGTTCATGGTACTATGAGAACAGATAACACAACAATGCGGACTACAAGAGTTAGTAAGAAACCTCGAAGACATAGCGACACTTTCGCAGATCGATCTCAATAGTTACGAAATATACCCCCCAATTCTAGTATATTATATCATCTCTCAATCGACCATTTACATAAATATATTTATACTTCTATATATATATATATATCTATATTCCATACTATGCCGGCACAATATTGATTGTTGGCTATATAAACAATTTTGCATACAAAAAAGTAAATCGTTCACTGTTAAATATTTTGAAGAGCTTTTCCCATATTTTAAAACTGAGGGAATCAACAAAAGAAACCGTTTCGAAATATAGAACTTCAAAGTAAATACTAAATCATCTAGAAGTAGAGGTATTTACTGTACCATTATACATCTTTACATTAGATAATAACAGTCTCTTAAATATCAGCACACAAAGCTCTAAATGAATGTCAAGTGTTCGTCCGCTCAAAATCCTATCACAAGCCATCGCAAAGACTTGTTCTAGACATTACTCCTCACCATCAACGATGTCTACTTCAACCACCAATACACAGTCACAATTTTCCAGTTTCAAAAATACACTTTCCCCTTTAAAGACCAAATTTTATTTAAGAAAAGATGAAATTGAAATTATGCAATTACCATCGGAGTTTTATTTCACTTTAAAACAGAAGATTATGAATGCACAGAATCGTATCTTCTTTGCATCTTTATATCTTGGAAAATCTGAGCAAGAATTGATAAATTGTATTGATCAAACTATGGAAAGGAAACCAAATTTGAAAGTATACTTTTTATTGGATGGACTTAGGGGTACTAGGGAGACACCACATAACAACTCATCTGCATCTTTACTAACTACATTAGTAGATAAATATGGAGAAGATAGAATTAATTGTAGACTCTATAGGACTCCTGCATTTCATGGTTGGAAGAAAAAATTTATCCCCAAAAGATTTAATGAAGGGCTAGGTCTACAACATATGAAGATTTATGGATTTGATAATGAATTGATACTTTCAGGAGCAAATCTATCCAAAGATTATTTTACAAATAGACAAGATCGATATTATATATTCAAGAGTCTTCCTCTGACAAATTATTATTTTAAATTGCATCAACTTATTAGTTCACTCAGTTTTAAGATTGAAGTCATCCGAAACAGTGTCAATCCATTTGCTAATTATAAATTAGTTTGGCCAAAGGATAATATAGCTGTTGATCCAACACGCTTGGGAAATAAACATAAATTTCTTTCTGAATCAGCAAATGCTCTTGAACAATTCCTGCATACCGATCAAAATGTGGATCAAAAGATTAACATTGATAAACAAAAAGATTATCCAACATTAGTTTATCCAATATCTCAATTTACTCCATTATTTAAAAAATTCGAAGATAGATCTACTGAGAAATCTAGTATTCTATCTATTATATCCAATATTCATAATAAAACCCTTAATTGGATATTCACTGCTGGTTACTTTAACATGTTACCTTCAATAAAACATCAATTATTAAAGACACCTTCCGAAAATAGTCGAATCATTACAGCATCACAATATGCTAATGGTTTTTTCGAATCCAAGGGTGTTTCATCAAATCTTCCTAAAGCTTACCTTCACCTATCTCACAAATTCATGAAAAGTTTAGTCTTATACAACAAGACAAATCAAATCCATTTGATGGAATGGCAAAACGGAATTATCACAAAACCAGATGGCTGGTCATACCATGCTAAAGGGTTTTGGCTACTCGATGATACAAAACAAATTAAACCCTTTCTAACAATTATTGGTTCATCAAATTATACAAAAAGGGCATATTCCTTAGACCTAGAGTCAAATGTTATTATTCTGACCAAGGATGAAAGTTTAAGAAAAGAAATACAATCAGAAGTTGATCATCTAATACAAGATTGTCATGAGGTCACGATCATGGACTTTAATCAAGATGAAGACAAACACGTAGGTATTGGCGTCAAGATAGCCACAAAACTATTGAGTAAGAGGCTCTGAAACTCAGAATCTCATGAGTACCGGTAATAATTTATATAATTAATGAATGTTGTAGAATATTAAGTGGATGACACTTGTAAATAAAATGAAACAGAAATAAAAAATTATAATGCATGTATTAAATAAATATTATCAAACAAGGGCAGTACTCTTCTCACTAATCCGTGGAAGAGTAGGTTTATGTCCTCTATATACAAACTGTGCTTGATATAAGATTACTACTAAACATAGTAGTTCGGCGGATGTAGTTACTATTGGAATCGAATTAAATGGCCAATTCCAATATTCTACTGACTCTTTCATTGCTGTAATAGTATATCCGATCCACCTGACACAATCGGCAATAATCAATGTAAGGATATACCGACTAGAGATACCTGAACAACATTTACCCATCCAATTAATACATATCTGAGGACACAACGTTACCATACCTACCATATTTCCCATGACCCACATAATATTCAAATGGTCAAGATACGTGAAATGGTGAGGATCAACATGATAGAAATAAAATGTAGCAGTACCTACGAGTCCTAAAAATACAGTTAATGTGACTATACATATCATAGAGACTCCCTGATGTGTGTGCGATGTTGCTCTATAAAGCATTAATTGTTTCCAAATGGATAAATATGCTACTAACAAACAAATATTAGTTATCAAAAGTGTCATAGAGACCGGAATATCATCCCAGTCTTTATAAAACAGTGGAAATTTAGCGTACAGTTGCTTATTGACATAAATATTAAATTTATAATTGAATGATGCATATAAATCAACCGATAGTCTAGCTATATTTAGCACAGCGGTGTCATATGACAAACCGTAGATCGATTTATGCAGTTTGTTGTATCGCCTCTGATACAAAAGTGCCATTATAGACAACAAATTCCCTACTAGCTGGGTTACTAGTAATATCATTATTTGACTCACGATCTTTGTATGCGTTCCTACCTTGTTTTGTTCTGTCTTTTACCTCTGTTGTTAATATGTCACTTTTATATAGAAATTTTGCATGGAGAATAGAAGAGAGGGACCACATCGAAATTTCCCCTTTTAGCAAACAAACCTCCATAAGAATCCAGACAAAACTACCTCAAATTAGAAGGCAAGAATAAAACAAATAAGCTAGTATAAAGTACTATTTACAGATAGACCATACATTAAGTGTAATGGCACTGCACAAGATGAGCCATTTTTTCCATATCGACAATAGCCAAAGCCATGAAGTACGAATTATACATGTTTAAAGCCTTTCCAATCAAAACATTTGTAGAAAGAATACGCACCGTTATTTAGACTCATTACAAAATACTGTTTACTATCAAAACAATATCTATAATAGTTCTTCTCTAGCTACAGGAGGCCAGTTCTTTGCGATATATATTCATTGACGGTGTTACCACAGCAGAGGGTACCAATGTCTCAACAACAAACCGTTGCGTCTAAGTTAGACAACTTGAGCCCCTAACATTTGAACAGAATGCCAAACATTAATATTAACAACTGATGAACACCAATGCCAAATGCAATACGAAGACATCCTGTGATTGGTTTATGTCAACAGCAGCTTCATCTCGATGATCAAACTGGGGTGTGCTTATTAATTACGGGTGCTTTCGTGACTGAAATTTTTTGTACGGGCGATGAGCTTGCGTAAGCACAATAATAAGCAATAGTTGTAGTATATCGACACCCTTAAAGGCAGAACAGGGTGCCATATTTATCTGAGTAAGCAAATATCAATAGAATATCCATATATATATATAAAGGGTGGAGTTAACAAGATAAATATGATATGTGATATTTTGAGAAGATATTAATATGATTCTAAATTATTTTTATGTCTTTTTATTCCTTGGTAATCTATATCTCATCAAATAACACCCAAGTATAACATTAACAACAATGAAGATAGGTTATATAAAGCAAAGCTCAAGTGATAAGAGCCAAACAATTATCAATCTAACACCAGAGGATAAGGAAGACCTCTTTACGATATACCAAATCATTGACCCAGATGATGAAGTTATCATTAAGAAGATGTTTACCACAAAGCAAGAAGATAGCAACAAAAAGACTGTTACAGATTTGCATGAAATCAAACTGAAGGTTCTTTCATATGAATTTGATATTAAGGATGAATATTTACGTTATAAATGTGTCACTATTCCTGACGAGACAGGTGTTGCTAATAAAGATATATCCATCGGTAAATTCCTAAGTTTTAGTATAACATACACACACCCTATGACCATTTATAAAAATAATTTGAATAAATATGCTAAGAGGTTACTGCAAGATGCAGAAAATGCTATGAATAAATCCGAAATTGGTGCCGTGGTATTACAGGAAGGTATTGCTCACGTATGTCTTTTGACATCATCTTCAACCATTATGAAACAGAAGATTGCAATAACTTTACCGAAGAAGAAGAATGCTGAGGACGCTACCAAGTTTAATGATTTGAATGAAACTTTCTATAGACATATTTACGATGCGATGGGTGCTCATTTCAATTACAGTGAATTGAAGGTGATATTATTATGTTCCCCAGGTTTCTTTGCAGATGCCCTTCTCAAGCATATTTTGAAGTTTGCAGAACAGGACCAAAATGAAGATATTTTGAAGAATCAAGAATCTTTCCTATTAGCCAACTGTTCTACTGGTTATCTACAAGGTGTCGATGAAGTGTTAAAAAATCCGAAGTATGTCGAGAAATTAGAAGATGCAAAGTTCGTCAAGGATGTGAAGTTATTAGATGGATTCATGGAACATCTGGATAACGACGATAATATGGCATGGTATGGAAGATATGAAGTCTTTAAAGCCGCTAAACTAGAAGCCATAGACACATTATTAATGACAGACTCAATGTTGAAGTCAAATAATGTGGCAAAGAGAGAAAAATATTTAGATCTAATGGACTTAATTGAAGCTGATGGTGGAAAAGTAATTATATTCAGTACTTTACATACTTCTGGTGAAGAATTGAATCAATTGACTGGTTTAGCTTGTATTTTAAAGTATGCAATTCCGACCCTTGATGAAAGGAACGAAGAAGATGGTATTTCTGACTCTGAAGAAGAAGGTAATTCTGAATCAGAAAAGGAAGAAATGATTACTTCAAAGGCATAATACTATTATTGATGTATATATTCCAAACAATTGATCCCCCTTGCATTAGCATCTATTAGTAATTTTATATTTTTCTATACTACATAATATCCGCATATATATTGTTCAATTGAAGAATAGATTCTATTAATAAATATCAACATGATTTGTTTTAATTCAGTGTTGAAAGGGTTTGATTTTTGTTTGTTTTTGTTTTCATTTATTATAGGTGTTTTGAATAGAGTGTTATATACGTATATATAATATTGTGTCTGTATTTTGTTTTGTTTGCCATTAAATTAAATAAAAAAAATATAATTCAGTTTGTACTTGTAGTATTTTTAACTATTTTTAAGCAGCTTGTTGTTGTGCTTGTTGTTGTTGTTGCTGTTGCATTTGAGTAGATGATTGACGATTACTTGCATTTTCTTTTAATGCAATCAATTGTCTCGATCTGAATTTTTCATAATGAATAAACGACGTTGTTTCAATTAAATCTTGTAAATGTGTTCGAATCAAAAATTCTCTCAAATACACAAATTCACATTGATTTATATCTTCAACATTGATGGCACCCCAACGAGTTTTTCTACCTCTGACAGTTTCACCGTCAATCTCTATATCTTTCTCAGAACCAACCACAGCAAATGGAATAATAGATCTGATACTACTATTCAATTCAAGCTCATCTTCAGTCAGCTCTTCTAAGTCATAAGGATAGATGTTTAAATCATAATTCTTAAAATCGTTCTGTATGATTTCTCTATATGATTCTCTTTCTGTCATGGTCAAAGTATCAGCCTTACCAATGACAGGTATAACATTAGCAATCTCAGAGACTCTTCTTAGAGTTGCGACATCTAAAGGTGTCAAATGTTTTGTAGCGGTTGGTTCAATGAAATAAAGGATGACATGGACTCTAGTATCCTTAATGAATTTTTCTCTCTGTGCTGTCAATTCCTTACGCAAATAGTTTGAATGTTGTTCTTTGATATATTTAACAATTGGCTCCCAGGCTTTATTGTTATTGATTTGATCACCAAACCCTGGAGTGTCAATGATATTAATGTTCAATTTGACTCTATCTTCGATCAAAGTATGTTGAGAGATCTTGATCTCAGTAGTTTGTGTGATAGGTAAATTTGAAATATCGTCACCTGTCTTCGAATCGACTAAATGAGAGGCAAACAGGGTATTGATCAAGGTGGATTTACCTAGACCAGAATTACCTACAACCATAATGTTGAATTGGAAACCTTTCTTCAATAATCTATGTTCGATCTGGTTAGTGATCGTGTCGAAACCGACATAGGAACTTGGCTGAATTTCGGACATATTTTTAATAAATAGCTGTTCTTCCTTTCGTAGTGATGTATGAAATTATGCAGTAGCAACAGTAAAAAACACAGGAGTAGTCTTTAGAAACAATTTTCTCTTAAGGATGTACTCACTTATAAGACATCAACCCTCTTTCTTCTCGAGGGTACCACAAACTGTAAACATTGGTCCTCTTACTCTCAGATAGAAAACCCGTCTCTGCCTTCAACAATAAAATTTTGAATGACAATTCGCACGCGTAAATGGCAGAAAGATTTAAAAATAACAAAAAATAGTGATCTATGGAGAGGGTAACACTGAATTCAAGGTATGAGAAACTGGTAGAAGTTCATCCAATGAAAGGTTATACTTATACATTACTTCTAGGTTTGAGAGGCTATGGAGTTGTCTACATGCGTTTAATGTCCCTGCTTTTGTAATACGAAAACATTAGATTAGTTGAGAGCGTTTCCACAAATTATTCGTTCTTTGTAACTATACAATTATCTTTTACTAAAGTTACAACAGTGGCTGATTGAAGGTACTCCCCAATCACATTGAAAACTATTATTTGTTTAGATAAAAAAATGAATGATGTTCTTGTTAAACAGAGTTAGAGTTGTTAAATTGCTCATCCTTTGTATATAGAAATGTTGGATATTGTAGTTTCAATAAACCCAATGTAAGGGAGACAAATGCTACTTACTATAGGCGGTATATATATATATATATATACAGCATTACAATACACTCTAATTCTAATCATATATTACCTACCTTCTCATTTGGGAGTTTAAGTTAATGTTATCCGTTTTAGTGCAACGGCTGTTTTTTTATCATTTTTGAATAGAATGATGAACCACTAGAAATATTTCTTTGAACCTCCCTAATATTCAAACTGAGATGGGAGCTAATTGATTTAACAAACGTTCTTTCTTATTTTATTAAAATAACAACAAAACTTGAAAGACTATCGCTCATTTTCTGGTTCATAGCATATTTATCCATTATTATTAAAATATCTTTGCAACCTTATCCTTTCTTGTCGGAAATACATTATAAGAATGATAATGACTAAGGTTATGATCTATTGATAGGTTCATCCTACAACAACTTACTAATGGATTACTTACACCACTCTCGAGTGAGTTTATAATCACGACAACGAGAAATCCAATTGTCAGAAAGTAAGAGTAATATGCACAACACTTAATTTCAATAGGTAAAGAAATACCTTTATGACAGAAACTATGTGGAATCAAGATATCTAAAATGTCCTAATAAGAACTAAACATTTATTAAGTAATAGTCGTTTAGGTCATAGTCGTTTAGGAAATAAGTTCATTACTTAACAATCGTTTAACCAATGACCGTTTAGGTAACAAATCAATTACTTGACAAGCGTTTAGGTAATCAGTTTAACAACAGCAACTCTGTTTAACAGATAAAAGAATAACTCAGCGGCTATTTTAAACAAAAAAAAAATTTCAAAAAAAATAACGACAACTGCAGGATTTGAACCTGCGCGGGCAGAGCCCAAAAGATTTCTAATCTTTCGCCTTAACCACTCGGCCAAGTTGCCTCAAAAATCTGAGTTTATTAGAGATTATTTAATACTATATAGTTTCTTGTACTGACACAATAAATATTTTTAGTTTATTGATTTTGTATAATTTGTTATAATATAGAAAGTGTGTTAAACAGAGTTGCTGTTGTTAAACTGCTCATCTTTTGTTCATAGTAACGTTGGACTATGTAGCTCCAATAAACCCAATGTAGGGGGAACGAATACTACATTATGCAATATGTATCATGTTGACGGAAATTATGTGAAATTGAGATATCTCAAATGTATTACAAAGCATGTTAAAAAATGAAACAAAATATGTGGCATTATGAAACAAAATATGTGGCATTATGAAACAAAATATGTGGCATTATGAAACAAAACATAATTCGAACCTCAATTGATATTGGAATAAAAATACATATAAAGACAAAGAATTCTGAACTTACATTCTGAGTTAGATTCTATTCGTTCTATAAATTATATACAATACAAATAATCACTTACAAATATAGGAGAAATATAACAATTATATTTTGCTTACCTAACATTAAAACTTAAGCTACACCATTCACCTCTATACCTAACACCTTTAATAATGAACGAATATAAGTCTAACCACACTATGTCTGCTTCAGCTCACATGTGTTATTATATATATACGGCAGTGCAGCACACTCTAAATTCTACTTATATTAGTTACGTTCACCTTCAGATAGGTTAAGCTAATGTTAGCCTTTTTAGTGCTGCCGCTACATATTCAACAGATATTGATAGAACTATTGTTTATATAATCAAGAAAAAGTAGATAATATTAAATATGTAGCGGCAGCACTAAAAAGGCTAACATTAGCTTAACCTATCTGAAGGTGAACGTAACTAATATAAGTAGAATTTAGAGTGTGCTGCACTGCCGTATATATATAATAACACATGTGAGCTGAAGCAGACATAGTGTGGTTAGACTTATATTCGTTCATTATTAAAGGTGTTAGGTATAGAGGTGAATGGTGTAGCTTAAGTTTTAATGTTAGGTAAGCAAAATATAATTGTTATATTTCTCCTATATTTGTAAGTGATTATTTGTATTGTATATAATTTATAGAACGAATAGAATCTAACTCAGAATGTAAGTTCAGAATTCTTTGTCTTTATATGTATTTTTATTCCAATATCAATTGAGGTTCGAATTATGTTTTGTTTCATAATGCCACATATTTTGTTTCATAATGCCACATATTTTGTTTCATAATGCCACATATTTTGTTTCATTTTTTAACATGCTTTGTAATACATTTGAGATATCTCAATTTCACATAATTTCCGTCAACATGATACATATTGCATAATGTAGTATTCGTTCCCCCTACATTGGGTTTATTGGAGCTACATAGTCCAACGTTACTATGAACAAAAGATGAGCAGTTTAACAACAGCAACTCCGTTTAACAATATCAATATCTTGGATAGCATCCATTTGTTGTAGAACGTGATAGTTGGTAGAGACTGTAATTTATTATTTCCATCTAAAATTTAAGAAAACGGGATATATATTTGAAAAAGAAATTAAATTGTTTAAAATTAATTGCATTATTATTAGCAGCTCATAATCTAATTTATGAGTAAGCTATATATATACAAAATGATTTAGTAGTATATAATTATGAATGATTAATATTAACCATTTTACCCAGTTGTAAGATCCTAAATGACAATGAGAAAAAAAACACATATGAAAAGATGAAGACAGACAAAAGTTCAGAAAACCAACAATTAAAACTAGTAGATATGAGTTTAATGTTTTCGCAATTATGAAAATTTCCATCTATTACCACAGACTTCACATGTACAAAATGTTGTTAAAGGTTCATCCGCAGATCTAGTTTGTAATTGATAATATGAGACTTTTCTTTCTTTACATTTACCACATTGGAATCTATCTGTAACTGATCTTTCAATAGTAGCACCTTGTGCATTAAACAGGTTTTTCTCTTTAATCTCTTCTAATTTCTTTCTCAAAGATTCAGGTGCTAACTCTTTTGGATCACATGTAACCAAGAAATTTGGTGTTAAATCACCGTTGGTGATCTTAATTTTCAAATCAGCATTATTTTTAGATATAATACTAGAATAAATAACTCTATATTTTTCTTTGTATTGTTTTTCATGGGTCATAATATCATTCAACTTGTTCATTTCTTTTTCAATTTCAATGGCCAATTGTAATATATAATTTGGAGGATGCTCACTTTCTTTGGCTAAAGCATCATAAAGTGCTCTAATAACATTATCACGTAATTTAATGTGATATATTATAGTGTTCACACCATCGTTCTTTGCATTTCTAGTCTTAGAACTTTGGAATTTACTGACTTTCTTTGATATACTACCATTGGCATCCGTGGTTACTGTACTAGAGACAGGATTTTTGTTGGATCCATCTGTTTTAGAATCTGATGCAACGGTTCCATTTGAAGAAGGCTGTTGCTGCTGTTGTCTCAGCTTTAATTTATTCTTGTTAATGACATCCTTCCAAGCTGAAATGATTTTTCTAACTAATTTAGCCACCTCTGGATTAGTTGACTTCTTGAATTTGTTAACTTCGACACCAACTTTAGTCTCTCTTAGCAACTTTTCAGTGGGGACAACCTCTTTTTCTAACGTCTTCAAAATATCCAAGACAATCTGGTCGTTAGTTTTTGATTGATCAAGGTTCTTAATTAATGTCAATACTTCTTTGGATTCCATGGTTATTATTTATCAATTGGGTAAACTATGATACTCTCAGTTACTAATAAAGAAACGAAACTAAAATGATTGATAACGTTTACAATGTCTTAAACCTACTTCACACAATTTTCAAAGTCTTATTCCCTGGTAATGCTATGATTAAAACAAACAGTCTACAATTAGTCTAATTAGTTTCAACGATGGTCTTAATCATTGTCATCGTAATTTTTGTATATATTTACGATATTTTCAAGAAGTTGAAGAAAAAACAACGCAACGCGATGGAATATCATATTATACGGAGTGTGAAATGAAAAATTTAGGTAAAGTATAGTTTTTAAGCACTAGGAGTGGAACTTTAAGAGATCGATGCAATAGAAAAGGATAGTTAGTAAAAGCTGAAAAGCAACTGTATCTAACTTAATTTTGGATAACAGACTGACGACATTAGGTTACCCAACTTTTTATTGCTTTTGTTTGACAAGACACGTTACATTCAAGTTATATCACCAATGAATCAAGGAAATAACTCAAATAACACACCATCAAGGGTCGTATATCTAGGTTCGATACCTTACGACCAAACAGAACAACAAATTCTTGATCTTTGCAGGAATGTCGGGCCTGTAGTGAATATGAAGATGATGTTTGACCCTCAAACTGGTAAATCGAAAGGTTATGCATTTATAGAGTTCAAGGATTTAGATACAAGTGCCTCAGCAGTAAGGAACCTAAATGGTTATCAATTGGGCTCCCGTTTTTTGAAATGTGGATATTCTAATAATAATGATTTAAACTCTGTTAGTGGTAGCAGTTCTGGATCTTCAGGGTCCATGGGAGATCAGAATGACATATCACCTTCAAACTTAAGATTCGCTGACTTACCTACTGGTATAGATGTAAATATTAATATGACAACACCTGCAATGATGATATCAAGTGAATTATCAAAGATAGATAAAAATGCACAGCTGGATTTATTAAGGGGGTTCCAGGAATGGTCCAAGAATGATGGCGAATTGGCAATAGGTTTACTCACAGAATATCCTCAACTAACATATGTGATTGCAGAACTAATGTTAACTAATGGTATTGCTAAAGTTGATGATTTGACTCAATTGGCGTCTTCAAATAATAAAGGAAATCAAAATGGTGTTATATCGTCTGAAAATGAAAATAAAAATACATTATCTAATGACCCTGAAACACAACAAAAGCAAAAAGATTTATTGAGACAGGTATTACAATTAAATGATGGTGATATATCTATTTTACCAGACGACGAAAGAATGACTCTATGGGATTTGAAACAAAGAGCCATGAGAGGTGATTTTGGAGGTTTACTCTAAATATTAAGGATAAGAACATTGATCAAACACTAATAATGATCGTTATGTAGTATAATATATATTTAATATACTATTTTGTAATAAAAGAGCATTTTCATACAGAAACTAAAATAATATTTTCTGAAGTATTTCAACTTATGATTATGATTATTTTTTACATATTAATTTAATTTTATTTAGTTATTTATTTAGTTTTATCATTGTCTAATTTAGATAATAAATAATTAGCCATTAAACCTTTTATTTGCAGGTATTGTTCCTTACAAGCATCAAGACTGTCTCCAAAACTGGATTCATTCTCGATATCACCTTTATCTCTCCAAATACCGATAACTTCAGAACCATTCTTTGTAAAACAAATAGCATTATTATCATTGAATCCACAGCCAGGTAAATCTGATATTTCAATTCCAGCATCGACTAGACCAAGAACTATACTCATCATTATGTATGGGATGTACCAACTTAGATCACAGACCTTCTCTATATTTAGGTTGACAAATACATCAATACCAGCCTTTGGATACAACTCTAAACAAACGAAACTTTCTAAAACATTAATTAAAAAACTGCCTAGTTCTTTTAATTCAGAAGTTGGAAATATCGTACTTTTAATAGTAACGTTGATTAAACAACGAGCCTCAAAAAGATTCGACCTGGTAGATCTTGGACCATAGATTGAGCTTAAAATAGATGTTTTGTCGTTTTCTATTATACATGAACCATTACAATTTTTTAACAGAGTAGTTTGGATGCTAGGAGCTTGAAATTCAGATAGAACAACTGCAGTTTCTTCTTTAGAATTAGACTTAACTTCTGGAAAAGCTAGAGGTCTGGCCTCAATAGGACCTAATATCCTTCTTCTATCCTGAACATTCATTATAAGACAATTATAATTGGTAATATGGTTCTGTATCGACTGTTTATTTACACTTTTTATTGAGTAAATGGCAGGCTCATCTCTTTCTCTCTTTTAAATGTTTAAATAATTTTTTTTCACTCTGCGGCGAGTTCATAATATGTAATGGAAATTATTTAGTTGCCAATTTATAAATCTATGAACGGTTAGAAAATAAGAAACTACCAAAATATCGTAACTGAAGAAAAAATAAAAATGTTCAGCTCTATAAGCCTGCGTCAGTTTGTACAATTTGTTCTTATACTATGTTATGCAAATGTCATGTTAAAGCTATGGAAACCATTACATATATGTATATATATATATTCGTTATGTAGTGAGAAAATTAATAATTTTCAGGTGGTTCACTCTCAAGGTCTTGCAATCTCAATCTCTCTAATTCTTGTTTATCTTCAGAGGCAGTGATTGGTTCAACTGTAGCAGATGTTTCACGTGGAGAATATTTCGGAAGTGGTAAGGTGTTGTAGTCAGTTGGATAATTAGATAACCAACTGTTCAATTCAGATGAGTTCAACACTGGAACGGTTAATCCTGAGTCTGTTTGAATTGAATCTATGTGGTGGTCAGGAGTATCGTTCTGTTTTACGTGGTTTTCTTGAATTGAATTCGTCTTTGAGATGGGTTCCAATCTATCAGGTTTTATAATCTCCTTCACAGTGCCAACCACAATTTCAATGGACATTCCTGTAACGTTTCTCATTCCTTTGAGACTCTCTACATTAACCATGTCCTTATATAATATTTTACTATCATGATTAGATGAATTGTTCATATTAATTGTATCTTCCTCCTCGAATAATTCGTTATTGTTGTTTGAGTTAGTGACTAAAGCTGATACTTTTTGTTGAATATTTTTGTCAAGACCAAATAATTTTGAAGACGATATTTTATTAGTCTTAAATTTATTATCCATATTTTGATAAATTTCTTCATCATTTTCATCCATAGCACCTCCTAGAATCTTATGAGATTCAGAGTAAACTAAATTTTTCCTTGATAAATTTACCATAACTTCAATATAATATTGGAAACTAAATAATTGATTCGGTGGATTAAATGTAGCAAATGCATTCAGGGGTACTTTCAAATGAGCTAAAATATTTGCCCGTAAGGTTTCTGGATCTATATATAATGGTGAAACACATTGACATATATCTTTTCTAAATTTTTCAATGGGGATTCCATCGGTTTCATTATTTGTTCCTACTCTACATATTCTCACCAAAGTGACAATTACACCTGCTGCATGATAATATGGTTTATAATGGTCCACTGAGATTTTTACTGGGATGACTTCTCCCATGATATACCCAGATCTCGGCAGACTCACAGATATGTTCACTGTCTTATCCAATATGAGATCATTCTTTGTGGAGAAACTTCCTGAGCTAGTTGAATCATTTGATTTATTTGTTAACTTCGAAAATAATGATGAACCTGCATCACCTGAAGAGTTTGATTTCTTATGCACCATTGGTGTTCCCGTGAACGATTGTAAAACGACTGTCTTTGTCTTTGGAATGGGTAAATATGATACGTCCAACGGTACAATGACTTCAAATTCATTTCTACATTTTGATACACATGTTTTTTCTGATTGATCTGAGGATAAAGGTTCTAACGTGCACTGCATATAATAATTTATTGAACCTCTTTCAAATTTTATCGAACTAAACAATTTCTTGTTATTTTTTGGTAATTTTATTCTGAAGGGGAATTTATGTATACCTTTTGTCAATCCATTTACAACCTTCATATGTTCATTCCCATTTTCATTCTCATCTGTTAAACTATCATTTATGTCTACATTATTACTATCATTATTTTGACTAGAAGTTGATATGGATTGAGTACAATGTGATTTATCTTGAGCCATATCGAATCCATATAAGAAAGTTGATCTTTCAATCAATCTAATTGATTTTTTAGCCATTAAAGTAGTTGGACTATTACCTCTGGTCTTAACTTTCATTTCACATATTAGAGACAAACGTATAGCTATATTTGTAATATCCTTTTTAATCTCCAGGGTAGTTTCACCAATAATATGTTCATTTGGTTTCCATATCCTATGTGGTTCTACAAAAGTTATGTAGAATTGACGAGTAATATTTGAAGAGAGTAAACCGTGAGAATTATTTGTCAGTACTGTTGATTTATTATCATTGTGTTCTTTCCTCTTGAAAGAATGCCTTGATTTCTCCTTTTTCAATATATCGAACAATGCCATATTTTTATTTTTGATTAACAGATAGAGGGTATAGAACCAGAGATTCTTCAAATACTGCTAGGACGACGAATTTAAGTATATTAATGTAATAATTTTCTTTCCCACAAAATGGCGTATGCATATATATATATAAACAAACAACAACAAAAAAAGAAATAGGAACCGTTTACAGGGATATATGCTTGTGTTATTGAAAAAACTAAAAAGACTCCCACGTCAGACTGGACTTAATATATATTTCTCCTAAATTGACCTGATTGTTCTTCGTCTTTTATTAAGATATTGCAATTATGCACTTTTCAAAGAGGCTTATGGATGATGTGTCTCAGACCACTATACCTCAACAAACCTGAACTAACTGAACAAAAACGCACCACGAATGAAACTAGCAATGTCTATCCAGGCTCTCAGATATCTACAGACTTTGAGGTTGGTTGCAGACAGCAAAAGTCTGTCAGTATTTAAGTCTGTATCTTCCACTGAAATTAAACAAAATACTGAGCTAATCCAAGTCAAAAAGCCAAGTTAATTATGAAAAATAAATTTCCGCTGCCTTGAGAGAACGTTATTTTTTCTTGGCAAAAACACCACACCACACACAGAAACAGTCGCACGAATAGTTTTTTCTTTCTGTGTGAGACGGGAAATTTGGCGAGTGCTACGGGCATTTCTCCCGTTGGCAGAGAGAGAGAGAGAGAGTCACAGCTCTGCCAATTTGGTTGAATTATTTTTATGTAAATCTGCAATGCTTTCACGTAACAGTAGAGAAAGGAGATGGAACCTGTTGGACTACTGGAATCTGTATCGACAGATATAGTTTACATGCTATCTGTCGTTTAGCAAGTGTGTTGCTGTTTTACGTTTATCTACAACGATTGTGTTCTATTTTATTTTATCTCCTGAAAATGATTCGTAGCTAGTTTCTACATTGTCTCGTCAAATACTATTCGCGAGTGGATTATATATATATAATTGTATACTGTATTAATAAAATATCTATATATATATTTCTAAAAGACAAATATTTGATCTTCCATCTTGGAGACTGGCTTACCCTTGGTGTAACCCATTGCTACAGCCATTCTCTTAACCGACGAAACCATTCTAGGTGGACCACACAACAATAATTGTACGTCATCTTCATCCGATGACGCAATCTTCTCCTTTAATAATTCAGGTGTAACATAACCAACACCACCTTCCCAATCATCACGTTCACATTTATCAATCAAATAATAGACTTTGATCTGATTAGGTCTACGTTCACACAATTCATCTAATTCATCCTTCATTAAGATTTCGGATTCTGCACTATTACCGTAAATTAAAGAGACTTGTGTAGTATCATTTGGATCATCGGCAATAGCCTTCATGATCTGATACATTGGCGTAATACCCGTACCACCACAAACCATTCCTAACTTCTTACGACAATTAGCAGTATAATCATAACCTCCTGCAGGTCCACATACTTCAATCTTATCACCGACTTGTAATTCACCAACAAGCTTGGAAACATTACCTGTTGGGTAAGCCTTCACTAAAAGGTCAAAATATCCAACAGCTTCATAATCTAATGAAATTGGAGTATATGATCTCAATAATTTTTTATCATTAATAGTGGCTTTAATTGAAATGTGTTGCCCGATTGGTAATCCCAAGACATAAGAATCAGAAGGTAAACTAAATCTATAAATGGAAGTCTCCTTCGTGATTTCTGTCTTGGATAATAAAGGATATTCATGGAATTCTCCCTTCACAAGGGCCTTTTTGTATTCTTTTTCATTCTCGTCGACTTCATCTTCAATAGTGGAGATATCAGTCTTATACTTATGAGTCATCTTATAAAATATAACGATACCAACTGCTACAATTAAGAAAAAAATATCAAATTTCTTGGCATTTTCTAAATATTTAGATATTCTTTCCTCATTGAAAATGTCATTATCTTGAGTGTTTGTATCGACAAACATGTTATTATCTTGGTCCATATTGATTAATAATAACAAAAAGGAAACAGTGACGAATAGAGAGAGAGATATAGGTAAGTTTTAGAATATATGAGAACAAAATCTTTAAAAAAATATGATCTTGATTTATAGTCGAAAAAATAAAACAAAATGTTTATAATTGACAGGTGTGAACGGGGAGGTTAAAAGGAATATGAAAACAGTTGTAGATATGGTAAATAAAAGGAAACAACCTCTATTAATGTTCTGATGAGGGGAGATGCTTCTCAAATAAGGCTTCAAACATATGCATGCGACCTTCTTTGGAAGTTCGAAATGTCGACACCTCTTTTTATATTTTTCTTTTTTCTTTTTCGTTTGATTCGTATAATTTCGCATCTTTTGACAGTCCACCGCGAACATATAAATTTTGTTCAGTGAGAAGGGCATGATAGATAGAGTGATCGTTTGATACTTAACCAATGGTGCGAAGAAACGTTAAGACACAAAATTGCCTTTTGTCTATGGGTGTTGTGCAGGAATATTATGAATATAAAAGGATACATATATATGTATGTTCTTGAATTAATACATAACTAGAACAATGCGTTAGAAAATTTACTGGTCTTTAAGGCTCTGTGTTGCAGTCAAGCATCTTCTCAGTGGGTCCCGTTAATGTTATATAGACATCTGTACCTCTTCCTGCAAGACTTTGAATATCTATCTTCCCACCAAATAAATCCAGGTAAGTCTTACACAATGGTAGACCAAATCCCATTCCTGCAATATTATGCACAGTCTGACCTGGTAACATTTGATCCTCGGCAACTGAACAATGGATATCGTCTATATCTTTATTCTCAGTGGAGTCATTAGTCAAAGTTGGGTCTGTGGTAGACGTATATGAGTAATCAAAAATCTTGCGCTCGAGAGCCTCCGGAATACCACCACCGTAATCTCTTACACGTATCAAAACTTTACTAGGTCCAGCTTCAAAGATACTCACTTCAATATCTTTTGGATGTGTATTATTTTTTGCAGAACTTTCAATTGTGGCACGCATTGAATTTTTGAGAATCTCTGTCATTAGATATTCCAGTATGATTGGTATACAAGAGAATTTGATATCTTCACCTTGTGTGAATGTTAAATTGATCGGTTGATGATCATATTTTAATAAACATAAATCATTAACAAATTCATATATTCTTGTAATGAATGGTGCCAACGGGACATCCCGTTGAACAATCCCTACTTTATTTTGAGAATCATTGAGTCTCGCTTGAGGCCTTCTCTCTTGTTGTGATATTAATTCAACATAATGTGTAGCTAACAATTTCATTGTAATACGATTCTTTAAATGTTCATTAAGGAAAAGGAAAACGGAATTTTTGGGGAATGCCTCCATGATCTCTGTCATCCCATCTGACAATGTTTGTAGAGTGTCCTGATGATCATCGAGAAATTGGCGTAATAATACACGCATTTTTTGTCTATCATATAAATCATACGGAAATTTATTATCTAATAGAGCAGTTAAAGTCTTTAAATATAATGCGTATGTTTGTTCTATTTTGGGGTTTAATATGGCAATATAAGGTAATTGTTGCAATGCTGTAAGTTGTCTACATGTATAAGTTAATAAATAATTCATAATTTGAATATTTAAAGTATATAATTCACTTGAAGGTAACGGTCTCTGTCTATGCTGAGTTAGAAATGCAAATGTTAAAGCGGGCACACGTCTTCTTGAATAATCCTGTATCAATGATTCTATATTGGACCTGATATTATAATGATCTTCAAAGGTTAAATTTGCAAGTACAGATTGTGACACATCATTTGGTTTTCTTAATGATGTAAATATATGGAATGATCGTTGTTGTAACCGAAAACTTGCAGGGCGCAAGATCGTATTTGTAACATATAGCATAGTACCGGGTATCTATCTATATCTATATCTATCTATACCTACACGTCGATATTCTCTTGTAGATATCCCAATATAGTTGTACTATTCACTTCCATCATCGAGCCTTGCAGTTTATATATGAAAATATATGAAATGACCCAATGACTTCCCAATGAGAGTGTCATCATCATCAGTTTGGAAATTATTAATCACGCGAAGCCGGCAGAACGGCACAAAGGCCGATGACTATTTTGTATTCCCTCGCCCTCCCGCTTCAGTAACCAGAAATGTTTGATAAAGGAAAAACATACATCCTGCACTATATATATATATATATATATATATATATATATATACCATTATCATTATCATTAGAGATACAGAAGACTTAAATGTCTGTACTTCACACACATCTATATGTATGATTGTGATAGGATTCCCGTGCTTGCAATTAACCCACTGATCATTACTCCAGACGTGCTGAACAAAAACGAGTCACCGCCAGTTCAAGCAAAAATATAACCACAGTCTTGGTAACGTACCTTAATAACACACTTTGGCATGTTGATTGAGCATATGAGAGATAATAACAACAACAGCTCTTAAAAGCGTGTGAGTCGAACGGTATTATTTCCCTGTCTCTCACATACACACCACCAAAACGTGCATTACCCGGAACATCACTGGACACGACAGCCAACAATATCGCAACGCTACTATCACATATTGTCCCATCGCATATACAATATATATATAGATGGGATGGATGGATAGACAGCTCTTTATCGCGTCGTGTACAGCCTTTTTTTCTGCCTGTCTCTATGGACAGCGAAACAGAGAAAGGGAAAGCGAAAATGGGAAACGTAAGGGTTGGGGGCTAGCAGTCCCTGGAAGGCTGTGGCTACTTCTGCTATTAATATAACTATTTATATATGTATATATAAGTGATACATTTCTTAGTTTGGGCGATTTTTAAATCAGTGTATTATAGTAGATATAAAGAATCAAAAAGTATATACAGATCTCTGCGTTAATTTCACAATCAACAATGTCGTTCAATTCATTCAGTTCTAATTTCAGTAAAAAATTTCAGGAATTATCTACTTCTGTGTCTCAAAAAGCAGGGGAAATTTCAACTAATTTACCATCATTAGCTCAAAATACTCAAAGATTGGTTCAAGAAAAATTAGGTCAAGTAACTGATATCTCTCAATTACCTCAAGAATATATCGAATTGGAGAAAAAAGTCGATACTTTAAAATTAACTTATCAACATTTCTTACAAATTTCTTCAACTTTTGAAAACGAATCCTACGATTATCCAAAATACGTTAATGAATCATTAAATGAATTCTCCAAAAATGTCGCTACCAAAGTTTCTGAATTATCTCATGCAACAAATGCATCAGAAGCTCAAAATATCTTGATTTCACCAAATGCAACAACTGAACCAAAGACTTTAAATTATGCGTTAAGTAAAGTATCTTTACAATCAAGTGAACTGTTCGCTCAATTACCTTCTGCAATCTCTACTCCGCAAGATCATAAGACAGCTGCAACTTTATTAAGCTTTAGTGATGTTCAAGCTAAGATCGCTCAAGAAAGATTAAGACAAGATACTGTGATTCAAACTAAATTTAATAAACAATTGCGTGAAGAATTGGCTGGTGCAATCGATGGTGCTAACAGAGCAAGAAAGGATGTTCAAAATAAGAGGTTGAAATATGATGTTGCTAGATCAAATCTATTGAATGCAAGACCAGAAAAAGAAGCCTCATTAAGAGTTCAAATGGAAGCATTAGAAGATGAATTCGCTCAAGCTACTGAAACTGCTACTTTAATCATGCAAAAAGTATTGGCTAATTCTGGCTTATTAACTGATTTGAAACAAATGGCTATCGCTGAAAAAACATATTTTGAAAACTCTGCATCTTTAATGAAGGAATTCATTGAATCAAATGATTTTGACGTTAACGATTCAAAGACAAACAGTGAATCTGCCACTGCAGGTGCAGATGCATCAACTGCAGAACATGATATTTCTGATGATCTTGATAATGAGGATGAAGATGATACTACTCAAGGTGGCATTAAGATGAGTGTTGATGACAAATAGTAATAAACATTTTTTATTTTAATTTCTATATTGTATGTTCATATTATTGATTATTATTATTGATTATTATTAAAATATTTAAAAGTATCAAAACAAATGCAAAAAATAAAATATTATTTATACGAATATATACACGCACATTTACTTGGCTCATTATATCTAATTATCACTGATTATCAGAGTGGGTTCATTGTTAATACATGCTAAATGCTTATATCATCACATATAGATGACCTTGAGCTTGACACAAAGAAAAATAAAAACATTTCCTTGAACTTTCAGCGGCTAAGATTGGATTATATCAGAGATGCAAAAAATAGGTCGTACCCGGACTCGAACCGGGGTTGGTCGGATCAAAACCGACAGTGATAACCACTACACTATACAACCTCAAAAGTATAGTACTATTAACAAATATTAATATATTTGAGAATAATAAAAATGAAGATTTTCAGTCATTTCATTTTTAATATCCCTTATATTTGGGGTATTTGTTGTTAAAAGGAGTTGCTGTTGTTAAACAGCTCATCCTTTGTGTTTAGTAACGTTGAACTATGTAGCTCCAATAAACCCAATGTAGGGGAAACGAATACTACATTATGCAGTATATATCACGTGTTGCTATATATACGGCAGTGCAGCACACTCTAAATTATACTTGTCGGAAATATATTATAAGAGGGATAATGACCAAGGTTATGATCTGATGCTAGATCCATCCCGCAATGATCTAACGGTAGGTTCATCCCGCAATGATCTATTGGTAGGTTCATCCCGCATCAACTTAATAATATATTACTTACGCCACCGTTGAGTGAGTTTATAATTACGACAACAAGAAATCCAACATATATAAATGGAACAATATTTCATTTATGAATATAACTGTTTCCATAATTTACTTTATATATTTTTATATAAGATATAAAAAGATCAGGCGACCATAAATTGATTTTGTAATATAATAAAATTTGTTCAGTTAAATAGAAGATGTCTAATATCCAATTTTCCCATTAAAATGTTCTCTTTATATTATAGTTAAAACCTCTTTTTATGTCATCTAGTAAACATTTTCACCTCATTGATTACGCTGCGCATCATCGTGTATTGTAGTGATATCTAGTGATGAGACATATTAGTGAATGTGTATAAAGGAACGTTTTTAACCTATATTGAAATTAAGTATGATATATATCACTCTGAAGTTCCCAATTTTTAATGTTTTTCATGAAAATCGCATAATTAATATTTGTTTAAAGCATTCATTCTACGGGGCATCGATTTCTAATGACAAAAAAAATAAAGAAAGAAATAGATAAATTCCGGTGTGAGCGATAACGTCAAATACAAAACAAACTATCCTTACATCTACTAAGCACATGTAAAAGCTAATTGAGAACTATATAATCAAAAGAGAGCTACACAAACTACCACACAATATGAACTTTGAACAACAAGGTGCCCCTTTGGAGCAAACGTACGAAAGGTATGTCGTGCTAACACTAAGATACCTTATCCAAGGTTTACAATTCATCATCCCGTTGGTCACCAAATTCAGTAAAGAAAACCCTACTTTTTTCTTAATACTGACTACTTTGATTCTGTTTTACATTGCATGGAAGGTAATCAAGAATATATTTAACATTTTGAGAAGATTATTCCTGTTATATTTGTTGGTTTTAGTGGTGTCTATACATTTACGTGGTTGGGACCAATTTATAAACAAAGATGTACCATATATTTATAACACAGCAATCACAACTGACAATGCTTACAAAGTTGGTCTAGGAGTGAAATTCCTTGTATTTCAATTCAAGTTCTATCTAGACTATCTGTACCATTCCGTTGAAAACCTGTCATAAAATTTTGGATATTTGATCTCAGCTTACTCCGACGGGTCACAAGTATCTTAAATGCTCTATATGTGGGGTGTTTATCCTGCTTTATTATGAACTATTTAATATTTTTATTAATCACATATTTATGTACTTTAAGCTTTCATAACAATATTGATATTATAATGCTATCATCATTCATTCGAGCAAAATGGCTTAAGAGCGAATTATGCGGTACGAAGTTTTCTCCGTTAATATCACAAATAGATCGTGCCCGAACACGTTCAATAAAGACGAAAATAAATGGGTGTCCCTCGTAAAATACAAAAGAAATGAAAACAATTTGCAGTTAAATCTTATGTATTAATAAAGAAGATCTCTCCATTCTCATTCCGTTAAGCAATTTAGGCCAATTCTGTTCAAGTAGTAACAACCTGGTCATGTTGAAATTTTATTTGAAACGATTTGCTATATTTGCGACCGTTCTAACTGTTTTGGTTAATATTTACACCTACACCTACCCTTCTTTAGACCCTGAAAATTGTTCGTGGCATTGTTTCGATAATTCAAGGTTAACTACTTTACCATCAGATGGTGGATTGTTTGAAAAATTGGATTATTATATTAGGCGTTATTCTGATGACGTTATCAAGACGTATTGGACTTCTGAGACAGCATCACCAAATGATGAACAAAGGGTAGACGATGTTCATATGATGGCATTAGGTGATCCACAAATTAAAGGTGTCTGGCATAATACTCCATACATTTCTAGATTAGACACCTTTGGTAATGATTACTATTTAGGTCACATTTTCAAAACAATGAAGAAAAGATTATCTCCATCTCATGTTGTTGTAATGGGTGATTTATTCTCTTCCCAATGGATTCCAGATTCAGAATTTTATAATAGAACAAGAAGATATGTCGATAGACTATTTAATAGAGATATTTCATTAATTGAAGAGATTAAAGAGAGTAATCATGTTGAAGAAAATGAAAATTTGTTTGTTGTGGATTGGAATAAGTGGGCTGACAAGTTCAATGATGATTTAGAAGGTAATAGAGAAAATTTCAATTTTGGTTATAAGGATGTCAAATCCTGGTCTAATGATGAAGATTATCTCTTTGTGAATCTAACTGGGAACCATGATGTTGGCTATTCTGGTGATGCTACATATCAACATTTAACAAGATTCAGTACCCTTTTCGGTAAGGATAATTTCTGGATTGAATATGATACGGAGACCGATCATCCATGGAGATTAGTTGTTTTGAATGATTTATTATTGGAAGGTCCAGCTCTTCAACCTGAATTTATTGAGTATGATTGGGAATTCCTCAAACAACTTGTAAATCAAAATTTCACTGGTAGTACGATATTAGCAACACATGTTCCATTCTTCAAAGAAGAGGGGCTATGTGTTGATAAAATAGAGGTTAATTACTATCCCGAAGTTTGGGAAAAAGAGCCATACAAGGCAAATTTGTTAAGGTCTCAAAACCATATAAGTGAAAATACTACTAATAAAGTCTTCGATATGATATTCGGGAATGGGAAACCAGGTATGGTGTTAGTAGGACATGACCATGAAGGTTGTGAAGTTATCTATAATAAATTTGAATCAAATAATACTTGGGTTGCCACCAAAGAACCTCTTGCAGATGCTAAATACCATTTACAAGAAATTACTGTTAGATCGATGATGGGAGAATTTTATGGTAATACAGGTCTTGTATCTGGACACTTCAATGAAACATCCAAAGAATGGGAATGGAAATTTACACTATGTCCATTTTCCATTCAGCATGTATGGTGGTTTTCAAAGGTCTCTGCCATTATCACTTTATTGGCATGGTCAACATTAGTTGTTCTTTAAATGACTATCAAATATTCCTATGTATTATAATATATATATTATCGATAATCATAACATAAAATAAATTCGGTAAAAATTAAATAATGGTATGCGTCTTATTAACAGCAACTATGTGTTTAACGATAATAGGAAATGAATAAATATTTAAGTTACAGAATTGTTTTTTTTAGAAATAAATAGTCATGATGGATATTTACACTTTCCCTAATTTTAATTGTTGTAGCAATTGATGACCATGAGATAGGTCTGTATCGGCATCATTATTAACACCCATTGAAGTGTTAGCTGCTACATTTTGTGGGTCTTCAAGATCCCACAATTCTTCTATTGGAAGAGTACTGTATTCCAATTTGAAGTTGACTTTCTCAATAACTGTCCAAGTATCTAATTTAAAAATTTTAAAATCACCAATTTCAAACTTTTCATTAGAAAATTTAGTTTCACCATCTCTAGAAAACCACATCGTTTGTCCAATTGATATTTTCCAACCACGTTGTCTTAAGACGGTCTTTGCAATTTTTCTTTCCAAAGGAGTTACAGCAAAATAATAGTTATAGAATAATGTAAACATTTCCAAACCTTTAAAATGTTCTGTTATCTTATTAAAGGATAAATCATTTTGAGTCGTATCAATACCACATCTAATAACATCCCATTGATTAGTAGATCTAAATGCATCTAGTGGATTTGGAGGGTTCACCCCAGAAGGGGCATCGTATAAACGATCCATGCAACAAAGATCCACACTTCTTCTATAACCTCCCAATTTACCATCATTTGGAGATAAATTGTTATTATAAATTTCATAACCCATAATAAATTCTTTGATACCATTAGGTAACCCTAATGTATCAAATGCATTTTCATAATTAGATTTCAAAGCACCACGGGAATTTTCTTTTATAAGTTTTTGTCCGTCTGTTAATGATAATATATTCTTTGATAAATCAATATCATAGTTTTCTAAATCACTATAAGCCATTGAAGGTGTCAATGGAAGATCCAAATCTTGTTCATAATCTTCCGATTCATCTTGTTTTGATGATTCTTCTAAAGAAGTTGGTTCATTTGATACAACTTCATGTTCTTTGTTATCGGAAGTAGAAATTCCATCTATAGGTACTTGTTGTATCGTATTATTAGCTGAATTATTTAAGTTAGTTGGATTTGAATGAGTTAGATTTCGATGGAACTGTTGATTATTTTGATTCACAGCTGCGGCACCTGCAGCTAAGACAGCAGCAGCCGTGACAGATGTCATTGATTGTGGTTGATTCAAAGTTTCAAAAGTGTTTGTTTTTGATTTATCCGATAGACTAGCTAACGATGGTGTATTCAATGTAGGGGTGCTGTTATTACTGAAAAGTTTACCTTCATTAGCTGGTGTTATTGTGGTTCCATCAGGTAAAGATTTCTTTTCTAAATCCATATTCATTGCAGCCGCATCTGACCATTTCAATTCACCTGCAGGTCTTGCTGGAACAGTGACAGGTTTGAAAGTAATAGTATTTGGTGAAACTCTATTAGGTGTCGGCGTTTGTGGGGTTTCATTAACTTTTGAACTATTAATCGGCGTACTAGTTGTTTCATTCTTTGATGACGATATTATTGGAGCAGTTGATTTAATCGGTAGCGGACTACTTTGTTGATTTGGTTCAATTGACATTTCTCTCTTTGGCGACCCACCTCTTGGTGTTGGATCTGCTTTAATTGATATCGTTGGTCCTTCTGATAAACTTTGAGCAGCTGCATTTTTAGCAGCTAATTTAGCAGCTTTTTTAGCATCTCTTTCGAGTCGTCTTAATTCCTTTTTAGATAATTTTGAGGAATCTATATCTTGAGACATTGACAGTGAAATATTTGTATTATCATTATTATTAGTTGTATTGTCATCATTATTCATTGTGTTGCCAATATTATTTAAATTTTCTTCATTTCTTAAAGCAAAAGATTGTGAAACTTCATGAGCGATAGCTTCATTTGAATTTAAATCTAAATTGTCATAAATTGATTCATCTTCAATAAACCCATCGTCTTGATTTGATTCAATATAATAATTAATATCATCTTTGATTTCATTAACATTTTCAGGATCCAATTCTTCATTAGCTAACAATCTTAAAGCTAATTCCATTTGTTGTTGATGCCATCTGTATCTAATTTGTAAAACTTTTAAATTTTCTATTTTTTCTTCATTAAGTATCGAAAAAGATTTTTTTTTCTTATTTAATGCAAATAATTTATCAATGTCTAATTGCAAAAGATCATATTGTCTCTCTAATTCATCAATTTGTTGTGATAAATAATTTGAAACTTCTTGTCTTTCTTGTTCTTCTGGATCCAAAATATCTGATTTTTTTAAACTAATATTTGAATAAGCTTTTTCTTTTGAAGCTTTTTCCACAGCTTTATATTTTTCCATTGCAATTTCCACTAATTTTCTATAATTTAATAAAGAATCTTTATCTTTAATTTCTGGAGACCCTTGCCACGATTTAATTTGTTCTCTTAACCGTTGTAATTTTTTCACTTCTCTTTTCAAATCTGATTCTAATTTATCCTTTTGTGAAGGATTATTATTACAAGCATCATGTCTTTCATAATAAGTGTCGAAGATTTCCAGACCTTCATTAATCTTTTTAAAGACTTTATCGACTTCCTGTTGTAACTTCCTATGTGCCATAATTATTTTCAAAATATCCTGTTCGGGCTTTCACCTAGCTGCATAAGATCTGATGAAGATATAGGTTTAGTAAAAATAAGTTGTAAGCAAAACTTGGAGATATATTTGTACTATTATTGGTTTTCTTTTTTCTTTTTGAGTCAAATTCCCTAAAAAAAGATTAATAAAAAAAATAATAAAAACTAAAATAAAATGTAAAAAAGTTACACGATTCTTTTCAATAATAATTAAACGTGATTGAAATATCTTCTTGTTCTTTTTCTTCTTATTCTTTAGGTTATATTAGATAAGTTAACGTTCTGCTCACTAAGATATTTTTATAGAAACTACCTCTAGTAAATTCAATCAAAATTTTTCACACTCACACAAAAAAAACTGAATATAATTAACCGGCACATACGCTGTGAAAAATTTGGTAAGAGCGATATATAATAGCGAGAGCAGCAAGTAGCAACGGCAGCAGATTCTTTTGGCTGTCTGCGCGTGGTCTGCCGAGGTCTGCCGAGCGGGCGGGAGGGAGATTTGTCTGTTTCTGCCTGTCTGTTTCGGTCTTAATTACGTTAAATTTCTACTATTGCGTTTCGTGCCCAGTGACATGGTACATGTCATGGTGCTGCGATGACGTGACATTTGATTCGTGACATGTACTACACCGAAGTGGATGATTGCGTTCGTTATATATGGGTATATAGATATACGTATGTATAGAAGATGGGTGGCAGAGACTATCACTGTTCATTGTAAGTATGTACTGTGGACCTGGCTAGTAATAGTGTTGTCTTTACACAGGCTGCTATATGCTATAAGCATATACTATCATTATACTAATCATTATACTGATCTTTGGCTGTTGCATCATCGCTTGATCTTTTATTTCATTTATGAATTTTTCACTTATTGACGCACGGCGAAAGAAAGAGAGAGGGCAGATAAACAGCGAAAAAAATCATATTATTGATAAAATACGTATATAATATTACGAACAAACAAATATTAACTATCAGATGACGATATATACAAACATTATATAATAATATTCGAATTTAGAATATAACGTAGTTAGAACAAACTGATAGCATTTTCATTTATTCTATTCTATTTAAAAGAGTATACTCGTTGCTACTACTACTACTACTACTACTACTACTACTATTGTTATATTTTATTATCAATCATCTGCATCTGCATCTGCATCATCATTTTACAAAAGTTATTTATCTCTCTATCTCTCTCTATCTCCTTAATCTTATTAATATATATGTACTATGCTCTCCATAGAACAAAGGTATAATATCTGTCTGATGGCTGAGACTCATCCAAAATGGACTCAACAAGAATTAGCAAGATGGGCTTATGAAACGTTTCAATTACCAAAAATTCCATCACAAGGTACAATATCAAGAATTTTAACTAAAAAATCCACTTATATGAACTCAAAAGAACATGAAAAGGATGCAAACAGAATAAGAAAACCAAATAATTTATTAGTTAGAAGAATCTTACAAGAATGGATTAACCAAAGTTTATGGAATGGTATACCAATTACTTCACCAATTATTCAAGAAACTGCGCATGCCGTATGGCAAAGAATTCCTGCTAAATATAGAGAAGGAAATGGTTCTTTTAGTTATAAATGGATATCAAATTTCTTAGCCAAAATGGATGTCAATATCTCTATCTTAGATGAAGAAATGCCAAAGACACCAAAAATTTGGACTTTTGAAGAAAGAAGTTATTTAAAAGAATATTTTGCAAAATTACCTTCAGCTGACGTCTTCACATTAGATGAAACTTTTTTAGCTTATAATTTGCCCTTAGATTATGCACAATATGAAATTAGTAGTATACAAAGAAAAGTTGAAGTCGCTACTGTAATGTTATGTGCTAATTTAGACGGGACTGAAAAATTAAAACCTTTAGTAGTGGGGAAATATGATAATTATAAAAGTTTTAGAAATTATTTCCCAAATGAACCTATAAATTCAATGAATCAATCTTCATTAGGTGAAAAAATGGCTAAAAAATTCGACATTTCATATCAAAGTAATACAAAATCGTGGTTAACAAGTAATTTATTTCATGATTGGTTAGTTCGTTGGGATAAACGTTTAGTCGCTTATAATAGAAAAATTTGGATAGTACTAGATGATTCATGTTCTCATAGAATAATAAATTTACATTTACAAAACATAACATTGATATATACTTCTGCAACATCAAAATTTTTACCATTAAATTGGGGGGTATTGGATGAGTTTAAAACAAGGTATAGAATACAACAATATAATGCACTGATAGATTTACAGAATAAATACGAGGAAAAGACCAAACGCCCTTATTATATTAGTTTTGAACAAAGTGAATTGACAATGTCAAATGCTTTCAAATTTATTAAAAACGCTTGGGATGAAATCCCATTAGATACTATTAAAGCAAATTGGAAAAGTTCAGGTATTATCCCACCAAATTTAATTCACCTTAACGAAAACATTAGTATGGCTTTTAAGAAAAATGAAGCATTAGAGGCTCAATTGGACGATTTATGTCATAAATATCGTTGTGTTAAACAATGGGAATATGATATGTTATTAGATTTAAATATGGAAAATAAAAGTGCAAACTTCTTAAGTATGGAAGAACTTGTTGAAAGTTCTATTATAGAGAAAATGGAACCAGGTGACGATATTGTTCCTAAGACTAATAATAATGAACAAATAAAAGAATCAGATAGTGATGACGACGACGACGACGATGATGGATTAATGGATCTTCCTGGAGAAGAAAATCTCAATGATTTACCAATAATTAACCAGAATAAACTACAACGATCAAATAGTATGGCAGATTTCAATTTTGCTAGGTTTGCTGATAATATTACTAAATCAAATGGTCTTCTACCAAATAGTACACAAACAAATGATACTACTAATATATTAACTAATCCAGCACTTGTAGACACGTCAATGGATCAAAATTTGCAAAAATTCCTTAATGAACCTTATTTACAAGACATCCAAAATAATTATTTCAATGTTAGTAATTTGATTGATAGACCTAATTTATTTCTTCCAAATACAGAAACTAATATACCTGATATCGGAATAGACCTTCCACAAAATGATTATTTAACAAACGTCTTTGGTAACTCTATGAGCCCCAGCACAACATCTCCAAATACAAATTCGACTTTACCAATCAATCCAAATGTAATTAATACAACAGCTCCAAATTTTGAACAATCTCCAATGCCAAGTATAAGTAGTGTAGGAAATATAAACAGTACAGCTTCAGGAATGAACAATACACCACTAAATATGTCTGTCAATTCTGTTCAAAGCTTTGATGTACCTGATTTAAATCGTATATTACATGAAAATCAAGATAATGCTGTGAACAACTCAATAATTGATACTCATTCTACTGTTACTTCCAACGGTTTAAGTCCCGCACCATCAAGAAATATCGTGATAAATTCAAGACAAACTAATATTGAAGTCGCAAAAGCGTTATACACAGTTATCCTACATTGTGATGGTACTGACCTAAACATTTCTAAAAGCAGTCAAAGTGAATTGCGTGCCACTTACAGGTCATTATTAAAACAAATCCGAAAGACAAAACCGCAAAGTAATAAAGTCAAAAAGGCCATCAATGAATCAGCACTGGATAGTTTTTTGAATCAATCAAATCAAACTATAAATTTAGAGAATTCTGCCAACTTTCTTTAATCGTGGGCTCTACTTCAACAAAGTATACATTGTTCCAGATAGAAACATATAATTTAATATTTCCTGAGCATATGGACATATATTAATATTAAGCATATATAATATATACAAATACATAAATTAAAAATTCTTAGACAAAATATTCCACGTATCTAGTCAATATTTATTCCGAACTGTCCTTATGCAATTGTTGATTCTGAGTTAGGGTCACACAATCTCCCATGTGTCCGTAATTTGAGGAGGTTGATTGCATATTTGGAAGTATCATCGTCCACAATCTTTAACACGTTTTCATTAACTTGGTAGCTCCTTTTAACTTCCAACAATGTGTCAATTATGGGAGGTGCAATTTTCTCAATAGGTTGTTCATCATTTATACCTTCTACAACATTAATATATTTATTCCCAATATAACTATAAGAGTTAAGAAGTTTTTCAACGAAATTTGGTTTGTCCATGGTATATTCTATTAAGAAATCCCACAATTCTATATCTCCCCAACTCCTGATATATTCTATTGCTAACAAAGGGTCATTTAATTTATTAACAATAATAGACAAAGCTTTTTTAGTTTCACCAATTTTCCCCCAGAGGTAGATTAACTCAGAGTATAACCCATCTTGGGTTGAACAAAGTTCAATTGCCTTATCAATATTGTAGTGTGTTTTATTCTTCAAAAAATCTAGCAGGGGTTTCTTATCAAATCTAGAAAATAGGTCTATCATTTCGTTTTCATAGACTTTCAGTAGGTCAGGTTCAGTAGAGTTAATTCTAAGCAAGATACACAACAATAATTTATCAACATTTTCGTGCGCTCTGGAATAATCCTTGAACTGTTCAATTACAGTTTTCAATGATATAATCTTTCTATTTTGAATTATCAATAAAATTGGTTCCCAAAAAGTTTGCTCTAACTCTAGGATTGACAAATTGTTTACGACAGAATTTCTTAATTTGGAATTATTGAAGGCCGGTATCAATATTATTTCCATCAACCTATCCATAACCTGTGGCAAAAGTTGAGGTTCATTCTGAAGGATACGTAAAGTTTTAGGATCTTTAATGTTTATCATGTAGGGAATAGCTTGGGAGTATTTTTCAGTCTTTAAATAAAGGTATATGAGTTGGTTAACATAGAATATCTCGAAGTCCCCACTTTCTGTCTGTAATATTTTTAATCTTTCCTCTATAGTTTTAGAATCAAATAAATCTATTGGCCAATGTTGTATAAATTTGCTGAACATTGAAGTTTCATACTTATCTAGAGTATAATTCAAAATAAAATCATATATGGAATTTGAACGGTTTAATGTAAGAGGGATAAAATCTGCAATCTGCAAAAGTTTATCATCTTCCATATACATATTAATTACTTTGTACCATTCCTTATTGAATAATTCATCAATAACTTTATAATGCTCGTTACCTTTATCATCTCCCAAACCCTTAAATATTCTAGTCATCGCAGGACCCACCTCATCGAACTCTTTTTCCTTGAGTAACTGTTCAATATAACGTATACCAACTTTTGCTCGTTCAATATCATCAACAACATACTGTGCAATATTCCATGCATTATAAAATTTTCCATTCGCAATGAACCAATTATAATGATCCATTAATGTTAATTGTTGAATTTTAATTGCGTCAGAAGTACATATTAAGTAATATTCTGATGGACTGTCTCCATTTTCGTGTATATGTTTCCCCAGATGGTAGTCACCAAGTGATAGTTTTTCGTAATCCTTACAAACAATTTCGTCATTATATATTTCACTCCCATCGATTAAATTAAAAATCTGTAGTTGAGGTGGCAAATGTTTCAATTGCAATTCATTTTTATCGTCAAATTGTTTTTCGTAACCTAAACAGAGTAACTGATCGTCTTTAAAGGATGCAATACCAGCTATTAGTAACGGAATCACAAAATGGTACTCTATATCTACATCCTTGTCAGGTATTCCTTTAAAACTCGAGGCTGCGCTTGATATAATTGATCCAACATTTCCATGGATAAACCCATCCTGAGTATTTTTTGTGGCTACTGAAATTTTAAAGATCCAAATATTGTCCATCCAGCCAATAATGATCCTATCTCTTTCGGGGATATGAATATGTGGTTTAAATATTTCAAAAGGATTGTTATTCTTGTCCAGTTCTGGTAATTCTACATGTAATAGTGATGTCTTGGTAATCTTATCAAAGAAATGAATCCCACTAGAAGTGAACCAAAAAATAATGTCTTCAGTTCTGTTAATTGATAAAATTGGACCATCGCCTTTAGAAATTGTTATATCAGTTTTATTACCTAACCAATTTCTTTGAGAGAGAATAAGTTCACCTGCCATTCCTCCAGATATGAACGTCTTATTGGCTACATAATCTGTATCTAATACGACAGAGTTAATTGGTCGTTTGAAATCATATGCAATTAGATTTTCTGATTTTATATCATTGACTAAACCAGTTACAATAGTACCATCGATGGAAGCAGTCGCAAAGCTCACTCCATCTGTGTAAATAGAAAGAATAGATGATCTGTGACATTTCAAAGTGTCTATCATTTCAAAATGGGGAGTAGTAAAATACAACATCCCCGAGTGAGTACCAAATATAAATATTGAATCATGGAAGTTGCAGGCAGAAATAGCATCCCTTTCGAATAATTTAATTGGTAATTGCTTGATGCGAGAGTATATCAATAAGGGAGGTTCTTCATCTTCATCTTCATCTTCATCTTCATCTTCATCTTCTCCAATATCTGTCTCGGAAACATCGCTGTCTCCATCAGAGTTGCCTGTATCATCATTTGTGGTGTGGTCCTCAATTTCTTGTAAGCCCTGGTTGACGTTGCTATCTTTCGATAATAATAAGTTTGAATCTGATTTGATCGCCTTCGATTCTGAATTGGAATTCGTCAGTTGAGAGTTATTTGTCTCAATCGTTTCTTCCGCCTTATCTACTTTATCTGAAGTATGTTGAAGTACTTTATCACTTGTAACTATATCAATGTCACTTGAAGTATATGTGTCATTTTTATTATGTGAAATAGTCTCATTTGTTGTATGTTCTTGGTTCATATCCTCATAGGTTTATTCTATTTAATACAGATTATCTTGCAAGTGTTGATGATAAAAGTAAAAATTATTATCGCAACCTGATAAATATAAGCTAAGTAAACTAAGGTAGAATGTTTATTAATACCTTAAGTCTTGATTGAAATGCATGCAATAAAAGTCTCTCCCATTGACAGAATATTATTGTTTTCAACGTATGAAGGGAACCCCTCTCAGCGCGACCTCTAAGAAAAGAAAGTTAAACTTTCTATAGTAGAACTTTTCACTTGAACATTCATTAAGAAAGTACAAAATAATCCCTTTGAATTCTTATTCGAAGTGTACATCGTACGTTATCCTGAACAGCGAATACACACACACATACACATTTACGAAAATATATTACAATGGCCAGAGCTAGACGAGGAATGCTACTTCAATGTGATCCTTCGATAAAAGCATTAATTCTACAGATCGACGCACAACATAACGATATTATACTGGAGGAACTTGATGATACTCATTTATTAGTGGATCCAACGAAAGTCGAATTTATCAAGCACGAGCTGAATAGATTACTATCGAAAAATATCTATAATCCAACGGAAGAGGAGGAAGAACAATAAGTCAGACGAAAAAGCTGAAAAAAGTTCAAATATTTTTGTTATATATTAACAATAATATTATATAATCGGAATACAAATACAAGTTAGGGACATGAGGAAGATACTTCTTTTCTTTCCCGGATATAATATTTTATTGGACAGTCATTGTTTATCTCCCGTTCCAGTTCAACAATACTACTGAAACGTCATAGGATTTTATATATATAAGTATAAATATACATATAGGTCATCCATTTTAATTCCATATTTTTTAGTATGTTGAAAGAATAATGAAAACAAAAAATATCATAATCAGAGTATATTTACATGTTATGATGGTGCGTATTTTCTGTGTTTCCCCCTTACTCAGTTATCATTATGATCATCATGTTTTCCCAATTTCAACTCTTCTCTAATTTTGGCCTTTTCAGCCTCTACATTTATACCAAATTCTTCTTGTAATTTTTTCTCTAGTTTAATTCGTTTCTCAAGTCTTTCTTTCTTCATTCTAGCCAATTCTGCTTGAATTTCATACCTTTCCTTCGGAATCTTATTCAAAGTTTCAGGGTCAGGCCAAAACCCTGGAACATTCAATTTCTTATCTGTATCAGTACCAATATAATACATGACAGCCACTGGAGCTAGGAGACAAAATGAGAATCTAAAGATTTCCAGCTGTGACCTTGTATATTTGAAAGGTAATCTAAATTTCATTGTATATGGATAGTAATACTTTGAAATAAACACGGTTTTGATAATATACTTATCGAACAGTATAAAATAGGATAAATTGATCTCTTTGTATATGAGTTAATGATCCGTTTTTAAGTAATTATTGTTGTAATTATAATAAACCTGCAAGGGAATTTTATTTGCAATTTCAAGAAGTCCTTAATTCCCTATAACTTTTCGCTGTTTGTTTTGTCATTTTCTTAACAACACCGAAAATTAAATATATATATGCTCAATTAAACAGTCTCCGCGCGCGAGCTCAGTATAAAATCACAGTAATCCTAATAAGAATGGATATCCACGTTAAACTTAGAAATATCCGATGGGTTTATTACGTAGATTGATTGATGTTCTTAAGTAATAGCAAGTATTTTATGAAGTAATAACTATGCCGAACTTAGTTTAGCTAAATACTAGTGTAGAGAACTATATCCCGACAGATATTTTCCAGTGAGGGCAATTTTTTATTTTATTTTATCTACTACTACATGGATAAAACTGTCAATTACTCAGAATTGTTTTCTCAATTGTTAGATAATGAAGGAAATTTCAACAATTCCATGCTTACATTCTTATATTATATGTTTCCTAGGGACCTGTTCATTCGAGCGCTATCACTTCTTGAATCCAATGATATGATGATATATATTCTGGAAGAGGCTATAAATAATGACAACTCAGTAATAGCAGAAGCTCAACGGACAGCTACATTAGCTGATGAATCCAACAGTGCAAAAAATACGATTACAAGTACAAACACTACCGAAGATGATAAACAAGGTGCTGTTCCACCATTGAACGCCACGATACCCATAGTAACTGATTCATTGGGGGAAAACAATCCGGGTGAAATCGAATATATGAATGGATTGTTGAAGGATATATACAATGATGATGATTATCAATTATTATATCGATTAATTGTTAAATCTGATAACGAACCGCCGATCTATGTTGATTTGAAGGATTGGACATGTTCCTGTTCTGAATATTGCGAACTCTTCTCTCATGAAATATTTTCTAATGAAGGAGAAAAGAAGGATGTAGATTCTGCGATTCAAGATCTATTGGTTACTGAAATTGATGATATTGAAGAATTTAAAGATGATCGAATTGGACAATTGGATGCGCATAGTTTCTCTAAACAACAATATTTCAAGATTGATAAAATTATGTGTTCGCATTTATTGGCTTATTCTATTTTATTGCGTTCATCTATGGATATTTTAAAATATTTTGTTCAAAAGAAGTCCAATGTGTTACTGTTTCGAATAACCAATATTGATGAATGGTTAAAATTGCATATAAATATTATCGTATAACTAATAAATAATAACTTGGACGCATATAGTTAAAATTAAATTGAATTGAATTAGATTAAAAAAAATTATATAAATATAATGTAAATGTGTGTATATTAATTAAGATATTTTAAAATAAATTTTGAAGAAATGAAAAAAAAGAACTTGGAAATAAGTATTGAGACATATGTAGCGAATATATCAAAATACAAAAAATTGTTCGTTCCTATAATAATTCTTATCTTTTATTGTTTTCAAAACAATAAGCAAAAAGAATGAAGTAGAATGCAGTAAAAAATGAGAAAGATCTTTTTACCAATGATCTTATAGATTTTTTCAAAACAATGGAAAAATCATTGACACTGGCGATGGTGTTTAAAGGAACAACAATCTTACGAACGATTGGAAGAATATGTGGTTGATGATGAAGGACATAAAAAAAGGAGTTGAAGATGAATGTGTGTGTATGTGTAAGAAAAAGAACTACTTGCTAATTAAGTTAAGCAGCAATTTTTAAAAAAATATTTTTACTATTAATCTATCAATTATAATAGTAAGTAAGCACCGATCAAACCAGCGACGGATGGGATCATAGCGTTAGCGGCATTGGCGTCGATGACGGAATGAGTAGAAGAACCAGCAGCCTTAGTAGAGGAAGTGACTTGAACAACCTTAGTAGTGGTTGGTTCAGCGGCTTGCTTGTCGGTAGTCTTGACGATGGTACATGGACAATCAGTGATGGTCAAAGTGGTAGCACCGGTGACGGTGTAAGTCTTACTGTTAGTGATGATTTCAGTTGGTTCTGGACAGTAAGTGGTGAAAGCAGTGACGACTTCAGTGACGGTGAATAATTCGGTGGAGTTGTAAGCTGGGTGAGATACTACTGGAGCAGAAGTGGAGGAGATGTAAGAGGTAGTAGAGTTAACAATTGGAGCAATTGAGGAAGTAGTAGAGACTGGGATGTCGGTAGTGGTTTCGTTGTCAGCGGCAACAGCAGAAGAAACGATAGAAGAGACAACAGTGGAAGAAACATCCTCGACAGCAGAAGAAGAGGAGTTACTGATGACAGCCATAGCACTTGTGGCAAATAAAGCGGATGTTAATAAAGTAGAAGTGAATTGCATTGTAATTATAATTGAGTAATTGAGCGAAAGGACAGATGTAATTATATTTGTTCTTGATGATTTAATATTTGCATATAAAAAAAATAGATAAAAAGAAATTAAATAGAACTACGAAACAGGAAAAGTAATTATTTCAAGAAAGTAAATGAATTAGTCGACCTTTTTATATCTGAGATAGCTGAGATAGGAAAACAAATTGAAGGAATTTTGAATTGATGAATGTTCAAGTAATAAATGGATAAGTTCCTTTTCCATTAGATTATCAACCATTGCCTCCTCTCCCTCTCCCTCTCCTCTCCCTCTCCCATTTCCCATTAGAGGAAATAAACTACTACAAGGAATCTTTAACAAAAAAAATTCCAAGGCCAAAACTAAAAATAATTACAATAGCAAGAGAATATTAATAGATACGTCAAATTCTTTAGTTTATGATAGCAGCAATTTCCTTTTACAAAGATAAAACTAACTTGGAACTGTAAGCATAATCACGTAAAGAGTAATAATAAGTTTGCAGTCTCCTTAACGATAAAATACAGTACTGTATCGTTGTAATTGGGCTTGGTCCTTCCAATATGTTCATATTTAATTATAGAGTTGAGCGCACGCATAGCATAATACAATGAAGTTATTAATTATAACTTCATTGGGTGGGTGGGCCCTCTGTCAATTTCTACGAGGTCACGATGAGTGTGAGTATTTTTCAGTTAGTTACTTGTGTGGTTCTATTTCCCTTACATGAATAAAACAGCTTATGGCACGGTAATAATAACTACATAATAGCGAAATATATTCTGTCGGTGTTGGTGTTGGTATTGCCACCGTCATTGCAATTATTTTTAGTTTGGTGCTCGCAGTCTGTTCACTGGCAGGGGTTTCTGATTAATACTCACCCACAGCCATTGCAATACGCTTGGCTTGGCCTGGTTCTGTACTCCGTTTGTCTTTGCCATTTCCGGAGAGCGCAAATAAATTTATTTTAAAATATTTTTGGTTTTATAAATAGCCGCAACGCAGAAATTGCGGCACAAGTCAATCTCAAGAAATATATATATCGAATATTAAATATAGTTTCTTGCTCACCAACAAAAAGAAGAAACGACCATCCTTTTACACGTATATTCATATATAGAGTTCTTACCTGAATAGGAAATGTCCGAGGCTGGCAAGTCAGCTGCAATCATATCCCGTACACATTGGAGAAAATCTTTGGGTACTATAAGAGGAGAGGGCCCCGAGGGGGGACCGAGGGGGAGACAGGGGGAGACTCCCACTAATGTTAACCAATTTGCGATACTTCAAATAACGAGGTAAGGGGGAGAGGAAAATCCTTTCTGTCTCCCCATTGTATGTATGCACAGATATGTAACGGATACGTCATAGCCCAATAAATATACTAGTATTGGCACCAATAAATGACAACACCCCTTCGCTCCTCAACAACAATTTTTTATGCTTTTTATCGTATTTTATATGAATTAACGAACAGTCCCCTTGCCGTGCCGTGGAAAGGGACTATTTACTTATTTATTTTTCTTTTTCTTCTTCGTGCAGCGTAATTTACGCAACTACACAAACCGGTCCCATTATTGCCTATTTGGGATATTTATAGGTGTATCCATATGTCCGGATCAGGTAATTGTCGTCCGTGAGTAGTAACCATTTATGCAGTATAATGAGCATAAAAGTGTTTTTATTTTATTTTATTTTGGATTATTTATATTAGAAAGTCTGTCTCCTCTACACCGTCTTCTTCTACTTCACTATCTCCGACTATATCCTCCTCCCCCTCATTTTGAGTCTCCTTTACTACTATTGCTGACGGTTGTGTACTTTGACCTCTGGGTGTTACTGGCGTAGATATTGCTGTAATACTAGCATTTGCACTTGTGTTCGCTGGCTGCCCCGACTCCTCAGGATTTGTTAAATTGTTGATATTATTATTACTACCACTATAATCCCAGTGTATTGGTAATTCAATGATTTGCCCGACTGGTTTATTATTTCTCGGACTCATATAGTCTCTGGAGTCTAGATCATCATATATCACGGCAATCCTTGTCCTCTTTGGAATTTTAGATTTATTATTTCCCGTTTGGAAGTCCTGTCGATGACTCCAATCCCATAATAATGCAATTCTTGCCTTTAAAAAAATTTCCCATTTGGAATCCTTAGAACCCATCCCAGAATTCGCTATTAGTGCACTCTTCAACATTTGTACATTTCTCTTTCCGGAAATAGTATTTCTCCCAAAGAGGACATTATTACCAGAATTGTTTTCATTTAGGGTATTACTACTAATTGTGGACGATACAAAAAAATTACTGCCATCTCCAATTACTTCAAACGTATTTTCATAATCATTAGACATACTACTATTGCTATTACTGCCGTTGTTTGTTAATAACCCTGATTGGTACGATGTGTTCATACAGTTGTTTAATAAAATTATCGTGCTATTATGCTTATTTGCATATTTGGTCATGGTGCTAAATAACAAAATTAAATCTCTGCATTTTAATTCATGTATATTCAATTTATTCGTAGCCCCCTGATTTGGTGATAATTTATCTCTTGTTATTAACGAGTTTAAATGATTAACTAATAATTGAGAAAATCCATCAATTACTATTAATTTATAATGACTACTCAAGGAAATTAACTTCGTGAAAAATACTAATAATTCCGTAAATTTTTCAATTTTGACATTATACACATTAGTGTTGTTTGATATTAAATTTATGGGTAACGGTATAAACGTCTCTATCCATAGAACAGAATCTTCATTGGATCGTTTTAACGAGTTTTCGATCAATTCAATACCAAATCGTGTCTTACCAATCCCAGGTGGTCCATAGATTTCATATATATTACCACTTTGGAACCCTCCACCTAATAGATCATCGAAGATTAATGTTCCTGTAGTTAATGGTTCTGGTTTCTCTACAATCAATTGAGATAATGGAACTCCAAATGACATTCTATCTTAATTCAATCCCCATATATATGTATGTAGTTGCTGACTAGTACACTTTCCTAATCATTCTCTTCTTCAGTTCTGTAATTGTCTTTAAGTCATCGTTTTTCTCTTCTCTCTATATTTGTTTTTTGCTTTTTTTTTTCTTTTTCGAATTGGACTTTTCAGATTATATATAATCTTAAACTTTATAACGCGTAAAAATACCACACACCGTAGTCCCAATATTTACGGCATAAGAAGAAAAGACCCATTTCTATTTACCATAGGGCACAATAAAAAAGTTCAAATTTAACATTAATCACTAATACACACATATATATATTCTAACAGACAAAAACAAACATAATAATTGTTGTTTTTGTTTATGTTTTCAATAAAGTAATAGGATATATTATCATTTCTTGTTGATGCTTGTAGATGATCCTGTTCTCTTCAAAGTATATGCAACAGAAGCTGCATGCGATTTCTTACTACTTTCACTATCCTTGACATGACCTCTAGCATCCAGCTCAACTGTACCAGCACTTTGGAATAATGAAACATTACCCACAAGTAACCCGAGTGTATCCAGCACTTGTTGTGGATCTGTAAGATGTGCCTTGGCAACAGTTACCTTGGCAGCTGAACCAACTGTCACAGGGTAGAAACCAAAATTACCCCATCTATTACGTTTATCGTCATATTTACCATTCCAATGAGACTCAATGGAATTCAACTGTCTAAACATATCTTCATCTGTAAAATCATCACCAAGACATAAAATAAAGTCAGGCATTTCATCAATTGGCAACTTTTGATCTAATGGCTTCAATAAATCTTGAGGAGTACCATATTTATGCCATACAAGTCTCTTAACAATCTCACCCTTATTGACAAATTTAGGACGTACTTCGATATTCTTCTTACCTTCCATGACATCTAAATCAAAATCTTCAGTGAATTCTAATAGTAGTCTTTTTAATTCAGTAGCATTATAATCACCTAATTCAGGAACTGCTGCTCTATAATGCCAAGTTAATGCTACCTCCTTGCGTTCAATAAAAGAACCAGGTGTCTTGGTAGTTAAATCTTCCATGACTTTGTTAACACGCACTTGCCATGACATATCAAATTTCTTGGCCAAATTGACCCATTCTGGAGTACCGATATCCTTAACAAAACAACCATGTTCTGCACTTAGACCAATATGTTTATTCTTAGAACCCCACCATTTATTTAAAAACACTTGATCACGACCAGAAATAATCCATATTTGATTCTTAGGATCCTGAGATAATTTTTCCATTATCGTATACAATCTAGCTGTTGGAATGGCAGCAGCAGGATCTTTCACGATTGGTGTTAAAGTACCATCGTAATCAAATAGGAACAGACGACGATTAGCAGCTTTATAGTTTTCTAAGAGAACAGGTCTATTTAGTGCCGGTGTCTTCTTACGATCTTGAGATTCCGATTGTTTGCTAACTTCGACTATTTGATCCATGTATGTGTCTGTCCATGATTTAATGGATGGTACCTCAGCCCATGTCTTATCTTGTATTGTTTCTCTTTGAACCTTTGTCAAATTGAATGCATTGTTAATGGATTTGGCAACAGCAACAGAATCCCATGGATTAACAATAATAGCATCCTTAAGGACAGAACTACTACCACTGAACTCACTCAATATTAATGGCATACCATAACAGGATGAATTTGAGTCATGTGATTTGATGGTGACATATTCTAAGGCAGTGGTATTCATACCATCTCTAACACTGGTAATCAAACATAGATTGGCGGCTCTTAACAAAGAAAAGTAAACATCCTTTGGTATTCTCATATAATAATGTTGTACAGGAGCAAAATTCAAGTTACCATATTGAGAATTGATAGAGTTAACCAATTCATTAACTTGTTGCTCCAACCTAATGTTTTGTGGAGATTCTCTGTTTAAAGTTGGAGAACTGACTTGAATCAGGACAACTTGCTCTCTCCATTCGGGATACATTGCCAAAAATGTCTCAAAGGCCCTTAATTTTTGAATAATACCACGGACTGGATCGAAACGATCTCTACCGATGATAATTTTTTTCCCTTGGTAAGCTTGTCTGATAGCATCTACTTTAGAATCCACATCTGGTGTGAATGCCTCTGACATAATCTTATCAGTATCGACACCAATTGGAGATGAGTCTACAATTAAGTCACCACCATACACAGACATGTTGTATTGATCTTTACCTCTATCATTTTTAACTTTCTTAGATGTAGAATCCAACAATCTCTTACAACTAGAAACAAAATGTCTACTGAATTGTTCATTTTGGAAAGATATTCTATCAGCACCAACCAAACCATCCAAAATTTCTTTTCTTCTTGGTAAACAACGGAAATACTCATAACTTGGCCAAGGGGCATGGTGGAAATAACCGATTACTAAATTATTTTCAGAGTCTGAATTAAACTTCATTCTTAATAATTGTGGAAGTAATAATAAATAATAATCATGAATCCAAATAATATCACCTGGTTGGTAGATTTCCCCAATTTTCATTGCGTAAGCTTCATTGAACTTCACATAATCATACCATGAATTATTTGCATCTGAGCCATCAGAATCTAAATCAACTTCTGTAGATGGATTTAGAATATAATGAAATAATGGCCAAATAATATTTTCTGCGTAATTTCTCCATCTACTTTGTTTTCTACTTCTTAATAGCCAGACTGGATTATAATTTTTATTAATCTTGGATTTTAAATTATTCATTTGCTCATTGGTTACATATAGTTTATCCTCATCCAAACCATTACCGTGAACATTATTACTATTATTATTGCCGTTATTATTTTCGTTAGCTGTTGAATCATTTTTATTATCTTTAGAATTATTTGATGTCAATTTTTCTTCTTCTAATTGTTTCTTTAATAATTCAGCTTTTGTAAGGGTTTTTTTAGAAATTTCACCTGTCCACCCAACTACAATTTGTTCATATTCATCAGAATCTTGTAAATAATCTAACGATGAGTACAGAGCACTGTTACCAGTAGCAGGATTGATTATCCAGTCATCTGATGATTCATCTAATGTGATCTTATATGGTAATTGTGAAACACAATTGATAATTCTTTGTTTTTTTGGTTTATTAGCTGTCATTATATTAAGCAGTAAATACTAAAGTTGAATTTGTTAATATTTTATTTTGAGGTACTATACGTGGAAAGTCAACTTAATCGAAATATAGTAGTTAATACAGTAGTCAATATACTATTATCTCTTTTTAGTTTAACCTTTTATATGAGATGTGTATCTAATTTCACTTGTTTTTACTATTAAGTTAAATTCGCAATTGTAATGAAAAGAAATCTTTAATTGTCTAGTATTTATATATCCATATATATAGATGCATTGAGATGTAGAGTCTTATCTCAATGTTTCTACTATGTTCAGTTGAAACAATACTTATCTGCCTGTCTTGCTCCGGTTCCCATCCCTTTCCTTAATTTTTAATTTTTCTCTCTTCATGCCTTGTTTTTTGCCTGAAACTGCTATTAGAAACAGAGAAATGTATTCACAGTTGCCGATACATAACTGGGGGAGAGGGTCAACCAGTTAAAGAGGGGTCCTCCCTATTTTCGCACACAGAGAAAATTTGTTGGTTATTCCACTGAGGGGATATCATAGTAGACGAAGACGGGATGCAGATATAATATATTTAACTATATGAATAGATAATGTCATTCTATATGAATCTGCCAAGGATTTTCTCAATCATATATATTACTGGGAGAAACTATTTCTTCAGTTAGTTTGGTCAGTGGTACTTAGTATGAGAATAGTAGTTTCTTATTGCAATAGATTTGTCATTATTACTTTTACTATAGTTGTAAAATAACAACATCTATACGTAGAAAAGTACGGGGATATGTACATTTAAAAATACTAATGTCTCAGTAACGGTAGTATCCTTTGAAAAATATTGATATCCTATACTTTTTATATTCGAGCACTTGAAAATATGACGTATCTCGATCGTTATATTTGTTGCTTTTAATACTTTACAAGCTTTTGAACGCCATGTAATATTTGAAGCATATCTATTTATTGTTGGTGCGAAGTTTAGAAATGGGTTTGTAGTTCTATGTACTAATTTCGAATTTTAATATATATTTTTGTTAATGTTACAATTTTGTTTTCAGCCTTACTATACGATAAATGGTACCTTGTTTTGTTTGTAGAAATGATTCGTAATTCTCGAATGGTATATTTGAATGAAACAATTGACGTAAGTAGGAATTTTTATGCATGTTCTACTGTTCTAGACTCTGAATTTGATTCTTACTAGCTTACATAGAATTATCTGTCTAACACATATCATCATCTGTGGAACAATCGATAATTGTCGTTCATTTTTTTTGTTAATCATAGAAATGTAGTGTTTCGAGTTTCCATTTTCCCACTCTATGATCTTACATAGAGCACTAATACCGCTACCAAAATTCAAAGACCCTTGACATTAATAGATATAATTTAGCTAAAATATCATTATTTGGCTGTTGTTGTTGCTGTTGTGGAATCACCGGTGCGACTGTAATGACGGGTTTCGACCTTATAAACCCTTGATTAATTTGTGATATACATTGTAAATTAGCATGGACTCTTTTCAAATTTTGTGATACTAATGATTGAATATTTTCAGGTAATACCGATGGTGAATTTGCTTCAATTTTTTTATCTTTAAAAAAAGGATTGGTCATATGTATTACTCTTGCTAAAAGTACGCTATTGATATGTAATAACAATTGAATCTTATACTGAATTTGTTCATCCACCGAAATTATTTGATTGGGATCTAATTGCAACACATCATTGGCACGATTGTTGTTGTTAATATTATTATGAGGTAATCCAGGATTTATAGCTGCAGGCGTGGTTATACTACTCATTGTAAAGGGTTCACTATTGTTGTTGTTGTTGTTGTTGTTTTACAGGGAAATAACTATACTATGTATGTATTATATATGTGAACCTATTATTGCATGTTCTGTTTTGCAAACTTAGAAAAAAAAAATTTAAACTGGAGATATTAGTTTGTTTACTAAACAGAGTGGTGAATTTTATATTTTCGCTCTTTTCAGTTTATTTTTTCTTTCACAACGAAGCCATGTCTGCTCTTTTTTTTTGCTTTTTTGACATCGCGCTATCCATTGATTGAGCATCATTTTGATCCAATTCGAATCTTTCCCAGAGCAAAAAAAAATTAAACATGTAAATATATCTTGTCTTTCTGTAGGCTCCAGGCCCCATTCTAATTACATATCATTGATGTCAAGAAAGAACCTAAACTAACACGAATTGTCAGTCAAAAAAATAGAATATAAGAAGTATTCCAATAGACAAGGCCTATATGACTCTCTATGCGTCAATACTTGACTATGCTTATTCTGCAGCATAGTATCACCACTCCTGATGTGAGTCGTTTAAATTTGACAGCGATTTAATCAAAAAACAGTTCAGAAATTGACAAGGCGCAATGCAATTCGCGTAAATTACAGATATCGTATATCCTGAAGTCACGAATGGAGGAACGAATATAAAAAAGATGATATCCGAGACGGTCTTCCAGTATGTCAAACGCCACGCCGAGTCCTTTATGGAAGGCAGTACTATTCTCATGCCATATTATATGAAACTAGTGAAAATTGTAACTCGCCATTTTAATATATCGTAACACTTATCGTTCCGTGGTACGATAAGACTTCGGATCTCTTTAATCATGCTATCTAATAATTTAATAAGTACTATTTTTAAACATTTTCAAAAGTTACATAATATCAGCATATTATTAAAGCCCACAATAATGTCGATGGGAGTGAAGAAGTAGTGTATCTATTATGCAAAAATTCAAAAACCGGCTGTAACTGTAACATCCGGTCTTTGACGTACATCTACGTAATAAAATGTGTGTGTATATGTAATCTATAGTATAATAGAAGGCTGTAACCAACAACATCCGAATGCGCTCCGGGAATCAAATCACAGCATTCACACACCCAAAAAAAACAAATTGTGGGGTACACAAAATAAAGCAGTAAACCAAATTGTTGATTCGAACTGAAGGAGAAAATACTACTAGTCAATTGAAAGAAAAAAGGCGCCATTTCTTCTCTTTTCTTTTGGGATGCGGAACAAGTTTTGAAATTTTGTTGGATATTTTCTTAAGAAAAGATACGGTAATTCCGCAGTGTCCGCTTTCCGAGGGACGGAAAGAGAAATCTGATCTATTCCTCGGAATACAGCCATCTCTCAACTCTTTCTCCCCCCTTATTATAGATACAATTATAGTATAATAAAGTAGCGTGTTAATTGAAGCGATAAACTAGTAGAAAATGTTAGTTCATTTTAAAAATAGGTGGTTAAACGTCATTTGTACTACTACTTGCGCGGACATTCGCAGTTTTTTATCTGTTCCAACGAGCATACAAATATATTAGCGGGGCAACAACAACGATTTATTATTTGACTTTGGCAAATACTGCTAGTTAGTATACATGCACATTCTTTTAACATAATCACAAAAAATCGTTTGATCTTTTGTGATTAACAAATTATATGTAGCCAACATTAGAAAAACTCAATCCAAATCCAACCTCCGCAAACAAAACAATTTCAAATACAATGTATTTCCTTCCTGTTATTTAAAAAAAAATTCACTCCCTGGAATGGCTAAAGTCCCTTCTAAATCCCTAAAGCCGCCTTACTATGGAAGAAGGGAGAAAAAACAATTTCTTCTAGTAATCTATTCTTTCTACAAAGGCAACGAACAACGAATTGCAACTTTAAGCAACTAAAAAGAAAAAATATTGAAAAGGCTGTACATAAACTCTCTGGCACCAAAGGGTGGGGATGAACCAACCCTTGCAGTAAACAGAAATATCCACGGTATTTTTAGTAGTAAAAAAATAATAGGTAAATTTTGTAAAACCGAATAACAAACAAAGAATTAGGCAAGATTAAGCGAAGAAAGAAAAAAATAACAATTTACCATTTAGAAGTAATTAACAATCGTAGAAGTATCTACATATCTCATTTTCAGCGACATCTTTCACCGAAATACCCTTAGAACTTCACAGCGTGGATATCCTTGTTTGCAATAAATAAATAAAAAAGTACTTCTAAAACGTACGTAGAAATAACGAAAGACAGTTATTGTATTCCTATCTCAACAGGATACCGTAGTAGAGGTCTGTCAATCAATCAAGAAAAAAAAATCTAAATATCATTTTCTTACTACAAATCCTTCTCCTCTCTCCCAGTCATTTTCCGCTAGTCTCTGATATCAAATATTTCATGTTGTTGATTGTCTACGCCTCATTCTTCAATCCTTTATTCTCTTTTCTTATTGTTCCACGGATAACGTCGGATAACAACAAATAAAACAGAATAGCAGTTGTGCATTGCTTTTTCGTTCTGAATAGTTCTGTTTGTTTGATGGCTGCGCTGACCCTTTACCCGTGTCATTCTCGGGTTTGTCTCCCTTTTCTCCCTCCCTCCCTTCAGTCATACTCCCAAACAATAACAAAGAAGCCAAGTAAACAAAAACAAAAAAAAGCAAAATGAAAAGTTCGCGTATCCTTTTTCATTGATATTATTATTATTTTCCTCCAGGGTGTTCTGACGAAAAACAAAAAATACACGAATTTTTTCAGATTTTCTAATTCTCTAATTCTGCCGTGCAACCCACAGACAAAGACAAAAAAAAAGGAACATCAGTTTTGTTATATCCGTCATTCTTCCGCTAAATACAACAAATAGAGGAGAAACAACACACAGAAAACTACCAAATACACATCACAATATCAATAATAATAATAATAATATTGTTTATCCCATGCCAAGGTGGATATTCTCGATTATTTTAATGTCTATTTCTATTGTTTACTAAATAATTTCTTGGTAAAACACTATGTACCACTAATCTTTTGTTTTACCTCGCTTGGTCGTTTTACTACTACCCACTGTAATATGTTGAATTAAACCATGGGATAAATTATTATTGTGGGACGAAGAAGAAGAAAAAAAAATTTATGCGATGGAGCTGAAAAGCAATGGCTATAGCGAATAAAGGAAACAAGGACAGCAAGTAAAAGAAAGAAAAAAATTATTCATCAAATAAAATATGGTTAAAGAACACCACTTTTATCAGTTAATTTAGCCTAAATTTTGATTCTTTCCTTTCATTTCAGTTTAATAAAATGCGAAACAGTGTAATCAATAAATGAAATTCTACTTGTACTTACATTTTTTCGTCAATTGTAAGAAACTCTTCTGAAATTTCTTGATATGTAATGTTATATATAACATATTGTTTTATCGCTATTACGAATATTTAATCCATAAAAACTGCGCCTTACAACAATTTTTTTATTCTTTTTTCTATTAAATCATATTTATTTATTTAATTTATATATATAAATAAATCTTGACTAAATTATTTTATTTTAAGATCCTTTGGAATTATTTTTCACTGTAATTCATCCATATCAACTTAATTTTATTTTCATTAAACTAGAACCTGTCAAAGCTTTATCCTTTATAAACAAGTACTGAATAATATTCAATTCAAAACATAACTATTTTCACTCACTTTCTTTAATAACCAATTGCATATTTTTTTTAACCTAAACATTTGTTTTATTGCTTTTATATTCAGATTTAAAAAAGGGACTAACACATATAACATAAACTAATTATTTTTTTTTTGAAATAATGATACAGTCAGCTTTTCTAGGATTTTTCAACCTTATTGTAAGGATTATTAAATCAGGTTTAAATAAAAGAAATATATTCACACTACCGTTAAATTTTTTCATAAATTTTTCCCCTGTAATAATATGGTTATCTATTTTTCATCATGCTGGAATGATTCCATTAGATATTAGACCACAAATTCATAGTAAAATAGCATTTATTTCAGATGCTTTTTTATTTGGTGATTGGTTTGGTGAATTACAAACTCAATATCATGATTCTTATCAATTAACTAAAATTTCAATTGCAACAGCTTTTGCATTTGGTATAATTGGTTTACTAATTATACCGTTATCGATATGGTATTATTTATATCATATTAAATCATTAAAATATAATATTGTTGAATGGTATGATCATATTTTCCATTTTGAAAATAAAAAAAATACACGTAGATTTAGATTATTAGCAATTCCATTCTTAATTCCATTTTTTGCATTTATTATTTTAAATGTGGATCATACTTTTAGTTCTCAAAATATTGAAAATTTTACAAAGACTAAAGATATTATTGCATGGTTCTCCTACGTCATTTTACATGTTACCGTCCCTATTCTAACTGCCGTATATCTTTATGTTTTCCATCCTGCAGGTACTATCAAATGTTTTTCCTTTGCACTAGGTTTACAAAACATTTGTGGTGTTTTCACTCACTTGTTATTTCCAACTGCATCCCCATGGTTTACTCACATGTACGGTATTAACGATACAGAACATGTTAATTATACTCAAGAAGGGTTTGCTGCTGGTTTAGTTAGAGTGGATAATCATTTAGGTACTCATTTAAACACTAATGGGTTCCATTTATCACCAATTGTATTTGGTGCCGTACCCTCTTTACATTCTGCAATTGCATTCCAATGTTTCCTTTTCATTATCACTAGAGCATCTTCATTTAAACATAGATTTGCATCTAATGGATCTTCATCTACAAGTAACAGATTAAGAAATGGTGTTGAGAATGGTTCTACCGATGATGAAGAAAATGATTCTGATGAAATTAACTCCAAGACTTCAAGAGAAGAAAGTATAATACCATCCAACAGTAGTAGTATGTCTGATTTGGCCGATTCCGATGAGGATTACAATTATTCCGATATTGATTTGGAGGCTACTGATAAAGAATCCTGCCATTTATTATCATTGTATACCGACGATGCAGAATTTTCTAATAAATGGTACTTTAAGGTTTTCAATACTGGGTTAGTTGCCAAATTGCTAATTTCATCATTTATCTTATTACAATGGTGGGCTACAATGTATTTGGATCATCATTATAGGTTTGATTTGTTCATTGGTCTATTATACTCTATAACGAGTTTCATCATAATAAACAACTTTGTCTTACAACCTAGAGTATTGAAACCTTGGTTGGATTTAAGATTTGGTAAAATGCCTGATGATAACAATGAGGCAAGAACAATGGGGATGAGAGTCTTCAAAGGGACAAAGATCGAATGGTTTTTCGATCCATTAGCATAAAGTGTTTTGAAACAACATTAACAATAAATAAATAAAATTCACATAGTTTTGTAGCATATAATTGATTCTTAAAATATAGGAATTAATAAAAAAACAAGAAGAAAAAAACATTAATAATATTAAACGATTGAATTGAAAGATCTATTACAAAAAACTTTTGAATACATTTGAAAGGTTGCATGTTGTTACAAAGATTGCAACAACGATGATGTTTTTTAAGTAACTAATACTTCAATGTTTGTCCCTTTCGATGGCCTCTACTCATAAGAATAATTAATATTTCATTGAAATTGCAACAGATAGCTATTATGTATTAAATAAAATATATACGAAGGTGTCAATTATTATTACTATATTCTCTTATGTATCTATTAGTGTAAATTCCGATAGGATTTACATGGATTACGTTAGCCTTACTCTAGAAGTTAACTATTCACCATACGATATGTATATGTATAGTTGCCGTTTCCTCTCCAGCAACATAGGAATTTTTTTCTAGTTCGCTAAAGATACAAAATTAGGCGGTGAATTGGTTGTCCGCTTTCGGGTGAAGTATTTATCGCTGGATACGAATGGGGAAAATATAACATAAGAATTGAAAACCAAAAGTCAAAAAGGTTTGAAATTCAGTCAATGATTTTATAAATAAATATATGTTAAAGAGATTGGAAACATTTTTTTGTAGAAAACAGATAAACTTGATCAGGACAATTGCAATTATTTGTTTTTTTTTGGTTTACTCTCTTTGAATAATAAGTATAACAATTTGGATTGTTATTATACTCTCATCTTTTGTGATTGCCTTTTTTATTTATTTTGATAATATCAAATAATTTCTTCTCCAAAACACCAATCTCTGTTAACGAAAAATGTCTAGCGCCACATCTGCCACTTTACCACTACATATGTACATCAGACCACTGATTGTAGAAGATGAGGAAGAAGTTGCCAAACTTGAAGCTGTTTGTTTCCCACCAAATGAAAGGGCCCCAAGTGCTACAATTGATTTCAGATTAAAGAATTGTCCTGAATTATGTTCTGGTTTATTTATTAGAGATTTCGATGAGGACACTAAAGAAGTCAAAAGTGAAACTTTAATTGGTCATATTCTTGGTACTAAGATCTCTTCAAGCTACATTACTTTAGATAGTATGAAATTAGTTAATGATGAAGCCAGTGGTACAATTGCTATACATTCTGTTGTAATTGATCCAAAATTTCAAAAGAAGAACTTAGCTACTTTAATGTTAACTGATTATATTCAAAAATTGAGTAATCAAGAAGTTGGTAGTAAGATAGTTATTATTGTTCATGAATATTTAATTCCATTTTATGAAAGGGTTGGATTTAAAGTTATTGCTGAAAATACAAATGTTGGTAAAGATCCAGATTTTGCTCGTTCTAAATGGATTGATATGGAAAGGGAGTTAGTGAAGGAAGAATATGAAGCTTAAAAGAGTTTCAAATTGATGATTTATAATAATAAAAATAATTAAAAAGAAAAATAATTAGTACTTGTGTAATATATAACTTGTAATCTCAAACTCTTCTTTTTTTTACCTATATATTGGTCCTGTATACTGAGTAGCCATTTATAATAGAAAGTATGTGTGCGACATAAATATAGAATTCGATAAGATATAAGAAGAATCTTAATTAATTGATTGGATTTTACATTGCAATTTGATCAAAAATCTTGGGTATACTTCCAAAACCCAAAACCCATATTAGTTAAGGAATTTGATAATAAGATATGAACTTGTCAGACTTTCAGACGTCTTGCTTTTCCGTCTTACTAATCCCTTGCCAATCATTAAAATAGATGATGAGCTAATATAAAAAAATCGCCGGTTACCTACATGTTTCTTACTATGTACTTCTCAAGATTCTTGTCTAATAATATTTTCCCAAGCAACCCCTACTATTCCAAATAGCAAATAATTGTAATAATAATAATAGTAATGTAATGGTAAATGGGTATCGTCTCTCAGATCTGCTGCTTTGTAACCCTTCTTGTGCTTTATCCCTTCCTTCATGAACCCCTTCCCACAAATGTACACAGCGCCCTGTTAAAGGGTACACGCAGCCAGCATAGTAGAAGGAAAAATAGTATGAAGTGCAGCTTTGTCTCCGATGTTGACTATCAAATTACATATATACATATTTATAATGTGGTAGTCTCCCAAACTAACATTGTTCAAAGTAGGACAGACACAGACACCCCCATCTTAAAATTGATGTATTATGTAGTGTAATGTACTTTCCAACGATGGGGTGGGGGATGAGGAGAGTACAGTCTTTTAACTACCCGGGGTTACTTGACTTTTCTAAATATGTATTTCCTTTCACTGGCTTCCTTCACTCTAGCTTGGGTGTCGTTAATTTCAAAATGACAGACTCAGCAAGCAGTTAAGCATCAAATGGAAAAAAGAAAGAAAGAAATAAGGATACCCCCAAAAGGGAGTGACTTTTATATAAAAAACTCCGTGACACTGATAAATTAATACTCAACAGAAAATATCATATATAAAATGACTTTTTTTATATAAAGTGAGAATTTATTTACACCTGCATTGCTTTACCATTTTTGAAAATGTTCTTCCCTTGTTTATATACTTGTCTATTAATAACGTACATACGTATCTTCCTTTTCAAACGTTACTAGTACTTTTAGTGATTAGATATACATATATACATACTCTTTCAAAGCAAAAATTCATAAAATGTTGGCTCAATCTTTGGTAAGAAATTCAGTAGTTTTAAGACCGGTAATACTTTCTGCCCGTTACAGTGCAGTTCGTATGATCTCTACCACTTCAAGTTGCGCTAGGGATCATAGAATGAAGCATCCAAATCCAGAAGATGTGAAAGAACAGAAAAAATTCGATGCAAATAAGAAGAAACTGGAGAAATTAGAGCACGGTGGTCATTCTGGTATTAAGAAACCATCAATGGAAAAATTACAACAAAAGGGTGAAGATGCAAGAATTGAACAAAACAGACCAGATGATGGTGTCTACTAATTCTATTTTTTGGAGTTTGCTAACAAACTCTTTATATTTATATATTCGTATTATTTAAAATAAAATAAAATAGAACAAAATAGAACAAAATAGAACAAAATTCAATAAATTTAATTTTAGTTTGACATTCCTTTACAAATCTATATTCTCGTTGTCTATCAATCATATTTAGTAATGGACGTCTTCTTGATGTTATTATGAAGTTCTTCGTTATCTTGGTGTTGTATTTACCCGGACACCTGTTGATGCTCAGAAAATCCAGTACAATTCTAAACTATTTTTACAAGGCTCGCTTTGTCCCACCACATTATTGCATATTAGGTGCATATTACATTACTTACAGAGAGAAAGAGAGTTATTAATGACAAACACTCATTATTATTATTGATATAAATGTGTTAAGATATTATAAATATTGAAGTTTAGGTTTTAATGTATTGACAAAGAGTTACAGTATTAAAAAAAAACATTCGTATTTTGCTTACTCACAGTACTGAACTGACTAATACGTAATACTATTGATTTGATACGGTGTTTGTTTCCTATATTATTGTCAGAGCATAAAATATTATACACCCCACACATATACATGTATACATATATATATATGGATCTCGATTTTACCGTTTAATTTCAAATACAATAAAACTATTACTGAGGAACAATAAAAGCTATAAAAAAAGTTCTTTAACAGCATACTATTTAACCGAGTGTCTTTTGAGTCCCCTTATTAATAACATTTGACACCTCGAGATAAATTTTTGCGTACATACATATTGACATTCTATCACAAACTCAAAATTATTGTCTTCAACTGTTGATAAAAAGTATTTTAAATATAGAAGATGACCACAATGAAACACGATGAAATATATTGTACTTCCATAGTACGGTTATCTGAAATTGCTGGAACTTTTATCTCAAGAAATAATAAATCTACCGATATTGATAAATCAAATGATTTAAAAGCCGTACTTCAAGAATGCATAGATACACTATCTAATTACAAAGACGAATGTAAGCGAATTAAGAAACTAGGTTTATTTGTTAACCCAGGGCATATTGAAAATATGGATATCCAAGAAAAATTAAGGACTTTTAAGATTTTCGAATCAGCATATATTTATTATAAAATTATTCATATTACAGTATTGATAAGAATACCAAATTTACCATCGTTTATTAAAATTAAAAATGAAAAGGATTTACAAACCGTTAAACAAAATAAAAATAAAGAAATTATCGAAATTTATAACACTTTAGTGAATACTTTAGTTCAAGATGATAGCATTGCCAAAATAAAATTATTTATTAAAAAACATACCATACCCAACTTAAAATTGGAGGAGAGTACACAACATAATGACACTGATATAAATAAAGAAATTCCTCTGGAAACTGGTCACACAATTTCAGTGGATCAACTCAGGACATTGTTAACAAATAAAAAATCATCAACTCTTGTGATAGATATACGACCCAGACTTGAATTTAATAAATGTCATATCTCATTTGATAACATTGTTTGCATTGAACCTGTATCATTTAAAGAATCGTATTCTGATTATGAACTTGAAAGGAAATCCTTAATCACTAGTCCGAATGATGAAATAAAATTGTTTCAAAAGAGAGATAAATTTAAATTTATTGTGTTATACACCGATGAGAGTATTGAAAATGGATTTGGAAAACAAAAACAAAATATGCTACAAAATATGCTAATAAATAAATCATTTGATAAACCTTTGGAAAATTCAAAAATATTTACATTACATGATGGTATTCAGAACTGGATACAAGTTGGTGGAAAAACAGATAGTTTAACCTCTATAAAAACTAAAAGAATAGATGCTATTGATGATAATGCCATTTATATTAATGGGAATACATCCCGTTTAAATCTGCAAGAATTCCCAAAGGCGACGCCAAGCATAGCACAACAAGATGCTAACAAATCTATTCAAAATATGATGACTAATTCACCTGCATCGACAGGAGGTTATGCAATGCATGATCAACAAATTTCAAAGGGAGGAAAACAGGATAAAGGTCCACAAAGAACCTCTAGTTTCAAAAGAATATTTACCAATTTTAGAAGTTCCTCTGGAAGCTCTGTTAACTCAGCAGGGGGTGTACAGGCAATTTCGGCACCTCCATTATCGATTCAAGATGATCAGTCATCACTGTCTTATCCACACAACTCATCTTCTCTATCATATTCATCTCGTCGTATGTCACAACTCTATGCATCCAACCCAATAGACTATCCCGATGCTTCATCGCTATTAAATAGTGGTATGGAAGCAATGTCATTATCCAACGACTCGACTGCATATAGTCCTGTCCGTTCCAGTAATATTCCTGGAAGAAGAGGATTTTCACCGTATTCGAGTCCTGTTTCGGCACTCCATTCTCGTTCCCAAAGTTTCAACGAAAGTTCGACACTTAAATCAGGTATGTTTGCAAATATTGCATCATTAAACACTTCAGATAACAACATTATTACAACTGGACAACAAACATCCCCAGACCATCTAGACTATTCGTTTACAAAACATTTACCTGACATTCCTAGACTACCTGCCAGACCTTCGAGTTCTTCTTTTTCAGCAACATCTCCTTATAAACAACAAGAATTGATGGCTGGTTCATCAAAGGATGTATTGAAGAATGTGTCATCCTATCAAAAAGGTACGGAATTGGATTTTTTAACGGGTTTGGAAAATATGGGTAATTCTTGTTACTTGAATTGCATAATTCAATGTGTACTTGGAACACATGAATTAACAAAAATATTTTTGAACGATTCATATGAGAAACATATTAATCTTAATAGTAAATTAGGTTCTAAAGGTGTGTTAGCAAAGAATTTTGCAAGATTGGTTCATACCATGCATGATAAGGGAACAATTACGACTGGAAGTGATCATTCAAAGAAGAAGAAGAAGAAAATTCCCGTGAGACCAGATCAGTTTAAATTTGCATGTGGTTCTATTAATTCGACATTCAAGGATATGTGCCAACAAGATTGTCAAGAATTCTGCCAATTTCTATTAGATGGTCTTCATGAAGACTTAAACCAATGTGGTGGAAATCCTCCTCTGAAGGAATTGTCAAACCAAGCAGAAGAATTGAGGGAGAAATTATCTTACCGTATTGCATCCTCAATTGAATGGGAAAGGTATTTGACCACTGACTTCAGTGTAATAGTTGATTTATTCCAGGGCCAGTATGCATCTCGTTTACAATGCAAAGTGTGTAACCATACATCGACAACTTACCAACCGTTCTCGGTTTTGTCAGTTCCAATTCCCAATAAAAAAAATTGTAATATTTTAGATTGTTTCCAAGATTTTACAAAATGTGAGAATTTAGAAACTGATGAGCAATGGTCATGTCCGCATTGTAAAAAGAAGCAACCCTCAACAAAACAACTAACAATAACCAGACTTCCAAGAAATTTAATTATCCATTTGAAGAGATTTGATAATCGAATGAATAAAAACAATTCTTTCATAAACTACCCCTTCACATTGGATTTGACAAAATTCTGGCCAGATGATTTCGATGGGAATTTACCTCCCGGTGTCACAGATGAGTTACCTGCAAGAGGTCAAGTCGCACCTTTTAATTATAAGTTATACGGTGTCGCATGTCATTTCGGCAGTCTACAGGGTGGACACTATACAGCATATGTTGATAAGGGTATCAAGAATAGTTGGCATTACTTCGATGACACGGCATTTAGACCAATAAAAAATCATAATGAGCCTATTACATCCAGTGCTTATGTATTGTTTTATCATAGAATATACAATTTATAACAGTGTGTATTCGTAATAAATAATCCTAAGATCATTATCTAAATGGACTTGTCCTTCATTTATTAGATGGAGAAGTATATAATTGTTATTTTAAAAGTTCACCATAAGGCGTTTCCCTACACAAAATAATTAAACATTTCAAAAACGGCTAGACCGGTAAAATAGAATATGGTGGTTTTTATTATAACACAAAATGCAAAACAGACATATATATTCTTATATATCGATGGTCAAGGATAATTCGACAATCTACACATTATAACGAAAGTAACCTAGACCATATGTAAATTAAACAAATAAGTTGGTGGTATGTCTCACTCCCAGTCGTCGTCGTCTTCTTGTTCTTCATCATCATCATTTTCTTCTTTTTCGTTAGTTTTATTCTCTTCTTCCTTGATATCACTTTTCGAGACGATCACTAGGGACTCATCTTTCGTAGAAGTACTACTTTCGTTCCCTATGTCTTCTTCGTTGGTGGATTTCTCATTCTTTTCGCGTACTTTTTCGTCATTTTCAGCATGTTCGTCTTCATCATCCCAATTAATCTCTTCTTCAACTTTTTTGTTTTGAGAGCTTGCGGTAAGAATATTCTTTCTAGTCTCTTCCCTTTTCAAGATTTCGTCCCTTTTATTCAAATATATATTCCAAAAATCAACGTAAGAAATTTGTTGAGGAACTAATGAGTTCATCAAGATTTCTAATTCTTTATTGGATTTCAAAATGTCACTGATTTCTTCGGTTTTAGAGTCAATATCTAAATATTCACCTTTATCCTTCCCAATTTTAAGATAAATTTCTTTATTAGTTGAAAGTTCACTCAATTCTGCTTCTGTTCTATTACCAGCAATAGTTTGTGTGTTAACGGTGCTTGAATTTCCTTCAGTGTGACCTGTACTTAACGATTCGGAGGTTATCTGAACAGCCTTATCAAATTGAGAACCCAAATTCTCTGTAATATTAGACCAAAATCCAGATGTCTTAACCGTATCCCAGTAGGAGGTAGCCATATTCTCTACTTTGGCAAGATTTTCGTCCATAGAAGTAAGTATTTCCTGTGCCTTTCGAGATGTAGCTTCATCTATTGGCAGGTTTAAACTAATATCCTCTTTATCATCATCATTCATGATAGTTTTGATGCTTTGAGCAGTTTTATCATATGCACTACTTAATTCATTTTCGAATTTTGAAAAGACCTCGTTTGTCTTTTCATCCTTGGGAGCAGGGGTACCTGCTGATGGTGTCTCCACGGGGGTTTGATGTTCGTAATAAAAATCCATAACTGTAATTTTTCCAATTCTAATTGTATATTAAATGGTATTGAGATATATCTGATATTGTTATACCATGATCTCTTTCCTTACTCCCAATTTTTATCTTCCTCCTAGTTGGTAGTAGTCATGACATTTAAAAATGGACGGAACGAATTCGTCAATTTTGTTTGTACAGGTACCCTAAGCGGTTTATGACAGGAAATAGTATGCCACGCAAAGACCGGCAATTGAATCAATTTTAGAGCAAAGTAAAGAGTTAAATTAATGAAAGAGAGTATATTGAAGTATTGGGAAATTGTGTCAGTGGTATGTATATGCAACTGAGTAACTACTTTGGAAAAATTGGCCAATAAGTTCTTCCTATTAACAATTATACATACCAGAAGGCGAGAATCAAATCCACCGTTTTATTCCATTTTCAATGTGTATCAAGTTAACTACAAATAAAATTGGTAAGGGGCAAGAATAATGGTCCTTCTGAAACATATTCTCAAAGATTTTCTGTTTCTCAATTTAATTTCAAGTACCATATTTACGGATTGAACAAGAAACTTATTTCACTATACTAAATAATATTTAAAGAAACTTAACGTTATTCCAGATGTTAGTCGATGTATGTGAAGATATCTTAATACTAATCTATGAGACATGTAAGATATCTTGCCATAAATTTACAAATACAGTAAAGTTTTCAGAATTGACTACCTTACAATTTTCTTTCCCAAGAAGCGCCAGTTCCTTTTATCAATTTATTTTCTTATGTAAATCTGACATAATTATTGACATTAGTGTCATAAACACTGATATTAAACATCTTTTGCTGAAGAACAATTGATACTAATGGGTCCGTTTTATACGTAACAAATAAACATTTCACTATAACATTGCAATTTTTATACTTATATGATTTTCTGAAAACATTATATTACCATCCAAGAGGTTTTGATAGTTCACAGATATGTTATTTATTTATTTATTTATTTATTTATTTATTTATTTATTTATTTATTTATTTATTTATTTATTTATTTATTTATTTATTTATTTATTTATTTTACAGATTATTCTAATTGATTGAACAATGGTTCTTATACTGGTGATACTGAAACACCATCAGGTATTTCATCTATTAATGTTTAGTCTCTAATTTCTAGGTAAACGTATAAATGTGTGTTAGATGTCAAATATTTAACCAGAGTATCTAAAGGAAGTAATGATGTGTTAATGGTATGTAGGGCTATTATCGTAGCTCTTGGTAAGGATTACAGGGCTTTAGAAATGATTGAGCGATTTGGATAGCACATCAATCGATATTACGTCAAACTAAAAAAAATCACATTTCCTTTGAGAATCTTTAAAAGATACATTGGAACTAAATCGACATAACAGATTAAGCTCTGTTGGATAATGGCTATGCTGTTTCTTTTGCAGTGGGGAGGTAGTTAACAGCCTATCATTTCTAAATCTAAATAAAGAAGTAAATTTTGCCTAGATACTTTTAATGTTTTCATCTGAAGACTTGATGAACAGAATTGGAATATATTGTATTGGATCTTGAACGACAAATAAATAAACCGTCTTACGCTTCACTAATTGAACAGTTTTGTGCCAACCGTTTAGCAAACTGACTTAAGGTCTATCGTCAGTCTATCGTGCATACCTGTTTTGCTCTTCTATATAACTTAATAAAATTCCATATTGTTCTGCTTTGTTCGACTATCAGGAAAAGTTAAAGTATTTCTTATATTCTCTTTTATTACGGAAGGGATGAAGAGGAGATCACGTAAGTCAGTACCTATCACTTGTAAAAATAATTTTAAAATGGCGTATAGAAAGGTTGCAACGGGATAGATATTAACTGAATAAGCTGTTTATTTTCAGTATATGGTTTGAATATTTCCTTCCTTCTATTGGTCATCCATTTGTAATAAATATCCCATATTTAATCATCAAACCAGTGACCATTTGTTCAAACTTATGGAACTTAGCAGGAGTAAATATTGGTTTCGATTTGAAATATGTTCCTTTTCGAATAATACTATCATTTTTTAACGATTATAAGCACATGTCAGACTATTTAAAATCCCTATTGTACAACAGGAAGACGATTCTAGGAGAATATCTGATATGTTAACATTTGCTTACAATTATTATATCTCAGATAGTACCATCTTCATTTCTTCTGTAATGTTTGTACACTAGATTATATACTTTTGAGAAATATAAGGAATAACCAAACTTAAAACACATTAAAAGCAAAACTAAAGATTCCTCCAAGTAGCAACTGACCCTTTCAGATAATGAGATCAATGTTCATGACTTCATTGACTTGGGCTTCACCTCAAAAAAATATTCGCGAGGAGTGCGAGATGAAATTTAACCTTGGTGATTATTTTGGTGTGATTTGGCATGCAACATAGTTGGAAAAGAAAGGGTGGGTATATAATTAAGAAAAGGACTTCATTGCGTCTTTTAAGTATTTGCATCTTCAAAAGGAGTAAATCCTAGGGCGATACGTTTACGTCAAGTATTCACCTAGCTTTTCAACAATTTTGATCCTGTTTTCTGAGAATCACAGTTATTTGCATTTTCTTAAACATTCAAGGTGCAATCACACACTAAGGTAGAACCTAAAAATACGGATGTCACTTGTTACACCATTGCACTTCAATACAGTTCAATTAAACCTATATAGGGGCTCTTCGCCAAGGGAAATTAACATCCCATTTCTAAAACGATTGAGGTTGAAATACATACTATCATTGACACCAGAACCGCTAGATGAGACCATGACTGCATTTTGTAAAGAGAATGACATTAAAATGAAGCATATAAAATGTAATGATAAACCTCCTAAAGATAAAACAAAGAAAGTAAAAAGAAAGAAGAAGACTGTACCAATAGAGTATGATACAGTCATTGAGTGTGTTGCTTTCCTAGTAGATCGGCGAAATTACCCCATATATATGCATTGTCACAATGGAGAGTTGATCACATCTCTAGTAGTAGCCTGTCTAAGAAAATTTTCATACTGGAGTACAGTATCGATCCTTAATGAATTTCTGATATACAACTCTAGTATAAACGTCCATGAAAGAAGTTTTATCGAACATTTCAATTTAGAAGTAGATATACAAGGCCTCAAACCTAAAGATAAAGTACCGTGGGTATCCGGACAGTTTATTACCAAGACTTCGAAGAGTAAAAATAAGCAAAAAGATATAACAAAGGCAGAGGTTATTACTACTGTGAGTAACAACATACCTAATGCGCTCCCGAAGTTGAAATTCCATAGTATCTGAATTCGTTTTTATGAATCTACAGACCTTTATATATACAATAATATATTCACTAATATTTATAGATCTTTTTACGGGTTCTTTGTCGAACAGTTGGTTGACACCTGTTTTACCAACTTGTTTTTTCTTCTTTTTTATGTTAATATTTCTTTGATTACATTTGCTAAATTAACTTTTAGATAATTTTTCAGCTATAAGGGGAGTGAATTGAAGTTCAACGAAAAAACTCATGGGTCAAACTAAAAAAAAGCCTGATTCACATATATGCAACACCCAAATGACTTCCTTATACGAGCTGACCCAATTTGTATTCAATACTCCAAATTCCAATGATGTTATTTCAAATATTCTCGCTCTTCTATCACAGTCATATTGCGTTGATTCAACGACTTTCAAATGTGTTTTAGCTTTGATAAATATAACTGATTATAATGTACTTGTGAGAGAAAGGCATATGAACCACAGATGTGCTTACCCATTGTGTTCTAAAGAAATATCTAATACATTACCAAACGGTTATTTGGCAGACTATTGCGGGGATTATCACTTTGATTGTTCCCAATTTGTCATCACACAGTTAGCCCAATTTCCAAGATGTGGGTTGGAGTTATGGAAAAGACAATTAAGTGCAGGTGAAAAGAATCCAGGAAGAATGATTCTCTTTGAGGAGTTACTACAAGATAAAGTTATTGAAAATGACGTAAATTCACTGACCACTGATATGAATATATTTAGATTAAGGTAAAAGTATGTAAAGTATACATAGGTAAGGATTGTTTTTAATAAAGAAACAATGATTTTTATACGTCATGAAACAGGTATTAGGTATTTAAAATTTGTTATTTTCCAAAATAGAATATAAATTATGATCTTTTTCAAAAGTAAATGCATTAGGTATATCATTTTTCAGCATATTCTCAAATCTTTTCTTACGTTTTAGATGCATAGTTGCTGTCTTCTCTTTATAATATTCAACATGTCCATCCTTTAATAAAACCTCTTTTTTGAACTTCTCAAAGGAAGCTGCTCTCTCATATAAACTTTTGTTAAGTTCGGTAATGACGTTAGAAATGGGAGATAGCCACGATAAAACCGTGACTGGCATTCCATCTTTATATTGTAAATTATTTGTTACGACAGTAGAGCTCACCAGCTGTTTTGTTTTTTCGATCTTTTCAACCCTTGATAAAAGTTCACTAATATTGTTAAAGTTTGGAAGATTTTCATTCGCAAGATATTCTTCCCAAATTGCTTCTGAAAGAGCCCATTGAGCATTTTTCTCGCATGCCACTATACCATCCAGAACATCCTGGTTTTCTTTTTTTGTTTTTGAAATAAGGGAACTTAATTTTCTTGACTGGGCTTTCTGTTTATTTACAGGGGATCTAACAAACCAGATTGTACTTGGGCCAGCTTTTGTATAACTAAGGTATACTTCTGGTATTCCCTTATCAAGTTGTTTTTGAATTCTATCTATTTTATTTCTAGAATGCCAATCAAGTGCTATTGGTAACAGAAGGTTTCTTTTAATCTTCTTCGATATTTGAGCAGGCAATAAATGGTCTGATTGTTTGATCTTCATATATTTATCTAGAATATTAGATTGTATCAACAGTTTTGGATCTTGTTGAGGTGGTTTGGCATTTAGCTTGATTTCATTAATAGAGGTCTTAATCAATTTCAAATTAGGATCTACCTTAGGATCTGTTAGTAATCTTCTAACTTGATTGTAATCATTTTTCTGTATAGCACAATTCAGCGACTCCAACTTTTCTAATAAATTATGCACGGCCCAACTAGATTTATTGAGTCTGTTGTTCGTAATTCTTTCCTTTACTTTGTCGAGTATGTGATTTCTATAAATAATAGAATTTATATTGTGTCTAGTGGTTCTTAACGTGTAGCGATATAATCTAAGAACATAGAGACGATGGTCTCTCAACAGACTGAAGTGTGTTGACATTGAGCCTTAAATATTTGTTGGTATACTGAACGGTTCAGTTTCGGTCCTAATGTTGGTGTATTTATTGTTTTACTCTCAACCCTTCAACATATATATATATTTATATTTCGTGATCATTGAAAAATAAAAAACTAATTTATGAACCTTTTTTTACCTTCTTATTTTTCTCGATAATCAGCTCGCTGAAAAATTAGAATTTTGACAATAGCTACATTAAAATGCTTCGACCAAAAAAATATTATTTGTGCTTAATCGATTCAGCAAGTCAAACGTCAGATTATAACCACTTCTAATTTGTTGTAAATTTTCTTCTTCCATTTTATTTTAGTTTCTTCTTGAGCTGAAGTAGGCATAAGGTAGTTGTATCTATATTTGTTTATTATATTTAGTGACAGATAGAGAGGAATAGGCGTAGCATGGGTTCTGATGTTAAAATAGAGCAAAATATATGGGTTATTCTAGTTTACCTAATTGTAAGCGATTTCTTCCTATTATATATTAATTTTTTTCTTTAAATACTATTTCTCTTATTACCTAATATTTCTTTCATCATTTCTTTATTTAATGTTTAGTCATTATTAGTACATATGGCATATCTTGTTAGCGCATAACAGGCGTCACTTCTAGTGGACTTATATGGTAGGCTTAGGGAAAAGCTAGGTAAGAATTTTGGGATCCTAAAATAGAACGTATACTACTTCATGAGGCATTTATTCTGCTGAAAATGGTAACACCATATTTTAATACTCGCCATAACTATGATTGAATTGTTTGGAGTTCTATAGTTTAAAAGAATATCTGTATCTTGAGCTGAAGCAGACATAGTAAAGTTAGTTCTAGTTTCGTTCATTTTATATAGTGGCAGGTAGAGAGATGTAGGTATTAGCTTGACAATGTATGCTAAGAAGGCAAAGTGTATATATTATACTTTTCTTTTATTTGGAAGTGGTTTTTTGTATTTTATATGATGGGAAAATTGAATATTAGACATCTTCTATTTAACTGAACAATTTTTATTATATTATAAAATCAACTTATAGTCGTCTGATTTTTTATATCTTATATAAAAATATATAAAGTAAATTATGGAAACAATTATATTCATAAATGAAATATTGTTCTATTTATATATGTTGTGTCAGAAATTAAGAGTAATATGCACAACACTTAATTTCAATAGGTAAAGAACTACCTTTAAGCACAGTTATTATGAAGCGTGTTAAAATATGAAACAAAATATGTGGCAACATGAAACAAAGTTAATCGCATTATGAAACAAAGTATAATTCGAACCTCAATTGAGATTAGAATAAAACATATATAAAGACAAAGAATTCTGAACTTACATTCGAAGTTAGATTCTATTTGTTCTATAAATTATATATAATATAAAGAGACTGATCGATTATCGTATGAAAAATGTCCGAATTAAATAAAGTAAAGCTTGAAGAGACTAATAGAGGCAAACACTCTATCTCAGATTCTCTACATGTTGGATATATCATTGTTGTGATTATAAACTCACTCGACAGTAGCGCAAGTAATCTATTATTAAGTTGTTGCCCGATGAACCTAGCATCATACCATAACCTTGGTCATTATCCCTCTTATAATGTATTTCCGACATTATATAATTTATAGAACGAATGGAATTTAGCTTAGAATTTAAGAAAAGTATAACAAATAATATTTGCTATATTTTAAACATTGGTATTCAGTCTACACCTACTCCGCTCTACCTAACACTATAAATAATGAACGAATCAAGATCTAACTCTATTATGTCTGCTGCCGCTATATTTTAACAAATGCTGCCGCTATATTTAACACTTTATAAATAGCAGATATTCACAATCCAAATTCTATTCAGATCTACTCTCTTGTCATTCTATATCAACAGAAAAATTTAAAAATATGAATTTTTAAGAAGACTTCGGAATTATTTTTTACAATTTTGACTAGGCAACCTAATCCCTCTTTTACGAATAAAGGCAACTTGGCCGAGTGGTTAAGGCGAAAGATTAGAAATCTTTTGGGCTCTGCCCGCGCAGGTTCAAATCCTGCAGTTGTCGTTACTTTTTTGCCGATTGTAGCAACTTTCTATTATTAATGGTATTTCTCGATGGTTCTTGTTTTGGTTTTAAACGATTTTTTCTTTAAAGAACTAGAAAGTGTTATTCCAATCTTTGCCTTTCCATTTTTGAGGCTTCTATTGTCACTCTGAACATAATTCCCATCTTCAACTCTTCTTACAGGAAATTGAAGTGTTTATTTGATGAGATATTGAATGCCTATTGAAGCAGTACGGACTGACAATACAAATTTGGAATCGATGAGCTGTCAAATTCAAGAATTGTTTTAGTATTAATCTGAACTTGCGCGTAGTTGTGCGTTATATTCTTAGAGATCTCTCTATTGTTTGTTTGTTTGTTTGGAATGTCTCTACTTGTTTTCCGTCACTCCATTTAATTGTAGGAACCATAACGCGTTATCAAATTAAATTTCAAAATACGGAAAAATGGAGGAAGAACAAATTAATTAAGCGATGAGTTTTTGTTAAAGAGAACCCAATGATGGTGATAACCTAACTTCTTAACTTCGTATGCTAAGTTAAGGGGTCAGTCCACCACGTTAAATGATTAAAAAATGATGTGTGTCAACCAGTAAATACTATTTTCTTGAAAGAAATAAAAAATAATAATTCTAAGGAAGAGTGAGTGGATTGAGACTATACGATGTAAAGAAGAAAGATACTCTGTGAAAGGCTAGATCTGTCAGTTCAATTTTCAAATTTGGTTCTCCAAAAGAAAAGAGAGTATGTTGTATGTTAATTTTCGTGACTGATACAATATCAATTCAAGAATGAGGGCTTCGTAAAATTGGCACCATAGCAACGATCACACCTGGAAAAAAAACATTATAACATCATATTCCTCTTATTTTCTTGTTCTCTTATTGGCATTCCACTCTGTCTTATCAGAAATGACAGCTGTATTTAAAAATCCGAATTGGTTGCCTAAGCAACCACACCCCAAAATATTTGGAGGTGCATCAAAAAAAAAGAAAAGGAAAAGGAGAAAGTCAAAAGCTTATCTAATAATAACTATTTTTTTCTGTAGAATATCTTATTTAGATGTAAGTAGTAAAACTAACCATTTCTGGTTGCTATGGTTTCTTTTTCAAAGACAAGTAATGAAAAAGAAACGCGAAGTAAAGTACAACAAAAACAGTATAATTTACATTTTCGTCACCATAACAACCAAAAAACCGTTGAGGTCACCAACAACACTTAAATAGGAAGTTCTGTACAATTATAAATAATTGATTATACAATATTTTTGGAGAAATTAATCGGATAATGTACTCTATAAGAATTACCGTAGAGAAAAAGAAAAGAAACGATCTGTATATATCAAAATCAACGGAGAAAGAGAGGAGAATAATGATATAATTTAAACAGTAGTAAACTATGTCATCACCCATATGATTTTAGTAAGATGTATTTTGCAAAGCATACCAAACACCCCCATAAGTAATCTTTTTTAAATGTTCTTGCCTTTTGGGTCTCTTTTCTTTCGAAAAGTAAATTGAATTGTTCGTCTCAAAAATTGTATATACATATTTTGAAAGAAGAAACGAGTGTAATACCCTCATTAATTATCTAAGTTCTCCCACCCCTTTTTCATTTCTACCAAAATTTCCGTGGGCATCATTTCCTGGCTCTGTGATTTTTAATCCTCCTTACCCTTCTGGGTGGATCGTCGGTTTCTCCTACGGTTGCCCCCCCTCTCTTTTTCTATAGTAACAAGAAACATCGAGCGAGAAAGCGATAGTACTGAAAAGGTATTAGGAAGTTCAAAGCAGAAACGTAGAGAAGAGCAATCTGAAGAAGAGCCAAAAGACGACGAAACAAATTTTAAAAGTTTTATTAATAATTGAATTCTTTCTCCCTAAAGTTTAATCAAATCTAGTATCAATTTTTCTTTGTTCCCGGCATCTCTTACATCATTACTGGCCATCTTTTCTTTTTTTTCCTTTCCTCTTTTCTCTCACTCAAGGAAAAAAAGGACAAAGTTAACGTAGCAACCACTATAGTTACACAGAGAAACAGGCGAACAACATATCCAATTCACATACTTAAAATAATTTCGCTATAGTAACGGATATTTATTTTTTCATTTCTGTTATTCTCATCCCCCCACCCAAAAAGACAAATGAACTGGAAATGATCTGCGTACAAAATTTTCGTCTTCTTTTTTACTTAGTGGATTATAGGGGGGTGGAACACACCACTTATTAATAATAATATTAATAATGATTATGTCTACATCGATAAGTATATGAAATTAACTGGAAATTCAAGAAGTATATATCAAATATTCGGGTCTTTAATTTTAATATTGGTATTATTGGGAACGAGAACAAATTATTGTTAGTTTGTTCGGGGGGTTGACCGAGAAGTTATTCTGATCTTTTATCTTTACGTTTTGCACTGTTTTTTTTCAAGGGAGATGTGGTAGTAAAAATAAAAATAATAAACAATGCCATAGAAACCCGTTACTATGTACACCTATTATTATTTAATTTTCTTCTTAAATTCTTAAGTTTTAATGTTCGATGGTTGCTACGTAAATACTAGTATTATCAATAATAATTAATGTGTTCCACCCTCTCTTTTTCTGTGTCTCATCATTACCTTTTGCCTGGGAACTTATTTCTCTTCTACGTGAGTCTATAATTAAATTTCGTCTTATTGCTGGAGAAACGAGAAACAAGAAAAAAAAAAGCTCTTCACTTTCAAATTTTCAAATTTTTCAACTTTGGTTTTGGGGGGGAAGAAGCAAAAGAAGGCTGTGGATATCTATCGCTCCACCGAAAGAAACCGACGAAGAGAGCGATGCGGACGCAGTAAAGGGACAAGAAAACAACGGTATCCTTTAATAGTGGAAGTTCGTAAGAATTAGATAATCCTGCATGTCTCTCTCTCTCTCAATAGATTAAATAAGTGAAAGTCTTTTCTTTTGTTTTTTCTTAGGTCTGCGTAAAGTAAATTGGTGTGGACTTCTGTTACGTCGTCTTCTTTTAAATTGGGTTTATTCATCAGAACTTCATCTACATACTATCCTTATATTATTATCTTTTTTGCCTAGTAAAATTTTCTTTTTTTGGGCTTCAGATTAAATATCAATTAATAAGTTTAAGGGAATAATAATATTACTTAATCTCTGGAAAGAAAAAAAAAAAGGTATATATATTTAAAGGATCATTATATCTCTCTCTCATCTTGTTCGAATTATCTTCCCTTAATTTTATATTTTATTTTTTACCTTTTTTTATTTTTGCATCCTCTTCTTCCTATAGTTAATAGAACCATCCTTCTATTGTTATAAGTTAAGAACTAATAAATTTTCAATTCGAGGTTAAACGGAAAAAACAAAAGTTAAATTCCCCAACAAACACATATATAATATATCATAATGGTCGATCCTACTCCATCTAAGGCTGCCGCTGCTGCCCTATCTGATCTAGACATCAAGGAATCCAAGTCTAACTTGGTTGACAAGCTAGCTACTGCTCAACAAAACAGTTCTGCTGCTGTTGAAAAGAGAATAGACGACGCTACTAAGGCTCATGAAGAATACTTGCATTCTCACAGAATTCAACGTCACAACCTAAAGGAATCTGAAAAGGAAGAACCTCTATTGAACATCGACCCAGAAAGATACACTTTGTTACCTATCAAGTATCACGAAATCTGGCAAGCTTATAAGAGAGCCGAAGCTTCCTTCTGGACCGCTGAGGAAATTGATTTGTCAAAGGATCTACATGACTGGAACGTTAGAATGAACCCTAACGAAAAGTTCTTCATCTCTAGAGTTCTAGCTTTCTTCGCTGCCTCCGATGGTATTGTTAACGAAAACTTGGTCGAAAACTTCTCTGCTGAAGTTCAAGTTCCAGAAGCTAAGGCCTTTTACGGTTTCCAAATCATGATTGAAAACATTCACTCTGAAACTTATTCTCTATTGATTGATACATATATCAAGGATCCAAAGGAATCCGAGTTCCTATTCAACGCTATTGAAACTATCCCACAAATTAAGGAAAAGGCTCTATGGGCTCTAAGATGGATTAACGATGCCGATGCTTTGTTCGCCGAAAGATTGGTCGCTTTCGCTGCCATCGAAGGTGTCTTCTTCTCTGGTTCTTTCGCTTCTATCTTCTGGTTGAAGAAGAGAGGTCTAATGCCAGGTTTGACTTTCTCAAACGAATTGATTTGTAGAGATGAAGGTCTACATACCGATTTCGCTTGTCTATTGTTTGCTCATTTGAAGAACAAGCCAACTCCAGATGTCGTCGAAAGAATCGTCACTGAAGCTGTCGAAATCGAAAAGAGATACTTCATGGATGCTTTACCAGTTGCTTTACTAGGTATGAACGCTGACTTGATGAACCAATACGTTGAATTTGTCGCAGACAGATTGTTGGTTGCCTTCGGTAACGAAAAATACTTCAAGGTCGAAAACCCATTCGATTTCATGGAAAACATTTCCTTGGCTGGTAAGACTAACTTCTTCGAAAAGAGAGTTTCCGACTACCAAAAGGCCGGTGTCATGGCTCAAGCCACTAAGAGTGAAACTGGTGCTTTTTCCATTAGTGAAGATTTCTAAGTTTTATTATACATGAAAAACTTAAAAAATTTAAAATTTAAATTATAACGAATCATTAATATATATTAACTATATCTATTTATTTTTAGATGGTTTATTTTACTCATTATAGCAAAACTTATATACACGAAAAAAAAAATACACATTTATACGTACATTTTTCTTTTTTTTAAAAATAATCCTAACACCATTTGAACGTTTCCTCTATATGCACTTAATATTTGTCATTCCCTATATTTTTAATCAAGATAAGATAGATTTGTTACTCTTTTTCACTTAGTATGATTTAAAACTTTGAAATACCTTTACATTTCGTTTAAATAAAATTATCATTTATTTCTAATATCATATAGAAAAACTATATCCTAAGACCTTGAGGAGAGATGTGAATTGATTCCAGGAAATCGGCGCCTAATTTGGTAAAAAAATTAAAAAGAATGGGGCATACTGGGAATTGAACCCAGGGCCTCTCACATATTCGAGTTAAATTACCCAAAGCGAGAATCATACCACTAGACCACACGCCCATTTCTGTTTTTGGGATAGAATAAAGATCAATATATTTTTCAGAACTTTTACACTTTTGGTGTGTTGACGATTGTTAGGTTTGTTATTTTTGTTAAACAGAGTTGCTGTTGTTAAACAGCTCATCTTTTGTGCATAGTAACGTTGGACTATGTAGCTCCAATAAACCCAATATAGGGGGAACAAATACTACATTATGCAGTATATATCATCTGTTATTATATATATACGGTAGTGCAGCACACTCTAAATTCTACTTATATTAGCTACCTTCTCCTTCAGATGGGTAAAGCTAAATGCTAGCCTTTTAGTGCTACCGCTACATTTCAACAATTTTAGTATTTATCGTTGAAAATATGTGTAGAAAATCTGAGTCAGAGTTTTCTCCTCTATTAATTTCTTCAAGCCTTGTGTGGTTTAACTGAGACACTTAATAATACGATGATCAATAGTTCTTTTTATACTATACGTATTCTAAATATTGTAGAACATTTAATGTTCTGTAAATATTATATTTCGGGTCTCTTTTTATGTCATCTTGCGAAAAAAAGTCACCTTATCGATTATGCCACTCGTCATTGTGTATTGTGATAATATCTAGTGATGACATTAATCATCTTGTTTGTTGCATTTGCTTAATTACGACCACAAATTGTCATACAACGAGAGTTTCAGTATATGTCACCTTAAACCTGAATAATTGTCCTGAATGTTACTTTATATAGTCTAATTGACATTAATAGACATTGTAACATGATAGTACAAATGCTAGTCTACTTATTGATGAACAACAATAATTCAATTGTTTAATTGCTCCTCTTTTAAAAGTGGTTAAGTCAAATGGTAATATCACAATAATATATACCTCATAAGGATATTCGTCTTTTTTGTTAGTGGGGCAACTCTCTTGTTTCCTAATGTAAAGTTCAAAAATATATTAATTTTCTGTCCTCTTTAGTATTTTATGGTACTATATCATTCGAGTACGCAAGTATACTGCCTCACCACTCGGGATAGGCACCATAGAAATACAACATTTAAATTTCAAAGGGAATTATTTCGTAGTATCTTAATTTTAACAACTGCCGCTTCCAATTGTAAACTAAGAGTGAATTTAGAATCCAATGAAATGAGAGAAGTATACATATTTTATATTACACTTCAATGATTGATATTAAATTCCTAGATGTGGCAAGATCGATAAAACAAATTTTAAAGAAAAGTTACAGAAAAGTTTGTAATTATTCAATACACTACAATATATTTATTAAGAGGATGGTGGCACGCTATTATTGTACTAGGAAGATATTCGCATGTGCCTTAACATTTATTTGTTTCCACAGGAATAAGCTCCAGGGTAACAAGTTCTGTTCCATTCCAAAAATATAACTTCGATACAAGAGTAACTACAATTATTGCTGAGAGACATATAGTATAGTCCTAGGGAGAGAAATACATCGGTGGTAATTACATTTTCGTGAGTGGATATCCCAAACATATCCGCCTGTTGTGTCTCCTAATTATCTCTAGAAGAAACTTCAATTTCATACACACAAGACACTTATGCTTAATTTTGTTCATAACTGTAATTCGAAATATTAATCTGTTTTTATTATTTGGGATTAGTCAGCCATCAAATGATAGCTGTATGGTTTAATCAGTTATAGTTTTTCCATCTCACCTTTATATGTACTGAATCATGCTTCCTATTCCAATATGTTATTGAAATAACCTAATCAGGCTATGAAAATGTCCTTGACACACTAATGTTTCCAGTTGGGGCTCAAAAAGAGAAACACTTCTTCCTAAAAATGAGCGATTCTTTAGGTTACCTCTTAAAGTGAATAATTTTGTCGTCGCTTCATCTTTTATGCAGAGACAAATATATTGAAAGACGAAAAAAATATTGCAACAAAAGATTTGCGATGAGGATCATTACTTATAAACAACCGAATGTAAAGAAAATTACTTGACCATTACAAGAACACAATACACACAACAACCAATTAAGATGTCAACGTTTATTAGAGGTCCAGTGTGTGGGATCGATAACTGTCCGTCGCAGCTATGGCGTATCATAGCAGGGCGACGAACATGTCAATATGGTCATGTTATGGAAGGTGATGTCGAATTTAATGATGACGAAGATAATATGGCAAATGCAGGTGTAATAACTAGAAGATTGAACCTTACTACAGGTGCAACGGGTAATTTCCAATCAAGTTTTAATAATTCGCAGCTAAATCATTCTCAAAATGCATCTAAAGATAAAAAGGTTTATGGTGAAAAAGCTCGAAAACTATTCCTCAGATCATTTCAATACATCCTGCGGCATCAAGTAAGTTGGCTTATGAAAGAACAAAACTTCCCTGAACAGTTTGAAGATACAGTTAAAATTATATGGATGGAGCATCTGAAGATAATGAATAATGATAGAGGAGAAAACAGTGAGTTTTTCAGTAATGGAGATAACGATACAGATCGTTACACCACCCAGGAGGACTTAAGTGATTCTGGTGATATTGACTCTGAGCGAGCGTGGAGTTTCCATGGAGTTACAAGATTAAAATTAAGTATTCATTCAATGATTGCCATTCTGTACCTTGCGGCTGTTCATTTGGGTCTCCCAGTATATATTAATGACTTCACACGTTTTATCTGTGCAACAACATTCCCATACTATAAAGCGAACCATATTTTACCAAAAGTGTGGAGAGATAAGCTTCCCAATTATTATTTAGGGGTGTTGAGTGGGAAAAAGATACCAAAGGATGGACAATTGATTAATAAAATTGTCTTCACCTGTACAAAAATTCACTTCCACAGAAAATTTAATTGTGAGGTTAATATTAAAATTTTGATTCTCAAAGAAATTATATCGATAAAATTACCGCCTGAATTTTTTTTATTTACTACAAGTATTATTCGATTAATTGAAGGAGAAGAGACGTTTTCTCTCCTTGAATCTGATAATATTACCTTCACCAGCTATCATCGTTTTCCAGAGATACGAGCTATCTCATATTTAATCCTAGCTGTTCGATTGGTATTAATATGTGATGAACCTTCTGATGGAAAATTCCTTTATCCTACTGATTGGATAACGTCCATCGTTGGTGGGATTGATTCCGGCACTATGAATATCGAAGACCGTATGACAGGTTTATTTTATCCTAGTTTGGATGATGAAACTACATATAAGGATGATGATCCATATAATTGGACTGAAGATAGCACATCCAGTTTTTTAGATTGGGTAGAGAAAGTATATTTGAGTACTGGTCAACGATATGGAGATTCGAATGAAGAAAATAAAGCTTTGACAATTGATCAAAGGATTGCCAAAAGGAAATTAGAAAAAATTGTACCATTAGAATCGGATTCATTCCCACGAGTATTTAGGGACTCGAATCCAGTATCAACCGTTGAAAAGTTGCAAGAAAATTTCATCAAATTGTCTAAATTAAGAGAAATTGATAACATAAACGAGGATATGTCACACACTCATAATCACAGATTTAATGTTATATGTCAATTGGAAGAAAAATTGATCCATGATATATCACCGCAATTTGGGTTTTCTGACATTAAATTAAAATCAGCCATTCGTATAATTGAAAGGCACTGTATCACTACAATAAAGCATAAGTGAGCCATTACTACTTCTTGTTGGTAATGTGTTTTCATCGTCATTCATATATATATGCACTTTTTATATATATTATTACATAGTATTTGCATGCCCCTTATAAATAAAGAGGGAATAAATAAAAAAAGAAAGTAGCATATCATTTTTAAAATTCTATCTATTGGCCAGTTGCCCATTGAGCAAATCCACCTTGTGCAAAAGCTTGAAAGGCACCACTAATTCCGGTCGATATTGAATTTGACGTAGTCTCAGATGCTTTATTTAGATCATCAACGGAGCCAACAATCTTGGTTATGTCAGTCTCTATAACCATTCCCCCTTGTATAATTTCTTCTAGTATACTCTCTAAAGTTTGCCAATTGAAAATTAAATCTAATTCATTAACTTCGGTAAAGCAACGATCTAATGACTCTACGAAAGTCTGTATTAGGTCTAGAATTGCCAATTCAGATTCCTGTTCATCGACTATAAATGTAAAAAATAACGTTGCGTAATTCTTGTATATGATTTGAATAGCACCATCATCGTCATTGCCATTATTTTTGGTTGTATTATTTCCAGTATCTAGTAAAGATGGAGGGGTCACTAAAAAAGAGCTTTGAAAGTCAGTATTCCTCTGGGATATTAACTCATATACTTGCTCTAGTAATAACTTCTGTTTCGGTAGGTCCACTGGTGTGTAAAATTTGACTAGTCTTGGTTGACATTTTTTATTAACTAATTAGAGATATGAGTTTCAAGAAAAAAACTGTATCAGTTAGTAAATGAATGAAATATTATTGAAGGATGGTGAAATGGAACATACAAATAAGTACAGAGTGTATCATATTGGAGTGTGCAACGGTGCAATAGATTGATGTCTTGAAGTTTATGAAATCACTTTTTGCTGTCTGTAACCTCTTGTTCCGTGTAAGCCTGTCAAATCCAAGGCTGTTTTTATATTGCTTTGGGTGGTTATAAATTTTCGAAGTGGGCCGATGCCTTTTGTTTTGTGATGAGAACTCACATTTTCCAGTGAAACACAGAATATGTTCATATATTTATAAGGTGAAGGAAGGGTATTTAAATATGTAAATTACGCACTACATTATACGACAAGAAAGAATAAGTTAAACATGTGATGGTAGCATGAATGGAAGGGCGTTGGTGACTCATGATAAACTAAACAGGGTTCTAATGACGAAGCTCCTGAGGATTGGACGTTACAAAACACTGACAATCACCACTACTGGGAACGCCACTGAAACTCTCCGTAGATGTGACAAACATGTTGTTACAGTTAACAATATGAGGATACTGTCTTGTAAAAGGAGGGTGCTTATATCTATATATTTATATACTTATATACTTATTTATATATGTCAATCAATGCATTGTTGTAAGAAACGCGCAATGGCAAACGCGTAGACACCTTTCTGTATTCTTGAATGTGTGTAATTTGTACATAAATAAATAAGCGTTCAATCCCAATTAATAATAATACTGTGTGTGTAACTGAAGCAGTACCCAGAAGAAAGAAGATTTTGTTAGATCCTTATTAAACTATTGTTATTGTTTTTTGAAAGAACAAGTGTATGAATCCCAGAAGGATAAAGAGATAATAGTTTATAAAATCACGAGAAGTATTACACAATATTTTAAACTAGTACAATAGCATATGAATGCATACATATTTTGCTTCTTTAGTTATTTATAGTTGCAATAGAAGATTAAGAATTTATATTTTTGAGAGGACTCTTCTTTACCATGTATGAGAATAGAAAGGAACCAGAGAGTTTACGTGATTTCTTAACCCATTTACCAACATATGCTGATAATGATTATAGTGAAATTGTGAGTTATATTGTATGGAAGACTGTAAAATTATGTTTGACCACAGATAATGATAAGATTGATTGGAGAACAATTGTGAATTTGTTGGAATCTCAGATAAGTCACGATAGTTCATATAAGGATGTTTTAGAAGGTAAGAATTGGAAAGATCTACATAGACAAGATAATACTAATAATTTTCATAATGGAACCATGTGTAATCGACAGTGTTTACCAGCAGAGATAATATATTATTGCTTCACTTGTACAATAAATCCATTGTATGGGATATGTGATGCATGTTTCGACCCTAATGAACATATTGATCATGAGTATTCTGCAAGTGTTATCACCAGAAGTGAGGGAAGATTGTGTCATTGTGGAAACGAATCGATATTTCATAACCCAGAATCAGCTTATAAATGTAAAAACAAATTAAATAATAAGAAGAATACTAGATTTTCAATGGCTAGTAGTGATTACTTTGACCCAATCATGCATGTAGTATTTAAGGATATAATCGATTATATTATTGACGTTATATTAAGTTCAAACGAATTGAAAAATACATCATTTACAGGATATCACCATACATTCCCAAGCGAACATAGTTCACAGGGTAATAATAAGAGTAGTAATATCCCGCATGAATCATCTTCAAATACAGACTCTATATTCAATGAAATCCTGATTGAAACTACAGAAAGTCAGAATATGGTATATGAATCATATGCTTCAAATATGAATATAAATGAAATTTGGACAGTTCAACTGGATAATGAAGATAATCAAGTACATATTATGGATTTAGCAAGTAAAATTTCAAAGGTACTAAATAAATCTATTGGATATGGGATATCAATTTGCAACACGTTATTAGAATATAACTTCCCTGTAGTTTTAGCTCAGACCAGTGACTACGATAAAATTAAAGAAATATTCGAAAAGTTTAGGGATGAAAATATTGTAGTCCATATTAGAAGGTTACATGATGTCTTTAAAGTTAATCTTATGGAAGATTTAGTTCATTTTTTGTATTATCTCTGCACTGACATTAACGCGACATATGAAATGAGATATACGTTACGATCATGCATGATGGACTCATGGAAACCAAAGATTGAACATGCTGAATTGGAATATAATCAGCCATTGAAAACGAAGATTAATTTGTTTGGAGGATTTCTATCACCTGGACCATTTTCTTATACTTCTTCGACATCTCCAGTTTCTTCCCCAGACGAAAACATCTCAAAAGAATGGTTTAGCCCATGGAATTTTGAAGATTGCGAAGATGATTATTTGGTACAAATTATACAAAATTATAATGCGGATCTTTCCATCGCTGTGTCAGAATTAGCACATTCAAACATATGTCTTTTCAGAGGATCTCGTTTCCAATACCTTGTAGCAGAATGTTTTGATAATTTCTCCAGGGTAGCATCTCTTCGTATGACTAAGGTGTTCTGCACTTTATTTTCATTGACTGATAATGCAAGAAGATATCTCACAGCGCAATACTTTGATATATACCTTAACGTTGTATATAAAGCAGTTGCATCTGACCCTGTCGGCATAAAATTAGCATTTATGAGTTTGATGTCCCAATATACTTTTCAAGATCCTGTCCTTTCTAATTTGGCCATTCAATCAGGCTTTATTGAAAGGACATTAAAATTTGCATTCACATTACTAGCATTCAACTCAGAAGATTTGGTAACATTTCTACCAATATCAATATACAATAAATTCAAGCTTCCGAGTGAAACAATAAAAAATAGGAAGACTATTATATGTCTAAAAGATCTGTGCACTTTGGTTTCTGCTAATACAATACCCCGGGAGTTACTAGAGAGTAGTAGTATATTTAACTGTATGTTAGACGCCATTTTACAGTTTAGTAATATTTTACCAGTAAGAAGGGAAATCTCAGAGCATGTAGAATTTGAGAATTTTGACTTTTCCACATATTATTTCTTCTTTTCATCTTTGTTAATAATGGTTGATAGCTACCTTCGTTGTATATCGATGATATCAGACAAAGAATTCCGCTATAGCATTATTAAAAGATTCATGAAACTTACAATATCAAATGGATTTGAACTATTAAGTACTTCTAGAAGGCTTATTGACCACCAGGCTGCTTACGAAGAAGGCCATGTTCCCAAATTATCAGCTGTAAAAGAGAAAGTGTGTAATCATGTTACTGATGTTGTGAGATTCCAGGTTGGGATTGACTCTCAGAGTTTTCTAAACCCAACATCATACCTTTTTAAGTTTATTCTTCAATGGAGTCAATGTGGGAGGTATGAATCTGTACCCAAGAGTATAACTAACTATGTTGATTTCCATAAATTTCTTGACGATGAAGTTCAGGCTTTATACATATCAGAAGCGTCGTTGTCCACTTTAGTACTAGTTGGGCAAATCAATGTAGGATTCTGGGTCAGAAACGGAACTCCCATCACACATCAAAAAAGGATGTATACAAAATTTAATATGAGAGAGCTTACGTATATGAGTGATGTTTTCAACGTTCAATTTAGTATGTGCATGGCTAATCCTGATGATTTCATGGTTACATTCTTAACTCGATGGGGTCTCAAGAGCTGGTCTAATGGAACTCCAATGGGCGATTATCCTGACGATGAAACTACAATGGCAGTTGTTAATGAATGTCTCCTTTTATTAATTCAGTTGTTCACAGAAATAAAGTCTTTGATTGTGGTGTCATCCGTGGACAATTTTGAAAGGACATTAAAATCTGAAATAATTCATGCGCTCGCATTTAACCGTTGTACGTATGCACAGATTATGGATAATATACCAGAGCATATCACAAAGCATTCTACCTTTGATAAATATTTAGAGAAATATGCGCAGTTTACTCCCGCAACAGGCGGTGCTGAATGTGGTTCATTTTATCTGAAAGATGAGTATATACAAGACCTTGATCCTTACTACTTAGGTGTAAGTTCAAGTAAAAGATATGAAATTGAAAAGAGTGTTCGAAACTATATGAAAAATAAAGAAAAGAAAGATTTTGTTGATACTTATGTTCCTGTAAAAGAGGTTCATGATATTTTAAAGGATACTCCATACTATAATCTATACGCAATATCATCAGTGAATACTTTTGGAATATTCCTGAAAAGTACTTTGGAACATATTAAAAAATGTCGGTACGAAAGCTTACTTCCACGTGTAGTACATCTAATACATTTATGTGTTGTGAATAATTTGAACGATTTTATGAAGGTATTTTGGCATGAATATGAGATTATTGATACTGAGTTTTACCATTTCCATAGTATTGGTTCCATTTTGTACTCATTATTACTAGATGATATATTTTCCAATGTCCATGGTAAAATAAGGGAAATTTTTAGAGTTCTATCAGATAAAGCACCCCATATAGATGTGAATGGATATTTATTAGAACAGACGCCTTCCTTCAACCGGGAAATACTAAAATCTTCTAAGGAATCGAGGACTAGTAAAGAGGAAGAGTATTTAAGGAAAAAGAAATTAGCTCAAGCCAGAAGAGATAAAATTCTTCGAAAATTTTCTAAGCAACAAATGAAATTTATTGAAAAAAATGTTGCAATCAACACCTCGCTCAATAATTCAACATCTAATACACAAAATTCAGGTTGTGATATATCCATTACACCTCTATGCTGGGAATACCCCGATGATTCTTGTGTATTTTGCAAAATGGAAAAAAATGATGATTCGTTTGTATATTTCTCTTATCAAGAAAATAATATATGTGATTTTGGAATTGACTTTTCTACTCCAAAGTATATGACTGATATGCTTCAGTGGGAACAAAAATCATGCAATAAAAACGATAGAGATCTCAAGATGAAATATATTGAACAAGCTCCTGTACTTAGAATATGTGGCCACGGTTCACATATTAAATGTTTAGGGAATCATATGAAAAGTGCAGCAACAGTTCATACACAAACTACCAAAAATGTGCCCAATTCCTATGGATTTGGTTTGATATACTGTCCTGTTTGTAATTCGTTAATGAACTCATTTCTTCCAAAAATAGTCAAATTTAACAACAAGAGTCGAGAGTCGTTTTGGAAAAATATCGATCAACATTTCGATGTTTTCAACTTACCATCGGAATTAATGTTAACGTGCAGAAAGGCTTGCGATATTTTTGTTAAACTTGCTGGACATGATTCCACTAACAATTCGTTTAGGAGCACATATGACATTATCAGTAATTTATTGGTAAACTCTATTTCAAACTTAGAATTGAGGCTACGAAAATATATAATACCTGGGATGGATGAAAAACAATTGATGAACAAAATACCTAATCAGTGCCTAGTAACATTTAGATTACTTTCTGATCTACTAACTTTTACCAACAGTCAAATAAAAGACGATATTCATCCACTAATAGATTTTATGGAGAAGATACCTTTTTCAAATAATGGCACATACAATAATATTCTCTCGATTTCTAATACAATTTTTGTTCCTAATGAAACACTTTTAAATCCAACTGAACAAATTCTAGACCTCATTTATGCCAAAATGGAGGAAGATATTATTCTTCTTTGTAGAGGTATGTTAATGGTTGATTTCTATGAGTCAGTGAACGATATGGAGATTCCGTGGAATAAAGTTACTTTAGATGCAAAGAATGAGAACGAATTAGAAGATTATATCGTATCATCTACAGTCCTTGAGCAATATTTGAAATTTTTCAATTATACGATATCTGATGGAAGTTGGGATATAAACAAGGTTTCAAAGTGTTTTTATCATTTACTAAAAGGTACAACAACTGTGTTCCTAAGAAGGATTATCCTATTATTTCATGTGCATTATTCAATAGATGATGAAAAAATAAAAATTGAAAATAAATTGAGAGATTTTGAAAGTGCAATTCATTATTTAACTCATGGTGAGCTTAAAACTTTTGGAGAACTACTTTCAAACTTTTTGAAAAATTACGTCCCTTTAACAACTCTTAATTATGATAACACACCTGAAGAGGAAAGAATTGAAATATTTACAAAATTAGAACGAAAACATTTCCCTGCTATTTCATGTGGTCATTTAATCAAGTTACCACATAATTTATCCAAATTTTATACTAATGCAGAATATGAGGCAAATAAAATTGAAAAACTATTAGGAGGTGAATCTGTTTTATGTTTGTTATGTGGTTCGACGATGTGTATTCAAAAGCCGGTATCGTTACATGGTTACAAGATTGGTGAATGTACGAATCATTTACGTAATGAATGTGAATCAGATTCAAACTACGGGTTATTCTTGATGATGAGAACAAATATGATATATATTGCTTACGGTGATAGAGGAACATTTTATCATTCGCCGTATATTAACAGATATGGGGATACTGGTGAAGGTTTAAAATATGGAACTCCGGTGTTTCTAGATGATGAAAAATATGAGCATTTAACTAATGAAATTTTTATGGGGAACATGATCCCCCATATAGTGTTTAGAGCTACAGATGGTAATAGTGATCAAGGTGGATGGGAAACCTTATAGAAGAAAAGCAATAATTGATAAGCTCTCTATATTTACATAAGATGACTAAATAATTGAATGAAATGGCACATTGTAATAATAATAATATTATTATTATTATTATTAATTAACATAGAAGAAGCAAAAAATTTAAAAAAAAAATAAAAAAAAATTATCGTATATTAATAGTTGTTATATTATTAAATTGAAAACAACCCCACAAAGGAACTATATAAAACTCTAAGGGCAAGTTTTCTTTATAGCAGATGGTAGTTAGTTTGACTGAAATAAAACTAGATTAAAAACAAAGACAATTGACGAAAGTATAACTATACTGAAGTCTTCTTTAGATCTTCGGTAACTTCATTGACATTTGCATCAGTCTTTTGAGCACCTGGGTATCTACTACCTTTGTTTTTTGGTTTCTTAGCTTTCTTGGTCTTTTCAGGAACAGCTACTGGGTAACCCTTTTCATTAGCCTCTTGGTATTCTTTATTATTAGCGTATTCTTCTCTAATTGGAGCTAATAGTTGATTAATGGCATCAGCAACACCGGTTTTCAAATCAGGTGGAGACAATTTTTCATCTTTAAATGCTTGTTTCATTTCTTCAAATGATTCATAAGTGATTGGACCACCGAATTTTTCAGGTCTATCAATGAAAAATTCAAAATGATCATCACCGAATTTCAATTGTTGAATTGGAGCTACGACGAATTCTATGAATGACAATAGACCGTTCTCTTCTACATTACCTGGAGAACAGAATGCACCGTTGATCTTTTTCTTGACCACTTTAGGTTCTTCTAATAGATCGATCTTGGAGTTTGGATCCGAAGCAGACATTTTACCACCTTGACCTAAGCCTGGTACCATTGGATTCATTAGATGAGCTCTCTTCTTGTAACCGATTTTTTCCAAGTTTTCTTCAGCAAGAACGAAGATCTTTCTTTGATCGACACCACCGAATTGGGCATCAACATCCAAATAATGTTCATCAAGAGCTTGCATCAATGGGTAAATCAGGCCTGACAACAATGGGTTAGCAACTTGTTTCACAACATCAGCACCTGCTCTCTTTGCATCATTTTGAGAGACGATATTAGATAGTTTGAAGATATCCAAAGTGTACTCACCACCTTGTTGATAAGAAGATCCTACGACGAATTTCAATTTTTCAATTGGTACATTAATCGATCTTAAGATAGCTTTAATAGAGCATTCGTAATATTTAGCTCTGTAATTGACGACTTCCAAAGGAGCCTTCATGTTATCTAAGAACGCGTGTAGATCTGCTAGTAATACAGTGACTTCGCAACCAGCTTTTAAGAAGTCTGCCAATTTAGTCATTGCGACGAAGTAACCACAATGTGGTCTACCAGTTGGAGCAGTCCCCCAGTATAATTTCAAATGTCTCTTTTCGACCTCTAGGACATTCTTAATGATTTGTGGGTTTAGTACTTCTTGTAAGTTCTTTGTAATTAAGTTGAAAGCAACTTGAGGGTCTACAGTAGTAGTAACAGTAGTAGATTCAGTCATAATAATAATGTATTTGTTATTGATTATTGTCGATGAGATTGTGAATATGTTATAAGAAAAAGTATACTAAATTAAAAATGAACTAAAAGTAAAAGTAGAAGTATCCAAAATATCTCTAATTTTTATATATAAAAACCTAATTGGGCATAATGATGAGTCTTAACGATAAAAGCTGTCAATTCGATCACGTTAGAACTGTTGTCAAGATTTGATAATCTAAGCAAATTGAAGGTAAAAAGAAAACTAGAAAATTTTTCACTTCGCGCGCGCTGAACTGTCAGAGAGAGGTTTGCCTATTACTGAAAGTGTGACTAATAAAGAGACAAAAACGGGCAAAAAAAAGCGACATAGCTTCGTGATCATGTGATGTGCACGTGACACTGAAATATTATTGCATTTTGATTTTATTTGAAATTGTTTTGTTTGGTATAATACGTATAAGCATCAAGCAAACCAAGTATTTTTCAAGGGGTAAGAGAGAGGAAGAGTGGGATAAGCAACGTTATGCAAGTGTAATACTCACACAGTCTGGTACTACTTAATGTACAACAAGCAATCATGACAAAATACGTCTGTATACGTGTATAGTAACCACCATACTAATAAATTGGTAATTACATAGCAATGAAAATAAACTAAATTAAGGAGACGGAAACGGCAAAATAGTGTATAAACCGTTTCCGTTCGTCCATCTATCCACGCATAATATTATTTCTTTTGCCTAGTTCTATTACTCGTTTACTATACGTATTATAGTTGGTTGATTTGTTTTTGCATGACTCTCTCTCTCTGTCTTAACCAAGATACGACGAGCAATAAAAAGTAGATTACCAATCTTTCTTCGACGTTTTCTCTCTCCTGTGACAGCATTCAGTCTTCCATTCCCCATAATAAAATAATCCAAACAGCAATCTTTGAGTGGTTTTTGTATCTCTATACGAGGCAGAGAAATATAGCCGCAGAATCTCGACAGTCAAATTTACGATAAGATTATCATACGCAGGGGGAAATTAATACATAATAAAGTGGGATACGTCCAGCTCGTACACCGTGATGTGCCATTCCAAGAAAAAAAGAAATCGCTTCGTTTGTTCGTTCTTCGCCGTATGTTAACGTGGCAAAATCTGTCTGCACGGGGTTCTCTCTACTAAAAGCGATTTTGCGTATGAATGTGGGGGAGGGGAAAGACAGAGAGACACCGCGATGATAAAACTAGAAGCACTGGAAACCCACACACCGCAGCGAGTGGCCCAAGCCGTTACCGCGAAAGAGAGCCAAAAAAGCAAGTTGCGAAGGTGCGGGCGTGTTACTGCAGCCCCTTCTCGGCAGCAGGCCCTTGAGAATCAGAACAATTCTTTTTTGGGAAAGGGCGAACTGCGTGGTTTGTGTGGCACGTTCTGTGGGTGTCGCGGGTCATACACAGACCCACACACCACACCCTCCTCCCGTTATTTGCTATTGTTTATAGATATACATATTACATATTTGTGTTTTTAACTGCGCTTTTATTACAGCAAGAATTATCGCATTATTAGTTTATTGCCGCTCTCTACTTGTATCTCATTCGTTCCCTCACACTCGTTATTTACTATAGCAGCATGTCAATAGTATTATTATTTTCATCATTTTCTCGCTCGTATTATTATTTTTATTGCTATTATTATTGCAATATATTTTTCATGGCGAAAAAGAAAAAGGTACCAAGAAGGTAGTCAGAATCACACGACTACGATAGGTAAAAAATTTGTAGATATATATATATATATAGGAGCTAGTATGACGTTGTTTGTTGTCTCTTGATACTGAAGTTTCCTTAAACCTTTATATATATTCCTTATAATTCTTATATTCATATATCTGTAATCAACTTTCGTTTACTTTATTGATCCAGTCGTTGGTATTCTATCTTTTTGCGTGATTGTTTGGCTCATCTTACTCTTTTTTTTTTCTCTATTCATTCATTTATTTGCTTGTTTTTTTGGCTACCTCAACTATAAAAAACTACTATTATCCATCTTTCTTTTGACCTCAACATGGCTGAACAATCTGAAACCGCTACTGAAAGTTCACAATCTTCTCAAGGGTCTTATATCCCTTCATCTGCTTCTGCTGCTTTAGGTTCTTTATCTCGTTTAAGTAAACGAGGTATGAATAATATTCACAGAGTGAAACAAAATGGTAAAGAATACGCTAATAAATTATACCCAAATAAATTCACTTCATTCTCTTACCCATACTCTTCGTCTTCCTCGAAGAATGATACCAAATTTAACAGTATTACGTCAAATACTAGTACCGCCGATTCATCAAATTCTCCATCATTGAAATTGAAAAATGTAGAGAATAATGAAAAGGCAGTCGATCCTTTAACTTATAATGAAAACGATTCTCAATTCTCTTTCGAATCTGATGCTACTACATTAGTGAATAGTGGAGGCTTGGATTCGCGCCATGGAAGTGTCTCTATGATTACCAAATTACATTCTTCAAAGAATGATATGAATTCTGATATTAACTTTAACTTCTCGGCTCCTTCTCGTACTTCGACAAGTAGTACCCTATTGGAAAAAGAAGTCATATTAGAAGAAGATGAAAGATTGGTTTTACAACCTTGTCCAAAGATTAAAGAAAAAATTTGCTCTTTTGGTCTCGAAAGAGCTCATGAATTAGGAAAAGATGATCATTTACATTATTATCAATTGCCTTTCCCATGGAGAGAAAATAGATATATCATCTATAATTACAGATTTTATGATTCTCATAAAAAATCGTTCCTTTCAATTCTTAATTGGTATGGATGGCATAACGAATCAACAAACATTTGGACTCATTTGTTTGGGGCCATTTATATGGCTTATATCGCATTTTTCCAATTCCCAAATACGGAAGTTTATCAATCAGAAAAAGTACCAACAATGGCGAAAGGTATTGCATTTGTATTCTTATTGGCTTCAATTAAATGTCTGTTGGCTTCAACGTTTTGGCATACTTTTAATGGTACTTCATTTTTAGGTTTACGTAGAAGGTTTGCATGCGTAGATTATAGTGGTATTACTATCTTAATCACAGCATCAATCCTATCTACAGAATTTGCAACTTTGTTCGGTCACACAACTGCTATGGTTTCTTTTATGTCTACATCGATGGTTTTAGGATTGATCGGGATTTATTTGAATTGTTCTCCAAAATTCGATTCTCCAGAGGCAAGACCTTTAAGAATTAAATTCTTTATCTTATTAGTTGCCGTGGGTGGTTTATCCTTCTTACAGACAATTTATTACGAAGGTTTCCATAACACTACATCTTTGTTGATGCCAGTAACAAATAAATCAATCATTTGGTATAGCGTAGGTGTTGTCTTCTACGGTTCTTTCATCCCAGAAAGATTCAGATCAGACGTCACCGTAGATGACTCCATTCCAACCCAGAAGGAATTGGCCTCGGATTTAAATATCATCACCACTCATAAGGATATCCATTTCAGAGAGGAACCGACTTGTACTTGTCACAGCGCCGTCAAGAATTTGACCTCGTTGTGGTGGGTCGATTACGCATTCTCTTCTCATACATTATGGCATTTCTTTGTTGTCTTGGGTGCCATTGGTCATTACCGTGCTATCATTGACATATACACAAAGAAATGGTTGATGTAACAAGCAAAACAAAAATAGAATTTGGGAATCATATTCTTCCTTTTGAAAGTTTGACCTACCGTTAGGTCTGCTGAACTCTCCAGCAATCTCGTGTTCACACACTCATTTACATATTGCGCAAACGCATATGCACACATTTTTACGAAAATACATATTCATATTTTATGACACTTTGTTAATAACAAGAACTTTTTCATTTTATTTATAATTCTTTTCTTCTGCCTTTCAAATTATACAAATACATACGGAATATATACAGATGGTTATTTATTAATAAATAAAAACAAAATGATACCATGAAAGACACCGTTCCCTTTTTATTTCTTATTTTCCCTTGCATTCTTCTTCAATTTCATCAACGATATCCCATATTATATCATCAACTATCTGTTCATTGAATAGTTTGTCGAGGGTCTTGATTTGACAATCTCTCGTTTCTTGTTCTTTCACTTGTTCCAGATATTTCAATTCCGAGCCAACAGTCACGATTTTTGCTTCACCGCCATTGAAGCAACTCACGGTGGGATAATAGCCTAGACGGTTGTTGTTAACATATTTATTCCTTAACAATTGAACACCTTTTACATCGCTTAAATTGTTCATTATGTCACGAGGATCATCGCCCTCCATTGATTTATCAATCTTGTTGTCTGGTGTTGAACCATTATGTCCATTGAGGGATTGATCTTCCGCATGACGAGTCCCACCATTCTTCCAATAATTATAATAAAATTTCTCGTTGTATTGTAATTCACTGAAAGGTGGTAAAAATGGATTTAAATCCTCGAACGCAGTCCCTAAATATTCCCCATTCAAATATAATTTCAAAGAGGATCCTTTCAAATTGTAGTAGTCTTGTCTCTCTCGATGATCCGATGAATAATATTCAGGTTTAGTAGTCTTCACATAATCAGTCCCCTCAAATAGCAATTGTCCCTTATATCTAATGGCAATTTGATCCCGTACAACATTTGTATAGTCAATATCTTGTAACAAAGCTTTTTGAAATTCCTTTTGTGATGGTTTCCAATTCTTTGATTTCTTTCTATGTGGTCCAGATGTCAACGATTGATCATTCTCTAACGTGACATCCGAATTTAGTATCCCTTTGGAACCAGATTTCAATAATGCATCCAATCTTCTCATAGTATACTCTTTGGCTTGTTCAATTTGTTCTTGTGTATCAGGTAATGTCAATAAAACCCCAATTCGATCTCCTTCTTTCAATTGCCTTTCAGTTTGAATCTTTTTACTTAATTTACCTTCGTGTACAGATTCTAGCGCTTCGTCTCTGACACCATATCCATATACATCAAAACCAACAGGTGCTTCGAGACTCATCTCTCTTCTAGATACACCAAATCGTAAATGAGGACTGTTATCTATGGCATCCTTTTTTTTAACTTCATTATCTCCATCAGCTTCATCATTTACCGAGACAGCACCACCTTTCAGTACAATTACTTCCCAATATGATACACCTTCCTTGATACAGACATCACATCTTCCAGATCTCCAACCCATTGATTGTATAACACCTACAGTATCATTGCCGCCATTTATCATTGAAAGACCATCGGATCTATCCATTGTATTGAAACCTGGTTTCTCAAAAGGATACTCAGTATTGCAATAACCTAACTCTGTGAACTGACGAATTGGAGCACATGGCGTATATATGAAATGTCGTTTATTTAATGGAGTATCGATAGGTTTGCTGAACCCTTTATATGTTTCTTGGTATTCTAGAAATGAAGGGCGTTGTTTATCACTATCAATTTCAAAATCTTCTTTTTGGTACGGTATTATTCCGATCTTCATATTCAAAGCAGTTGACGTTGTAGTCTAGATGATATAAATAGATTTTGGAACTGTCCCTAATGATTATTTCCTTGCTTATAAGATCTTTTTTTCTTACTACGAGTTAGCATATACGCTTGAGGATGTCAATATAACATCGTTACATTATTGTTTTCAAGCTTTGTTGACGCTACAGCCTCAGCTAGAAAAAAAAAATCATTACAGGAAATTTCACTTAAAATGCGATGACCTACTATTCCATTCAAAATAGGCATATCAGCTCGTAAGAATAAGATGTATTTCACTTTACAATAACAAAGAGCATAGATAATATATCATCTGTTAACAAGGCAAGGTACAAGTGTCTCATCATGAAACCTAATGATAGCCAAACCATAAAGAAAGAGACCGCATCAAGGAGGACCTCGATCAAGATTGAGAAAAAGGTATTAGATAAAAAACCTGGATTACCACTTACAAGAATAGTCAATACCCCTATAGCAGCATGTAAAAGATGTAAACAAAAAAAAATTAAATGTGATAAACTATTACCAACCTGTACTCATTGCACAAAAGCTCACGTATCCTGTATATCTGTTGACCCTGCAACAGGAGAGGATGTTCCGCGGTCTTATGTCCTATTTCTAGAGGATACTCTTCAAAGCTTTCTAAAGAAATGTGAACAAGAAGATGTTGATTTAAAGAATGTAGGGTCAACGTTTCCTGTATCAAGTTCTGATCTGCCGTATACGGGTAAATCAATACAGGCCGGGTCCGATTCGACGTATTACTTGCGGGATGATGGCTTACTGGGAGATTTCCTCATCAACCAAGGTCATTTAATAAAGAATGCCAGTAATATTGTCACACCACCAACTACGATTCCTTCATTAGATACAACATTAGCTGTAACAAGAAGTCCTGTCAAAGACAATGCAGCATCACTAAATTTTGGTAAATCAAATAAAGATATAAATAGTCTTGCATCAATGAAAGACACAGATCCAAGTACCTTTCTAGGTGATTCTTCAGGTGTATCATTTGCCAAGTTAGTGTTTACAGCAACGAATATTAAACCTGAATTACTTGTTACAGAGACTGATCACGATGTGGATAAAAAAAATACAACTTTAAAGGAAGATGATTATCAAAAAGCTCAAGATATCGATAATGACATGTTACAATTACCAGATAAATTTGAAGCACAATCATTAATTGTGAGTTTCTTTTCATACACTAACGTTCAATTACCAATCCTTCATAGGGAATTTTTTTTGAAGAAATATTTTGAACCAATTTATGGACCATGGGATTATAATATTTCACTGTTGTCTGATTATACTGAAATTAATAAATCGTTTACTCTTCCGAATAATATATTTATTGATACAGATTCAGGAGATGAAAAGGAGATACGTAGTCCATGGTACAATATCTGGAAAAGCTATACAAGATCCAAAACACATAAAATTCCCAAAGTACCAAAAAGGTTCCATATCCCATTGTTTTTCCTGAACATTGTATTTGCAATTGGCTATGCTACAGACGTAATACAATCTAATATCTCTAGAGTTGTTGCATTTAAGAAAAGAACAGCCCATTACATTAATTCACTATTTGTTACTACAGACCGATTAGAGGCGTTATCTGGAACTTTATTACTGGTTATATATGCTCTGATGAGACCAAATACTCCAGGAGTATGGTATGTTTTGGGATCGGCATTGAGATTGACCGTTGATTTAGGTTTGCATACTGAAAAATTAAATATGAACTATGATCCATTCACAAGAGATATGAGAAGGAGATTATTTTGGTCGGTTTATTCCTTAGATAGGCAAGTATGTTCATATTTTGGTCGTCCGTTTGGAATTCCCGAGGAAAGTATAACAACTAGATATCCTAGCCTGTTAGATGATTCATATATAGTTACAAGAGATTTTGTTGAAAATGAAACAATAGTATCTGATTATTCCGATGCAGAGTACTATTCTGTATCAAGTAAACATATTGCAATATCCATGTTTAAAATAAGAAGATTACAAGCTTCTATTGTAAGAATATTATATGCCCCTCACTCAGAATTGCCAAGAACATTCAAAAATATTGAAGAATGGAGAACTACGACACTTAAAGAACTTGATCGTTGGTATACAGAAGACGTACCGAAGAATTCATTGAAGATGAATTGCGGTTTCAATACATTTGTATTTGATTTGAATTATCATTATTCAAAGCTTATTTTGTTCGGTATATCTCCAAAATGCCCAAATTTGACCAGTGAATCCTTCAAAGTGGTATTTGAGAGTTCTAAAGGAACTATTGATGTATTCCATAATCTTTGTATTAATAAGAAACTAAGTTACACATGGGTTGCTGTCCATAATATTTTCATGACCGGTATGACTTATTTATATGTAATATATTACTCCGATGATACCATATTAAAGGACGAATATGATGTTATGGAATATACAGCAAAAGTTTTAAATGTATTAAAGGAATTAATTGGAAAATGTGATTCTGCCAGAAACTGTTATCAAATTTATAAAACATTAGCAGCAGTAGTAAAAAGATTAAAATTAGACGACTTGACTGATAAATTGAAAGATAATGAACAATATAATTTAGGTACTCATAATGATCTTTTACCAAACTCTGATTATACCGATATATCACTAAATCAATTCTTTCAAGAGATGGAAAAGATTAATAATGGTCCGTCAACAGGCGGAAATAACCAGGAAGGAATTTCCAATACTAATGAGTTAGGGGCAAGGGACTTAACTGAGCCATCATTACTAAATGGTCCCGGGAATGGAATGGAACCTCAGGGAAGGTGTGCATCTGTTGGACAGGATTCAAATATGATAGATTTATTGTATCAAGTTTCTTCGCAATCTATATGGGATGAATTCTTTGTCAAGGGCAGTTCGAATGATAATACAGTTCCTGATGTGTATTTTTAGCTTTGAGATTTATTCTTTTCTTATCAGTACATCAATGTACTATTATGTGACGTATCAGAATATATTATGTAGTATTTTTAATAGAAATAATGTGTTATATATAACTACATTACTGTTAACACTCTCATTTTGCCATTTAATGTAAATAGGTTCTTTTTCTACCCAGTACAAATAAACTTAATTCTTAAAACTATGGAATCGGTACTATTTTTGTTTACATTGGGAAAGGTTACTTTGACATTATAAGATGGTTGCAACTGTAAAATGAAATATTCTCTACAAAATAATAAAAAATATGTAAACAAAAAACTAATAGTGATAATCTTTGAAAAAGATACTTGAAACTATACTCTAAAACTATATCCAATTTACATGTTGAATTAATAATTTTGGATATATTTTGGGTATATTTTGGATATATTTTTAATATATGATAATAAAAGTTTGGAAAAAAGACACTAACCGAAGTTACTTTACTTTGGGAATGCCTGATTGATATTGGAAGAAGACCCATATATAAACATCTTCTGTTACACCTTCATTAACCAAATCACTTGTAACAAAAATTGTCCAACATCTAATCCATTTATCATTAATAAAAATTGACCAAAACTCCTCTATTTTTTAATGAAGGAAAGCTTTGCTGCTCGGCGGCTATAAAATTAAATATCATATTTCCGTACTGAAAAAGGGTATTTTAAGTAGGTATAAAATTGTACAATAAAAAAGAATAACAAAACTAAACAATTCTCCCCAATCAGATAGAAACGTGATTTCGACAGAAGTCATGTCATTTTTAGAAGCTAATACTACCATTGGAGATAATGAATCCAGTTTTGATAAGGATTCCAATCGCTATAAAATTCAATTCCCTCTCACTCCATGTTACCAAAATAGGTCTTTTATTAATCATGTAACGGAAACAAGATATTTTAGATGTAATTTAAGGAGAATTGAAGGTTATAAATCTCCATTTAAATTGTTTAAAGATCTTTATGTCAGTCTTCAAATGGCACGACCAATTGTTATGACAGATTTAGGTAAATTTTTCGAAATTGCACCAGATGAAAGAAATATTAATTTTGAAAAAAATATTGATACCTGTAGAGAACATCCAAAATATGTTAATATCGTACCTTTGATATTATTTGTTCATGTAAAAACAAAGAGTCAACAGAGTCTATCTCAATTCATAATTACTAGACAGTATCACTTTCATTTACATGCTGGAAAACTCTTACTTAACAAAATTCACTCTCGAAATAAATCGTTTGAAATATATAATTTCATTGACACTTATGTCTCTTCATTATTTGATGACATGATTCATAAATGGTTTCAATGGACAGAGCTAATAATTCAAAATGGAGGTACTTATACTTTAAAACAAACCAATGGAAACTTCCTAAAAAGGTTATTATATCAAAAGTTTTGGAATGATCATTTTTACATACAAGATTCAAGGAAATATTCAGTGAACCAATTTAAAAGTTGTGTTCATGCGAATACTGCAGAACACATCAATAGATTTGGCTATTGGATGGATATTCAGAACAATATCATAATATTTGCTTCAACAATCTATGAAGCAAACGGAAAAGTTTCCCGGACGGTCAATGCTATTTGTTATTCAAATCATAAAGTTAAACAAATTTGTTATTTAATGTCATTTTACATTAATCTTGCCAGTATCTCATGTTTTACTTCTAATGTCCGGTAAACAAGCTACAGAGCGATTTTATTCTTCAGATTGTTAGAGTTTATGAACCTTATTCAAGCAACTATTGTGCATAAATAGTATAAACTTAAACAATACCCGTCATCTATTAGAAGTCTTTATTATCTATTTCCTTCTTCTGGTATTATGAAAAAGATGAAGGGCATAATATCGAGGCCGCCCCACTCTTAAGAAAAATTACCCATCCAAAGTTCACAATATTCCTATTCTTTGTCTCACAAAAAAAAATGCTATTAACTTTTCTGCGGTAAAACAAAATTTTTCATTTATGTATAGAAGAAACATGCGCGGAATATATACTTATAAATTTCAGAGGAGAGAAGATAGAAGACTAAAGTTACTTCGCAAATATTTAGGATTTTTGAAACAATTGAGAAACCCCTCTACATTTTCTTCAGCCAGTATATGTGAGTTTGAAATTTTATATTGAAATTATTGAGAGAGACGTCAACAGAGACATTATATGCGCTTTATAGCCCCTAATGAAAGCTACGGAGTTTCATGGATAAGATTGTTGAAGAGCCAAATTTTGAAACAAGATAATACCCAACTTTTTCTTTCAATGACAACGTAACAACAGGTCAGCATCTCTAGTAATTGTTCTTAATTATTTTACATTAGACATATTGGAAATGTAAACAATTTTTTGATACCTTTAACGTTCTATGAAGTACTGGTAACTCAATATCTTCTATTGAAAGAGGTTAAATTTAGTTTGCTGATCACAGGGAAGTCAACCTTTTTTCTTTATTTCCAAATGAGAGAGGGTCGACTTTCCAAATGAAAAAATATTGTTCTACTTTAATTATACTGAAAAATGAGTTAACTTTACTATTTACTTTTTCTTGTTCGCTAAATCTTTGTTTAGGAAATTAAAAATAAATTCGCTTCAAGAGATGTATTATTACCATTTTCGGATCAAATTATACTGGTAATAATAGATAAATTATTGCAGGCTCCTGCGGGGAGTTCAGGAGCTGTAAAATTCTAAAAAAAATATTATAGAAAAAGAACAGAGAATTTTCTGATAAAGTATGATGTAATTTGATTATAAAACATCATTGTATATATACTAATAACAACAATTATTCTAACAAGACATTTGCTTTTTCAAAATCCCTTTATATGAGTTTACTCAGATATTATCATCTTCGGAGTACTTAATATAATATAAGGATTAACTCTTTGAAATACATTTAGGACAAGATTATAACTGTTACATAGGTGAAAGTTAGGATTAAAAGATGACTCTAGGGGGTAGTACGTGTATACGGCCTCACAATTTATTGAACGTCAATGTCACCTATTTGTTAAAATATCTTCTGCCATTACTCTTGCTTCTAACTTTACAATTGAACCTGGTAGCGGCAGATGTCCAATTTAATTATCAAGGTTGCTACAAATCAAGTGATATTTCTTCTTCACTGGATGAAATTGGCTATTACCAATTTCAATCAGTAAACCATTGCCAGGAATCGTGTGGGAGTTCTGCTGTTGCCGCAATATTTGAAGGAAGTACTTGCTATTGCAGCGATTCTGCATCTTTTTTAGATAGCCTTACATCTCTCTCGGAGTCAGAATGTGACATCAATTGTAACGGTTGGCCATATCAAAAATGTGGTGGTTCAGCAGCAATGAATGTTTATATCAATACAGATGCAGTTGTCGATAGTACGACGAATAAGCAAAGCACGACGAGTTCATCTAGCAGCAGGTCCACTGCATTGACAACCACAACTACCTCGTCCCCTGGTACAAGTACAAGCCATTCAACCGCTTCCACATCTTCAAAATCCTTGTCGTCATCAATAGCGTCAGAAGTGTCATCATTATCTACTGATTTGTCTTCCTCTTCATCCTCAAGGAGAACATCTTCAAGTTCAAGTTCAAGATCTTCAACAAGTACTTCTTCTACCCAAGCACAAGTGTCCACTTATGTTTCTATTCGATACACTACTAATGTTGTTGTTCACTCTATAATTAAAACTTCAAATAGACCTGCATCAACCATATTAGTTACTGAAACCTCAATCGTTTCAACAGAAACAGCTAGTGCAGCCCCAAATTCAGACAACAATAACAAAACAACTAATGGCTCCCACAAAAAGTTAAGTGGTGGGGCAATTGCCGGTATTGTTATAGGTGTAGTGTTTGGTGTTATATTCCTAGTACTATTGGTGGCTTTATTATATTTCTTACATAGAAGGAACAAAAATCCCGATGATCTGGTAGTGGATTTAAGAGAAAACAAGCAATATCAACCCTATTCTTATGGTGAAGAAGAAATTTCTCCAGTAGTTGTTCCTTCTACAAATACACTAACAAGAGGTAATACCAAACACAGTATGCCACCAAAATCATGGGGCATTGTAAGAAGTAGTAAAACATCTTCTTCGTCAGGAAGTTTTCAATCAAAGAATGCTAGTGGGAATTTATTAAATGAAGAACCCCTACCGACAACAATAATAGACGAAAATAAGATACACAGTAATATGCGGGATGAAAACCCATCAAACCTTACGGGAACAAACCTTATGGAACACGCCAATACGTTTGAGGATCCTGTCACAATATATGCTAGTGAGAATATGTTTAGTGCAACCTCATTACAAGATATAGGAAATGACAACAGATTACGTATTGTAAACCCAGATGACCCGGAGAAACCATATGAATCATAAAATATATATTTTCTACTGACATAAGTAACGATATTCTAAAAAACTTAAATAATAATAATAATAATAATAATAATAATAATACTCTCTTCTACAGAAACGACACTAAAAACATATATATAAGAAATGCTTCAAACATATCCCTTCTTTTATGAATTTTTTTGTTTCAGTAATACCTATTTATTGATTAATATACTTATTAAAAGTATGATAATTGGTTTTAACTAATTTCGGATTTAGTTTACATGTTCAGGCCATAACACTAGTACACAGTGTAACTAAAGGGGTGACTAATATCTCAACGCAATCCGATGCTTCAAACCAAAGTTTGCTAAAAAGAGTATTGATGGAGATTCACCAACCAATTAAGTCAGTTATATATTTTATGAATTATGTGAAATCATAAGAAATAGAAATGGGTTGTGGGGAGGTAAGAAAAATTAAAGTGATAATTATGTTTTAAATCAGTGGAACAAGAAAACAAAGAATTCATATGATAATTCAAGTAGTCTCACTCCCTATAATTCCTCTAAATTGGTCAATTCAGTTGCTAATGTCATCGAAATATAACAACAACAACAAATGTTGCTAAATATGCAGTTTGCAACTTAACATAAGTCTTTTCAAGGCAAAGTTTGTAAAAAAAAAATTGCTTTCACTCGGAGTTGAACCGAGGATCTCCACATTACTAGTGTGGCGCCTTACCAACTTGGCCATAAAAGCGGTAAATCTACTTCGTGGTGTATTGGTAATCCGAGATGATCGAAGACAAAAGTATAACAAACGGTTATAATCAATTACTATTACTTGTTAAACAGAGTTACTGTTGTTAAACTGCTCATAATTTGTGCATAGTGACGTTGGACTATGTAGCTCCAATAAACCCTGACAGAAATTATGTGGGATAAATATATCTCGAATGTGTTATGAAGCGCGTTATAGTATGAAACAAATATTACGTAATGATTAGGTAATAGGAGAAACCGATTGTCGAGAAAAATAAATAATATATAAAGACAGAGAATTCTGAACTTACATTCTGAGTTAGATTCTATTCGTTCTATAAATTATATATAATAAACAATCACTTACAA